TTCTTTCTCTCTCTCTCTCTCTCTCTCCTCTCCTGGCTTGTTAAAGCACTTCATTTAATGGCAGATCCACTTATGAAGACCGGTGCAATTTTGCATCCTTGTCAGACTTACAAACATTTGATTGATCTTTTGAAATATGAGTTACAGTGACCACTGCAACTCCTGGTGGCTTGTGGTCCCTTTTGGTCCCTTTTACGCACCCTAGTTCATGTGTCAGTCACAGAGAGAGAGAGAGTCCTCATCTGAACAGTAACCCATCCAGGAATAATACATGTCAACATTTTAGATAAAGCAAATCAAGTCAAAGCTTTGTGATTCAGTCAAATCGAAAAACAAAAGAAAAACATCAGCAAGCTTTTAAACCTGGCTGCATGCATGTGGACTGCTGCTCCAAATCTGCAATTTCCAATCGTGTTAATGGCAAATAAAACTCCCATCATGCATTGTACTGAAACAAGCACTTGAGTGTTTTAATGCGTTTTCGAAACAAACCAGGCATGACTATTTTAATAAGCACACAAAATCCCAGATTTTTCTGTGTTTATTCTAATCCTCATTGTTTGGGGTGGTTTTGTGGCTGTAGTTTTAAAGCATCTTCACAGTCAGAGAGTCTGAAAGAAGCGCTGTTGGACGGGGAGACAAGAGCACAACACTCGCCCCGAGTCCAGCAAGTTCCTTCAAAAAGCACGTTTTTTTATTCCCCATATATACACCTGAGTCCCTGGATGATAATACCATTGTTTTCCTTTTGGTTAGGCTTAGTGTAAACAGATAGGGACCCTCAGAGACTGATATTTCTTTATTGAGTATGGGTAAACAGCATTAGAGAGATTACGCACGAAACTGGTGTCTGTTTATATCGGCACAAGGTTGTGTTTTTGTGAAAAAAGGATCGCTGACCTCTTTTTGCACAAAATGCAGACACTTTCTGATGTCTCATAACTTCAGATATGCTATTTAAAGAGGCGAAATCATCCTAAGCTGCTGAAGAAACGCTGCGAGGCTGGTGCACTTGTCGCCCGGCAGCCTGCCTGGCTGAGGAGAAAACAAGCCTCGGGGGCTGGAGAAAGACTGGTACAGGCTGCAAGCGCACCTAAAGTTTACAATAAACAAAGAAATCTTACCTTCAGCTCATGAATGGATATCCCTCGGAGTGGTTTCACAGCTCTGTCTTTTAGTAATCCATTGGATATGGCTCTCAAAGCAGTTCAGACAGTGCTCGCTTCGGAATAACAATACGAGCGCTACTTTTCTCTTGCGCTTCTTTTTGTTACATGCCGCGCTCAAATTAAACCTCTTCAAACGGGAATATCCATCTGAAATCCAACCAGGAGAGGGAAAATGGTTCTTTTTACGCTTTTAAACTCCCCTTAGATTAAAGTGAACGCGCGGAGTGTCCCAGAGCTAGCTACGGAGCTGCACGCAGTCCCTTCCACAAAAGCCGACGGTCATCCTATTTGGAGATGAAGCTTTACCAGACTGGAGCGGAGCGCAGCGATCCCAGCTGTCACCCACCCGCTACACACACACGCTCTCACACATACATAGGGAGGAGCTACGTCGCTGGAACGGGGGGTATTGTGTCAATGGGTGCCAGTTATGGACAACTGTATTTCTATTTTTACGCAGCGGCATTTCAGAGGAATGCGCGTTGGGAAAGAGAGAGCCTGCGCGCAGTTTGACAGAGACAAAAAAAGAAAAGTGAAGAAGAGGTTTGAAATTCTGCAAAGATTAACTGTTATTTTTCTAGACCCACAGCCTGCTCTGCTGGCTCTGTCATGCAAACTGTCAGAGGTAATTTTGAAGACACAATAAAGATGCAGGTCCTCTTTTGTCCCACCCGCATTGTGCAGTTTTAGTCCACAGCCGATGCGAATCGGTATGTGATCAGGTTCAAAGCGTTTCTTGTCAGTTGTCTCTGGGCTCTGAAGCGCACTTCCTTCCCCGGTGGTCCCTCTTGGCCCCAGGCTGGCACAGGCACGCGCACACGCACGCACGTACGCAGCCGACAAATACTTTTTAGTCATTTTTTTTTCTCCAAATGAGCCCTGATCTCATCTGAAGGTCCATCAGGTGAGGTCTGAACAACATCAGCAAAGATCACAAAGTTAAAGCTTTAATTTGAGCCATAATCTGATATCAGGGACCCGTGCTGCACACACGTATGTCCACTCTCTGTGCCCAAAACACAGGCACAGATAGAGCCAAGATCAACATCAATTTGTTAGATTGAGAACTGCAAACTCGCCACAAAACACAAACATACTGTAACTACTTGCACATGTTTTAACACTCACAGAAACATTCTATTACTGTGCACGAACACACCCTTTTGCACACATCTAGATCATATACAGATACACAAGAAGCAGCAGAGGGCCAAAACTTGTGTGTGTGCTGCTTTAGGCTTATCATGATATAATAGGAGGCCACCTGTTAAAGCAACATGTGTAGGTAACTCTATGTGTGTGTGTGTGTGTGTGTGTGTGTGTGTGTGTGTGTGTGTGTGTGTGTGTGTGTGTGTGTAATTATGCTCCTGAGTAGTGGCCTGTCAGGCTCCATTGCTGTCTTGTTACAGTAACAACTCAGTGAAGTGCTGCCTCCACAGGCCCGATGCCAAACACTGCACTGTTGCTCTTTGATGTAAACTAATGCCTGCACAGCCTCTCCTCATCCGTTTTCATTTCATTTGCTTTAAAAACAAAACTCATTGAGAATCAGGCAAATGAACCATCAAATAAGTCCATGCTTAAGGCAAAGAAAACCAACCCTCTCTTTTTTTCCTGGTCAAGATTTTGGCCTCTTTCTGTAGGATTTGTTTCACAATATCTTACAGTTAAATTGAAGATGAATCATATGTAAATACAAGCACATCTTCAGCCACCAACTACAAAGAGTTCATTCATACAGCTTCCACATCTCACCTGACTATATAATACACTGCAGGCTTGTTTCCACTTCATTAAAATTCAGCCTGAGAGGTGTTTGATTGCAAGTTTATCATAGATACTGTACACAAAAACCAGATGAGAAAAAAGCATTTTGATTTGCAGACATCAATAGACAAGCTCCCTACAAAAACAAACTACATGCAACCCCTCTGTATTTCACACACTCTTTTACTCTGTTTCCATATTCTTTAATCTTTCCCTCTCCATCCCTCCCGCTCCCTCTCACACTCACACTTTGAAGTGGAAGTGTTGCTAAGTGTGGGAGGCGGGCAGGGTATAATTCGAGCTCAATAATGTCAAGATGCACACCAGTTAGTTTGAACTCTGGAAATATGCTCGTGTCAGAGCTTATCTCGCTTATCTTGCTAAAGTTGTCCCAGGCGCATTCGGACAATGTGTGTGTGTGTGTTCGTGTGTGTGGAGGAGAGGTGGTTAAAATAGAACAACCACCGCATCCCAAGCCAGGACAGAGAGCAAACGCCAGCAGAGACTCAGTCCAGCTCAATACACCACAAAGATGACTGCCAATCTTATGGACATCTTTTTTCTCTTTGGCCTCTGGAACGACATCAAAATGCACCCACCTACCTCTCGGCTGCCTGTAGCTTTATAAACTTAAATAAAAAAAAAACATACAGAAACTTCCAGGCACTTCACTGCTCTTTCAACTACTTCTTTGTTGATGGAAAGCCGTCGTGCCACATCAATGACAGAAGTATTGAGATCCTTTTTTAACTGGAGTGTAAGTGCCAATACATTAATACTAAAGTAGTCTAATAAAAGAAAAGGCACAGCAGGAAAGGATGCTTGAATATATTTAGTGAACCTACTTAAAGAATAAAAACGTAATGGTCTCTTTATGGAGAAAATGTCTCATGTGATGGGTTACTGGATTACTATGTATAACACTTGCATTCTTAACTATGATGATCAATGTTTAAGCAGCATTAATATTTCTTTTCACTTTCGACACAGACAGTTTAGCCCGATGGATCTGAATGTGAACGTTCATCACCCTCCAAACAGATCCCAGTATCAGAGACAAGTCCAGACTTGGAGCCCTGCAAGAGTGAGATGATTCATTTCAAGGGGTTTTCCATCAATAATTTCATTTTCTTGACTGGGGTGGCCCATTTAGGGGCAACAACTTCTGACATATGTGCATGTCTAAAGTTTTGTTGTTGTTTTTTAACTTTTGAAAGTAACTTGAATCTTCTTAACTTGGTTTTTCCAGGACTCAAAAAGAAGGTATTTGCCCTGAGTCAAGTTTTAAGGTGAAACACCATAAAAACATTTCTTGGCAGTTTTTGGCTCCATTACAGACCCATTGACTGAAATTTTGACAGAATGACAGAGTGAAGAATTAAACTTAAACCTATGTGCACCTGCCTCTTATAAGAAACTTTCTGCTGATTTTGGCACCCCCCTGTGGACAAGTTGCAGATTTTGTGTGAGTTGTTTTACAACAAAAAAAGTAATCCTTCTTTTTTTTCTGTCTTTCAACGATTAATTACATCATTTATTGTGTATATTTGCTGTAGAAAAAAGTGAAAAAAGGGCATCCTCCAGCATGCTATTATTAGCCTTATATCTCCTTTGAGGGGGTAGTTATAAGGGAATTAGGATCAAAAATAGGACTACAGAAATTGTCAATACCTCTAATGGGCATTTTTGCTTTCAAAGGACCTGAAAAGGCATCAGTTAAATTTAGTCTGTTTTATAGCCAGCTGAAAACTCTTCACAGCTTTAAAGGACGGCGACACAAGTACAAAAACTTGAAAATTATAGGCTCACTTAACTTGTAAATGTGCTTTGTTACTTAATGAACAAGTTTTTAAAACACAGAGAGGCACTCATCTCTAATTTACTTGCAAAATCAGTTCAGAAAAAAACATGGTTGGAGAAGCAACAAACCAATCTTCAGTCAGTGAAGTGTCTGAGGGACTCACCGAATTGAGGTCTCATCCTGCTGCATTCACATGGGATTTGTTGTGCCCTTGTATCTCCAATATGATTCAGGTAATAGGATGTCTATTCAAAGCCTGCTGTGTTGTTTGTTTGCTGCTGGACCACTAAAGGAGCATCATCTGTTAAAACTGCCATTGCTGCTGCTTGCCAGAGTCCTAATGGCTGCTGCTCACCTGTGGATCATACAGACAGCAGAGAGAGAACCAGAGCCCATTTACAGTCGTAACTGCCACTGTATTGGTGCAAGCCAATCAATGAGTCTGTCTGCTACCTCTCCTTTCAGTTCTTTAATGGGTACTGCAGCTTGTTTATTTTCCCCAAAGGGTGTAAAATGAAAAGAGTAAACACGGAGTCACATCTTAAATTTGTGGCTAACATACTGCTGATCGCTAACCTTTCCACATGCGACCTCTGGGAAAAGACAACTATATCTGTTTTCATTGTATGTACTCCATTCTGCTGTCTCTATTGTCTCATAATTGAGATTCCCAAGGGGATTGTGTTGAAAACACACAGGAAAGCACAGATTACAAGGATCTGGTCTGACACTGGTGATCAGCTTCATGTGTGAAAGTACTGGTATTTGTCCAGGTTCAGCACACTGTATGATGAGTACTGAAAGAGACGCAAGACTACACAAGGGACTTAAAGCATAGTTTATCATGCATGGTGTTTATTCTACTGCAGGCACAGGTGGAGGTGAGAGGAAGCTTATTAAAAATGATACAGCAGAGTAATCAGTAAAAAAAAGGATGGAGTGACTCTTCAGTGTGATGGCATCCACCTCATTTATCAACAGAGGAGTCAGTGATAAGACTGGAGAGCTGGACAGTTGACAGAATCCATCTGCTGGGATCTAATATATCAGAGACAGGGCTGCAAAATAATGCCTTCAAAATAGTGTTTGCAGAAAGAAATACATGTTTTAGGTAAAATATCCTAAATAAAAAAAAAGGATAATCGGACTCTAACAGAACAAGAAAAACAAAACATTTCGGTGCCCCAGCAATAAAAGTGAAACAAGACCAAAAAGCCATTAAAAAGATAGAAAGTAAACGGTATACCACCAAGTTTTCAAAGCTGGATTGCACAAAAGTCCACACAGGTGTCCTCACTGTATCTAAGGTAGTTAAGCATAAAAGAGGAGGTAGCTGACGTGTTGCCACTGCACATTTTTCAGCTCAAATCCCCTAGAGTCTGTTACCACTTCATTAAATGGTCTAAAAAATGAGCTAATATAAAATCACAAACTTCTGCTCTGTATCGATTTGTGGTTGAAGGGCAAGAATTTGTGCTACTTAGTGTGTTGTAAAGCAGTGTGTTAAAGAAGCTGAAACAATTGGAAATCAAATAACCTGACACATTTAAAATAGTTTGTTGACACAGTCTACATGTGCCTGCATGTTCACATCTGTGTCTCAAGTCTTGTTCTTAAATAAAGATACAAAAAAGTGCATGCAGCTATAAAAATGTTATGCTATATTGTGCACATTTTTTCTGCATGTGTTTTGACATTTCCAGTACTTCTACTATGTCATCTTCCCATGTCAGGAAACTGTCACATATGTCAAATCAAGAGCAATATTCAGCAGATCTTGTTAGATAAAGTGTCATTTTTCACAGACAGGCGAAAAACTGGGATTCCGTTGATCATTATGTGCCTGACAGTGATCTGAAAAATGTCACTCAATGTACGTATGAGCATGTATATCTGAGCATGTGCACATCGATAAAAGCAGCACACAACTGTACCCACATAACATCTGCAAGTGTGAACAGCTCTTGGAAAAATTGCAGAAAGTGACAATCATATGCCCTGGTTATAAATTCTGTGTTAATATCCTCATCTTTCTCTTTTTACACCCAAACATAGTTCATATTCCCATGATAACTCACAAACAATAGCAAGTTTTGGAGGAAACAAGAGCCATTGAGTGTCAGAGGAAGAGCAGTCACATATCTTAGCACCATCCAACAAGTCAAGCAACACTTTCACACCGATTTAATTGGTCTCCAAGTGAAATAAATCTTTTTGTGCTTCCCCACTTCCGTTTTTGCAGCTCTGCCAGTGTCAAACAGTTTAGAGTGCCTGATTTGTATTCAGAGATGACTGACTCCCGCTAACGCTACATATCAGCTACTTATCCCTATTTTCACCTTTAAATATCAACACTAACAAGGATAAAGTTTTCAACCTGTGTGTGTGCATGTATTCATTTTCATTTATCAGGTTTAGTTCTGTTAACAATCAGTGTTTATTATAATTCACCTGCTGGCATTGATTTCATTGTGCTATAGTGTTGATATTCAGCAATTAGTCTACCAGAGTTAACGTGAATCCAGCTAAAATTATCAGGTGGATAACGTAGGAATTAGGTCAATGACTCTAGGTTTGATATCAATAACGGAGGCATAACTGACATGAAGCCACTTTTTGGTTAGAGGACAGCCTTTATTTTGCCTTTTGGCAATCACCATCCTCTGTTTTGTGCCTTTTTTTTTTCTTAAATTAGGTCATCTGCTCAATTTGGGCAAAGAGTGGTCTTGAAGAGGAGGGGGGCATTAGCAAACACTTCATTAACTCTAGTGCTAGCTTGTCAGCAAGGTGTGTCTTTATTTTAAAGGAACCACCCCCTAGTGGGCACATAAAGAAGTGCATAATTTAGCAATTCAGCTTCAATTCTCAAGACAAAAAGTTGCCACATAGGCGAGTCTGGCTGAACCAAATGCTAATTAAGGCACTCACTGGTTTTCACAGCTTCATCTTGCTGATCTCAGGTAGCTACATTCATATGCAAACCCTTCTCTCGCCTTTATTTGATGCCAGATGACAGTTTAATTTACAGAATGGTCGTCATACTGAACCGAAGAATGCTTGAGACTTCTACTGGAGACCATAAGCTCATTGTGAAAAGCTTTGCTCTGGTAATAAATCAAATGAGAAGTGGGTTTCTTTTTTCATAAGCCCATGCTCCCTGTTTTTTTTCACTCTCCAGACTTGAATGGTGTGTCTTAAAGCTGTGTTCCCAGCTCCTCTCCCTGAATATATATGAAAATATGATGATATAAACTTAAAAATGTATTCTCCCTCGCTCAATGCAAATACTGTATTCCTACCCTGTCATTAATATGGAGTCAACAGTTGCCAAAAATACTGAAAGCCATATTAGCAAGTGGCCTTGACTGTAAGCAAGAGGCATCTTTGTCAGCACAATATACTGAGTACCTGTGTGTCTGCGTGAGTGTGTCTGACCTGTAATGGCAAAATGATGTAAAGCATGGCTGAGTAAAGTACAGTAAGCACACTATGAGTACCCTCACATACACACAGCAGCTAGCTTGGCCTCGCCCCAGCCAGCTTCAGTTTCCTCTGTGCATCCAGGTTTGCATGAAAGCCATGAATAAGTCAGCATTTCTGCATGATAGGTCTGTAACTAGGAGTGACAGTTAGAGAGCACAGTCTTCACAATCTCAGATGGGACATGGTGTGTTTGTGTGTGTGTCGGAGTATGTGTGGGTGGAGACTTAGTGCATGTGATTGTGTGTCCTCCCCCCTTCCCTCATCTACCTCACGAATGGACGTCACGCTGCTGATGAGGTCTAAAAGAGTCACACAGAGAGGTTGTTGACGTCAGTAGTAAGTGAGGATGTAATGTGAAAACCATGGAGGATTCAGGTATAGAAATTGGGTCATCACGTCATCAAATTGTAATTTTTTTTTTCTTAAACTATTCGTGACAATAATATTTAAAGATATTTTCTGAAAAGTTTAAAGTGATGAGTGGCACACAAGTGTGAGACGCTGCGCCTACTTGATCTTGACTTTGTAATATTTAATTACAGATATGTGGGCAAAACCATTAAGGACCTTGTTAGTCACATATCATTGTCCAACTTGTTCTAAATGTCTGATAAAGAGTTTTGCTGGATTCGGGATCCTGATTTCACAAGGAAACCAAACTCTTTTCAAGCTTACTCCCATTTTTTTCCATTTTGATTGGGTTATTATTTTTATATGAACATTATTGTCCTCATTTGTTTATCTTAGTTACAATACAATCTATTGTAATAAATCTACTTATCTATCCTGTATACAATATGCATGGCTTTACCAAACCTGATGGGGTCTCTGATGGCAGAAGTTCTGACAAGACAGTCATCCGAGTTGAAGCACCTGTGTGACACTGGTTTTGTCATTTATGCATGGCAGCCATTCTGCTAGTCTAAAATATTCCTATTTCATTTTACATGAGTCTGGACCCGTGTGTCTCTCCTTCCTCTTTTGTTGCTCTGTGGAGGAGCTGATGCAACAACATAACAAAGATGCAGGGAGTAAATTGCCTCCTTTTTTTTTTCAAAATTTGAGCCCTTTTGAAATCACAGCACACTTACGATGCTGATGATATTTGTCGCTTCCTGGATAAACAGAGTTTTACACATCCCCTTGTCTGAAATGCCTGGATTCATACTAAATATGTAATTCAGAAATTGCATGCTATTGTGATGTGTGCTATTGCTTTGTGTGATAGTCATTTATATGGTAAAAAGCTATTTTAACAGGCCTGCTCAAATGTCTCTGCAGTGCTCCAAAGTACAAGTCCTTTTTTTTCGTACCATTAATCACAGCTGAGTAAAAACCCCAAACCAGACCAGCAAGAATAGCAAGCGAGTTATTTGTGTGCCTTTGCTTACCTTGTCGCACTTACTGACACATATCAGGTGTTGGGTGACATTGATTTTGAGGAAATGATGCCACGGAGAACAGTATACCTTTGTTCAACTACATTGGCACACAGAGTGGAAGCAGATGTTCCCCTGATATTGCATATTGTATTCTCATCTTCATCCTAGTCTGTTGATTGAGGTACAAATCCAGATCTAGATTTGACCCCCTTGTCTCCACTCTCGGCAGCGACCTCACCTGGGAAGCTGGATGTGGACACAGCAGCTGATTTAATGACATGTACACACACAGTCCCTACTGAATAAGTCATACTGTCTCTGCTTACACACCCATAGTACTCATCTATTTTTCAGTCCAAGTCATTTCTCTCTTTCCGTCTTACTCCAATTCTGTCTGCATGTCCAATTGGCTCAGTCTCTTCTCACTGGCCTTTGCTGTATGTAAACAGTATGTTCTTGTAAGGCAAACGAACCACAGTCAGCTGCAAGATCTGTCTTAACAGCACCGATTATAAGGGTGGTTATTGTTGAATTATCTCCTCACAGGTGTTGTTTTCTCTAAGCTACGGTATAATGGATAGAGCTCCATAATACAGGGGGGAGAAGAATGTTTTCAAATTGGTCTTTAACCTTGAAAACCACATTTGCATGTACTCCAAGCTTTTGTAACAGCTGGATAACTTGGCTGATGATGGTCAAAACAACCTCAACCCTGTTTATCATAATTTGGAATTCATTATTATCCAACGCCGTACAGTTACAGCACATTTGGATATACTACTGGCCACCCTTTCACAGTGTCATATGAGAATTAATGCCATTTTGATCAAGCTCTGAGCGTCCCTTCACAGACAGACCTTTACTTTGAACTGCTAAATGATTGATGGCCGAGATGAAAGCGAATGTAGGTCACCGTGGGTGAGGGTCGACAGAAGTGGTATAAATCAGACAGGGATAATAACCAGATATCATGGAGGATAATGGCCTGACCGGAGCCATTACAGGTACATCGAATAGCAGTTGCTCAAAAATGTGTCACAGTTACTAAATAATGACTTTCATGTTCAAGTTTTACATGAACAAATAACTCGATGGTAAAAATATGGACAGTTAGGTGTTCAAAAGGATGTGGTTGAATTGAGGTAAAAGAGTATATGACATCTTTTTATACCCACAGTATGTGTTTCATGTTTCCTTTGACAAGGAATATAAAAGATGGTTGTATTTTCATCCACAGCCCCTCTCATTATAGTTGATTTGTAATCAGACAAGTGTTGTTTGAGAGAAATATGTTCTGGACGTCAGCTCTGTGATCTCTTTTTAAATCATGTAAAAATATTCTCATCTCCTCATTAAGCAAGTTCACTTCACATTTCCTCAGACAGGAGGAGCCAGTCAGACAAAGAATGATGCCAAAGCAGCTGATGATGAAGACACCCGGGCGCTAACACAGTCAAAACACATCCGGGGAAATACAGTTTGAAAAATGTGCTAACAACTAAAAGATCTGTAAAAAAAAGAGACAACTTTGTGGATTTGAAATCTCATAAGCGGAATGCAAATGAGTTAATTACAATTTTAATTGGGGTGGTTTTGAGTTAAAGACTTGTCAAAAATCAAAATTCAGTGTTTGACGTTTTTTTTGTTCTTCATAGCACATGATCTAGCATGTGTAAATTTAAAGACATCACCTCACCTCTGCGCTTCAGTTTATTCAATAGCCATACATTATTCTATCATCGCACACTATTGTGTATCATGAAGTATTCATGATGACATAACATCTATATTGCATTACCACACGCCCCAGATTTTTGCTGTATTTTTGACACACATTTGGCTGCTGTCTCAAGCTCTCAATACACAGCTATTCCTCTCTTTTCTTGCTAAAACTCACCAGAGATCCTCCTTTGAAAGAATTTGGTTCAATCTCCAGCCTGTCTGTGTGAGAGCTGTAGTGGGTGTATAGTATCTCTGTTGCAATCTAGAGATCAGCTGCAGACTCAACAAAAGGCCTCAGAAAGAAGGACCCCAGAGTTCTGTGAATCTGTGAGGGGAAATGACAGAGGAAAATTGAGAGTGAAGCCAAGCTATCAAAAGAGCAAAAAGAGGCAAATGCAGGGCTTAGAAAGGGACGGGAACTGGGGAACAGATGGAGGGTAAAAAGATGTGGAAATCATAAAAGAAAAAGGGGTGAGAGATCAGAAAGAGCCAAAGCTGGTGCAGGGGGTAAAGGGTGAGTAGAAAGGGGAGAAAGCTCTGTTGTCAGCAGGGAGAGAGGCAGGTGATGGAAGGATAATGACAGAGGGAGGAGTCCTCTTCACCTCTACTGACCTCTCCACTGGGAAAGTTGAAGGAAGTGGGCGCAGCAGCACTCCTAATGTGATGGGATATCCTGCCGGCTGCTTGCTAACCCCTCTTCCTCCAACAGTGATGTCTGTTCCCATCGTTTCACAGTCACCTCTGCAGGATGAGGCCGTGCTCGGGAGCTGCAAAAACACACACAGCAGACGCACGCATAAACACTCCACGTTGTGACACACACATCCACGTACATGCTCACACAGATGGATGTACACAGGCCTTCACACATGCTGACAGCCAAAAACACACACGTGTATAAACACACCTTCAAGTTGACTCAACAATATTCACAGCCAAGGACGGTGACTCCGGTCACCGAATTACGCACAGATGACAGCGTTGAAGTCATAGTACAGAAGAGGAAGAGCCGCTGGATTACAAACACAGAGAGTGTGCCAGTGATTGCACCAACAAAAATAGTATTATCATGCAGTGCAGTACAGCTGGTTTGGTTTGCTGAGTGCAAACAAAGCCCATTATCCCTCCCAATACTGTTTGAACACCACAATGAAAGCTTATCATTTGATGAGTGTTAAAAGGATACACATAATTACCTTGAGATGAGAGTATTTATCATTTAGTGATTACTGAAGCCAAATGCTAAACGGCTTGTCTCTTCTAAAGAACGCACGTTTTATTTGCCATTATGCTTCATTATGGTTGGTTACGCGTGTTTCCCTACGTAAAAGAAGTTGGGCTACTTGTGGGTATTTTCTCCTGTGGAAAAGCTCCCCTCACTCCCCCACCCATCCATGAAACATCAAAGCGTGGCCACACTGAAACTTCAAGCCCATTTTGGCTTTGCCCTCCTACCTCCAGATCCAGTAATTACAGCTCATACAAGACATCAACATTATTACTTGTCAAACCGCAGTATAATAATACCGCAAAACACTTCAAAGAGACAACTCACATTTCAAGGGAGAAATAAAAACTCATGGATTATGCATTAGGAAGGACTGATTCAAGCCTCCAAAGCAGCTGGCGCTCAGTTCATGTTATCTGGAGCGAGACCCATAACTTGATAACCAAGATCTACTGCATGTTGGTGTAATGTGAAAATAAATTTTACATGATTGTTAAAACTTAGCAGATCAGTGGTTTGGGGTATATTTTATAAAAATGTAGTCTGCGTTTGCAATGCAATGCCTTCTTTAAAAAGTACTAGTAGAACTCTGTATGTGTTAGCCTGGCAGTGAGGTTAAATTTCTGTGCTTTGACAGATAAAACAGCCATGTATGACTGTAATTTTATGCTTCAATACTGCCACCTTGTGTCGGTGTAAAAATAAGGCAAACAGTCTGTTCTGTTTTTCTCATTTATATTATTTCTATTATTTCAGATGATGATGACCCCATGCTAAACACCCCTTCGAAAAAAGTAATAAGACAAGTTTGCTTTCATTTCATGCCCACAAACACACCAACCTCAGGACTGCACACTTTCACTTTATCCCTTATCACTGCACCATCATTACTACTGTATTACATTTATTTGTACTATTGCGTCCATATCGCCATATTTGCTCTGTTATGTCCACATCAGGACTGCCATACTGTTTACACTGTCATATTTGCACTATTGTGTCCACATCAGGACTGTCATACTGCCATACTGTTTACATTCACTTTCTTCCACTCAACTTCCTCCTTATATTTATACTGCACACTGTTTATACTGTTATGCCGTTTATATTGTTATCTTTATTTTGTAAATTGATGTGAGTATTTAAGGTAGTCTTTTGTTTAGCTTAGTTGTTTATTCTATATTTATACTTTTATAGTTTTATTCCTATAGTTTATTGTTATGTACCGTGGCTCTGAGAGGACTGAAATTTCACCTGTGCTGTATGTTGAACATGTATAGCATATTTGGCAATAAAGTTGACTTTGACTTTTGAGAGGATAAACATAGAACCTGTACTATTGTGGGGAAAAATTGGTACTTAATACTGCACACACAAGTAAAGATGAATACTGTTAAAAAATCAAAGCAATCAAAGGTCAGAAGCATCATAAGTAAGTAAATATATGAGATAGAAAAAAAAAACACTGCGGCAGTGGTTATTGTGTTTCTAGCCTGAATACAGAAGAGCTATTAGTGTCATTTCAGTATTTATTTTTAAATGCAAAAATTAAAGTGTGCAAATACTCCCAACATCATTTTTCAGTATTGGTTTAAAGAACTCATGGTTTTTCCCTCTGGATGCGTCAGTGTGCATCTATCATTACACAGACTGTCTAAATAGCCTATTTTTTACTGACTTTATTTTCAAACAGTGCTGACATTTTCGGCCCATTTTCTCCCGGTTAGCAATCTTGGGTTTTGATCTCCACCGTTTTAAGGATGCTGCCAGATATATCTTGGACCATGCACAGAAATGACCAGATATTTTTAGAATCTTATCTAACTTTGAGTTTTCTTCCTCTACCCCTGAAACAAGCTTCATCTTAAGAGAGAATGATTCCAGCTGGAGAGTCCTTTTTCATAATAACACCACACTTAATCTATAATTCTGCATTTGCATTTACAGGAAGGTTTTTTGAAAAATGCCTCCTCCAGAGCAAACTTTATCACAGTTATTTTCTGTTTCAAATGGGATCTCTAGAACACTTTTTATCTTTTTGGCTGTCTGCACAAAAAAACAGTTTCTGGCAAAGGACTACACACTCTTACACAAACTCAGAGAATTCAATATCACATTGAACTGCAATATCCTTTACTCAGTACACCGTGGACTAGAGTTTGTCTGAGAAAGAATTCTCTTTGATTTTCTCTGTGAATGTTGTTCAAAGTCAAACCCACTGCTGGAAAACTGAGATGGTAAAGTGAAAGAAGGTGACACTAGTGTGGATAGTGTGCGGATACAGATAGTGTGTGCACAAGCTTGTGTGCCAGAATATTATGTCAATAGCAGTGCATGTGAATTTAACCTCCAAGGGCCATGCATGTGTGTATGAAGACTGTAAAGCAATATAATATTAAGCACATTGATGCGACAAAGCTACATCTTTTATAGCACTGTGACCTACTTCCTCACTGAATTCAACAGTTTCATCATCACCACCACACAACTGCCAAGACAATAAATGTTGCCAACCCTCTCTAATGTCACTAACATGTCAGCCACTTTAGTAATTCATGAGGAGTGTCTGTTCCATGTATCTCCACATGCTTTAATTCATTCTGAAGCCTGAAATCTACAACCTCACAGATCCCTACTAAGAGTATTTGGCTTTTACAGGAGAGCTATAGCAGTATAGGCAAAAACACAGTGTAGGTGAGATTTGTATGGCTCTCATCACATATTTTACCTGTGTTCATTACATGTGAAATCTTTTAATTAAGGACTCCTCGGCCATCAGTCATAACCAAAACTGTTACAATGTGAGACATGTTTCTCTCAATGACAAAGGAGATAAATATGCAGACGAAATTTAAATATGAATATCCAAATCAGCTCATCAGTCTACTCTACACCAATAATTTAGATTGTTCAAAATCTAAATTAAATCACGTATATTAAGCAAGGGTGACACCTTGTGGTAATTTAAGGTAAGTGCAGGGAAGAAATTACACCAAACTTGTCTCCCCTCTTTATCAGTAACATGGCAAATAATATGAATTAGAGGATCATAATTTAGTACTTCTTCAAATTTTGAAGCTCAATATTACAGATACCAACAGAATAGCAACAAAACAATAAAACATAAGAACATGAATGACATGGACATGCAAGACACCTGACAAGTAGAGCTACAAAATAAGAAGTACACCTGAAACAGAACTGTCAATGTAGGTTGAGGTCAAGATGGTAATTAAAGGTGCATCTCAGTAAACTGGAATCATCAAAATGTGGATTTATGTCAGTAATTCAGTTCAAAAAGTGAAACTCACATACATAGATTCATCACTCACAGGCTGATATATTTCAAGTGTTTTGATAATTGTAACTAACAGCTGATGAAAACCCAAAATTCAGCATCTCAGAAAATTTGAATATTTTGCAGAAGTTCATGAAAAAGTTCATTTGAAACTCATGGTATCACTTTGATCAGATATAATTAACTCAAAACCCATGCAAAGGTGTCCAGTGGTGGTTTGGGGAGCCATGTCATCTGCTGGTGTTCATCCACCGATCAGGTCCAGGGTCAGCGCAGCCATCGTTCAGGCAGTTTAAGAGCACTTCATGCTTCCTTCTGCTGATTTCATTTTCCAGCAGGACTTGGCTGCCCATACTGCCAAAAGTACCAATACCTGGTTTAAGAACCATGGTGGATTGGTTAGCAAACCCACCTGACCCAATGTTTCTGTTGACTTTTTTTTTTTATTATTATTGGTCTTTCTTAATATTCTAATTTCCTGAGACACTGAATTTTAGGTTTTCATCATCTGTAAGTTACAATATTTGAAATGAACCCTTGAAATATATCACTCTGTGTGTTTGATAAAATATACAGTTGGAGTTTCACTTTTTTAAATTGAATTACTGAAATAAATCCTCTTTTTTATTATGTTCCAATTTATTGCAATGCATCTGTAAATTACATAGTCTACACACAGTTTAGCAACCATGATGTGTAAAAGTTTGACATGTCTCTGAGCTTTAGTCTTTTGCCTGTGGCACAGTAGGCCTCACCTGTCTAAACCAATATGGCTACTTGGTCACCTTACACCAAGAGACATGCATACTAATGCCCACTGTGGCCATGTAGTCATCTTTCTTGATTGAGTATTATAAACAAGTTAGTGGCAACTTAATGCTTTCCACCGTTAGCCCAAGTTTTACTCTAAAACACAAGAAACAATGTCATGGTATTGCCAAGACCATGGACAAATGCCCAGGTTACTGCTGAAAATGTTAACTCTGTCCATAAAAACCTCAGTAAAACTGCTAACGTAGATTCACGGTATAAACCAGAGGCCACTGAGGTTTATACAGCCTAGACTGGTTGTGTTACATCTGAATTCTGTCAGGGCTAGGGTGACTGAATTTAACCCTGGGAGTGCCTGGTAAACAAGCAAAACACAGGCAGACAGACCCCTGTTCAGTCAGGTTAGCATCACAAACGCGGTAGACACACCTTGCAAGCAAATCAGTTCCAAGACAAACCAATGGCAACAAATCAATAACTATAGTTTACCTGGTTGACTTCCCTGTAATTCGTTCATTTTGTTTCCCTTGTTTTGTGACCACGGTATGGGTTTCATCCTCACATGTTGGAAAAACCGGTGTCGCTTTTTAAAGGCGGCGGGTCCTTCGACTACGTCATTTGTGGGGGTCCGACGCAACGTGCACCGAGAGCGACAACCGGTAATGGTTGCTAGTGGTTAGGTATCTTTGAGCACTTACCTGGCTGTTGTGATTAAGCCCACCTTAGAAGTGGTGCTTCCAGATTCCAGTCGTGCTTCCAGATTGATTAGTATTCTTTTATATTCTTTTATTCTTGGAATATTTGGCAAATAAAAACAACAGCAAGTCATAGGCCGACTATTTTGTAAATTAAGGGTCCCCTAATGGCAGTATGACTTGAAATGAGTCACTTTAAATGAGTAATTAGTTGTGTGAACTAATTAAAAATGTGACTTTACCTCATTGATTTCATCATAGTTTGGTACATCTGGGTATTCTTCACTTACTCAGTCAAACAGACTATGAATTATTTATTCTTATAGTTTTATAGTCTACAAAACTATAACTATATATAGTGAACTACAATCCTGATTCACCAGTTTGCTACATGATACAGTTGTGTTATTTTTACCCACTGTTCACGTTCATACACATTGTTATGTCCACCAGATGACACAAATGTCTCAGCTCAGATCTCATCCTGCCTTGCTGATATTTCTAAATGGATGAGGGAATGTCACCTTTAGCTCAACTTGTCCAAGACTGAGCTTTTTATCATTCCAGCCAGTCCCACTATGGAACCACGGATCAATATCCATTTTGGATCAAATAAACATAAGTCTGCCCAAAATCTGGGTGTCATGATTGATGCCAAGCTAACCTTCAAGGTTCAAGTGGCCTCAATAGCCTGGTCCTACCGATTTCTTCTCTATAACCTTGAGAGGATCAGAGCCGACATGACAGAGTATAGAATGCCGCTCCAGATACAGGCTCTGGTGATATCACGCATTGACTACTGCAACTCATTACTGGCAGGCCCCCCTGCATGTACAGTTATATTTCTCTAGATGCTCCAGAGTGCAGCAGGATGTTTGATCTTCAACCAACCTAACCCTGCTCACCATCACAGTAAGTCATATTTCAGATTTTTTTACTGCAATGACTAACAAAAATACACTAAAAGCTATTAATTGAAACTGCCTTAAAAAATGAGGCCTCCGTGTTTATATAAATTTTGATAGCTTCCTGTATTTGATTTGTTTTTGGAATATGATTTGAGCAAAACCAATAAGAAACAGCTAAAAATTAAGTTAAGCCTGTCAAAGAGGATATCATATGAACATTAGACTGAAATATATTAAAGTTTTTTTTTTCTTTTTTCAGATCACCTAAGGAAGAAAATGTCAGTAATTTTAACCTATTTGACTTAATGTACTGTAAAATATGGCATATTTTAAGATTTTTCGTAGCTTAATGGAATGACAGAGGCATTCTGATCGACTAAATAAAACGGCTGTTTTTATTGATCTATGAAAAAGAGCCTTTTGATTGACTGAACAAAAAAAGAGCATCCGAAAAAACCTGAGGTAAGGAGCTTTCTCTTGAGCCAAAAAAATAGGAGTCTTCTGGTTGGGAAGGGAAAAGTGCATTCTAATTAGCCAAAAGAAAGCTAGTTTTTGTGATTGGCCAAATAAAAGAAACCCTCTGATCTTTTAATTGATTGGCTGGATGAAAGGAGTCTTATGTTATACCAGATAGAAAATAAAAAACATGTGATTCACAAATTTTAAATCTTGTCTCTGACTCCCTCTACCCTCCTCCTGCTTTTGTAGGTCCTAATTACCTCTACTTTTGAGTGTGGAAGTTAAACATGGCAACTAAACACACAAACACACCGTCATAACTTCGTTTAAAGAAAGCAACTGTTCCTGGACAACATTAACTGCCTCTATCCTGGATTTGAACCAACAATCCTTTCATGGAGAGACAGCAGGCTTAACACTACATTACAGGTTAGCCTGGCAGTACTGGCTTTCCCAGGTGTTATTTAATTTTATTTCTGTTTATGAGCATTAAAAACACTGCCAAACACAGGTGTTAGTATAAATGTTTATTTCTTGGCTTACAAGAAGTACTATGAAATAACTCTGATCCTAGACAGCAGCCTTCGCCAATACACAACAGGTGAGCCTGACAGTGTTTGCTTCTGTAGGTACTTTTCACTTTTATTTTCTAACTGAAAGAGTAAAAAATTATCATCTTAACATTGAGGTGAGTACAGTATTTTATCCCTGTGTCACATGAAGTGCCATGAAATGCTTCAGCGCTGGCTTTGAACTCAGAATCAATTCATCAAGTGGCAACAGTCTTCACTATTATACATTACAGGTTTTGCTCGCTTTTCAGGGCGTGCTTTTGTAGGTGCTATTTGTTTTGATTTCTGATTGGAAAGGTTAAAAACAGCCTAACAAAGATGTGAAAACAGTTCTTTTGCTAATTGCTCACATGGTGTGCCTTTGTCCTGGTCTTGAACCCAGCTAAGATCCTTTCATTGAGAGGCAGCAGCCTTCACCACTGTGCCACACATAAGCTTTTCAAGTGTTTGATTTTATAAGACCTGATCTAGACTGCAGTTGTAGGAAACCAAAACTTTCTAGCCATACACAAGAAGTCCCTTTTCTCAGATTTTAACTCGGAATCCATTTCCTATGAGGCATCAGCAGTTACAATAAGGCGATGCTTTACATGTATTTGTTGAGGTAAATCCCCTTTCAAGTCATTTTGTTGACGCAAAAGCACAGGCCAGACCTCTTTGGTAGCAACCAGGTTTTAGAGTAATTTCTCCAAAAGGTTTAGTTGAGTAACTATTTCATTTTGTTTTTATATTACATTGTATTTTTAAAACATCTTTTTTTATTGCAGGTTGCAGACGCTATTGGGAGTACTTAAACTTGACTAACTACTTGCTTAAAACCTCTACAGGAACTCTGGTTTTATATTTTTTTTCATTGATGATAATTTACATTTTATTTTATTCATTACTGAGTAACATTTTTTATTTATTAGCCTTGCAGTTGTATCTTTAGGCTCAATTCATCTTTGCTGAAAGCTGTTTGGTTGATTATTTCAGTGTGTTTTACCCGCATGTCAACCGCCCGCAAGACTTCAATAATTAATGCTTCTGTTAAGATAGGGGAATTTAAAAAAAGCTATATTCATTTTTTTTCACTTTCACTATCATTGTTCATTGTGATCAAAAGGATTTCTTTTCAAAACATGGTGTCCACATTACACACAGTGCATCTCAGTTACTTAGTGTTTTATTATTGAATGGAGGGGAAATGCCTGCCGAAGTTTTTGGCCACACATTTGTTTTTGAGCATCAAGGTGACTGAATTTTCTAGAGCAGCTCCTGCTGTGGGTCCAAATAAAGTCTTTGTTCAACTTTCCTAAATTTCAAAAAACCTCAGGGTCAGTTATAAGATTATATAATAGAAAGGATTAATGCAGGCCAGTGCTGCATTTGTTCCACAGTCTCAGAGTCAAAGTAGACTTTTTCAGGGTTGTTGCTGTTAGCCCTCAGGCCAGTGTTTTTGTAATGTCAGCTACAAGTATAATTTTTCAGTTTTTAGTGATAGTGAAACAAACTTAACTATATTTTACAAAATGTAAGGGGGCTAAATTTAGCCAGGGCCAAACTCGAGGAATGATATTTCTTTAACTTTGACAATTAAAAAGGTGTTTGCTGTCAGGAATAAAGTGCTTATCCTGAGTTCTTTGGTCTTAAAATATGACATGTTTTTTTATCCTTGGTGAACTTTGATCAAAGTAAGGTGATGAAACTGATGGAAACTTCATATTTTTTTGCAAAGACAACTTAACATCAGTTTTAAGGGGCTCATGAGCTCTGTCCCCTGAACTTTCTTTATGTTGGCACTTCTAAAACACAATAGTGGTCATAACAAGTATTGGTCAATGCAACTAGTTAACTTTTTATTTTAAGTTAAGATAACTTATCACTTTTAACACTGCAGAATCACTCCCCTCTTTGAAGGGCAGTCCACTCTGGTCATTATTTGGGTTGTAGGAAGAAATCAATCTAGAGTCGAACCAGGTGTGTGAGTGCCTGACTGGCTTGAGTGAAGCCTGGTGTGGGAAAGTGATATAAGCCCTTGATCTCCTATGCAGAGTGCTGACTCACCATGAGTTCTTTCAAGTTGTGACAGTGTGTTCATTTAAGCACTTCACACCTTTTATTAAAAATGTTCCTTTTGTTACGGATTGAGCTGTAGACTGGGTTTTCTGGTGTCCTTGTCCCAGCCGTTCAAGTTATACTTTTCAGCATCTCTGGCAGTTTTAGTGTTTTGGTTTAAACATTATTTCTTGATATATCTGAGAGTTTGGTTCAGTTCAGCTGCTCAACAGTAGTGGTTTTGGTTTGTTCTCTAGTTTTTTCTGTATTTGTTCTTGAAGATTGGGCATCAGGACATTAGTTTTTCCCTCCCATGGAATCACTAGCGATTTCAATGGTTATCCTTGGTGGGTAACTTCTAAAAGCCCTTATTCTGAGTTTGTGTCCTACCTCTGATCCCTCAAAAGCATAAACCCTTAATAACCCCCAGTCCACACAGGAGCACCCAGACCATGGTTTGAAGTCTGAACTAGCTTGTTGTGCCTATTTTAGGTCTTGTGTTTTTTAAGTATATGGTGGTATTACAAAATTGTGTAGGATTTTAATCATTACAGTATTATTATAAGATTAAGTTCTGAGTGCAGGTAAAAGTGAATGCTAATTGTTTTTAGCTGATATAAAATTTAATATCATGACTTCACAATTAAATCAATGTGCAGAGTGTGCTTCATAATGAATGCATTTTCTTTCTTTTTATTTATCCCAGCAAAGGCAATTTCTCAATTTCACCATATCATGTCACATTGCAACATTTCTTATCCATTGGTTGGAAGGGAGCAGGGAGAAGATACATCTTACATTACCTTAGCCTGGCTGGGCCATCCAGTTGCGTGAATCACTTGCCGTTCCTTCCTACAAGTTGTGGAAAGTTGTTGTGGGAAGGAACGGCAAGTGATTCACGCAACTGGATGGCCCAGCCAGGCTAAATATTACCTGCCCCTCACTCAAAGTCTAATTGTTCTAATAATCTATCACTGAGCAACATTCTCACAACACAACACAGCACAACACAACACAACACAAAACCAAAAACCAAAAGCTATACTATAGACACACCATGAAGTAAACATAACAAGCACAATAATAAATATAAATAAAAGACAGCATTTCAAGCTGATTTTTCAACAAGAATCATTGGTTACTTTTGTCATAATTTCTAATTGCATTTTCTTTAACATTTTCTCGGCTTGTAAAAGATTTGTACAGGTCTTCAATTCATTACTTTGACAGTTCCATAGTTTAACTCCCACTACAGAGATACACATCTGCTTCAGAGTTGTCGGAGCAAACGGGTGTTTAATATGAAACTTCCTCCTTTGTTCTCCGTCATCTGATCTGATATCAAACAGCTGTTGTATACTATCTGGTAATATTCCATTTTTGTTTTATACATTACAGCCAGTGTTTGTGTTTCTACTAAGTCTTGAATTTCAGTATTCCTGATTTGATAAACAATCTGTTTGTATGTTCTCTGTATCCTACATTATGAATAATTATGAATAATTCTTACTGCCTTCATTTGCAATTAAAAATAAGCTTTCATTCATTCAGACGTATAGGTCTTCGTATAATATGCCCAAGGGATGGAAAGGCAACAATTTGGTGGAAAAACCCTACTGGCATGAGTTTGCACTCGCTACACTTGGCTAACACTACAAGGACCATAATGCATTGCAGCGAAACAGTCACTATCATGACACATCTTCAACATAAGGAAAAGCTTCCTCTTTGGAAGCGTTTTATTTGCTAACCTTGAGGAGGAGTTGGCTCCTTGCTGTTGTTAGATTTTTGAGCAGAAACTTTGAAGGTGCCCGTTTTGACAACCGATAATTTCAGGCCGCAAATGGGTGCCCTAAGTCATAGACAGCTAGCGTTTTGATCAGTGCTGGACAGGCTAGTATGAGCTAACGGTAGCTAATTGAGGAGACCGTAACGTTTAATGTTGAATGCAAACGGTACAGTCACCAAAGACAGCGTCTAAAACAAGGACCTATGCCGCTATATCTACACGACATGGTATTACACAGCAGCACGATGTAAGTAAATCCGTGTTTACTCATACAGTGTTCGTTTTTCCACATTTGTTTAGTAAACTGCAGCTGGCTAGCTAAACTTGACAGCTAAGTTAGCGTCATCATTGAAGCCAGCCACTGCTTAAAGTAAGACTTTTCAATATGGTGCAACTGGACTGCAACATTAAGCAGACTGTTTTTCTACACGAGTGACACAATTTTCGTCCTAGTGCTGTCATTGGCAATCTGTTATTGTGCTAGCGTGTTAAATGATATCACGTGAATTGTCACAGTGCAGGAAACATAACTCACATTATCTCCAGTTGTTAACTTGTCTAACGTTCCGGGTGCACTTTTCGTGTGCAGTCAATGAGGTATTTCTCGGAAAAGATAGCGAAAAGGTGGCATTTTGTGATAGTTCGAAATAAGGACTTGAAAGTGAGATATTTACGTGAATAGGGGCAAAGATACACCAACCAGCCATAACGTTATGATCACCCGGGCAGACTCATGCATGCAGTGCAGCAGCTTTACTTCAAATTCTACCATCAGGAACCTTAATTTCCCAAATTTCCAGTTTTTATGGACATGATGAGACGGGTGTTAACAGTACTTTATAATAATTGAGGTTGCAGTGGTGGTGTTCTGGAGTGTATAGTTTGTTTACATTATTACTAACACGAGCGAGCAAAATGCTGGTAACAATAACACACTCCAGTGCACTACAAACATCCACCATAACTTCAACATTTAATTTAAAGACCGTCTGTCTTACCACATATACAAAAATTGTAATTGTGTAAGTGTCATAACAGTAGAATTTCTGGGAAAGCTGTTTTTTGGATTGAATTAGATCACATTAGTGTGTATAGAGTTATAGCAGGGCTGTGTGTGTAGGAAAAACTTCCATGTCCATGTGGACTTGTTGACTATGTGCAGTTTATTTTCCTCATCTGACTCTTTATGTGTATATAGAAAAGCTTAGTAGACAGAACATTTGAGGTAAGACTAAACAATGTGAAATGTACTTTTACAGCCAAGTGTAAGCCTTAACTGATGGGGACTTATGTGGCTCATTGACACCTGCCCTTTGATAATGACTCTCATATGTCTTTTGGCCTTCTTTGTTTGCACCTTAGAGACATTTAATATTCATCTTCCATAAATTCATCTTCAAATCTATTGCTGGTAGTTTTTTAAAGTTAATACTTTCTGTGGAAGTCATTAAGTTACCACATTGTTAAAATGAAGTTTCACTTTTATAGCTTCTGTATGCATTCAATAATATCCATCTGGGCAGTTCTGAGACAGAAGTTGATACCGCACTGGATATGATGTGACAGGATTAGAGATTAGACAGCATCACCTATAGAATCTGCATGTGTGAACCCCTCCCCCAAATTTACCTCAGTGGGTTTCTCAGCTGGTAATTCCAGTTTTGGAGGTAACCTAGTTTGTCAATTTAAACCTGACTGCAATTTCTTTTGTCTTTTGCAATGGAAAAACTGCTGATGCCCAACACAGTTAGAACTATTTATGCTTGAAATTGAAAAGGTCCCACCAGGAATTAATGAGCTACGACACCAGTATGCCATTTCAGACTTTAAAGGTCCAGTGCTTGTTGTATAACCATGAGTTTATTTTGTGAATCAACATCCTAATGTGAGACAGATTCCTTCATGCACTTTTGGATATGTGCAACAAAGATTTAATGATGCCTTCAGTGTGCAATTAAGTGCAATAGAAACAAGTTACAGATCAAATGTTTTTTCCTTGATTGTGTTACAAATGCTGAGTGTTAAATCAATAAGTCGATAACTGTAGGTCAGTAATATGCTCTTGGCTTGATGCGTACCAAACCGAAACATTATCTGTTTACATTTCTCGTTTTATCTCCCTCTTTTCTTTCTCCCTTACAGCAAGTCTGTAAACACACTCGAGTGAAATTACAAGCTCCAGTGGAAGATGAACGCATCCATCCAATGGTTTACCATGAATTTCCCCTGAAGTGGGAGGCTGTTGTGAGAAAAGAAAGAGGAGGGTGGCACGCAAGGAGATCATAAACAAGAGTCATGAATCTCCATCAGGTCCTCACAGGGGCTGTCAACCCTGGAGACAATTGTTTCTCTGTAGGGAGCGTCAACAATGTGCCATTCACGGTAAGATATTTCAAGCTCTGGTTATATTCCCCTCCAAGCTATGTATGATATCTGATTCGAAGCAGGAGGTCAAGCTGATCTGTCAGAACACATTTCTGTTCATCGAACCTCTTATGAATGGAAAAGCACAGTGTGAAAAGGTACTAATGCTAAGAGGGCTTTACAAATGGACTTCAAACTCATTTAGAGTGGTGAACCTGGCTTTAAAGGGTCCACAAAGGTAATTTGAAGTTCTCCATTCAATAATTGCTTGATTTATGTATCCCAAACGAGTTAGATGCAGATGCAACAAAAGATCCACAGAAGGTAGAAATTGCCATAGTACACACGCTAAATGCCTTTACAATGTTTTACAGTTTCAGAGGACTTTGATGGCATTCATTTGCAGGGTTTGGTACCTGATTAAAATGGCATCCCAGAACTGATAGCCCCCTAAGGGTGTAACACATTGCTTACTAAAAATTCAAGCTGTCAGGAAGAATAAAGCTTACAGATATGTGAAAGTGTTTCTGTCTAAACAAAACACAAAAATAAGTTCTCAGAAACTTTTACTAAAATTTGTGACGTTAATTACTCTGCACACCTAAAATTATGTTGTTTGGGCTTGTCTATATCAACTATTGAGGATATCACAGGTGGCATCACAGCAAAGCCATTTTAGGATTTTATTTCTAACTATGTTGATGCGCTGTGTTTTATTTTGATAAAGTCAGAGTGTTGAAACAGGATTGATATCAAGTTGTTTAGTCCTCAGACCTCCAACAGGCTTGCAAATACTCATTATTTGTTAATCACATACTTCATCCTCTTTGTGGGATATGAGATAAGAAAGAGCTTTCCTTACTCAAAATGTGGATGTCAAAGCTTAACAAATTCTTAGTCATATGAAGATTGATCTTATCTTAAATCAGAATATAGACACTTTTATGTCCTTATGATAGTTGCTGCATAATTTAGGTTTTAACTAACACTGTTAAAGCACATCCTCATGCTGCAGCAGATTTAAGAAATGCAAGATGATTTTCTGCATGTCTGACATAAAAAAGCAGTACATCTGACTGCTCTTGCATTCTGTTATCTCAAAGGAAACTCTGTGAGTTACTACTCCCATGCTAGTCGGAGAATGGATCAATAGAAGAACTATTTCTGTTCCTCTGTCCTCTTGAAAAGGAGGATCAGTCACAATGAGCACATCTCAGCTCATGTCAAGATCTCCTTCTGTGAGCCACTGAAATAGAGGGCAGAATACTAATCTTATCTGCTTGTACTGCTGAGCTGTCATACGGTGACATGCTTGATGCGGTAACACTGACTCCAAGACAAGTTTGGTTCAAGTAGTCCTTCTTGCAATTCCAAGTGGGTGGATCTGAATGTCATCTCAATCTCTGTCCCCCTCTGCTGTCTTTTTGTCTCTTGACAGGCCTACGCATCGGGTTGTGACGTGGTGATTTTGGGCAGTGACTTCGAGCGACTGCAGATCATCCCAGGGGCCAAACATGGGAACATTCAGGTCGGCTGTGTTGACTGCTCACTGCAGGGCGGACAGGTGAGGGTGATGGAGAGATGCACTGTCATGTTGGGTCCTCGGGCTGATTTGCAAAGAGGAAGGTTTCTAAAACGTCTTATCGTTTGGTTTAAGTAGAAATACTTTACATGAACGTAATTTCTTTAATTTTCATAGGGTGTATTTTCTTATTCCAGCTCTCACTTTTTAAATCAGAGGCTGAAATTGTATTCTAGATGAATGAGCCTACAGGGCATGCTGTATATTATGCTGCTTGAATAGGCAAATAATACAGGTTCTGGTATTACAACTGCAACATACTCATCATACCAAACTGTCACTACAAGTCTAGAGTTTGATATAGACCAACTTACAGAAACAGGGAAGTGGTCTAAAATGAGAAAGTGAAAGCACTTACAGGTGTATTTTCAACAGAAAAATGATCAACAGGTTTTCTTACTTTTACTTAAAGGATTACAAAATGAAGGTTTGGGATAGGCAGGCTCACTCATACCCCCGTATGCCGCTCCTATGAATTCTACCAAAACTTTCCCTCTAGGTTCTTTTTAGATTTCCCAAAAGTAAGCTGTTTTGCAAGGCACATTTTTGGCAAACTTTGTTGCTCTTTTTGAAAAAGGATTGGAAGCTTTTCAGAAAGGCGATTTGTTGGCAACAGGGAAGACTCTTAATAAACTAAGACTTCCTGTCATTAACTCCAAGTGAGAGAAGGGTTCACACAGTAAAACAAGTGATGGTATATCAGGCTCTCTCACTGATTTGGTGCCACTCGTAATGAATTAGATAACCCCCAAATTTTGGCCCAGACAATGGTCTTTTGTGCTTTGTTTGCAATATGTGTCTGAAACAAATCTGCAGAAATATCCTGAATTATTGTTATTCAGCTGCCCTCATGTTAGCACATGTTACGAGTTTGTTTGTGGTTCATAGACAAAAAATGTTTGTGTTTTTACTCTGTGTTCGCAGCTGTAATAGTATAAAGTGGGATAGGATTATGTTTTTTCCTGGGTTGTGGTACTGGCTGATTTCCATGTTGGCTTAATGAAAGAAAATTGGTACAATTTGTCCTGGTTATAAATAAAAATAAAAACCAGAAAGAGGAACGACATGCTGTATTTTGTTAAGGCAAGGGTTTCAAGATTAGACTGCATTGTTTGATATACAAGAATTAATGTTAAAGTTTGTAAAGTTGAAATCAACAACATGTTTTGGACCTTTCCCTGTGGTCTGATGCCATAAAATCTCTTTGCAAAGCTGCTAAAGGTCAAGCTTGAATCTCCTCAATCTGTGTGGTAAACCTGTGCAGGAGTTGTTTATTGTGGTATCACTATAGCGCTTGTGTTGTTAAGACATCAGTGGCGAGGATTTTCAAAGAACGTGTGTCATGTTCAGTATTTTTTGTCAGCCTGTCACTTTGTCCGAGGCTGAGGAAGTGCTGCTTCCTCCAGTGCCAGTAAGAGCGACCCATGCTGAATTATTAGTATGGTTACATTGTTCACAGTTTCTTTTAGTTACTGACTGTACTTAATCAAATCAAATTGAAGGATCCCAGGATAATTCCATCTGCAAACATTTCACAAATAACATCATAGATATATTTAAGGTAAAAGACATTAATTCTAGGCTATTACAATAACCAGGGTTTCATTTTTAATTATCAATGTTGGCTGCCTTGTTAAAGTACAGACCAGATTTGATTTGAATAAAAGAAAAAAAAGCTCATTCAAACATTCACCACCCCTCATGTGATGTTTAATCCAATTCACTTGGGCCAGAAGTAACCTCACATGCCTCCAGCATGGTCTAGCATCTGTAAAAGCATGCCCTGTGTTGGTATGCATACTAGCTCCACTTCACTGCCCACTGCTGTGATATTCTGCTGTGAACAAATACAGAAGTTTTTTTAAGCAAAATAAGTTCACCACAGACAACCAACATGCATATCAAGAAGGTCTTTGTACTGGAGCAGCTCTAACACAGACGACAGATGACTGCCTCCAGTTAATTGATAATAATCACCTTGCTGGAGTAGTATTTCTTGATTTTAGCTCTGAATTTGATGTTCTTGATCATAAATTGTTATTACACAAATTGAAATGCTACAAATTCACACCAAGAACAGCAAGCTGGTTTAAAAGTTATTTGTGTAATAGAAGGCAGTATGTATTTTATAATGGTAGCTTTTCAAATATGAAACAGTTGCAATGTGGTGTACCGCATGATTTTAACATCTTGTATAATTCTCCTGTTTGGACTTTTATCATTTTAATGTATACAAATGTTTACTGTCTTCTCGTGGACCCCAGGAAGAGTAGCTGCTACCTAGGTAGTAGCTAATGAGGATCCAAATAAATAAATAAATTTGCAATGCTAGTAGTTTACTCAGCTTGATGAGTTTACATCTCTTATGGAGTTACATTAAGAGGTCAAGCTCACAGCTGCATATTGAAGGTAGAAGAGCAGCAACATGTACTTCATTTTATCTTGTACCCCGTAAAGTCAGACTTTAATTGGTAGTCTTTCAGTGGCTGCTTGGTGTCATCATTGTTTTATTTCAGGATGATTTTTGAGATGGAAAACAAGCCTATCTAGTAAAGGTCTCTGAGCTGCAGTACCAAACATGAGTCAGTTTATGAAGATTTGACCTTGACACACAGGAGCACGTGCTCTATCATGTGACGCAGGGGATCCAAAGAAGTTTTTATATTTTAGCAGTGTAAGTCCACCTCAAAGTCTTAGTCAGGGCTTTGTAGAAGTTCAAAAAAGAGAAGTCATTATAGCCACAAGAGGAAGGCTTATTTTTTCCAGCCTCTTTTTACCTAAAGTAGCAGAACACACCCACAGTACTGGAGAATTTGTTCCCTGGACTGTTGCAACAGCACATAGTCAGTTCTTTGACTGTGGGGATGTGTTGTACTTTGCTTTGCACCGGGAAATGGGAGGAAAATAAACTGCTTTAAAAAGAGGATATGCTATCCTGATGTATCATCATCACACCATTACAACTGTCTGCCTAGAAGGATCTTTGGACTGTGCCTGAGCACACAAAAGCTTTTGATATGTGTTTCTATGTTAACTGATGCAAGCGCATCTGCATGTGTTGGTGTGTGATCAGACTCCTTCATGGTCTTTATTATTGAATAGTCTGCATAGTATTTACCTCAGTAGAGACACGGCTTGTATTATCTAGCACCCTGACCTTATTGAGCCTAGCATTTGTAGTCACTGACACAGAAATACCACCATTCAGTCATGTTTAACATTGTGACTGGGGTTTTCATGGAAAACACCTGAGCATGTAGCCCTTACCAGAACACCAATTTAACAGACAAAACTATGCTGACATAATGAGGGGTAATTACAGGATTAAGTTATTTTTTTCCCCATAGGTAATTACTGTTGAGAGAAATATTTTTGTTACTGTGTTCACATCTTGAAAAAGGATCGACGCTAATCATTTACAGTCATATTTAAAAAATGAATATTTGCAGTGTAGCCCAAAATGTGTTGAATAATATGTGTTTATTGACAGTGTGTTTTCAGCAGTGCCATTTATTCCTCTGTAGAAAATATATCTTGGTATTAAACTTATCTTTTTTTGTTTTTCTGCTGGCAGATTGCAGCTTCCTATGGAAGCATTGTGTGTGTCTTTGAGCCTGTTCAGCAAGCACATCAGAAAGACGCATCTCAGGCGGTGAGTAGCCTACCTTGATCTTCCAGTCACAGTGTGGTCATGAGTGTTTTCAAATCATCTGAGACCTCTCTCTTTTTTCACAACATGACATTTTAAACAGAACAGAATATTGTTTCTCCAGATTTATCAGAGAGTCACCAGAAGAGCCCCAAACATTTCAAACACACGCTCATTTCCTGCCGACATCCTGTTTGAAGTCTTGCAGTCTTTGTCATGTTTACTGTATATTTCTGTCCTGAAGTCAGTGCAGAAGTTCTCTGTGTCAGTGTCTGTTTTCAGACAAGTCAGAGAACAGTCACAGGGAATGGAAAGATTTCACACATTTTTGACCAGCTCACAAAGTACTTTTTTTAATCACACAAGTTCCTTGGTGTTTCATCTGCTTTCTGCTTCATCACATGTGCCTCACATGACAGCAGCTTCACGACTGGTTCTTATTACACGGTTGCAACCACTGGTACTGGGAACAATATTTCATCCTAAATTTAATGAATGGTTTCTTTCTTTTAAATAGAAGCTGACCTGCCAATGGCAGAAGACCGGTCAGTTTGTCTTACAGTCTATGGTACGAAACCTGGCCTGGCATCCTACAGGTACTTTGATTTTGAAGTGCTCTCTTGTAGTGACACAAACATCATGTCTTAGAGAAAATAATGGTTTGATGCTTTGATTCCATTGTCTAAATCTTCCTAAATTGCCTTTTTTTTAAAAATAAATTTCAATAAAGAAATAGTTTCCGTCCTGACTCATTTTTTAATGCATTCAGGCAGCACTCTCTTAACTGGCTCCACAAGCCTCCAGTTGTGGTCCCAGTTTGATGCAGTGAAAGATGAAGCAGAAGACGGAGGTATTCAGACAAAAATGACCATGAGAGACTCTCAGTCTGGCTGGAAATGCATCTGGCACTGCAAGTAAGAACCCTCAAGAACAAAACCTGCACATAAAGCTTTGTAACAGGGATATTGCTCACACCAAAATGAACTCAAACTCTTTTTCTTTTAAGCACAGTTTTTTTTATTATAGGTGTATTAAGTAATTAAAAAATCACCTAGTTCAGTTTTTTTTTCTAAGATTTTGTTTATTTCATTTTTATTCATCTCAGACTTCTACCAAAGTTTTAAATTTTATATGTATTGATACATAACTCTATTTGGTCTGATGTATGATGGTTATGTAACTTTAGTATCTCTCTTCTGAAAGGACGGCCTCTCCAGTCAGTTTGATCAAGTTCTCTCCTGACGGGGAATTCTTTGCTACTGCTGGACAGGTTTGTGTATTTGGATGCAAAATTGCTTTTGCAAGTCATGTTTGCATTGTCTGTTTGTACTGCTAGGATGTAAACTCGGAAGTAAATGTAAAGCAACTTTTAGTTTGACTTTTGGCCTGTGGCCATTAAACTTACTAACTTTATCTTCAGCATGACATCATCTAGATCTGTTTATATCTCTTGTTCAGGATGATTGCCTCGTAAAGGTCTGGTACAACACCAGTAAGTGGAAGTCAGGGGTTTCCAGACTTTTTAAACCTCCAGAACCCAGTGTCAGTGTCCAGGGAGAGCTGGCCTTTTCCTTTGTCTACCTGGCCCATCCCCGCTCTGTTACTGGCTTCTCTTGGAGGAAGACCAGCAAGTACATGCCACGGTATGAGCAGCATCATTATCTCCTTTTGTGCGAATATGATTCACTGTTCTCCTTAACAGGTTTATTCTGATCTGGGCCGACACAACTGAGAGCAAAGAAAAACAAAGAAATTTAAGTACTCATTTGGAAAAACCTGTTTTGTTGTTTGTTTGTTTTTTACTTGTTCTACTAGCCAGACAGTTAGCATTCAGCTTCTTGTTTATTTTGATGGCTGATGCATTCGTGTAATTTGTGGATTAAGTGAAAGAGGGAGTTTGTGAAAGGAGGCTGTGAGTTCAGCCCTGTTTTGTTGCAGCATTGCTAGCCTTATGTGACCTGTCATTGTTCTCTGCCTGAAATCACAACCTAACCCAGGTCACAGCAGGTTTGGCTCACAGGAAACTTATTTTTAGAATAGACGAGAAAGCATTAAATGTTTGGCTTCATTTCTAATCATCAAATTACTTAAGACACTTACTCAGTAGTAAATAAAAAGCCTTCTTGTCCCTAAGCTTGTTCAACTGAATAATACAGGCCTCAGTGAGGAATGCAGCAGACAACAAATAGTCAATAAAACAAGATATGTTTTTTTCTTGGCCATCGTTGTGTTAAATGTTGACCACAATTTTGTAGTCCATTTCATGTATTCATATTTGACCTGCTTCAAATAAGTAGAGCTATTATTCTCAGGGTTTAGGGATCAGGAGAAAGACAGCTCTGTATTGTCCTTTGTGACATCTTCTTTCTTCTCTCCCTCCCTCCAGAGGTGCAGTGTGCAACGTTCTGCTCACCAGCTGTAAGGACAGCGTGTGTCGGCTCTGGGCTGAGACGCTGTTGCCCGGAGACAGCCTCCTGTCAGGTCACAATAACAACCATGCTAGCCAGCATGGTGACTCACACAGATGTGCTGACCCTTCAAGGAAAAACACCTGCAATGGGAAGATGCAAGGACAAACATCACAGGAAGTAAGCCATTCTTCTACAGTTTTTGCCTCTATAAAAACTCTATAACAGCAAAGTCCAATGATAATTGATTCCTCAAATGAGGATTTTGACAGTCTGACAGTTTTTATTGAAACCACTAACTTTAATAACCCTGACAGGGGAGTCCTGAAGCAACTAATTTGCTGGCCGTTTATAAATTCTGTTTCATTTTTCTATGTGATTTGTTTTTTTTCCCTTTTTTTTGCATTTTAACTGCACTTAAAAATCAAGAATCAAATGCAAGTATAACACAAACACAATACATAAAAAACACAACACAAAGCACTATTTATTTAACACATCTTAACTCTGGATCACTGGGTCTGTAGGTAAACCAAGAGTTTAAAAAGATGTCACTCCCAGGAGTTTTTCAAGTGAAATGCGTTGGTTGGACGTGAAACAAAGAAAGATTTCTGCCTAATTTTCCTGCTCTGACAAGCACATACCTTCATCCATTCATGGAGGACACCAGGCTCTTTGACTTTCACAGTTGTGGGAATGGAATCCTCTAAGTGCTCGGGTACAATAGTTGATAAAAGAAAACAGTATTTGAGAAGTTATACATCAGTATATAACTAGACACAGTGTACAAATAGCTTTCAGACTACTGCCAAACAAGCCATGCTGTAAGAAATCTGTGCTTGTTTCCATCTTGGTGGTGGCGCATCATAGCATTATGGCAGGGGCCATGAACTGGAGCTGCAGCCCCAGCTGGTGCTGGATGGCTGTGTTAAAGAATCAGAATCAGAAGGTGTTTTATTGCCATTGTCAATGAACAGGATTCACAGACTAGGAATTTGTTTTGGCATGATGGTGCAACAATAAACAGAGAGAAATATAAAATACTAGAATAAAAACTAATAAGAGCATGCAAGAAATATATAAAGTATAAAAGTATAAAAATATAAAAGTATAAAAGGTTATGTACAAGCCTAAATAAAATGAATGATTGGCATTTCAGACTGATGACATTAAAATAATTGGTTTAACCAGCTAGAAAATTTTGCTGCCAGAACAACAATATTTAGTTCTTTAGTCAACAAAACAGACAGTCAACAGTCTCTACGAGTCTCCAAACAGTTCAAACACAAACTTCATTAAGGTAGAGTAGCAGGACTCTTCTGAACTCACTAGTTTTTTAACAGCATGTGTAAATATCTGACCAAACAAATAACAAATGTTTATTCTTTCGATGAGAGGAACTCGGGTACAACAGGAGCCTAAATTCCATCTTCATATCAAACTTGTAAAAGAAATACTCTCTACATTAACTCATTTCTCTAAAATAGTTGTAACAAAATTGCATCTGTTTTTGGATGTCTGTAAAAATGCCTCTCTTTCCTTTCTATAAAGATATCACTGCCATGTTTCAGCATTGTAGCAGACAAATTGGGATGGTTTGCGAAGCTTTCTCCTTGAAGTGCTCTGTTATTAAACTTGAATCAAAGAAGTGCTAGTTTGGAGCAGCACAATTTGTTTTTTTAGTCAAAAGCATCTCCTAAAATACTTTAAATTTTTAAGATCAAAAGCATTATTTAAAACGTATAAAGCTGAGTCAGGCTAAGAATAGGGCAGCCTTCGACAACAAATGCAAAATTCACCACATTTATAGTAGCAGTGTGAACGGATATGATACAAGCGCTGTGATCTCTGGTTTGCCCTATTTGGCCTGGCTACTGAACTTTCATCAGTGCTAATGTAGGCCATTAAAGCACTGCAGAGATGAGAGAACAAGAAAAGCCAAAGGAGACTGAGAGGGAAGATAGAAAATCAGAGGCTTAATGGAGTTAAAAAGAAAAATTAATTGGCTATCAGGCATGAGGATGTGTTTTGAAGCTTTGTAAGACTCAAGATGAGCTTCAGTGAACAATACTGGCCCTTTCTCTGTGATCTGAGCAACACCTCCAACATGATATTTTGACTTTGGATGCAGCAGCTCCTTCACCTCCTAATTGTTCTGTTTCACTATGCTTTAAATGATATATGTTGTAGCTGACAGCCCAGGCTAGGCTTAAGACACAATCAACATCCTCTTTTAATATGGACATTTAGAGGGTTACGGATCTCAGCGGTACTGACAATGCCCAGGGCACAGTGGATTACAAGAAAAATAGGTATGCAAATTTCTCTACTGTGCCTCAGGGAGAGTCTGTTAGAGTACATGTGTGGAATTATTCATTAAAATCCCAGACTGCTGGATGATTCAGGCAGTAATCTGAGGTAATACTTTCTCATAAGTCTGATGGATGGACGATTCTGAAAGGACGCCATGTAAAATCCACTTTTGTTTGACATCTTGTGATTTAATGACAGTTAAACTTTACTTGCTAATCAATACAGCTAATGAAGCCCAAAGTGTCTCTGTGTGGATGCTAACAAGACCCTCCAGAGCAGACAGTGGTTTGCAATTTATACTGCAATCTTATTTTTCTTCATTGGCATTTAATGGTGCATACTAAATCTCTTAATCTCTATGGGTATTCAGCATTTGAAACAAGGGTTTCTCTTTGGGTGTGAGGAGCACACACCTGTCTGTAATACTTAGAGAACTACAGCCTTACAGCTTCATGATGTGACTCATTCTTCACCAGAGGAGCTGTGATATCAAACTGCTGTTTCAGTTCTTCTTTAGGTACAATGCATTTCCTCAAAACAACAACAGCCCACCATTTATATAACCTAAGTACCAAATTAAGATTTAATTTCACTCCCCTTTAAACACCTCTCTTGCTTAGCTGCTTGTTTCCCCCTGTCACCTCTTGAGACAAATTGGGTAGTTAACTTAAATGTCCTTTAAAGTCAATAACATTAAATAAAACTTCCATCCTGAAGAGGAATGTCTGTTCATTAAAGTCGAGTAGCCCAGCTCTAGCCCAGAGGAGAAAGGCGAGGCACAAGTGGATTTATTCACATCAGCCTCAAAAAGCAGGTTTAACCTGCAGCTCTCTGTCTTCCTGAATGGGATAATAGAGACGTTCGGTGTTTCGTCTGCCTGACCTTCCTTATTAAATACTTGTTGCCCTTCAGGTTACTTTAAAGACTCATAATCTCTATGTGATTCATGAGTGACATGCATAATGGACAAGAAAGACTGATAAATGGAAGGCAGTTGACTTTTATTAGATACACCAGTAGATAAATGTTCTTTATTCAATCAGAATTTCAATTTGTAAGAAGCTGAAGCAGTCATACACATAGAGAGATTTACTTGCGATCTAACCTGAATATAAATTCTCCTTTTAGTTTAATTTTCAAGAATCGTCGCATGCCTCTTCCTGCCGGGATGTGCCTCAGCCCTCTGTGACTGGCTGCCTGCCTCACCATCAGAGTCTACACTACAAGCACAAGAGAGTTAGCAGCCACATGCCCCATGCCAACGCTCTCTGCCACTTCCACATTGCTGCCAGCATCAACCCTGCCACAGGTGAGGGTCCTGTTGATACTTTGGAACTTTAAACAAGTTATTAACATTTTAGTGACACATTCAAAGGGCTTTCCAAAAAATACTGACAGTACAATAGGCCTTAGGTTTCAACTTTATATGAATTATTCTGAAGCCGTACACTACAAAGCTACTGAGCTCTGCTTGGATAAAGTCAGGTCAGAGGGCTTCACCCTGAATTTCTTACAGAATAAATGCTGTTGACTTTGTACTTTGCCGGGGGTCGTATGTTTAACTCCTAGCAGAGTGTCGGTGCTCAGTGAAAGCTGCCCACAGTAATTGTGAAGCATTTTTATTTCTTTCCTCTTTGTGTCTTTGACCTAAATAGGGCCAAATGTTGTGGATTCCTGCAGCCTCGAGGCTGAGAAGCCTTGTAGGATTGTATTTGTATGCTTGAGTTATGTTTTAGCATACTTCAAAACACACTCTGGTCCCGGAAAGTTAATCTGCCTCAGTTGATGTCTATCACCCCGCTTGACCCTTGACCTAATCCGAGTTCTCCTTGTTCTTTCCAGTCTTTTTCTAAACATTGTAGTAATATTATCACCTCTTTTCTTTATCTCAGACATTCCTCTGCTGCCCTCCATCTCCTCGATGAGTGGTGTTGACGACGAGGAACCTGGAGGTCCTTTCACTGTCCACTGGCTTAACAACAAAGAGCTTCATTTCACATTAGCTATGGAAGTCTTCCTGCAGCAGCTCCGAGGCAGCCTTGAGCAACAGCGCGAATGCTCCATTGAAGGTACAACAAAGAAAACTAACACATTATTTGAAATGGTCTGTGTACCAAGATGGAAAAATTCTATCAAAATGAGACTTGGCAGACTGTGGCATGTTGCACTGTGGTCTGTTTTCTATAGTGTGTGCATTTACATCAAGGCACCATCTTTTTCTTTCTCCCCCAGAACCTGAAGACGAAGATAACTTTGATGAAGAAGATAATGGCAACAGACCAAATGACAACCAAGGACCTGATGCTGTGGAGCTTCCTCTGGCAGCTGTGAAGCACCAGGTGGACGTGCTGTTGGAGGAGTGGAACAAAGGGGCAGACATGTTGTTCAGCATCCATCCAATGGACGGCTCTCTGTTAGTCTGGCATGTGGACTGGTTAGATGAATACCAGCCAGGCATGTTCAGACAAACTCAGGTACTTTTTTTCCTTTTATGTTCATGCAAATCAGTGCACAGTTAAACGTATGTGGATGCTTTAATTGTCATCTTTTTAATTAGGTGATTGATGGGCGTTTATCCTCCACTGTTGATCAGGGTGATATATTACTCAGCATGCACAGGCGTGTTTGAAACAATCATGTTCAAAACTGAAAATCTTTGATATTCACACGTCTTTAGGTGTTTAGATATTGAAAAGTCAACCCTTTCAAGTAGTTCTGTAAAAACAAGAAAAAGAGAGAGGCTGTCTTTTCATGGTCTTTCTTGTACTTGCATCATAACACTTACTCGTGTTAACACAGCCGCCTGTGAACAGTCATGCATCGATTATTCATTTTGGTAAGTCATGTAGAGAGCTGACCATAAACCAAGAATAATGGCTTTTCAGAAAAAGCCTCTTTATTTTCCCGACTCTAGCGGCTTGTTTGTATTCGCAGCTGTAAGAGGTGCTTTTCAAGAAAAATACTTGGATCATCTCTATGAGGTTGTGAATCAATTAAGTTGCTATAATGGTCCAGCTCCCTCTCTAATGGCTTCCTATCCAGCCTTTCACATAATTGTATTCTAATTATAGGTGACTTAAGAATCAAATACAAAAGCCCCTTGATGCATTTCTATTAGTGCAAAAATAATGAGAAACATATACCTCGGCAGTTAGTCAATTATGCCAGGATAGCTTGAAGAATCCAAGTGCCATCTGTGTCATAACTACATTAACAAGGCTATTCAGGTTGTCTAAACTGTGTGCTTATTCAAATCCATTGTCGCTTCACTGACAGTGTCTTTTTCATCGATTGCTCAGGGCTGATTTAGGTTTCACTGCTGCAATGTCTCTCCTTTTCTCCTAGGTGTCGTTTGTGTCCCGTATCCCTGTGGCGTTCCCCACAGGTGATGCAATCTCTCTCAGCCACAGTGTTGTCATGTATGCCTGCAACAAGAATGTGGATCTGGCAATCCAACACGGCAGACAGCGACCGCCTGGAAGTACTTTGCCTCAAGCTAAATCTGCCCTAATAAGCTATGGAGGTCAAGGAAAAGCCGCGCCCAGTAGTAGTCTTCGCCTCAGTATTTTCACCCCCAACGTCCTTATGATCTCCAAACACGCTGATGGCTCCCTGAACCAGTGGGGCGTCAGCTTTGCAGAGGACTCTGCTTTCTCCACTGTGCTTAGCGTCTCTCACAAGTCCCGGTACTGTGGCCACCGCTTCCACCTCAATGACCTGGCCTGTCACTCAGTGCTCCCTCTCCTCCTCACCACCTCCCACCACAACGCCTTGAGGACGCCGGATGTAGACAGCATCCTGGCCCCTTCAGACACCTGCTCTTCTGGTTTCCCTCATTCAACGTCTCTGCCTCATCGGTCACGGTCCAGCAGAGGGTCCCTCGGTTTTGTCTCCCAGGATCCCAATGCTATTTACAGTGAGCTGATCTTATGGAGAGTGGACCCTGTGGGCCCACTGTCTTTGTCTGGCGGGGTCTCTGAACTCGCTCGCATAAATTCTCTCCATGCATCAGCCTTTGCTAATGTAGCCTGGCTGCCCACACTCATTCCCAGCAGCTGTTTGGGTGAGTAGATAATTAAGTGTATAGAGACTGCTTGGAAATTTGCCCCTGCTGCTACAATTAAATGTACTTTCTCTTGTTTCCTTGGTTGTTTTGGCTTTAAAATGAAAAAAGAAAATGCAGTTATCCTTTTTTCAACTGACTATATTCAGACTGTATGAGACATAACTCATACAAATGAAGAGAACAAGAAAGAAACTCTATGAATCAAATAACAGAAGGCTTTAACAATTGCCTCTCTTTGAGTAGCTGTAAGACTGAACTAATGATCAACTGTATTCTGTATCAGTTTAATAGTTTGTTTTAAAAAGGGAGCAGTTGAAGTAAACGCCATTGAATTGATTTTCTCTCTACAGGTGTGTACTGTAACTCTCCCAGTGCTTGTTTCGTGGCAAGTGACGGCCACTCACTCAGGCTTTATCAAGCCGTTATTGAAGCGAAGAAACTCCTGAGCGAGCTCTCCAACCCAGAGATATCAGTAAGTCATCAAAAAGGATCCGCAAACTGGGGAAAGGCCCCACAGGGTACAGTCAGCAATGCATTGTAAAAAAAAAAAAAAGTTATTGCACACCAATAACAACACATCAAGGTTTGCCCTGCGGCCTTGGCTGAATCACTGGGATAATTAGGTGTGGATGATTTGCTGGTTTATTAGTGTCACCTTTGGTTGACTTGATAAATGACACATGGGCACATCCAGGCAGCTGTGAGAATTCATCTGTATTCAATTTGAATAGAGCTCAGACCAATAAAAAGATTTGGAGTTGTTATGATATATTAATTAACAGATACAGTGAACAATGACAACAGAAGTCTGTTCTCTCCTGTGTTGCTGAATCAGTGACTCTGTAAATCGCATTGATGCATTTTTATGATCCTCTGAGCAGAATTTACACATCAGCTGTTTATTTAGCTGGTATGAGCCTATTGCAGTATTTCATGAGTAATATGTTGTTTTTTTTAAACTTCAGAAATATGTCGGGGAGGTGTTCAACATCATCAGTCAGCAATCAACTGCAAAACCCGGGTGTATTATAGAACTGGATGCCATCACTGGATTTGTAAGTATCTGTAAAGAAATAGGAGAAATAAAAGATTTTTTTCTCAAACTACAGAGACATTTAAAAGTTATTTCGAAAAAAAAAAAAAAAAACTCCTTTCCTGAAAAAAAGGATCAATACACTGTGTTTAAAAGCAATGGTGGATCTGGAGCATTTGTGTTATGAAACATTGAGCTGTAAGGTCTTTGTGAAAGGTCAACCATGATAAAACAGAGACGGGTGCAGAGCAAACCTTCTCTCACCCCCTAGGGCTATTTTTTTTTTTCTTCTCATGTGCATGCGAGTGGGCGTGTGTGTCCGCGCGTGCTCGTGTTAACACAACTTGTTCCAGTGAATCTTCATATTCCCTCCACAGCAGATGAAGCATGTTGTGAAGTGTCTCCAGCTGATTTACTTTGGTTAAAAGCTGCTGTTGTTCTTTGCAGCAGGGGAAGGAGACCCAACTCCTGCATGTTTTTGAAGAGGAGCTGATCCTGGGCAGTGAGAGAACGGAGAGCACACAGGAAACTCCTAAATCTCCAAATACTGGTATTGACAAAACACTTTAATCCAACACAGTGCATTATTATTTCAGTGCTTTTATTATCTCTATGTGTTGATTGTGCACTGTTTAATATTATTCTCTGTGTGTTTTGTTTGTGTGTGTGTGTGTGTGTTTGTCTTTCCTGCAGCCTTGAGCAAGCCGGCTTTCTCAGCACGTTTTTTCCTCGTGGTGGTTGAATTGACCCCGACAGGTCGCTCGCTTCTCCACATGTGGCATCTCCATATTGCTGCACTGCCCGTCACCATGGGTGGGTAGTGAGAACAAAAGGTTTCACAGGATGTGGGAAAAAAATTGATTTACTGTCTTAATTGATTCAGAACAAATGCTTTTAGTAACCAGCAATGAGTTCTGGGATTTAATGTGTTGTACTGTCAATGCGGGAAAAATGATAGTTGTTTAGGGGCACCCTAAGTGGTTATGGATTATGTTTTGAAATAATCCTATGCATTTAATTTACTGGTAAGATTCATTTTCCAGGTCTTAAAAGCTTCTCTGAATGTAATTTTTCCATTTTCTGTTCGTGGGTCCACAGATGAGACTCCTACGTCAGTGACCAGTGCTACACCGGCTTCTCCTTTGAACAGCTCTCAGTTCAGCTTTGACATGTTCACTTCCCCAGTACCTTCGAAAAATAAACCCTGCACTTCAAATCTGCAGAGCGCCTGTCGTCTCAGCCTCACCACTAACAGGGTGTACAGCCAAGAGATGACTCTACCTGAGGGAGTGGAAGCCATCAGTGTCACACCCTCAGCAGGTGAGGGACAACAAGGACACAAATGACATAAGATAACATGTTTCCTTGGGCGGTGGGATGCTGAATAAAAACATGGCAGCACAAGGGACAAGTCCTAGAGGTCAAGAAAAAGCAACCAAGTAATTTCTTTGCACACCGAGACAGTTTAGTAAAAAACTGCATTCTCTACATCAGAATATTTTCTTTTAACAGGATGCAGATCCAAAAGTTAAGTACCTCTGATGTGTGTACAAACAGCTTCACAGATGAAATGTTGTTTCCATAGAAACTAGGATTGGTCATTCAGTTAGCAAATAATTGAAAACATTGATTCAGATAACCTTTTAAGAAAGTTTTGCCATTTCTCTATTGACTTGAAAAAGCGATTCTATTATTGGAGTTTTGCAAAGAGATGAAGATAGAAAATGTGCTTTCCAACACTTTTCTGCTCCAAACTCAGACTCATTATGAAAACAGTTCTTAATTAGTTCTTAAATATCTTTAAAACAAATCTATGAACAGCAGTTTTTTTCAACCTTGCAGCCAATGACATTTCACCACGGCCCTTAGGGAAAATTTATCTGTCTGTGTGCTTTAGTTGCCAGCTGCACAACTCAGATTATACTGCTTATGTTTAATAATCTTTTCCAGAACTGCCCAAATCAACCTTAATAAATTTACAGAAAAAAATATTTTTAAAATGTTTTTCACCTTTTAAAACCAAGAAATGCATGACGGTGTTTTGTCCACTCTCTGCCAAGGTCACCTGAGCGCGTCCTGTTCTCTGCCGGCGGGCCGTGTGCCTTACCTCCTCGCGACTTCATGTTCTGACGGAACTGTCCGTTTCTGGAGGTGCAATGTCAGTACGATAAATCCCTCTGGCACGGATGACTTGGTGTACCAGTGGGAGGAGTGGCCGCTCCTGGTGGAGGAGGGCATCCATAATAACAGTGCAGTGAGCGTGCATGGTCGCCCCACAGAGGTCAGCTGCTGCCACACAGGACAGATTGCAGTTGCTTACAGGCAGACTCCAAACACACCTCTGAACTCGACACCTCATCTCAACTCTCACAGACTGTTGACTTCTCCCCCCACTCTCTCCTCTACTCCTTTTGTGCACTACAACAACACCACTAGCAACACCCACCTGACCCCAACCCTAACTGTGCAGCGAAGCCCAAATCTCACTCCAAGTCCCAGCCCAGCGAATGCCAGAGAACCACCATTCCACATCAGCATCTTTCAGTGTGAGTCCACTGGTGGCTCCCACTGGATCCTTGAGCAGACCATAGTCCTGGACAGCACAGATGGTGTGAGTACTGGCACAGCTGGAGGTGGCAGTACACCAAATAACACAGACTTTTCTGTGCCTAATGAGCACTGTCCTGGTTCTAGTGGTAAAAGCCTGGTTCATCTGGACTGGGTCTCACAGGAAAATGGATCTCATGTTCTTACTATTGGGATAGGAACAAAGATTTACATGTACGGCCGTCTCTTGGGGAAGCCTCCAGAACTTGGCTTGTCATCCGACGCCAATAGAGACCAGCACTCATCTCGTTTGGTTCTGCTCCGATCAGTTGATCTGGTCTCCTCTGTTGAAGGCTCTCCACCCATCCCAGTCTCCCTTTCCTGGGTACGAGATGGCATTTTGGTAGTAGGTATGGACTGCGAAATGCATGTCTACTCCCAATGGCAACCCCCAGCACCACCTAAACCCAGCGCCACAACAGCTACGGAGACAGACATTAGCAGCAGTATGTCCTCAATCATCTCAGCTGTCAGACAGAGCCAGGAAGATGCTCTGAGCCCCGGGGCCCCCATGTCTTTACTGGCTCCTCCCAAGAAGGCCCTGACCAGATCAATGATGAGCCTGGCTCAGAAACTCAGCGGGAAGAGAACAGCTTATGACCTGCCTGTGGAGATGGAAGATTCTGGGCTTTTTGAAGCAGCTCACCAGCTCTTTCCCACGCTGCCCCAATACCATCCTGTACAGTTACTGGAGCTCATGGATCTAGGAAAGGTAAGTTCCAAAAATAACAAAATTATTGTCTACACTTGCATTTATTTTATCTTTTCTCTGGATGTGTTTTTATGAAGCTGTTTTCTGAGCCATAGTAGACCATTTCTGTGAATTTTTAAAACATTTCTGTCGTCGAATTTGTTCATGTTTACCATAATTTGTCTGTCGAAAGGTTCACCGTGCCAAAGCCATCCTTTCCCACCTGGTGAAATGCATTGCTGGGGAAATAGTGACTCTCAAAGACACCACCACCAATCCTGAGAAACGGGTGCGCTCTCGAACCATCAGCGCCGGAGGCAGCACAGCCAGAGACTGTAAGATGTTCAGCAAAGCCGAGAACTCCACCCCAGACTACACAGAGATAAGCTCCGTTCCTCCTCTGCCTCTCTACTCGCTCCTGGCGGCTGATGAGGACTCATTAACAAAAGCTGGTAAGTAAACAGTCAAACCAATAGCTTATTATTGGTGATTATTAGTAATCACAAAAGAATAAGACATTTTTATAACAGTATGTAGAGTAGTTAAAACATTTAGAACTATATAAAGTAAAAAATGGTGATAATTAACCAAGTAAAAATGCTTTCAGTAACATACATGCTCAAACTTTCACTTACATCCTGACTATGTAGGTCAATTAAAGAGCATTTCCTTCAGGTAAAGATGTTCAAAAATAATACTTGAAAGAAATACTTTTCCACTGGGGCTACAAAGGCATCACCTTAGGTGTTAAGTTTTTTCTTTCCTTTTTTATCTGATATTTTGAAAGTGTCTCAGCTGCTAATCTGAGGCTATTCCTCTGAAAGTAAAATAACTCTACACCTGAAGCTGACACTGGACTTCACAGAACTCTATAAGGCAACAAATACGACTAAAATTGGGTCAGACAAAACTTTTATCTTTGGAAGTCTTTTTGACATTGTACAGTACTGCCATTGAACGAAAATAACTGTTTAATGAAATGTTTTTCTTCAGTCTAAAAGTTGGAAAATAACGATTGTCAAATGTGACAAAAAAGTTCTGGCATGAAACAATTTACACTTGAAAAGCAAAGTCCATTTAAGTTCATTGTTAACCTTTGTTACTGTCTTCTCATTATTTGTTTCCTCATGGATCTGTGGGGATGAAAGTGAGAGTGAAAGAATCACGAATAAAGAGAAAGGATTTTCCGCTCTTGGCATTTTAATTTAATCTGCCGTCTCCTCAGCAGGAGGGTTTTTTTTTTTTTTGGCTAGACGCTTTTAAAATTTATGTCTTGTGTAATTTAGTTTGCTCTTTGCTCCCCTTCAGATAAAGTGGGCAGTGTGAGTGGAGATAGTGGGCACGGTTCTAGTCACACTGATGCTTACGATGAGCTCTTTCAAACTCCCAGCATGGCTGACCTGGACCCGCTTGATAATGATCAAGAGGAAGCAGGAAACAAGGTCAGTCTCCGCATGCTGCTGCTTTGATAAATGGGAAGTGATCAAAATTAGAGCAGACACAAGCAGCATGTCTCTTTTTGCTTCTTTATGTCTTGATCAGCCCTGCATAATTGTTTATTTCAAGCTTCATTATGCTGCATTTTTGCTATTGAAATAGACCAGTCAAAGGTTGTGACAAACTTTGTTTATGCTTTCAAATCTACTTGTTTGTTGGCTAATTCTCCACAAGTAGTTGATATCATGTGTTTATCTGTTTGTGACTAGCATGTCTAAAGAATTAGGAACTACACACATCATTGTTCACACTCTCTGTTGTTTTCCTCTCTGAAGGTCATTGACCTGTCCCAGTACAGTCCAACATACTTTGGTCCAGAACACGCCCAGGTTCTGTCCAGTCACCTCCTTCACTCCAGTTTGCCTGGCTTAACCCGTATGGAGCAAATGTCCCTGATGGCATTAGCCGACACCATCGCCACGACAAGCACAGACTTCAAGGACAGCCAGGGTACTGGTAAAGGTAAGGGGTAGAAATAAAAGCCCATCATAAGGCCCTTTTTATTCATGGACATTCTGAGGACAAATGCGCTCACAGCAATTCTATAATAGAGCTGCTGAAATCTCTTCTTTACCAGGTGGAGAGACACTGGATGAGTGTGGTCTTAAGTTCTTGCTGGCTGTCAGGCTCCACACCTTTCTGTCTACCTCCCTGCCTCCAGCACACAGAGTACAGCTTCTGAGACAAGGTACAGTGGCACAGTAGTTCACTCACTTCTTTTTTTGACTGTCCCAAATGAGCAGAAAAGACTGTACCGCTGAACAGGATTGATGTCGCATTTTTCTTGTCCAGAGGGACCAAAGTTGAGTTGACAGAAATAACTTTTATTGGTAAAGGGGTAGCACAGCAAGGTAATCTTCCAATCTGTCAACACCTGTCTTTCCTTTACAAGACAGTTTATTCCAGCATAAAGCCGTCCAACTGTTGAGTCAACTCTGTTGTTGGCTTGCTCTCAACCACCTTAAAACATGGCTCCCACCCAACTTCCCTTCCTCATGTCAGGTGATAAGGGATATTGGACTCCTGCCGCTCTTTGCTATGACTCTGCTGATTCTGCTATACAGAGCAGACATTTAACTTTGCAATTGTCTGAAAATTGTTTGACAAAAACAAAGTAAAATCTAAGCGTGCATACCACATCTCTTTTTTTTTAATCTTGTTTAATTTTGCCAGACTTTGTGAGTTTACAGCTTGTTGCTCAAGGAGCTTTTTGTATTCACTCTGTTAAATACAGCTCTGACCTCAGCCAATATGAAAGTACCAGCACAGTGACTGTCCAAGTCTCCCACACCCTAAAATAGTCCACTTAGCCTGGTCTCAACTGTGCACATTTAACAATAAAAGTCTTATAAATAGATGAGGTGATTAAAGATTAAACATCTTAATTGCAGTTGAGCTGCTTTAGAGCAAGGCCCAAAATCTGTGTTTGCTTCCTTGAACTATTGACCAGTAGGGCTCTCACTAACGAATCCACTGGTCGACTCAAACCACAAGTCGGTGCTGTGGGTGACTGTCAACTAGTCCAGTAGGCAATGCCACTGGGGAGAGGGCTGACTTTGGCTCTGACATGTGTCTCAAGGCGTGTTTTGTTTTTAAAATTCACACAGTTATATATATTTTTTTTTTCACTTTATGTAGATAAAACATGATTTTGAAAAGTGTGACATCTCACTGTGGAATCCTTGAGATGTTTGCACCACAGAATACAACTGTCATTGTATTTCACCAATCCATGAGCATATTTCTACATAACAACAAGTCAGCTAGTCAGCTACTATAAATTGAAAATTTGTCAGCTGGTAAAAATTTGTAGTCTTGCTTAGGGGTGTCCTGATATGATATTGAAATCGGTCCAATATCAGCAAAAATTGGAATATTGGATTATATCGGCCTGCATCTAAAATCTCCGATATCAGAACTCCAATACAAGCAGTCCATTCCAGACTCCGCTCCGGCACCTCTATCTAGCAGGACCTGGATCCAGCATGTAGAGCCCATCTAATTACAACAACAGTGTGTACTGAAGTACCAAGGAGTAGGAGTGATGTCGGTCCTGTGGCAGTAATTTTCATTGAAGTCCGAAAAGACGTTGCAACTGAGTGCAAAACTTGTCATGCACAAGTTTGTGCTAATATCTAATCAATATCGGTATCGGACAATACTGAAGGCTACAATATCGGTATCATATTGCAGGTAAAAAAGTTGTATCGGGACACCCTTTGTCTAGCACTACATCGCAACCTTAGTTTTTATCATTAAGAGTCTGTTAAAAATCCTTGTATAGTGTTCATTCACCCTCTAAAACTGTATTCGACATGTTTAAAGACCATCAGGCTCCTCTCTCTGCAGGCCTGTCCACCTGTCATTATGCCTGGGCCTTCCACTCTGAAGCCGAGGAGGAGCTGCTGAACATGTTGCCTGCCTTGCAGAAAGGAGAGCCCACCTGGCCTGAGCTACGCTCTATGGGTGTAGGCTGGTGGCTACGCAGCACCAACAAGCTCCGCAGGTGTATTGAGAAGGTGAGGACAGTATGACAGGAGTCTGTGCTTAGAAGATTGCAGTATCAGTCATAAGGGATGACGCCCAGCTCTTATCTAAATCTTTAAAAAAACTGGAGTGGACTGTTATTTGATGATGTGCTGCTTTTTGTCTTGCTTTGAGCACAGGTATTTTTTCTGACAATAGGCATGACACTCAGCAAAGCACAAACTGTACAATCTTAATCAGGATTGTCAGCTTTTTTCAAACTCAATTTTAATCAATTTAAAGATGCTGTGGTGGTATAAAAAATCTGCAGATAAAAGTTTTAAGGGTTTGCCGTTAGTGTGTCAGCTTTCTGTGCTTCCTTCTGATTGCTTCAGTTATAAAATGAAGCACTGTCAGGTAGGTGAAAGTAAAATTTTGCTGGGTTTGCAGTAAATATAGCACTATCAGTTCGAGCTACTCCATGAAATGACCCATGAGGCGGCAGCTTGTTCAGTGGATTAGACCACACTGACTGAGGAGCTGTGAGCTGAATGTACTTTTCATTTTGTCAGGTTGCCAGAGCTTCATTACAGAAGAACAACGATCCTCTGGATACAGCTATATTTTACCTCGCACTGAAGAAGAAGGCAGTGGTCTGGGGATTGTACAGGTAGGCAGAACTGACTAACAGAGGCTTGCATATGAAAGAAAAAAAGCACTCGCACTCAAACACAGTCGTAACCACGGTTAAACAAGATGAGTTCTGTCAGGCTACAGAGGACCTATGACACCATTGTTGTTCTTGTTGTTGAAATCCTGACGTCTGTCTCTTCAGGTCTCAGAAGAATGTCAAAATGACGGAGTTTTTCCGCAACAACTTCAGCGAGGACCGGTGGAGGAAAGCAGCGCTGAAAAATGCCTTTTCTTTGCTGGGGAAGCAGCGGTTCCAGCACTCTGCAGCCTTCTTCCTCCTCGCCGGCTCCCTTAAGGATGCTGTTGAGGCAAGTGCAAAATAGACATGACAGATTGTTTACAAGAAGCACTTCTTCCTTCAGCTGTTAGTGCCACTTGCCATCCTGCTAAACTTCAGTTCGAAACCTTGCTTTCAGCAGTCATTTGCTGCTCCTTTCTATTTACAGAATTTTGAAGCAGTGTAATTGTTCTTTTTTTTTTTCCCCTCCCACAACAATTCACAGTCAAGGGCAGCATTTGAAAAAGGTGGTAAAAAAGCAGAGAAAGCACATTCACAAAGAAGAGACCACACTGTCGGCATTGCTGAAGTGTGTGGCACGCCTTTTATTACTGGAACAGCTCAATACATTCCCACAGAGGTCTCTTTGTCGAGAGCTCTTAGCACAATACACTGAAGAATTATTGATGCTGGCAGTTGACTCTTGGGTGCTGCCGCCTTTTACACCATTTTGTGAGAATTTTCAATAGCATGTTGTCACATTTATAAACTAGCAGCAGTGCACTCATACTAAAACATTGTAAATCAGGTCACTACCTACTCCCTTTTATTTAAACATTTATAAGCAAACTTTTTCCTCTGTCGGTTTGTTAGCACATATTGATGCTCCTCGTCAGAGAGGCTGTTTGTTCTTTCAAGTATTTACAGGGCTGAATTGCAACCGTTTGGGGGAGTAAGGATGAAATATACACAGCTCTAATTTTCGGTTACATATCAAGGAGGCTGCTCCCGGTCATCTTGTTTGCTTAACCTTTTACTCATCAAAGTGATAGTCCCTGGAGCAATGAGTCACATTTTTTAATCTGCGTGAGTAAGTGGAGCCTCTCTGAGCACTTTATGGAAATAAGTGTGACCCAGGCAAAGGGCTATCACTGACTTTGCTTACTCTCTCTGGCTCTCATTGAAATGCACCTCATACCCCAGGAGCAAGAGCAACATCCCTCTAACTCACTGATGTGTTTTCAAACTGTAATTTATTTATTTCGCGTTTTCTGTCCTCTCTCATTTCATCCAGTCCTGGGGCGAGAGTTCAGCCAACAGTTTGAAATAATAACTGACTGCTCTAATTTGGTTTATTTCCTCCAGGTGTGTATAGAGAAAATGCAGGACCTTCAGCTTGCCTTGGTGATCTCCAGGTTGTACGAGTCTGAGTTTGAGACCGCATCCACCTACAAAAAGATCCTCCAAAGACATGTGCTGGGACAAGACAAACAGGTGCAGACTTTGACTTTGTCGCAGCCTCTTTCTGAAACTCGTCCCACTGAATCAAACTTCACCAGGGCTGATTGAATTCTTGCAGAAGCAAAGTGAGTCATTGTTATTCTTTGTTTGTTTCAGATTTCAGTCCACCAGGACCCATTCCTCAGAAGCATGGCTTACTGGGTTCTGGAGGACTACAGTAGGGCCTTGGACACTCTACTTGAGCAGCCTGCTAACAGATCCACTTCTGGATCTGCTGAGACCAAATGTGACACTGGTAAGTCAGCGCTGCTTTGTATGATCTTTACTTTTACACACGACCTTAATATATTAGTCCAGCGTCGCCAGACCCATCAACCAGCACATATCGATTTTCACAGATATGCTGGACCAATCACAGTCCTTTATTTGAAAAAGCGTGTTGGTTTATTTATTCACTTTTTTTTAGTTAGCAAAAAAGACAGTAGAACTAAATTCCACAGGGTAAGGAACGGCTGCGCTCTGCTCTGGAATGGTAGCCTGATCAAATACGCAAGCATTGTAATTATTGTGGGTGATTCCACACAATGTGTCTGCCGTCCGGCTCCACTGCGGATCTTCTCCGGATGGTGGATCAGATATGCAAGGCTTCTATTTTTGCTGGACGCCGCAGCACAACGCATCAATTCAGTGCAATGCAGCACGAGCAGCAGCGGAAGTTGTAAGCGGCTACAGAGCAAAATATCCAGGTAATTTTCAAAATAAAATAGTCAATAAAAAAAGTCAATACGTTGAACTATTCTTCACGTGACAATGGGAGGGGCCAGGGTTGTGGGATGGATCGGTGAAACACGTGAGATCTTGTGAGAAATACTGGTAATATTGCAAGCGCTTCTCCTCCACTTGCGACAGTAGATTGGATCCAGTGGAATCCCGGCGTGAGAGGTCCGTTGAATCAGCTTTCACAGCCATTTTGAATGAACTGAATTATGCACTCTCATTAAAGCCAGCATATATGTGTTTCTCTCCTCTGTATGCTGTTTTTATCTGACTGGCTGTTTGATTCTGTTTCAGTCCTGGTGTTGAAAGTTTATTCTTTGTATCTCAACTTTTAAATGTACTTAGAAAACGTGTACCACTTTTCTGTCAGTTTGAGAACCAAAGACGTCAGTTTAAGCTGATAAAGTCTGTTTTGGTCAAATTTAAAGTTTGTTTGGAAAAAAAAAAAGTTAGTTTCCCCTGCAGGTGAAACCAAGTACCCTGAAGGTAACTTTGCACTGACGTAAAATCCTTGAGTTTCATAAAGTGTCTCAGCTTTGCTTCTATTTTTGGTCCTTTAAGTAAGTCAGAGTTTGGGTAAATGCAGCCAAAGTGACACAGTAGACCGTTTAACTGAAAAAAAATATGAGGCTTTCTCTATGAATAGATGAAGAAGTGAACTTCATATGAACCTCACTTTGACTTATCCCTGTGCTACATATGTTTCACAAATGAGGCTCTCAGAGCCCATTTGATACGCTCACAGAGAAAAGCGCTTTAGCTTATGGAAAGTTAAAAGTGGTTCTTCGGCCTCATTGGTTACATGCTGTCATGTCACCTATGGGCCTTTCGTACTCGTTGTCTAGCTCTTTGACATCATAATACCTGGATAAAAGGATCATATTTAATTCATCTCTTTTCTCTACCCCTTCCCTTTTCAATTGGTTTTTAGTATCTTTCACTCCAGACTCTGCCTTTCACTCACCTTTAGACCACAACCGAATGCAGTTTGTCAGTGAAAAAGTGCTCACTTAGCTGCAGGCCACAATTTGTCAACAAAGATTTAGTCCAGACAGCCAGAGCTTTATTTCTGTCTCTGATCTAACATACAGTTGATCTGTACTGGTACTGTGGTCAAAGCGCTAAAAGTGTCCGTTACTACTGCTGACAGAAAAAAAGCAAATTTTCCATTTCTTCCATTTCCATTTTTCTTTGTATCTGTATCTGACAGGTTCCTCTCCCGTGTCCACATGTAACCCAGAGGTTTTCAACTTTTACACCTACCTTCGCACTCACCCTCTGCTACTTCGCCGGCATCTCGGCTCCGCAGACAAGGCTAAGGTTGGACTGACTGCTGAGGGACGGAGAGCTGACTCGATTAGCCTGGAGGAGAGAAGGCTGTTTTTCACGGCTGCATATGCGCACCTGCAGGCAGGTTGCCCCATGCTGGCGCTCGAAGTCCTCTCCAAGATGCCCAAAGTTCGCAAGCATTCCAAAAACACCAGCCATGGCGACACAGGCATTGCTGCTGAACTCAGTGTTGGAAGCAGGAATGGTCAAACGTCTGATCCCGATTGGTCTCAGCCGGCTCTTAATGGCTATGAGTCGGATGGAAACAGCTTATCCAACAGCCAATCAGATTCAGTGTTAAGCTTTGACTGGAGCCAGCCATCAATGACACTTCCGGATGAGCCCCTGGAGCTAAAGTGGGACACTGACAAAGATGACGAGGAAGATGATGAGGAAGACGATGAGGATGAAGAAGACACTAAAAATGGTCATCTTGGTCAAACCGCAGACAGCAGTAGTGTGTTTCAGGACACGCAGGATGCCATGTCTCCGTTAATGGAGACAATGACAGAAGAGGACAGCAGTGACTTCATAGCGCCAACTGATGACATCTTGGCTGCCCAGCTGAAGTTTACGGCCTGCTTAAAGATTTTAACAAATGAGCTCCGTACACTGTCAACAGGGTACGAACTGGAAGGAGGAAAACTTCGTTATCAGCTCTACCAGTGGTTAGAGAGAGAGGTAACAAATATCTAAACTCTTAAACTCTTACACACTTTTGCCTCCAAGTGGTGGACAAGACCAATATACCCATCTAAGTACTTTACACACACATAACGCTGAACAGAAAACAATACGGGCTCAAATTAAGTAGTTTAGTTTTGTAGTTACTCAGCAGAGAGAGCAACTCAGAACAACTCTGTTGTTTAAAAATACTCTTGACACCGTCTGTAGCAAATGTAGCCGAGCATTTCAACTGAGCAGATGGTGGTCTACGCCATGACTGCCTGAAAATGAGGTTGACGGTCCGTTATGTTGCCATATACCAAGTTTTTGAGTAGTTTGAGTAGTATTTTTGCAAATGTGGTGAACAATCTATACCTCAGCTAAATATCAACAGTAATCCTTTGAAGGCAATTGTTAGATTTGGCCTTAAATCACGAAGGACCTCAGATCACATCTGTCTGGCTGTAGCTCATTGTTATAGTGGTAACAATATCCATTTGTGTGATGAAGAGTAGGTCGAGCTGCACCCTTAGGTTCACTAAATAAATCTTTTACAGGTTGCGTAACTCCCACACATCTCTCCTCCTGTCATCATGTTCACTGTTTGAAGATTTTATCTCTCTGTGTGCTCTCTGTCACTGCGTGTGAACATCATATTGGTAATAACTCCAGTGGTTCTCTCTTATGAAATTGTTTGTCTCTCCCTGTGAAATCTGTTTGACAATTTTGAGAAATGTTTTGCTTTCCCTCCCACGCATGTGAGATAAATTTCTTCTTGACAAGTAGGTTTTAAAAAGCGAACTTCTCTTTTCCCCAGTTGGTGGCTCTGCAGTGTTGCTGCAGCTACAAGCCCTGCCTGCCAGAGCTGTCTGTCCAGGCTGATGCTCCTGTTTCTGGGTTGGTGGAGGAGGAACAGGTGGGTGTAGATCGCTGCCTGCTTCTATATTTGTCTGAGAATCATGAGGAAAAATCAATGCAACACTGGCTGTAATAAATAAGTAAGAGAACCCCACTCTGCATCTTGGCTCAGCTTAAAAAACTGATGTTTCATTGCGAAGATTGTTTCCTTTGTATATCAACATTTTGGAACTTTTTTTTTAACACAAGATATTATATAGAAGAATTTTTTGTTTTATTTCTCCATTATCACCTATCTTTTATTTTACATAGATTCTATACAAACTTTCTAGTTACAAATTGAACTGAAACTTCAATGACCTTCAATTTTTTAATTGTTGACAGAGCAGACTTTTACTCATTGTCTTAAGTTCTAAGATTGACAGATTAATCAGGCAGGCTTATTGATGGCATTTTGAAATACAGTTATCATGATGGGTTGATGTCTGCGCTCATTTGGCCAATAATAAACAAATAATGTGTAGACAACCACCTCAGTGTGGCTTCTGTCGAGCAAAGATAATGCGCTCAAATAGAAGCAAGGTTTCTACGTAAGTATGGAAATAATTTGATCAACTTCAGGTCTTAGAAAGTATAGTAAATGAAAAATAAAGTATGGAAAAATATTAAGGTTTCCAGAATATTACCACAGGAAAAAAATACTGTTTTCTAAAATAGAAAAGTAGATATTTCCAAAAATAATTCTAAAAAGTAGGGAATGGAAAAGTGTGGGAATTCCAACCGTGTAGGAACCCCGTTGTGGGTTTATTATTTGGATATTTGGAAAATGGCAATCAAAATAGCGATCAACCAGTATTTTTGATATAATTGTGTTGGGCCTTTGTGCGAACAGTAGCTAGCTAAATAATGTTTGCATATGCAGAGTGACGTAGACTTATTTGTCTAAAATGTGAATCAACATGGTTTTTCTAGGAGGGGAGTCCTCGTGGTGGAAGTCAGAGAAGCAGGCGACACTGGCTGCAGAGTAACCAGCCCTTACTGCGGATGTTTCTGAGCTACTGCAGCCTGCACGGCTCACACGGAGGAGGGCTGGCCTCTGTTCGCATGGAGCTCATACTGTTGCTGCAGGAGTCTCACCAGGTAATTCAAAACGGGCACAGACACAGACACACACTTAGGACCACTAACTACAGCTACCACTAAGAAAGAAAGCTGTCTGATTTAGCCTGTGAGGGGAAGTTAAAAAAGAAAAAAGTAAATCATGAATAAGTCAACTAAGTGGCATCTCTGAACTGCTGGTAGGACTTGTGGTTACAGGGGGGGTGATGTTTCAAGTGTTAACTGTTCCTGCAGTCTCTTTTAATGTATTGTTTGTTCATATGCAAAGCAAAATAATTGTTTTTCTCAGCTTCAAGGATGCTTGATTTCTTTTCTTGTCGCAAACCTTTTTGTTACTCGTCAAACTAGGCTATAACTATCATAGTTATGTCTAACAGTGGAGACAGTACAAAGATTATTTGTCTGATGCATGTGCACTCTGAATATTCCCCATAAATAGATGAAATGGGGCATCATTCTTATTGGATATTAAGAGATAGTGAGGAACAATGGTAAACGTTAACACAGTATTTTAATATTTGCAAACAAATACAGAAAAATAATAGCTATCATTGTAAAATAAAACCTTCACACCAGCTAAGTCACACACCTGCAGAATATTTAACCTGTTCCCATATTCTCTTTGAAGAGAAAGATACTGACTAAATAAGGGCTAAGGTATGAAAGATGAACATGACGCCCTCTGAAAGCTTTTCTTAATGCAACCAGATATCCCGGACGCACACAGTCACGCACTCTTACATGCACACTTTCACACATACCTGCATAGACCTACTTACTCTGCACTGGATATCATCTGCACACCTCCAGCAATAGGCTGACAGGATGTGCTGATTCTCCCAGCTCCTGAGGGACGGTCTGCCGTAGGCTGACTATTAGAAGGTTGAGTTGAATTTTAGGAGGTAAACAACCCAATGTGGCGCCAAGGGACGATACCCTTAAATGTTAGCACAGTGGATGGGTAGTGGGAGTCCTTTTTTACTCTTCCCTTTCATCCATAGATAAGAGCAGTTTCTTTATTACAGCTCTAGTCCCAGGGTTGTCAGATTTCTCCGCTGTTGTCAAGAAAATGTTTGTATTTCTCTTTGTTTTTACTTCAGCCGGAGTGGAGAGCTTCAGCTAAGGAGGTTAGTGACAACCAATTTCGAGTCATCAAGATTGACAAACAGAGGCCTGTGGTAGACTCTCACACACACAGAGCCCTGTTCTGGGATCAAGTAAAAGTCAGCCAGGCACCCTTTTACTGCCTTTTATGTTTTTTTGTAGCTTGTTAGACAAAGTTCACACATAAAGCAGACACAGATCATATTCTCTTTCTGTTTATTCATTATGGCTCAGGCTACAGCTGTTCAAGGTGCCAAGCAGTACATCTAATGTGACTTGAGTGCAATGTGTCTTTGTGTATTTGTGTGCTGCACATGGTCAATAGAGTTCTCTTTAAAGGTATTTTTGTTAAACTTTCACCTCCAGGATGACTCCCTCCAATCAACAGTAACGCCCCAACCAACATCCATCCCTCTTCTGATGGCCTGCACAGCCAACGTAAAGACAGTGGTGGCCAATCCCATCGTCTACCTGACCAACCTTACCCATGACATCCTGCAGACCATCAATGCTTTTGACTCTCCTCCCCATCCTGATGTTATCAACAATGAGGTGTGACACTTTTTGGTTTTATTTATCAATGTGCAATCCTGTTTATGGTGATTTGAGACATGGGTGTTTCATCTTGAGTTAAAACATGGAGGACCAAAGGGACATTCTGGTGTAAATTTGAGTTATGGTCAAACACACTGTAAGACCAAGCTAGACATGTTGCCGACAGCTTGCTTCTCTAGTTATAACAACTTTAGTAACGACCACATGGTCCACAGCAGCCTATGGCTCCACGCGCACACCTCAACCAAAACACCACTCTAGAACCACAAATAATGCTCAGAACAGCACCCAACTTCATCAACAGTACATATAGGGTCCCAGCCACAGCACTAGCCATCAAACATCTTTTTAGCTTTGCCTAATTTCTTTAGCAAATAGACTAAACACATCTCACCCACTCTCCTCCAGCACCTGCTTGTTTGTGGGGGAGCCCTGACGAGTCGATCACCGAGTGCAGCGAATCATTTCCATGAAGTAATAATCATCATAATAATAAGCGGGAGTTCTTCTGCTTTAGCGTCTTGGTCCGAAGAAATTATCATAAATGTTCTTCCTTGAGCTGTGAAACTCCCGTTTTACTGTGTTGTTACATTGTGTTTGACCATAACCTAAATTTACGCCGGACTATCCCTCTAACTCTGCCTTTGCCATTTTATTGTTGTAACTTTTAGACAAATCTCTAATGAATGCCTCTATAAATTCATTGGTCATGAAGAGGCCTTAATATAACATTGGCAACAATTTCTGACATTGCTGTTTATCTGTGTATGGTTCAGATTGTTTGTCTGAATTCCAAACCCTTATTTCTGCTGGTTTTCCACCCTTTGCCTCACCTCAGATCTACGTGCTGCACACGTTGGCCGCCTCCTTGTCAGCTAGTATATACCAGTGTTTATGCGATGGGCACACCCACAGGTAAGGGCCTCACCTGTTATGTTGCAGCAACATGATCAGCAGCTTTTTACTGAACTTTAAATAATTCACAAACCCTGTGCTTTTTCCTCATTGTCCATTTTGCCACAATGATGTAGGGATCATGGGAAATAAATCTGTGCAGATCTGAGCCCTGTGTTTGAAAAAAGGCTTTTAAGCAGCCTGACTCAAAAAGGTTTGGGTTGGTAATGGGGATCTACGGCATTGCACTACTCTGAACAAGCTTCTTGAATTCTTTATAAGACTTTAAGACAAATGTGATGCTTAAATTTGTTACAACTTTCTCATTTTCCACCACATTCACCTCAACACAATACCATGAACAGCACTGGCTTCCATTGGAATATTTATCTATCAAGAGTGATCTGAATTTGGTTTCCCTTTTTAATAATATTCAAAACACAGAATGCTGGTGAAAAAATAACCATAATTTATGTCCTCTGGTTTTATTTGTGAGTTTGTGTGTTGTGTTAGAGGGTTTCTAGACTTATTGGAGCAGAATGATAAGAGATAAGGGGGAAGGGACATGACTACTGGCAACCAAGCATACTTTAAAATAAAAGGGTAATGCACACATACATCTCAAGTCAGACTCTGCAATTGCAACAGCAAAGTGCAAAATGCTTTTCAAGTCGTCCCAGGCTTTGTTTATGGAAATTCTTCTCAGCACATGCTTTAGGCTGTTTTTATAAAGCGCTTTAGTGGCATGATTTGAGACATGGAAAAGGGGGAAATGTTGCAAGTTTGAAAACCAAAAAAACGACAGTCACTTGTCTGTTTTGATCATGTTGAGAGTGATTTTTGAAAGTGTTGTTTGTCATCCGTCATTTGTATTGTAAATACTTAATTAGAATTTGGGGTTTTGACAGATGTGAGGATCATGATTTATTAAAGATGTGTACGTCATATAACAACACATCACTTAGACACCAACATGGTCAGACCTAAACTCTGTGAAAAAGTGTTTTTGTTTTAAAATCTCATTTGGCTCGGAGCGGTGCTGCTCTGTGAGTCCCTGTCACTGTTCTGCCAGATTTGTGCTTTGATTTTTGATGTTGTATAGAAGCCTTCACTTATGCTTGACCTGACTGGGACCTCAACAGCCACAGTGGCGCAACCCCACAGATAGAACTGCTTGTAAAAAGTTAAATAATGTGTCAAAAAAGCTCTTCCCGAGCTTCATTATTCTTTCAGAGTAACCTCTCTGACCTTACACAACTCCAGGGAATGTGGTTTAAATGAGCACTTAGTTTAGCATCTTTCTTATGAACAAGAGACTTTACACAAGTGTGCACACACACACCTATCACATGCTGTTTGTCAGTTGAGCAGACTCACCAAATTAGCACGGCTATTTCTAATTCAACACTGCCTTTGTTATGGTAATTACGATCTAAACTCTCCTGGTGCATCGCTGCAGAGATTTGATGAAATGTTGCTCCTGCTTTTTCCTCGGGAGTGTGATCGGCAGGACGAGTAAAAGAGAGGCTTCTTTTTAAATGTACTCCAGGATGCAGGTTTCAAGAGTGTCACCATCAAGTTGATGGTGTTTAGGCAGGCTGTGTATACTCTTCTCTCTCTTATCACATTATGGACAGTAGAATTTAATTGACACAGCCGTTTCTGTATCTCTGGGGTTACGCAAGAGTGAATTTGTTGTGAGAGTTGCATAAAGACGACAATCACTACCTCTGACTGATGTTCTCTCTGATTTTTGAATTCTTTTTCACACAGAAGCACCAATTTCTCCACAAAAAGCTTAAAAGGGAGCTAATTGGATGTTATCAACCTAATAGACTCTCTGGCGGTTTGAGCATCTCATAAACTTCGTCAAATTTTCCTCCTCAACCATCCAAGGTTCTTTTTGTGCGCTCGCATTGAAAAGCTACTTGACGTGAGAATGAGAGTGCTGACACTTTATTCATCAGTGAAGTGTTTCTTCATGTTCTGAGCTGAATAGATAGGCAGGTAACCCGAGATAGAGCCCATTAGTATTTCATGCACTGACAGAACAAAGTTTGACAGCTGGGCCTCTTACTTCAGAACAAAGATAGAACATTTGAAGTAAAATATTTAGACTTTTTTTTTTTTTTTTTTACAGATCTCACCCCATTATTCACTTTTCACTCCAGGGTTTCATGTTTAATGTAAATATTCTGCATCGCGCACTCTTGCCGTCGTTGTCTGACTCTTTGCGTTGTTGTCTCTCGCAGCCACGTGAACCGTTTCACAGGTACTGTGTATCAGAGTGTGCTGTTGCCTCAGAAGCACCCAGTCAGAGCTCTCAGTCTGGATGAGTCTGTTCAGCCTAACACGTCCCCTGCACAGTGGCCAGGTACAGCCGTGAAACACAACACATTATGCACCGATTTCATTGCTATTTCACAGGTTAAATATACAATCCGATAAGACGTATTTGTTATCCAGGCTTCCACTCAGGATCATTATTATTATTATTGTTATTGTTATTGTTATTGTTGTTATTGTTATTATTATTGTTGTTATTATTGTTATTGTTATTACTATCATTATTGTTATTGTTGTTATTATTATTGTTATTGTTATTATTGTTGTTATTATTATTACTATTATTATTATTATTATTATTAAGATGTTATTAATATTTATTTCATCATCTGAGTTGTTAGTGATTTTCATGGTTTTGTAATTTTTTTTAACACTGTATTTGTAATTTAAAAACAAACATATTCTCTGTATTACAAATATCAAATAACTATAACAAACAGTCCCGACAATAGACAGAGACGGATCAATGTCAAAGTCAGCTTTATTTATGTAGCATGTTTAAAAACAGCCAGTGGCCTACCAAAGTACTTTACAGTAAAATAGCCAGAAGCAATAATAAACAATAAAAACTATAAAACAGTAAAAGCATAAAACATATAAAAACATAAAACAACAATAAAGATAAACATGGCAAATAAATAAAAGACCTAATAAAAGTAACTATGGTTCCCCAGTAGATCAAACCCGAGATCCATGTGACAAACTAGTCAAAGACAAAAGACAGGCAAAAACAAGTAGAAAAAACAGACAAATAAACAAAAAAAGTGCACTGAATACTTCTTATTACAGAATTTGTTTAAGAGCAGATGTAATGTTTCAGAGTTCCAGTTCCTTTGTTTTTTTTTTACTCCTTTCTTCTGTCTCTTTCTGTGGTTTTACTCTCCTCCCTCCCCTTCCCCCCTGTTTTCAGGAATCGCCTCTCTGATACGCCTGTTGAGCTCGGCAGGTGAGGAGAGTCAGCCAGGCTTAACCATGCTGCTGTGCGAGATCCTCACCGCCGTCTACCTCAGTCTGTTCGTCCATGGCTTGGCCACTCACTCCAGCAACGAGCTCTTCCGCATCGTGGCACACCCACTCAGCAGTAAGCTCTGGGTGATGGTGTTCGGAGGGGGTGCCCGGGCACCTGTCATAGAAAAGCTCACCAGCCCTACAAGATCACCCCCACCTGGTGAGGAGGGATTAGTTAGGATGATCCAGTTTCCTCTCTGACAGTCCGCCTGACAGGCTGAGTGTCTGTCTTTTTTTTCTTGTGGAGGTGACCCAGCAGCTAAATCGAATCAGTCCTGCTAAATTAATTGGGTTCCAGTCTGTAGGTCATAGTGAAACCCATCCACCTATTAGTGAGGGAGCAGTTCCCATCACAAACTGTTTGAGCTCTCTTATGGTATGCAGAAAAAAACCTGATGTAATGTAGCTGAAACTCCTGTTTAGACGAGGAATGTAGACATTTCAAACCACTGTTTATATGTTTAATATTTTTCAGTGTGTCAGGCTGATGTAATCCTCACTAGAATATAAAACAAAAAAAAACATGTCAGGCTCTGTTATGTGTATACGTTCAAATGGGAGGCTCGTGACGGGAGCTTTATTTAAGTGTGCAGCAGTTTAACAAACACTCTCTTCACACCCCAGCCTCACCAAGCGGCTCAGACAAGAAGTCCAGACGTTTCAGGCTGCTGTCATCCCGCAGTGGATCAAAGGAGGAGTCAGGGATAGAGCGTGAGGGACCGTCTAGTCCCAGACACATCCATGTGGTGGAACAAGAAGCTCCCCCCATCTTTAAAGAGAGATTTGTCCCTCCAGAGCTGAGTATTTGGGATTACTTTATTGCAAAGGTAATCTATAGTATCAACCACAAAAACCTCTTCAAAGCATGACACTTCAGTCTTGTTGCACTCTTACTCTAATAAGCATGGCATACATATCTTACCTTCTCATGGGGATATTGTTCTCATATATGGTTTGTATTCAACACACGGTAATAAAGTTGTAGTTTGTAATTTATCTACTTCAAATCTTCTGGTATTTCATTGCTGTTGATGTGTCTTTCAGCCGTCACTGCCACCATCAGAAAGCAGGATTGAATATGACTCGGAGGAGAGCCAGGGCAGCCAAGATGAGGATGAAGAGGATGATGAATTTGAAGATGTGTTTGACCCCAACTCTCCACAAAGAGAGCATTCCAACCACAATTCATACAGGTAATGACAGCCTTTTGTGGATATAACTGCAGGGAGTGACCCATCCTCACCCCATTTCCCGCTGCCTACAGTAAGAGGACTCTTTTCAGTTTTTACGCTTCGACTCTTAATCTGATTTCTGATGCTGTTCTCTCCTCCCAGTTGGTGTTTGATGCGTTTGGCCATGGTTCAGCTCGTGTTGGTCAACCTCAAATCCTTTTACCCGATGGCAGGATATGATCTATTGGGTAAACACTCAAATATGCCATGTACCTTCTGATGTACTAACACTCAGGACGTAGCTTTTATTCAGCCATCCCATTTCTCTCAGCTTGTCTCTGCTAATCTCATTACCCTCTTGTTTATGTGTGCCTGCTTCCATTAAACACAGATCTGCCTGTGGGCTCTCCTCTGTGTCACGCTGTGCTGAAGACGCTGCAGCGCTGGGAGCAGGTGCTGCAGAAAAGGCTGGAGATTTTCGGGGGCCCTCCCTCCAAGTACATCTCCACCCACCTCCACGATGAGGCGACCACACCTGGACCTGCCTTGCTTAGACACAAGGCCCTGTTTGAACCGTCGAACACCCCATTCAGGTACCATGATCCTAAACTTAGATTGAATTTGCATCATTGAGTCATGTCTGCACAGACAAACAGCTTTTGTATCTTCTTTTGTAGAAGTCAAAATATATAAAAATACCCTTCAGCTTCTAAAGACCATAAATTAAAGACCCATTCCGATGAAAATCATGTTTTTCTTGTTTTTTAAATATTCGTATGGCATCTGATGCTACAGGACATATCATGAGAAAACTAAATGCGAAAATTGCTTTTCTGAGTATTTCTCCATTTAAATCACTGTGAATCTCTGGCAGACCCAAACGGCAGGTTCAGAAACAGTGAGATTTCATACGTAACCAATCCAAGCTCCGCCCCCTTAGCCCCGCTTTGCAGGTAACACTGCATATAGAGGAGAAATACAGAGGACGATCGCGGAACAACTGTGTGCGTTAGTGGATTGCAATGCTTGCAAGAAGGCTAATTATGATATTAGCTTTCATTATTTCCCTAAAGGCGTTAGTGTCGGAGAGCTGAATAACTCTTGTGTTACTTGCCACCTCTACTACACCGGCAATGTTAGGCTGCAAGCTAGCGTGAAGACAAGTGTGCAGAGCAGCGCTGTCTCTGCCCACGACTCAAAAGGAAATTGCTAATGATCTACTGGAGCTCTGCAAAAGAAAAGTCCTTGAAAATGACAGATTTTGGTTAAAACTTCATTATCACAATGTAAAGACCACCGATAACACTTGAAGTAGTAAAAAAACACGATCGGAGTGGGACTTTAAAGTTAACTTGATGCTTTTTAACTGTTAATGGTTTGCTCCAAGCACCATTTTCAAGACAAAAATGCCTCCATACTAGTAAAACGTATCCACATAGATTAAAGCCATTACCCGCCAGCAGATGTGACCCCTGCAGATTTTCTCTGCAGGGCTTTAAAGTCCTCAGAGGAACATTTACTGTGCATGTTTTTGATGGGGTTTTTTCGCCTCAAGCATCAGATATGTGGAGTTTTCAGATCAGCACCAATGGGCCTCGTGCTTCGCTGAACTGATCCGACTGATTTAATGAGCGTTAGCGTTAATATGCAGGAGGTGTTCTGTCATTTTTTCAGGACCAGCCACCCTTCAGCGCTGCCAGTGAAGCGTCTGTGGCAGTATCTGGTCAAGCAGGAAGAAGTGCAGGAGACTTTTATTAGAAACATCTTCGCGAAGAAACGGGACCCAAATGAGGTACACCATGTTGACACTGTTCCTGTCACACAGCATGAGCTGTCTCCACGTCACACAGCTAGCTCATTGTATCACTTGTCAATGAATAACACATTAACTGTTTCATCATGATCCAGTCCCTCCCAGCAAGCTGCACCATTATTGCTTTTACATCCCCCTCTAGTGCAGTTGTGCTTCCTTTGTGCCGCAAACCAACAACTTGTAATATTGGCTGCATGTTGATGCTTTCATTGTACTCAAATAATTATGCACCTTGTTTAATTAACAGCACAATAATCCCGTCTGTCTCTGTGTGTATGACTGCATGGATCACCATGGTTGTTGTATGTTGTGTGTGTGTTTGTGTGTGTGTGTTTTGTGTGTATGTCATCACTCTATGCTGCTGCTTCAATCATTAAAGTCGGGTGAGGACCAGACAGACAATCTGAAATATTCAGGGATGGAGGAGACAGGAAACCATCAGGTACTGCCTCTTCAAATAAGCTGATATTGGGGTGAATATAGTCTGATATCAAAAGTTTGTATTTTATGCTGCTGAGTGTAATTCCTGCACTAACTCTGCTGTCTTCAAACCAAACTGAGCATGACTGTCTCAAGTTAGAATATGAAAAAGTTGATTTTCGGCACTAACGTTTGAGAAAAGGTAGTCGTTTCCTTTCAAAGATGGCACAGATGGTTCTGTGCCTGCTAATTAAATCCATAAACTTGAATGTTTCCTAAGTGAAGCTACCCTGTTACCCTCTGTTTGTGGTCTATCATTAAAAAAAACACACCTTCAGTGTTTACTGCGTTAAAGGTGAAAGAATAGCTTCAGATTAATTGGGCCAAAGGAAAAGCTAAGCACGCTCACATTATGTGACACAAACCAGAGCAGCACTCGGTAGGTGGTGTCATTATCACACCTAAAATTGAGTGAGGCTGGTTGTGATAACTAACAAAGCAGAACTGAATCATTAATCTAAGTTTCTAAGAACCAGCATGTAGCAGGAAATTGGCAAAGTTTTAACAGGGTGTATTTGTATTTTTTCATCTGCATGTTCACAAGAGTGTATGATGTTTGTATTTTAAATAATTCTTCTGATTTGTCAAGAGCGATGAGGAATTCTGTGCTCTCGGCTGATGTGGAGAAATGTTACGAAAGATCTTTCACCGCTGCTCTGGAGTGTGGGTGGTTCAAACTGCACCGATGATTAGATCTTGTGTGCCACAGATTTGCCTCGTACAGTAAAATAAAAATGCTGGAATGTCACATGTGATCAGAGAAATTGTAACATAGGGATTGTGACAGAATGACAGTATGTGTACTATACTATACTACAGGCCATGAACTCTATATGTTCCCATCAATGCTTGTTACTCTTCCTACATTCAGCTGTCTAAATATTCATGTCAATGGGAGCCATAAATCTTGAATTCCACTGTAAACTGATGTCTCAAAGAGGTTTACTAATCTCCTGGCTCTCACTGTGCAAGCTGCCACAATGTAGCCCCTCCATTTGGTCCATGTTAATTAACCCAGTCTCTCTGAGGAAGAGCTATGAAGCTGAATATCTTCTGATGAATGGGTCCAACACTGTCGCAGTGAATCTGCGGCCCACAGGGATTATGTGCTATGTGAAAATGGCAAACCACCATATTTAGATTTCTGCAAGTCAAGTTTTTCTTTATTTCTTATGACAGAAAAAGACATGCTGTTTTCCCCTTGAATAAACGCATTACAGAGTTTAATTCAATCTCGCTCTCAAAGGGTGCCTGTCTTGTTTGAAATAACTATGGCATCAAAAGTAACAGTCCTATACAATATGCAGCTGCAGTACAATCTACCCTCCTAATGCATGCATCCCATAGGAGCTCTTGGATGGTACAGCGTGCATGCCTCTTTGTCAAACTATATTTAATTGTGCCAACCCTGTAATCTCTGCTGCTGTGGTGTTACCTGGTTCTCTTTACATGTCCCCTCTGTCTCCCTGAAGGCAGCACAAACAAACACACAAATTGAATAGGGAGCAAAGAACAAAGAGTGGAGTTCATTTATTCTGCAGCATAGAGGGAGGGAATTGTGTCCAGAGTAATCGCTGATGTTTTCTGATACTTCAACTGTAATGATTGGATCTCTCTACCTCTGCGCAGACTGAGTCAGACCTGAGCAGCCCTGGAGGAAAGGCACGCATCATCCACAAGGAATCTGACATTATCACAGCTTTCGCCATCAACAAGGTACAGCAGAGATGTCGCTGACTGTTACACAAGCTGTGAGAGAGGCATGAGGACGAGCAAAGATAGGTCACGGATCAAATTCAAACCCTGTCCATCTGAAGAAGTACAGGGCCAAAACCCAGTTCGGTTATCTCTCTACATAAGTTTTCTTGTGTTTTAACTCCATTAAATACACAACACTGTTAGTATCAAACCCATGAACAGTCTGACAAACTTAAAAGACATTGAAGAGAAAAGGGTCATAAGAAGAAACACTCAATATCTGAGTGTCTGAACAGAGGCAGAGGACAAATTCCCTGTTTCATCAACCATGAAGTCAATCAAATCATCAGTCCACAGCCAGAACTCTGTCCTTCAGATTTTATTACATAGATGGAAAAATAATAGACTTCTTTTTTGATATTAAATATAAAAGGTGGCACTTGAGAGTTTTCACCAAACACTCTTTAGCCCTCCTTTGCGTTTTATATCTTTCAGCTCATTGTTTAGTTTTGTTTTTTGGCGCGTAACTCTGTTTTCATTTTGATTTATAGCTCTCATTTACCAGGCAGATGTTTAAAGCTCTTATAAAACTAATTATTCCACCTTGTCCAGCACGGCAGCAGATTAACATAATTAACCACAAGTTTTTAATACAAGCGAACCATAGAGATAGATTTCCTGAAGAAGTTTAGACCGCAGACGCAGCTAAAGGTGTAAATTACTATATGGATGTGCAGCTGGGAAGACACCCACGGAAAAGTACACTTATGTTGCTCCTTAATTTCAATTCTCTGCTCTGTGCGTGAAGTTGATGCTGTCGACCAACAAGTACTGCACAACTGCACAAGTTCAGCTGATTAAGTAAACAGAATGAGAAAAACCTGAGCACAGCTTCTACAGTATAAAGTCAAAGCACAGACCTCAAAGCAAGTAGGTTGTTGTTTTGGCCTGTAGCACAGCTCTGACACCATGTAGCCTTTATCATGTTGTTTAGACCGCAGTGTCTTCACTTCATATAGATTCAAGTTCACTTTGTGATACTCCATAGCTCTTTATTTCATTATGTGTTGCTCTGCTTGTTTTCATCTCAACAAAAATCAAAGGATGGTGCACCTCAGGTCATCACTAAGAGCAGGCTGCTGTATGGCTTTGACACCGCAGGCAGAATAAAGTAAAGATAAAAGTTTGTTTTTAGCTCCTTTATGAACTGACTTTAAAAACTCTCTCCTCCCTTTTTTCTCCCCTCTGTCACCCGACTTCTGTTTTCCATCGGACTATCAGGCAAACCGTAATTGCCTAGTCATGGCCTCCACCCATGACATTCAGGAGCTGGATGTGTCATCCATCTTGGCCACACAGATCCTAACATGGATCGATGATGACGAGGCTGAAACTAAAGGGTAAGAGATCAATGCCGCGTTTGTCTGCTCATTTGTGTGCTTGCATGTGGATGTTGAACTCGTCGAGGCCATCAGCTGTGAGGGTTCAAGCAGAGTACCATCAAGTCAAATCTTCACCCTCGTACCAACAGAGCCAAATTTGAGAGTGGGTGTTTAACAGATTGATCGTGTAGGTGGAGTAAATGCTGCATTGTGTGTTTAGGTTTGAATGTGCAGCTTTGTAAACTTGTGTCTGTATATAACTGTCTTTAAGATATTAGTAAAAGATGCTAGCATGTTTAAATGGAGTTCCTGCACATACTCACTGCTGTTATTTCATTATTTATAAATTAACAAATTATAAAAACACATATATCTATTTATGCACCAAAAACCTTTGGTATCCTCTTCCTCTCAATAGTTCATCCATTAAATTGACATCACAACCTTGATTATCATCTGTCTCTGCAGTGTTGGCGGGGATGACTTCCTGGTGATTCATGCACGTGACGATTGCGCCGCCCTCCACGGCACCACACCGTACACCCACAGTAGCCTGGGCACGCCCATCAACATGCCGTGGTTAGGAGGCGTACAGACGGGACGGGGTGCATCTGTGGTGAGCTCTAGACCTGAATTCGTATGTCATGATTTTAACTAAACTAAGTGTGAGTCTCTTGTTTGCTGCATTTGTTCCTTAAAAGGCTGTTCCTGTTATTTGGTGGTTCAAGAGCCATTAGCAGCTCATTTCTTGTATCAATCAATCAATCAATCAAATTTTATTTATATAGCACTTTACAATATCCCAAATGGTACCCAAAGTGCTTTACATAAAAGCAATAAAATAACACAAGAAAAAATACCATTATAAAATAATACAATAGAATAGAATAATACAAGAACGATGAAATAATAAAAATGAATATGAAAATAAAATAATACAATAAAATAGTATGTAGAAGTGCTAAAAACCTATAAGTACAGGACTACCTAGTCAGAGTTAAAAGCAAGTCTAAAAAGGTGCGTCTTTAACTTTGATTTAAATAAACTGAGGTCAGTGGTGGTGCGTACATCTAGCGGCAGTCTGTTCCACAGCCTAGGAGCTGCAACAGCAAAAGAACGATCACCCCACTGTTTGAGTTTTGACCTCGGGACCTCCAACAGGCGCTGACCGGAGGAACGGAGGGCCCTGCCATGACCGCGAACAGTTAAAATCTCTGACAGGTAGGAGGGGGCCAGGCCATTTATGGCATAAAAAGTAAATAATAAAAGTTTAAAGTCAATTCTAAAACAAACTGGAAGCCAGTGTAGCGAAGACAGCACAGGGGTGATGTGTTCACGCCTAGACGTGCCCGTTAAAAATCGTGCAGCAGCGTTCTGTACAAGCTGGAGACGGGAGATTAAAGACTGGCTGAGGCCAACATAAAGGGCATTACAATAGTCCAGTCTGGAACTGATGAAGGCATGGATTGCCTTCTCGAGGTCCTGCCGACTTAAAAAGGACTTCACTTTGGCCAGGAGACGCAGTTGAAAAAAGCTGGTACTGACGACAGATCTAATCTGTTTATCGAACTTAAGTCCACTGTCAAATGTTACCCCCAGATTCTTTACATGTGGCTTGAAAAAAGGCGCCAGATTTCCAGAGTCTGTAATCGAAACGTTTGATATCGATGGCGTGCCAAATAAAATACACTCAGTTTTGCTGTCATTTAGGTGCAAAAAGTTCAGAGCCAACCACTGTTTTACTTCAGTAATACAGTCCAGTAAGTGAGAAAGTGCACTGTTCTCGTTGGGTCGCATGGGCAAATATAACTGTAAGTCATCAGCATACGAATGAAAAGACAGATTGTATTTTCTTATAATTGATCCCAGGGGTAGTAAATACAAAGAGAACAGAATAGGGCCAAGAATAGAGCCCTGTGGCACCCCACAAGAGAGAGGCGCCTGTGAGGAGCAGAGGTCACCAATCATCACGGAAAAACTCCTATCTGCCAGGTACGACTTAAACCATTTGAGAGCGGTGCCACGGATGCCTACATACTGCTCAAGGCGAGATACAAGGATTGCATGATCGACTGTATCAAAAGCCGCTGTGAGGTCCAGCAGGACCAGCACAGCGGGGTTTCCAGCATCCACGGACAGGGCAATATCATTATGTACCTTTAACAGTGCTGACTCAGTGCTATGTCGAGACCTGAAACCAGACTGAAATTTATCAAGAACAGAATTTACCTCTAAAAATGCATGCAATTGAAAGGAGACAACTTTTTCCAAAACCTTAGAAAGAAATGGCAGGTGGGAGACAGGCCTAAAATTGGACAGCACAGTGGGGTCAAGATGCGTTTTTTGAGGAGGGGCCTAACCACAGCATGTTTGAAAGCAGCTGGGACAGACCCTGAGCTAAGACAGGTGTTGATAAAAAACAGCAAGCTTGATCCAACAGAACTAAATACCTCCTTTAGAAACTTGGCTGGAATAATGTCTAAGGGACAGTTAGTGGGTTTTTAAGCCACTAACCACCTTAGTGAGAGACGGCAGAGAAATTGTTTCGAAGTTCTCAAAAACAGCAGATAGTGCAGGAGGAGTACACACATCATTGGGGGACGTTAACATATAACTGATATTCTGCCTGACTGATGCCACTTTGTCTATGAAGAAAGAGGCAAACTCTTCACAGGTGGAGGAGGAGGCATCAGACAGGACAGTAGAGCATGGGTTAATAACAGAGTCAATCGTGCTAAATAGTACTCTCGGATGATTAGAGCTGTTGGCTATAACAGAGGACAAATATTTGGACTTTGCCTCCTTCACAGCTCTCTGATAAGCAGCCAAACTGTCCCTTAACCAACCCAGCGAGACATGCAGTTTGTCCTTTTTCCACCGCCGCTCAGCCTGTCTGCATTGTTGTCTGAGCAGACGGGTGTGGTCGTTTAACCAGGGATCAGCCTTGGTTTTGGTGATTTTTTTGCCGAAAAGGGGCAACAGAATCCAGAATTTCAGAGCATGTAGAGTGAAATGTGGAGAGCAGGGTGTCCGGACAGAGGGAGGGGACCAGTCCACTGTCAGCATGCATCTGAGAGTTCCCAAAGGCGATAGCAAACTCTCTGGCCGTTGATGGAGTGAAGATACGGCGTCTACAGGCTGGGGAAATGGGTTTGTTGGGAGGTGGGGGGGCAACAACATCAAAAACAATCGGAAGATGATCCAAGATAGCAGTGTCGACTATTTCTCTAAGGGAAACTGAAAGCCCACGAGAAATGACAAGGTCAAGAGTGTGCCCGTGTTCGTGTGTTGGTGCATTTACAGATTGAGTGAGGCCACACGAGTCCAAAAGGCCTTTAAACTCATTCGCAAGTTGATTTGCTGCACAACAAACATGAATATTAAAGTCCCCACAAATCAATATTTTATCAAACTTGGGAATTACATCAAACAAGAACTCAGAGAACTCTTGGAGAAAGTTCTTGTTAAAATTGGGTGGGCGATAAACTGTGGCACACAGCACAGGACACGAGAGGTCGATCACAAACAACTGCAGCTCAAAGGTGGAGTAATTATTAGCCTTTATTATTTTGCATCTGAAGGTCTCTTTGAATATAGCAGCCACACCGCCACCACGACCGGTAGCACGGGGGGTGCTGAAGAAGGAGCAGCCGGGTGGGAGGAGCTCCGAGAAAACACCGATCTCACCTGGTTTTAACCAAGTCTCTGTCAGCAGGAGGAAATCCAATTCGCGGGTAGCGAAAAAGTCGTTCAAAATAAATGTCTTATTCGCGAGAGATCTGGCGTTTAACAGCGCCATATGAGCTGCGTATCGACCAGTCAGGCGAGAGAAGCGGCTGAGCGGGCGGAGATTCCCCGGCACACAGCCCCGCTGGGAGATCCGCACTGGCCGACAACACGGGAGCAAAACCCCGGTGTCCCGGAGAACTGGCCGGAGCCAGCGATATCTGTACTCCGTGGAGCTCCGTAGATCGTATCCGTTGTAGTCTGCGAGGGATCCAGCTGGCAAGCGACGGGGATCGTGGACGGAAGCCAGATAAGCTTTCACTTTAACAAGGATCCCTCCTCGCTTTCTCCGTCTTCTGCGGCGACTTTTGCGAGGTAAGCAACAGGAGAGACGCCGAAGATGCGGCGGTATAGACGCCAGGAGAGGAGGCGGCGTCTTTGAATGGCCATCAGAGCCACAGATTATTGACTTTCCAACAGAGTCCCGAATATTAAGAAGTGTCAGGCGATCATACACCCGCAGCGGTGACACAATCCGTGCAACAAACAGTGAGCACAAGATAAACAGCAATACAAGCAACAGTGGGAGACGGACAGCCAAACACAGGGGCGCCATCTTGGATCTTGGTTCCTCTTGTAGCAGTTTTCTAAGCGCTTACCTATCGGTTTGTAGGGGTGGGAGAAAAAATCGATACAGCATAGTATCGCGATATTTTGTCTGGTGATAATAATGGAAAAATAAAATCAACTGTTTGTCCAGTGAGGTTGGCAGAGGTGACATCATAGAGGAGAAAGTTAGTGCAACAAATTTTTAAAAGGTTTGCAAGATGTGCTACATGAAAATATAACACAGCGTAAATAAGACAAACATAAAGGAAAGACAAATGCTAAATTAGCTAAACAGTTGATAAAAATTATGGAAATGGCAATATATCGTATCTCAATACTCACTGTATTGCAAAATGTTGAAAATCGCGATTAATATCGTATCGTGGCCCAAGTATTGTGATAATATCGTATCGTGGGGCCTCTGGTGATTCCCACCCCTATCAGTTCGGTTGGCTAGTATGCATACAGTAACTGCACAACATATCATCAAACAGAGTATCTGACAAAGTTTGTTCGAAACCTAAAAAAACAGCCGAAAGGATCCCTGAATATTCCACAGTGAACGATTTGATCATTACTTTTGCTTCGGTATGCTCTTTACTCCAGTTCTGGGGTGAACTGATGCTGTTTGTTGCTCTGGCTCTCTCCCACTTTGCACGTAAAGTGAAACCCTCCGAGCTGTTTAAAGAACTTTAATTAATAATTCATCTTTGTATGGGCTCAGTTTGCCAAAAGCATCATGGCTGCTAACATAAGCTCCCCTCATTGACTTACAAAGGAACAAAGATGTTGCTGACTGCTGCAGCTTGTGAGACAGTAGACCCAGACCTCTATCATTTTTGTGCTTATATAAAAGAAATAAGTCTGTGAGAGCTGTTCCTCTGAGCTGAGGAACTTGGCGTTTGCATCCTTGAGGGAGGCTGATTTGATTCTGGTGCCTTTAAAATTGAGTGCCTGTGAGTCATGTTTGTTGATATTAACCAGCTCGCTCATTGCTCTTGATATGCAGACTGGACAGTAAGATCCACTCTGAATACTAATTAGTTTATCAAACTGTCGGGCTTTGTGCTCAAGGTTGGAGAAGAACCAATGCTGAAACAATGATAGATAAAATCCCTGGCAGACATTTCTGTTAATGTCTATCTCTTTTCAGGCAGTGTTCATAACACTGGACAAGAATAGAAGAGAATAGAAGTTGAGACATGATACATTATAATGATGTATGTAGATAATGTATGTAGATGCCTCTCTATATCATGTAGAGGAACATTTCTGAGGCTCAATACTTGAAATGCTTTCACATGTTTTGGCCTTCACTAGAGGAGGGATTTTCTTTGTTGTCCTTTTTTCATTTTTGTTTCTTGTGACAGAGAGTAAAAATGGATTTACAGCCGTGTGATAGATGGTAGTCATACAGGGGGTGTTACAGTTGAAGTATGGTCTCTGTCGTCTCTGACATGAATAAGGCTCCTTAGTCTTTTTGTGACGCCCTCCTCAGACTGTTTCTCTTTAGTTCTGGTGTTTAGCAGATGGTCTTTGTTTACCACGTTTGTTCTTTTTTTTTTTTTTTTTTACCAAGGCTGAAAGACGTCATACACCTCTCCAGTTTTCTTTTGAAGTTCATAAATGAATCATCAGTGCCACTTTGAAAAGCAAAGTTCTTCTACAATCATCAAACAAGCATAAGAATGTGTTTTTATTCCTCTTTATACAGGCTTCCCTTTACTTACCTTTTAAAGAGTCTTTTTTAACAAAACAACTGTAGTGCAGAATAGGGCTGGGCAATAAACCGAAAATTTACAGATACCGCTTTTTACGACAATAACCGACATCATTTTGCTCATGTCAATATATTCGGTGTCAAAATGGATGTTTGTAGGTAGACTTTGGATCGCATGTCCCTTTAAGAGACATGACTCCACCCCATCCAGTCTGTAACAAAGAGGGGAAGACAGGTGAGGAGATGGAGGACGGTTCAAAAGTTGTAGCGGCTAGAGCAGTCAAAGTTAATGTGGGAGGGTGTGAGCAGCTTGTGGAGTAGCTATCGTCCATTTATCGTCGTCGATATGAACTGCTCAATATATCGTGATATTGATTAGAGGCCATATCGCCCAGCCCTTGTGCAGAACATTATCATTGCCAGGCAGTGTGACATTTACAGTATCAGATATCTTCTCAAGTTACAGCTCTTCATATTTCTCCAGATTATCAGGGAGCACATTAAAAGGTTTGTTAATAAGATTTTCAGGAAATAAAAAAGTGAGAAAAAAACACCTCTCCTACTGCAAGGAATGGTGTTTCTATTTCATCCACCGAGCAATGCACAAATCACATCTTAATCTGTAGGGAAGTCAGTCTACCCTTCTCATAAATCTCCTCAATAACTCTGAACCATTTATCTACCGTGGAGGCATCAGTCTGTAACTGTTTGTGCAGCAACAGTAAATAATTTCAGGAGCTATCAGGTCTTTCCTGTTCCTCCTTCGAGCAGATTTAATCCAAATGGAGTAAAGTCCAAACTTGAACCACCGTATAAACAATCCCTCACTTTTAAATTTTGGATTCCCAAGAGCAATGAAACATTTATTCATAAAACAGCTTTTCACAAAACTGCCAACCCAATATCAGATCCTTTTGTGCCTGTGTGTGTTGCCAGACTTGCAGAAAAACTCTGTAATAACCGAGGGAACTGATGAGAAAGTTTCTGTTTGGGTATCGACCAGAACATTTCATTCATTAAATCAGGCCTCAACTGCGGGTTAACCTTCAGAATGGTTATTGATTTCGCCTCGGTCCTTTCTGTAAAATCCCTTTTCTATTTGAGTGAGGCCGCTCTATTGAAATGAGATTTTAAAAAACTGATATTATTTCAACAGAGGAAGCTAGGAGCGAGTGTATTTTTATGTGTACAGTGTGCGTCTTCTCTGTTGTGAAGAATGAGCCTTAACCGAAACAAGAGCCTGTATTGTTTCCCACTTTTAGTCATCTCCCCTCTTCGCTTTCCTTCACTCCCAGATGATCAAGAGAAATATCAACAACGTGAGACGAATGACCTCCCATCCCACGCTGCCCTACTGTAAGTATGACTCTGATGTCTGTCAGTAAATCAGAGGAGCATTTACCTCATAGAAGTGCTTTCAGCGCTTCATATTTCTGCTTTGGAAAAGAGCCTTGTGGGGGAGATTACATCACCCCAAAAGTTTCTCTTGTTTAGGTATTTTTATAGTTATTTCTCCTCTGGCCCACTGGTGCTGTTGGTTTAGACACGGCTGAAAGAGCGCTACATATCACTACCTTGTTTTCTCCAGTCAAACAGCAGAGTGGGGATTAGGTTGTGAGGTGTCGTGAGAACCACTCTTGAAGCTTGTGTGAAATAAACATCATTTATAAATAAATAGATGATATTTTTAAGGGGGGGAGGGAGAAAGACATGCCAGAACCTCGTGTTGGGACCAGGGCACTCTTGGAGATGCCAATAAAGAGACATTTCGTTTTCCTTTTCTATTTTCAGACCTGACTGGAGCTCAGGACGGGAGCGTAAGGATGTTCGAGTGGGGTCACTCCCAGCAGATCATCTGCTTCAGGAGTCCGGGAAACTCCAGAGTCACCAGGATACGATTCAACCACCAGGGAAACAAGGTGAGAGAAGTGGCAATCACTCTGCGCCCACTCAGGACATTGAACACCAGACACAAGTCAAACTATTTTTACCTTTGCGACATGACTGCGTTGTGATGTGAGCCTGTCAGACGAAGCAACATTTTCACACCTCCTCTCCCAACGCTGCCATTCAGGCACGAAACACAGTGGGGAGTTTGGCTTCAGCACACATTGTTCCTCAGCTGAGTGATTCGAGTGCTCTAAACTCAAGGCGCTCGCCTCAAGCTAATAATTTTCTCAGATGTTGCTTCTCTTGTGCCAGTACAAGCTTATCTGCCTGTTCTGGCAAAAAAAGAGGGAAATATGCTCAAAAAAAATCATGCAGAGTGCTTGGATTCAGTTATGTAAGCAGTACTTGGACTTGTGAGGCGTGTTTGGGGAGATAATTTGAACACAATATAAATCACCTAGAAGGGAGTGAAGGATCTCAACAGGAGAGGAGGAGCAGCTGACGAGTCTTTTTTTTTGTCTTGTTAATTGAAACATAATTTTGACTGAGTTTGCGTCACCTTATATCTGAATGTTTTTGTCCAGTTTGGTATTGTAGATGCTGACGGAGGTCTGAGTCTCTGGCAGACCAACACCAGTGGAAACACACCCAAACCATACCTGGTAAGAAAAGCCTCACAGAGCTGATTAATGTGCTGCTGTCTCTCTTTCTGTCTTTCTTTCAAGTCTGGGCCTTTCTCGTGTCCTCTCGCCTCTGTCCTGTCATTCTCGTTTTTGTTTACCCCTCTCCAGCTCCTCTATTACTGTCTCTTTTGCTAACCGTCTTCTTTGTTTCTCCCTGCCAGACGCTGCAGTGCCACAACAAGACAGCTCACGACTTTGTCTTTGTGGGCTCCTCCTCACTCATCGCTACTGCCGGTCTCTCAACAGACAACAGGTAGAGGAGAAATTCCTCCCAGTCTCTCTGAAGAAATACTTTTTCATGAATATTTAATTAAATTCTATCTTTTGTCATTCAGCTTCAATATGGTGTGTCCAGTGGAGTTACTGCTATATGGCCTTTGGTTAGCTGTCTGAAAGTGTAGTGATTCAGCTTTGTTTGTTTCACAGAAATGTGTGTCTGTGGGACACTCTGGTTACTCCTGTGAACAGCCTTGTCCATGGTAAGATGCAGCATGAACAAATAAATACTCTTTCTGTTCTTGTGATTTTTAGTTTTTCTACTGTAACTAACAATTTGGAGAGTTTAGTAATTGTGAAAGGAATTTTTCAAGCATAAAGGCTAAAACATACAGGATCCGTATTGAGTACGTAACATCAGCGTCACATATTACGCAGCAAATAGTTTGCAATTTTAATCAATGAAGTATCGCACACAGGACGCGTATCAGCTCCGTCGCAGAAGCGTGTCAAGTGCGGCTCTGTTAAAGATACACGCCGAGTCTACTTTTGGTGTTCCACGCTTCCAACACGCATCAATTTACACAGAGAAGATCGTTCTAGTCAGAATGTCAAGCACAAAAACCCCAAATGTCATCCGGTAAATTTCAAAATAAAACATCATATGCGAACTCACAAGTGTGTATCAGTTTGTGCAGATGAGAAATACTTCCTGGTTATGGATTTATCAGTAAAACAGAACAATCTGATGGTCAATCCCTGATCCATGTGGACCCCAACAGGACTTTTAACTGCTAACTCTGTCTGAGGGTAACAACACAGCATAAAGGAACAAAGTTTACTTTATTAAACACGAGTAAACCTGCAAAAAACGAAACTGTAAAACCGTGTTGCTTTTTCACATACAGTAGAGGCTCAACGGTCGATGAATTATATCCAAATTAGCAGGAAATAGACCACAGAAAGGCAAAACAACCTGTTGTGAGCATGTTGTTTCCTCTAGCTCAGCTGAACAGGGATGCACCACGCTGCTGCCATGCTCGAAATACGCATCCTGTATGTGATACCCAGGGCTGCTCTACAGAGCAAATACTGAACCCGCTCAATACAGATCCTTTATGTCTTTTGGCTTACATCCTAGCTTCGTCTGTGTGTCTAATATTGCACGCTTTGCATGTTATTGCAAATTTAAATTGTTTCGTCTCTCTCCCTCATTAGCTTTCTGCTGCCACGAGTCCGGCGCCACTGTTCTGTCAATGGCCCCCAGGCAGCAGCTCCTCATCACAGGGGGTAGGAAGGGTTGGATTAGTGTCCTGGAGCTTCCCCACAGGCTCCAGCGGCAGAGCTTCCAGGCGCATGACTCGCCCGTCAAAGCGCTGGCTGTTGACCCCACAGAGGACTGCTTTATCAGTGGATCATCTGAAGGCAACATCAAGGTGTTTATTCACATCATTTTGCTCGCCTAAGGTCAATGAAATTGGATGAAATACTTTCAGAGGTAAAAAATCGGGGACATTTATTTGCAGTTTTTAAAGATTTGCTCTGCTGTCCATGAAAACCAGACAGTTTGTTCAGTTAAAAATGTTGTAGATCTTCATTTATCTTAATTTCAGATTAATGCATCAGATTTCATTTAGTGCTTTATCTGAGATCCTCAAAGCGCTTTACATTGGATACATCGTTCATTCGCACACACAGTCACACACCCCAGTGGTGGAAAATTACCTTAGTAGTCACAGCTGCTCTGCCCTGACGGAAACATGGCTGCCAGTTTGCACCTACGGCCTCTCCGACCACCGCCACACAACACTCACAATCATACACCAGTGGAGGACGCACACTAGGAGCAAGGTGGGTTAAGTGTCTTACCCAAAGACACAACGGACAGACTCAGGATAGGGGGGAATCGAACCGCCAACCTTCTGGTTATAGCTCAACCGCTCTACCTCCTGAGCTGCTGCCACCCATACTGTGATTTGTTTGAGAACAGTTACTCTCAAAACTTTGACATGGATCCTGAAAAACAGTTTTGATCATTTCTCCCCCACAAAGTTAACTTGTACCTGACAGAACCCGCGGGGAGTTTAGCACCCAGGTGAGAAAATCTCTGCCTGTCCTCCACATCAGCAATCAGATGACGGTTGCATTTATCCACAGAGACAGTGAGCGCCATCACAGTCAATCGAAACCAATGTCACACTCATGATTAACCACCTGCTCGGGACAACAGCATGAGTGATGGAGAGCAGAGTGTAAGGTGAAAGTAGGGTGACACGGGGGGAAGGCAAAGAAAAGCGTTTCGACCGAGCAGGCAGGAGATGTGACCGTCTTCGGCTAATATATTTCCACAGACAGCAGCTCTTTTATCTTTTCGACTTGAATGTGTTGGCGCAGATCACACAGCTGTCACTCCAAGGATGAAGCCACTGCGACACACGGAGCCGCACAAGAAATGATGCAGTGCACAGCTGCTTGAAATTCAAATGACTTTTGTTCTGGATGATTGCTCACCGAAAGCCCCCCAAAGCTGTGCATGGTGGTGCTCATCAGAAGTCATCAATGGTACATTGGCTGATTGAAAATTTAACGTGTGTGTTGCAAACTTATACGATTTTAAAGTGTTTGATGAGAGGCCACGGGAATGGAAGATTAAGCGGTATGTACAGACGTCAGTCAGTGAATTAGCTTATCAAATAATACAGCTCCCAGGCTGGGAATGCAAATCAAACAACGCAACTTTCTCAGAGCTAAATATGGTTCCTGGTAGATGCTCAACGGCTCTCACTGAACATCTAAACCTTTAAGAGCTGGTCACAAACATATACTCCTTGAGAAGAGTATTTATTGTCGACTGTTTAGAGTGGATTCGTACCAAAGAGGCGATTACAGCAGGGTTGCGTGAGCTGGATCAGTGAGGAACGAGATGTGCAATTCACCAGGTTGAGATGTTTCCATTTGATAATAATGGAGCCTTAAAACTAAGAGGAAATGATCCTGTTTGTAGCCACTGGCTAATTAAATTCTTTAAATCATTCAATAAAGAGATCCCGTTTTAAAATGGACTTACGTAACGAAGTCTGTGCCCCACATTTTTGTTTTTTTAGCATCTAAAAGGAGGTTAGCTCTTGCACCTCAAAATTCTCACTGTTTGTGTTGCTAGCTAACATGTTGCTAAAACAAGGAGGGGCTTCACAAGCGTCGCCAGATCTGATCAGTTCATTTTCAAACTGAAGAGGCAATTTAGAGAATAGAAAGACCCTCTACAGTGCAATATATCAGAGCCCCAAAACATATATCATGTTATCAGACTTGACTTGATTAATCACATTTGGTAGGCACATTTCCAGATGCAAAGTCGACCCACAGCGAACAACATCCAGTCTGAGTGATAATGATGTGACAGCAGAGTCAGGATGCTCACAGTTTCTGCCATCAGTAGTTTCTATCCTGCTGTTGCTGTGTTGGACCCAAATCCTGAACTCATAGGTGTGTCTGGTGTTCAGGCAGAGTTTGTATCTGGACATGATAGGGGATCTGTCTACTGTTTACTGTTTATGTAAAGATTAGTCTCAGTCAGCACCAGAATAGAGAGCAGTACTTCATCCTGCTACATGAGATCATTCAAACTGTCTTTCAAGGATAGATAACACTGCAGAGCACTCTTCCTCTCTGTCTGTCTGCTGAAGCTCTTTATCAATGTCGGTCTTTTTGCCTCAATCATTTATACCCATGATTCTCCTGGTCTCTCTACTTTTCTCTTCAGTTTTGGTCACATTTTCACCTTCCCTTTAGATCTGCAGGCTGCTATGGATGGATGGGAGTATATGTCGTGCACTTATGCTTCCCCATATTGTTACCTCCGCCAAGGAGGTTATGTTTTCGGTAGCGTTGGTTTGTTTGTTTGTTTGTCTGTTAGCAACTTTACAGAGAAAGTAACAGACGGATTGACCTCGCCTTCTGGATCCAGGAATTTTTTGAAGGATTCTTTATCATTGTGAGATAGGGCAAATTTTGGAAGTTTTGCATTTAACTCCATAAAAATGGCCAGAGTCTTTAGTAAAAAAAGGATCTCAATAAGTTTTATGAGGTGTCAAAGGTTGATCCTGATCCAGACAAAATTCAGGATACTGTGATCCAGAACACACAAAAATAAGGCTGTCGTTGGAATTTTCCAATGGGCGGCACAGTGGTGTAGATGGGCGGCACAGTGGTGTAGTGGTTAGCACTGTCACCTCACAGCCAGAAGGTCCTGGGTTCGAATCCGGGTCAGGGCATTTGTTGTTTTAGGAACATTATGAACAGTGAACATACCAGTTTAAACACAAATAAACGTTAATAAAAGACACGTAACAGTAAAAGTTTTGCTGTGAATCACAATATAAGGGGGGACATGAGCTGCTTGATGGAGGTCTGCGCTCTCCGAGTGCTTTTCTAGTTATTGATGCTGTTGTTTTTTTAACTGTGCCCTGATTTCAAGAGTCAAGTTTGATTGGTCCAATCCACAGGACAGTTTCCACTTTGCCGTATTCTGTCTTAAATGAGCCCATGTTCCTAGTTGGTGTCCTCTTTGCGTGGTACAGTTTCAGTGATGAACTGAGTCCACAGTCTGTGTTTTTATTGTTCATAAAACATGACAAATTTTCAGTTTTAACACCTGATCCGTTGACCTTTATGTAATAAATTTGGGGTTAATATATTTTAAATCAACGTTTACTAACATGTTCCCTTTCTCTCTGGACGCTTTAGGTTTGGAGCTTGGCCACTCAGTCTCCGCTCTACACCTTTCCAAACGAACATGCTCGCCAGTCCCTCTTCAGGAACCTCGGCACGGGCGTCATGCAGATCGAAGTGGGACCGGCCAATCACATTTTCTCCTGCGGAGCTGACGGTACCATGAAGATGCGGATCCTCCCAAACCGCTTCAGTGTTGTCAACCACAACAACAACCACAGCAACCTCAAGAACGACGTCAAGTTCATCATCTAGACTGAAGAAATCAGGTGTTGAAGTGATTAGATAATGTGAAATGCATTGGGGCGGAGCTCCTAACTTTTGGAAATACCTGCCCGGATGCAGGGCCATTATTGGTTGATTTCAGGGGAAGGACACACTGACGGAACAACAGTGTCAGTCTCATGAAACTTTGAAGGATGGTGTATTTTTCACAGACTTTCACAAAGTGAGCGTGCATCGATCCAGGGCCTGGAAAGTGATCTTACTCACCATACTCAAAAACATTGAAGCCGACCAAAACACAGGAGCGTCTACAATTGTTATAACGTGCGCTGAAAGCACGAGTGGGCCCTGGCTAACGAAGGACGGCACGGTCGGTCAGAATAAACTGAAAGAGACACAGAAACAGGGCTAGACTCAGTGTCACACGGAGAGCCTTTCTTTTTGCACAGGAAGCCAAGCTGCGGTATACCGAGAAAACTGCAGCTTTGTTCCTCTTCGACAGTTCCCTAGAATCTCTTAGTTCACATTACAGAGGTAGTCACGATATTGAAAACCCTTCAGGAATCACTGCTGGAGTTTTCAGGCGAAAAATCATAGGAGGCTGTGCATGCAGTGACTCGTAAAAGAGAAAATGACAAACCCTTTCAGAGGTTCGACCTCAGCACAAAGCAGTTTGGCCAGTCAGGGTCACTCAAAGCACAGTGTATCCCATCACCAGGACTTGCGGAACATTCTGGTATCAATTTTTAATACATGATGAGCCAGCTTGGTTTGGAAAACAGGGGGCCAGGTGTTAGAAAACCATCAAAACGCGTTTTAGGAATTTCAGGATGTCAATTTCATATCACCGTTTAGTTTCAAGTTTCAGCTGTGAGCGTTTGGCTGAGGTTAACTTTGGTTTCATAACAGAGGAATAATGGATAAACAAACCATATCTGCTCAATTCACAGCAATAGTTGGGTGTTTACTTTCTGTTGGAGATGCTGGGTGAGAAAATAGCTCTCATGTTTGTCCCTTAAAGAGAGACGTAAGAGGCAGCAGCTGGCTGGCTTAGCTCAAAGACTAAACAAACAAGGCTTGCTGTTTTCGGTCCGCGCTCAGCGAACTGTCTGCCAGCTGAAGCTTTAGAGTTATCAGGCAGTTATGGGAGCGATGTGATCCACCTGAGCTATCTCTCCAACAGAAAGCAAAAAAGCAAATTTCCCAAGATTTCAAAAATGTTCCTCCTCGATTCAGGCTTGTCGAAATATTTGACACGAGTTAACGTTGTACCGCCTCTACCCAGCGTTTTCTTGGCTACCTGAAAGCACCAGTTCTCTATTTGCACATAAGCATTAAGCTAAACTATATGTAGTAGGATGCATATAACTTTAGGAGTGGTGAACCATGGTAATGAGATCAGTTAATAGATTTAACCTGTGGTATATTCAATATTAAGTGTCCTTAATCTCTAAGAACTACTTCTGCCAGTACTATAGTACTGTTAATCCTGATCATATGGATTATTATTATTATTAACATTAAGTTGCACAAAGTATGCCCGTGTTGCTATGGGACACCATGATTATTACCTTTTTCTGGCTGTGTTGTGTTTTTTTTTTTTTTTGTTGTTTTTTTGCTTTTAGTTTTTTCAATATAAAGTTTAACAACATGTAGCAGGAAACTTTGCTGTTGACAATGAAAATGGGGTTTTGCGGGCTGGGGCTGTTAAACAACTTTAAATGGATATTTTGTTGTGGAACCTTTTTTTCCAATAACAAAGCACTTCCATTTCATTTCATCCAAAGTTTTGTTTGTCAGTGGTTGAAGTCTGCTTTGGAGACGTTGTAGTTTTCCTGGTTGAAATTCTCCGAAATTTTCTCATCATTATTTACTTTCATAATTTATCATCCGAATGCAGCACAAATGCCTTCGGCCCATGCTTGGAGACTGCAGTTTAGGTTGGTTTGGATCATGATGTGTCTTCCACCTTAATAAGGAAGGCGCTCATGAGAACTATCCGAGCATTGGTCAGTCCGACGAAGGCTAATGCCTGAAGCCAGAACCTGTAGAACTGCGTGGCTGTAGGAAAATAAACATAGAGTGGCTTTGATTTGAGGGGAGAGAAACTGAGGAAACTTTACAGATGAAGCAGCTTTATCACATGGATGTAAATACATTGATCATAGACTAGATTCTCTTAATGACTGCATAATCATAAGGAGTAGTTGCAGACTAATAGTGGGTGATAACATAAGCCACTTCTGAAGAACAATATCTGTACAAATAAAGGTATGTATGTATGAAATAAGTCATATTTAGGGTTATAGACTGAGTGCAATGCAAGTTTGATCTAATTTCCTGTTTCTTCTTTTCCTAAAATTACCCGATATGAAGTTCAACAGCCACATTTTTTGTTCTTCCTCTCTAATCAAGGTGTAAAACTTCAGTGTAAATCTGCTGAATAAAATTCAAAGTCAACCTGTATCTACTTCTACAGACACTGAAGAATGAAACACTATCGGAGCAACCCCTCTTTCCGACAAACACACAATATCAACCACAGAACAAATGTGTTGGACAGCCTACAGGGAGGGTTTATAACTAAATCACTCAGCTTAGTCAAACTGAACCAAATCATTTACTTTAAACTCTTCCTTCCCCCCCCCTCTGGAATCTTGCAAATGTGAATTTGATCAGATGATTCTAATTTTATAATGAAGATATTGTGTAAATCAATGTATTATATACAGAAAATGTACTGATGTAATAAAAAAAAATATGTAACGAGTACTGTTCTTGTAACAAGTCTATCAGCAACAACAAAAAAACATGAAGTTTTCTCTTTTTCACTCTGTGGTTATAAATTCCTGCAACACTGGAAAATGTGAGCTTGTGCACACATCTCACGGGCTGGTAAGTACTTCAGTCATATCAGCTCTGAAATCATCCTCCTGCTCTGCACTTATTTCTTCTAAAAACCTGTTATTTACAGTTCACAGTGGGAAATGGCTTCGACTCTATTTGAAGTGGCAGTTTTTTTCAAGTGATTTACATCTACTGATTACATGTAGTTTAAAAAGAAAGGGAACTTACCGTTCTGGAAACTTTCTTAAAAGAGCAAACTGTTCCCTTTCAGTCGATTCACTCGGTACAACACATATAGTATGGGATATCACGCCCCCGCGTGGCCTGACTGAAGACACCTTTATTCACGCCTTTAAGGCAGATGATCTGTGGTGACGTCTGGGAGGCTCCGCCTGCACATATATACATGTAACACCACAGTCATCCTTCAGTTCTTACGCTCTTCACCTCGCTGAGAACACCCCCACCGAGTCAGGCTAACTAGCTGCTGCTAGCTCAGCCTGGTCTTGTCTGTGGCAACTGCTTGATCGACTTTAGCTCAACTGCCACTGTTGGTGTTAGCCTGCGGCTACCCATGAAGCGCTCACTTCGTTCAGCTTCTGCGTCTTGTTATGAGCGCAGAGTCCATGAATGCGAAGTCTGAATGTTCGCCCCTGTCCTCAGGGGTGCGGCTTCTCCCTTCACGAGAAGGATCTCCATGAGACTCCATGTGTGAGTCCTGTCACCGGCTTCGACGCTCAACCCTGGGAAGGTGGGTCAAGTTTGTGGAGAAAATGCTAGGAAAAAACGCTGTTGAGCTGCACGATCCCCTCCTCTCCGAGTCCAGAAACCCGGCCTTTCCGAGTCCGGTGGTGAGGACTTTCTGGTCAAAGGCTCAGTTGGAAACTGGGCAGACCTTGTGGAGTGTGCCGACAGGTCAGCTGGATTTGAGCCGGGCCCCTCCAAGGGCGCTGGCCAGCCGCTATCCAGGCTAGCTTGTTACCAGGAGGACAATGACGTGCTGGACATCGGCCTGGACGTGCAGGGTTTTTCGGAGGATGAGCAGGAGCCGTTGTCTTCGCCAGTTGATCTGGACGACACATCCTTCCTCTCACTGTACCACTGCAGCTGAGAAACTGGAAGTAGAATGGCCCTCTCCTCCACCGGCTCAAAAACCGTCGCGGTTCACAGGGTTTTTTCTCCCACCCGAACCGACAACTGTTAAGAACAGTTTGCCCATGTTCCCGGATTTTGTTGCGGAACGAACCTCGACATGGAACAAGCCGCTGTCCATCCGCGCCACAGTGCCCGGTTGTGGACAGTTTCTGGATCTGGATGGAGATGAATAGGTGCCTCTGCTGAAAAAGCAGAGGCAGTTGAAAGGTCCAACTTAATGGCTCAGGGTCTGCCCCCAAATGTGGTGGCAACAATCCAGAGTGCAAGGGCATCATCTACTAGGGGCCTATATGCCTATAAATGGCGGGCGTTTGAGCAGTGGTGTCAGGACCGAAATGTACTCCCATTTCAGAGTTCTGTTGTGGATGTTTTAACATTCCTTCAGGAGCGGCTGGATAGAGGTCTCTCTTTCTCAACAATTAAGGTCTATTTGGCGGCTATATCTGCATGCCATGTTGGCTTTGATGGTGTGATGCCAGGCGCTCACCCTCTTGCTATGCACTTCCTAAAGGGAGTCCGCAGGCTGAGACCTGTTCTTAAACCCAGTGTTCCCTCATGGGATTTAGGGCTGGTGCTTGAGGCTCTTGGTGGACCCCCATTTGAGTCAGCAGACATGAAATTTCTTTCATACAAGATTGCACTGCTACTTGCATTGACGTCTGCAAAGCGAGTGGATGACCATCATGCTTTGTCTGTGCATCCCTCTTGTACCCAGTTCACTTCGGATGGATCTAGGGCTACATTGCGCCCAAATGCGGCGTATTTGCCTAAGATTTTCCTACAGCCTATAGCTCTATGAGTTTTGAACTACTGAGCTTCTGCCGTCCTCCATTTGCATCTGAGGAGCAGAGGAGATTGCATTCCTTGTGCCCTGCCCCGAAATGCTGACAATCTCAACACCAGCTGTTCTGCTATCCGCAGAAACTGAGGGTATTAACACAAGTATTTAAGTATTTCATACACAAATAGGCTTCAAGTCTGAAATACGTTATTTTATTGAAAGAGTAGGCATCAGATTTCATTACAGCGATATTAAAAAAATTAAATATCAACCAGTCTTTAATGTACTTTGCATGTTCTACACTTTCAGAAACTCATTTAGATACAGAACTGTTTTAGAGTAAACTGGAGAAGTAGTTGCAGACTTAAAAACACAAACTCATTGCAATTGTTAGATGGCATCTAATGTTTTATCTTCATTCACTCAGGATAATTACATCCAGAGTTGAGCAGAATTGAGACTCTAATCACTGCTGTATTTATTTCATTGTGTTAAGTCAAAGTCTTCATAATTGAAACTGAATTAAATCAATAAAATTAAACAAAAGGGTTAATTTCACTTTGAAGTTAACTTTGAAACTTTAAAGGCACAGGGACAGACCATATGGACGAAGTAAACTTGAGGTAGCCGACAATGACACTGCTTCTTCTCCAGTCTGTTTTAACCTTCATACCCCCTTCTAGTTAAAGTACAAGCTGGATCAGTGTGTTGTGACAAAGACAAGCCCTCATTTATTTAGGAGCCTTTTTACATCGTTTGATTACAATGAAAGTTCATTTAAGTGACAGAACTCATCCAGAAGTAGTGCTATCATCATCAGATCGTTTCTCCGTGCATCTCCCTTGAGAGGAAAACCATGTAAGAACACGGGCGTGGATCGGGATGAGAGGAGCAGACGGACAAAGTGAGACACAGGGAGAGCGAGTTGGTTCCTGGAGTCGTCTGATTGGTCTTTTGTGGAGCTCACAGCTTGGCGTAGTCCTTCAGGATGACCTCCAGCTTCTGACTCAGCATGATGTTGCCTCTAACCTTCAGCTTGCCGGAGAAGAAAGCCTTTCGAGACAACAAAGACACACACGAGTGAATCTTCTTTTTATTTTTTCCAAGAAAGCAAAGAGTCTCCTCTCATTTCTAGCTGGTGGGATGTTAACTTGTTTTTTTAAGCACAAGGGGAGTAAAACAGGGGCAAAACGCCTGAGGCTAATACTGCTTACAAATGAAAAAAAAAGCAACAAGCCAGGTCTGGAGCTAAGAGAGAATACGTGACCGCTGATGCTTTACCAGAGAAAACAAAACCCGGGGTTTCAAAGCTGAGAGGTGCTGCAGAAAAGTCTCTTCGCTGCTAGAAGTGAACTGAGGATGTGCAGCGCTCTCCTCCTCTGCTGAAATCAATCATGGGATGGTGCATGTGACGAACCAGAATGACAACAGCACCCTTTTTTAGACGTTTTTTTTTTTCAACTCCAACTAATCTTCCTCTAGCTGCTCCCTTTATTGTCAGAAAAGCCTGGAAAAGACCCTGCCCAAGGGATCCTCAGCACATAGTAAAGGGCAGGCCTCAAGAGATCAATACCAAGCACTTGAGGAAGCCTATAAATCCTGTACAGTGATGGTCTATCCCAGTGACGGATGAGATGCTTCAAACATAACAAGTAGAGTCGATTGATTACTGCGCTGAGTGCTTTCTGAACTTGGTTTGACAGATCATTGCGCCCTCATTTCTTCCTCCAACTTGGAGAGATCAGGGGAGATATTATACCAAACTGGAGGGCTCTTTGAAGGCACTTTCACTTTGATCAGAGAGCACATGGAGTGATTTAAACATCTGAAAAAGACAACATTTAAAATGTGAGGCAAACAAAGTCAGCTGATGTCAAAAATTCTGCCTCATCACAGAAAAAAAGGGCCGTTCACACCCCAGAATTCAGCTTTATCTAGTGTTAAAACAACACAGTTTCTCTAGTGTTGAAAAGTGAAGCCTATGTGGGAGTGTGAAGAACTGCAGTTCCTCAAACGTCCTCTTGGGACTGTCTGCAAAAGCTAAGGAATCTCCTTAAAAAGCCTTATCGGAACGGCTACGAAAAGGCTGTATCCGCCGATCGTAACCATTCAAGTTAATGTGTCGATTTCCACCGGCTTCTTTCTGTTCTGCTGCGACTCGCCGGACTCCACAGCGGATCGCAAGAGCTGTATTTTTTCCGGACGCAGGAGCATGCCCGATAAATTCAGCACAGATTAACCCGTGGAAGGAAGTCGGGCACAGACACAAAATAAAACATCCGTCTTCTTTTTAAAATAAAACACTTTGTGTTTTAGGCGGCTCATATTTCACACCATGCAAACGGGCGGAGATGAACAAGTGAAAGGTTTTTGGACAGCATTTCACCCCGATGACACCATGGATGAGGGGACGCTGATTCTAGAAGTCTAGAAGTAGATTTCCTCCTCTGGAAGGACACAGTCTACTGCTTATATAGTTAGCCTATGTGGCTAAAGACAACTTGTTATCGCGCGATTGCACGTGAATCTGCGAGTTCTTGTGGGTTCTCGCGATTCCTGCTGTCCGTAATCCGCAATGAACTTCTCGTCACTAACGGACCCGGTAGGCAAAACATTTTTTAGGATGGTAGGGGAAGGTCCCGCCCTCCTTCACCTCTGATTGGCTATTCCTAATGGCTGTGAAACGTCGGGTTAGAGTTAGGGTTAGGAGATTCAGAAGTGTGATAATGTCCTGTTCTGTTCTGTTCAAAGTACAGAGCCGATAGCCTGCGTTTGGCTTGAGTGTGTGATGACGTTTCCAGCTTTTCTAGCCAATCAGAGGCGAAGGGGGCAGGACTTTACCCTTCCGTCCTACGAAAAAAAATATTGCACCCGGTAGGAATTGGCATATGGTGAAAATCGCCACCGTTCCGGATGCGGTGGAAATCCCTGGTTGGAGTCATGCATTATTCTCACCATTCAGTGTACATAGGGCTGTGGCCAATGTGACTGACTACACAAAGACTCCACCCCTTTGCCTGTTTGTAGTTTCATCAAAAGTTGGTTGAAGTCAGCATTTTTTATCTGGGCTTGATGATGATGACCCTGAGACTACGTCCATGACATAAACAGTCTTTGGTAAAAACATGCAACAAGAATCACTGAATTCTGCTGGTGTTACCTTCTGAGGGTTGAGTTTCCCCTGCACCACCTCCATGAAGTCTTCATCCGACACTGTGAAGGTCACATCTGCCTTCCCACTGTAAGGGCCTTGGTGTAAAGAGCCGGAGCCGTTCTTCAGATCAATAGCTGGAGAACAACATCGGACAGAAAAGTCAAGCAGCGAAGAAGTCGTACCTTGTCATCTTTTAGATAAGAGGTTACTTGTGTTTGGAGTCTTTATTTAGTCTTGATGGTTTGATTGACAGCTTGTTTGACCCTAACTTTATTTTACGCTGGAATATTCCTTTAAACTTTGCACCTGAGAACATACATGCTGCTGCTAGAAGAGTTACATAAAAACAAAATGACAAACAGGCCTCGATGAGCATTTATAAAAGAAATCAAGCTCACTGTTTTCTTTTTGTTTCTTAAAAAGAACGCCTGTCAGAGACTGTACATGTTGTTGTTGTTGTTCTATAGAAAAAGGAGAGCAGCTTGTGCCTGTGTGGGCTCTCTTATTTTTCATACCTCCTTTTCTCTCCGCCTTTACGATCACACTGTTCCCACTTGATGTGCATATTACCATACCAGCACATTAAAATGAAACTAACTGTTGTCTTTTATATGGTAGGTGTTTGGTTTTTTTATTCATATTTAGAGGCCTTCCTTCCTCTGTAAGTAAATATAGTTTACCACCCAGAGTCTCACTGAAAAGTCAGAGGTTTTTCAGCAAACTTAATGAAAGGGCTCCACTGAGCAGCAATGTGGTTTCACTTTTGACAGGAGGTACGTGGTGTAAAATTCAATCGCAGCACTAGTCCTGACCTTCTGACAGAGTTCATGTGGAAATCTAAACGGAGTAAAATGACAGACGAGGCAGTCTTCTTTGTGAGATTTTTTCAAACAGAAAAAACTGACGCTGAAATCTTAAACTGATCAAAGCAAATGTGGACCATCCCCTTTCCAGGAATCTGACAATCACTCTCCCAGGAGTTCTGTGCAGCAGGTTCAGGTTTTAATTTTATAACACAGCTAATAAATGCTCTTTATTTTGAGATAACTCTCTTGGACTGGCTCCCTGCTGGCATTATCTCATCCCTGTTTTTCTTGCTTTTATCACATTATAAAGTCCTTATTGGATCAGCTGTTGGATGTCCTCCGCTGCCTCGATTACCTAAGCACAGAGGGTTATGATTTCTGTGCCGTTTTCTGTTTGTCAGCAAGATTATGGAAAAAAACTGCAGGGCAAAATTTTCATGAAAACCTGGTCGAAAGATTTAGGAAAGGAAGCAGACGAACAAAATTTAGACCATATCCTGACAACACTCACAACATAAAGGCAATAAAGCAGATCCAACCCACAAACAAAAATAGTTTTCTCTACGTATTATAATATAGTCATATTTCGTTTTATTTTGGTACTGTTCAGATGTGGCTCTTTTTTGGTGTAAATTGGCAGTAAGGTTATCTGAACAAGGACTTGATTTACCACTATTACCGATCAATAAGATCTGGGGTTTTCAAGAAGAAATTATGATATTAAATACCATTGTGCTTCCTGGGAATTTTTCATTTTCAAAAATCAGAAGGATATTACCGTATTTTTCACACTATAAGGCGCACCTGATTATAAGGTGCGCCTTCAATGAACGCGTCTGTTCGCATCTATTTTCATACAGAAGGCACACCGGATTATAAAGCGCATTCAGCCAAACAAAACAGTCAGATAAGTCAAACTTCATTGAACTTATTCAATAACTCCGTAAGGCTACGGTAGCTGCAGTGCTCCGACAAGCCAAAAGGATTTCAAGTGCGCCTTATAGTGCGAAAAATACGGTAAATTTGAATTGTTCACTATATTCTTAAAACATCACTACTTATTGACTAAGATAACACAAGTGTGGGATAAGAGTTTTTTTGTATCCCTGCTTTGACTGTTGTACCCATAGATGTATTTTTACCTCCGCCAAGGAGGTTATGTTTTCGGTAGCGTTTGTTTGTTTGTTTGTTTGTTTGTCTGTTAGCAACTTTACGGAGAAAGTAACAGACGGATTGACCTGAAATTTTCACCAGAGGTGCGTCTCAGCCCCAGGAGGATCCCATTACATTTTGGTGGAGATCTGGATCGCCTTCTGGATCCAGGAATTTTTTGAAGGATTCTTTATCATTGTGAGATAGGGCAAATTTAGGAATTTTTGCATTTAACTCTATAAAAATGTCCAGAGTCTTTAGTAAAAAATGACACAAAAGGATCTCAATGAGTTTTATGAGGTGTCAAAGGGTGTCGTTGGAATTTTCAATGCTGAAAGATAACCAATGGGTGTCACAGTGGTGTAGTGGTTAGCACTGTCGCCTCAAAGCAAGAAGGTCCTGGGTTCGAATCCGGGTCAGGGCATTTCTTGTTTTAGGAACATTATGAACAGTGAACATACCAGTTTAAACACAAATAAAAGTTAATAAAAGACACGTAACAGTAAAAGTTTTGGTGTGAATCACAATATAAGGGGGGACATGAGCTGCTTGGCGGAGGTCTGCGTTCTCCGAGTGCTTTTCTAGTTATTGATGATTTATCTTTCTTTGCCTGTTTCTAAGTTGATGTAAAGTATATTTTTGAATATGAAAGTTGTTTTATATATCTAAGATTTGTATGCTGTTTTTGTTTGTCTTTTCTATGTATTTGTCCTTGTTTAAAATAAAATAAAATAAAATAAAAAATAAAAAAAATAAAGTTTCAGAGTTTTAACAAATGTTTCATCAGCATGAGAAATATTCAAGCGGATCTTCAGTTACACACAACCACATTTGAATATAATTGTCATTCTCCTGGAAACAGATCCAGACACAAAGTGGTTTTACTCACAGGCTTCTATCTCTCAGAGAACTGGTCTAGACAGAGGACTGTGTTCTCTGAGTGCTCCGCTGCTTATTTCACCGTCTTTAACCGTGGCTGTGTTTTGTTATGCAGCCTTACTGCAGGATGAATTTCCTCTCGTAGAACACTTCAAATCTGAACTGGACTGATATTCCTTTTCTTGCAGTGTGATGGCTCTGAACAGGCGGTGTGTTAAATAAGGCATAAAGTGCACTTACTCCACTGTGCAGAGCTCTTGCCGTCTTTGGTGATCTCCCAGCCGAATACAGCATTCACCTTCTTCACCAGCTCAGAGCCCAAGTCTTTGATACGGCGTCCGATCTCTGCAAACACCAGCTCACTCTGAAGGCCTGCTCCCTGCCAGAAGAAAAAAAAAAACACTCTTATATGAAGACTATAAAGACCGATTTCAGGTCAGAGTTTAACTGTTTAAAGGCTCAGGCTCCACGGTTTAGGATTTGATTTGTGAAAACAGGATTATAGCTCTGCGCCTTTGCTAACCGGGCAGGTGAGAATTTCTAAAACACAACAGTGAAAGTAATACTGGGATAGACAACTCAGTATGCATTACCTTTAAATCTGAACAACAGTACAATGAAAAAAGACTAAAAACTGAGAAACAAAACTCAAAAACAGAGTCTTGAGCCCTGTCTTTGTTCTCTGCAGACCAAGTGATCATCCTCGGATTACCAGTCAGAGTCTAAGCCTCCTCTGTCACCTACTGAGGCACAAAAAGCAGGATGATGTTTGAATGAAGCGGTCCTCAGACCAACTTACCTGCAGATTTTCTGGGGAAGCCTCAGATGAGCCGTGTAAATCCACGTAGGCACCAGAGAGCACAACAGCATCTGTCTCCTTCACCTGGATGACAGTGAAGAGCCTCATTGAGGACAACACATGCTGGATATTCACAGAGGTCAAATCCGGCTCATTCATTAATTCATGAATCTGTTGGAACGTTAACCATCATCAGACTCATTTGAAGCGACTGACTTTGCACTGGATGTGAATCCTGTTGCCTTCCTTCCACATCTCAGTCTGCAGGGACTGACCCGGCATCACCGGCTTCACAAAGCGAACCTAAGAGAGCATAAACTGATTGATTAATTGATCGATTCCTCTTCTCCATAGTTAAACCCAAAGTGATTTTGTTTTAGTAAGCCTGAAAAGAAGACTTCTTTTATTGAATTTGTACTTCTTTGCGAGTTTTAATGCAAATTCATTCAGATTCATGCATCCCTAATTCCTAAATCAAAGATTAGTCATCTTCCAAACACTTCTCACCACAGGATTTGAATTGCTTTAATTAAATCTAAACTTAGCTCTTGTGTGAGGCCTCCTGATTTATAAAATGCATGTAAGAAGCCACAGGTGAGGAGTACCTTGATAGCCTTGAATCTGGAGGGGTCGTTGTCTGCAAACTGCTTGAGGACATGTCTCGCAGCGAAACCGAACGAGCACAAGCCGTGCAGGATGGGAGCCTTGAAGCCTAACCAAAGAGCATTTTAAAGCACAGCATGTTTAAGAATAAATGAGATCAAAATGTATCATTTGACCTAAAATCCCAGAGAAGGATCGAGTCCTAACCATAGACTGTATATAAAATGGACAGAGTCTCCCTCCTCGCTGGGTGAAGCCACTCCGAGAACAGCACCCTCTGTTGATGGGCTGCAGTAAAGGTCATAAATCCCGCCTCTGCCAGCAAAGCTTATGGGGCTGTGGATAAACTTTAGAAATTTATTACACAGAACATAATTTTTCTCCCCCCCTGGTTGTGATGTTGACATGTAGTTACTGTAAGACTGGTTTGTGCTCAACTCCTCTTTTTTCTGTGAAGCTCCGTTTTTAAAAGTTATTAGGGGGTTCATGTTTTCTATGATTGACACCTGATACAGCCTGTGGGAATTCAGGGATTGCGTAGCTCACCCGGGGATATGCTGTTTGAGCCGAGTGTCATCACAGCGGCCGAATGCGCGCATCGCTACTGCGCAGCGCTGGTTTCAGGAAATGAAGAAAAATAAAATAATATCGAGAGCTTTTTGGCTTCAAATCTGTATACAGGCGGTAGGCGGAACCAAGTTGTCCACAGTATACACAGTCTATGGTCAGTCTAACTAAAAGAAATGAAGACTTTTTTGATGGGAAACACTGCAAAAGGGAGTCTCACCTCCCATAGCAGCAAAGTCAGGGTCTATGTGAAGAGGGTTCCAGTCTCCGCTCAGACGATACAAGGCTGCCTGTAACCACAGGGGAAACAGATATTGTTTAGATCTATATCTAATTCATAAACCCCTGAACTTTCCTTACACAGATGTGAAGTGAAATTAAATTATTATGAGGGCAGTAGCAGAGATACCTAAAATAAAAACGGCTTTGAAGTGATACAGTTGCAGTCGTCTAAATCGCTCAAGGGATCCAGTTTTTTAGTTTCCTTTCATTTTAATTTCTGCTGCATCATACAGTTGCCGCTCCAGCATGAAAACCTTGTTCAACACTTAACATTTTGTCTAGAGTGATTATTTAAAAAGCCACAAAGCAGTATGTCCTATTTTCACCCACATTTCATCAATGCCTCTGATTTATTCTGAAAGTTAAACCCACACAGCGGCACTCACTTGGTCTCTGGTGGTGGAATCAATCACCACAGCATCTGGTGCTCGATTAGGTGGAGGCAGAGCCGCCTAAAGGAAACAAAAAAAAACAAATGAAAAACCCCAAAAAATAAGGCAGTGTTTACTTCTGATGTCATTCCTGAAAATTTCTGTTCAAGTCAAGCTGATGCAGAACATGTACCTTGGCTTTCTCAGATGTTCTCTTCCCTCCGAACCCTCCGGCTCCGACTACAAACACTGAAAACTGGTTGTAACAAACCAGCTCATTGCCATTGTAGGTGTTTACTGTGAAGCAGTACAAACGTGGCACATGAAGAACATCCAAAGCGACGCACTATTTTGTAAAAATTTCTATTTTCAATGTCGTAAAATCAAAAGAAACAAAGACGACAAGACATTCAGATACAATGGTGCTACATTTCATCTTCAAGTGAGATCTCCTTCACCGCTTTGTTATTTATAAGTAGATACTAATTAATGTCACCCTTAATAAAATTTAACTCAACACAATGTAACATCCTGACATTAAGTATAACAATAATCACAATCAAAATAACACCTGCTTCAGCCACATTTGCTCATCACAGCACATTTATTGTTTATTTAGAGCACAATGAGCAGCCCACATGGAAAGAGACTGTGAAGAAACAATTAGCAGCTGTCACAAGGAATCTAATCCACACTCCTTTCACCGTACGGGCTGGTTAATTTCATTAGGGCCAGTTGAGAACATAACCAGGCATAAAAACAAACAGAGCTGCCTCTGCAGGACATTTCTGTGACATGCCGTCTCAGCCACAAACAACTTTACTTTCACTCTCCAGGAGGAGAACAGAAACTGACGGCCTTACTGTGAATGAAGAAATTAGGTGAAGTTTCTCCCCGTGTGAATCCTCAGGGAACCTCAGGGCCTAATGTTATTTGTTTTAAGTCGGATTAATTATAGATCAGAGTGGTTCTAATTCTTTCTCTATAGAATTGTCAAACAAAAAGAAGAGTCATTCCCACTCCATTATTTCAATCCCTGCAGACACAGACTGAAAATTAACTTTCATTAATTCAGCCTGAGAGGCAGCTTTCAAGAAAAGACACATTAGAGTGATGAAAACAAGTTTATATGGAATTAATACCCCGTATGAAACTCATTTTGACACTCACCATCCAAGAGAATGAGGGCTCCAGATCCTTTGTCCAACACGTCTGCTATAGTGGCCTCAGAGGTCAGTGTACCTGAAATGATACTTACTCATTTAGATATCAGATCTTTTCATCTTATTTACAAATGCACTTAAGAGATACATTGGTAACACTTTATTTGACGCCTCTCTCTATAACACATTATAAATATATGTATAATGTGTTATAATCACGTTATAGCACTGTAGAACTATAGTTATAAACACTCATAAATGATCATAATGCTTTATAGCAATAATCATAACACTTCATAAAGCATTTTATCATGACTTACAAGGTCAGGTATTATAATGTGTTATAACTGTTAACAGCAATGGAACTGTTGTTAACAGTTATAACCCATTATAAAATGCTTTATAATGTGTTATGATTATTGCTATAAAGCATTATGATCATTTATGAGTGTTTATAACCACAGCTATACAGTGCTATAACGTAATTACAACGCATTACACATATATTTATAATGTGTTGTAGAGATAGGCGTCAAATAAAGTGTTACTAATACATTTAATATCATTAACTAGCTCTGAATTTCCCCACTAGCCACACTGCAGGCCACAGGCTTGCTATTGACAAGGTGAAGTCTCCTGTTGTGTTGCTTCATTAAAATATAAAAACAGTTCCTCCATGGTTGAGTTGAGTGACAAACAAAAAGGCTCAAACAGGAGCCAGGCTGAATGTTCTTCAGCTCAGGCATTGGCTTTTAGAGGACATAATCACACAGTGAAATATCTATCAGGGCTTAAGAGGTAAACTGGCCTTGTATACGAGATCCCATTCTCTAAAGAACCATAAAAACAAAGACCAATAAAAGTACTTAATGTCAAGTCTTAATTACCTATTAAACTCAGGCTGACCCCACTTTCAGAATGTGTTACATACAGTAAAATTACTCCATCCTTTTAATGCCCTTGTTTTTATGTTACTTCTGCAGTAATTACATCAAGTATTTATAGACAACTGAGTCGATGGATTTAAGTACATGCAGGAGGAAAATACCTGAGGTTGGTAGAGGTTTGAGAAGCTCCAGATACTGCTCTCCATGCAACACCTGACACAAAATACAACAGCTGCTGAGAATTTAGCATGATGAATGTGGGATACATGGCTGTTTTCAACACCTGCCAAGTCTGTGTGACATACATTATTAATACAAACACGCACAGATAACCACAACAACACTCTCACAGCCACCTGAACAGACCATTATACCCTCACATGTTATTTTTCTGACCTGTGTAAAATCAATGTTGAGTCCAGGGACTGAGTTCAAGCCACCTTCCATCATGGCTGCCTGAGAGGGAATGACCCCAAAGGTCGGGAGGGCACCAAAGTCTTGGTGGCCTTCATACAGGAACCTGTGAAGAATTATAAAGCCATGAAAATCCATGGAGGCAATGTGAGTAGCTCTCTATTTACAGATTCTGTACATCTAGAGGTGCAGGATTAGATCTGGTATCAGAAGTCTTTTGGGTTTAATTAGTGGGTGAACTTCGCACAGCTTCACACTTATAAACTCCACAGATTAATCACAGTTATATAGGATACATACCGTAGATGGTCTGGGTCCTGGGTGGACATGCCAACCCCCAGCGCGTAGAGGATACACTGAACATGGTTGAAGCTGAACGTGGTCGGTGGTAATTTTTGTCCCACTGCTGCAGCCTAATGAGGGAAGAGAGGATTTTAGAGTTAGATTGTTCGCTTTTTACACTAACAATTTAAATACTACACTGTTGTTTACACAGAATATATGCTTGGCAGGAAAGTCATCTTGTTCACACATAAGATGATACAAGAACTTTATCTATCCTCAAGGGAAATTCGATGAATGGTGGATTACCGTCACATCACAGTCTTTAATTACAAATACTTTGATCTAAAGGTGGGGTAGGCAGGAATCCATTAAAGAAGCATTTTTTTGTGGTGTATATACAAAAAAGCTTTTGATATCAGTCAATAGATATTAGTTATTGATGACATTTGGTAATGAAACGATATCGCTGTGTTTTGTTATGTCTGTGTAGTCAACATTGTAAATTTTTTGGGCGCACCGCCCTTTCTGACCGCAAACAAAGCCATTCTCCACCTCCCCCAACCTGATTGGTTGTGAGGCGGACGCTGCTCCCCCGTGTCATTCAGAAGCCCAAACAAAGTTAGCGTGCTACAATATTGGACAACAGAAACTGACCAGAAAGTACGGAAAATTGTCTGAATCCTCCTTTGGCCACGACTGCCAACACAAGCAAGAAAACGAAGTAAATACCAGAGACTCTGGCGGAATAGCAGACACTTAAAAAGGAGGTAGACCACCCGGACAAGAGCTAAAAAGCCGGGTCAACAATGATGGGGGACACTCTGGGATCTCATGGACCCTTTAACCTTTCTGCTTTAACAAAGTAAGCCAAGCGTCTGTGACAGAAGTGTTTCTTATCAAACGGGACCTGCTGCGTGTTGTAGCGCCGCTAAACTGTTTACCTCGGGTCCTGGAGTATGTCACTTTATCCTAGATGCAGAAGTCCTGCAAACATTGTGTTTGCTGGTAGTCTGTTGGCATCTACAATAGCACCAATGCTTTTTAGTTTCACGTTGACTGGGACCCATTTGTAATTACCTTAAGTGTTTATCTGCATTATATCTGAATTTAATTGAAACGATACGAGCGAGCAGGAACATCTGTTTGTGGGCGGGGCTTGCTGGAGCAGAGAGGGAGGGGAAAACTGGTTGGAAGGGGTAGTGTTTACATTCAAGATTTCTCCCCAAAAACTGGCACTTCCTCAGATCCTGCCTACCCCACCTTTAAACGCAAACAGCAGGAATTAATCAGTCTTATCAAATAATATAGGCTGGACATAAAATTATTTTTTTTAAGATTGTAAATAATTATTCAACACAAACATTTGTGTTCCTCCATATATGGGGTGTGCACTTGGACCACTAGGCCAGCAGCACCCCAGGACTCATCTTTTTTGTGTACACCTGCTTAGCAAAACCTGATGCATGTGTTATGGACAACACAGTAACAGTGGAAAACAGCAGACTCTTTTTAAACAGCAGATTGATACGGCAATAAGATAAACAGGGAGACTGATGAAAGAAAAATGAAGCAACAAAGTAAAAAGTTTAATCGACTCTCTGATCATCAACCATCACTTGTTTTAAGACTCATGGGATCTCAGTGTAAGGACGAATCAGCAATTTGTGAATGCACTCTCCTGAGGCAGTTTGGGCACAGGCCTATAGGTGATCAGCACCTTTTAAAACAGATACTGAACTTGAATGGTGGCCAGAGCCGAGCAGGGGCCAGAAACAGAGGGGTGTTCGATTTTTGTGTCGGCATTGTATTTAACGGGCTTCCTGAAAATGAGCCGAGACTCAGAGCAGTGATCAGACATTCAGGACACTGTGTGGAGAAAGTCTTTTGAAGCTCAGGAAAGTAGAACATCTGTTATCTGTCTATCATCTCATTCATAATTTGGACTTTTGGACAATTGGACTTAACTCAGTGAAATAGGTTTGCTTGAGCACAATTGCATACATAAACGCCCCATGAGAATACAACTACATGACCCAAGAGTACATGTGAACGCAGAGAGCAATGTTAAGTGAGGTAGAGCTAATGTGACGCTACAGATATTTTTGCTTCACTTACCTAATTATATCATACAACAACATTATATAACAACATTATTAGACATGTGAGATGTGAATGACATGAAATAACTACAACCACAGAGGTAACTTAGCACTGGCACAGCTTGGTATAACGACAGCACATGCACCATACAATGACAAAGGCCACGTCAGTTGTGTGTACTAAAAGAATATCGCAGAGCTAGGTCAGCTGAGGACACAATGGTGATGTTTGTCTTGAGGCTATATTATGACTGTTCCAAATCTCCAGTCCAGACAGAAATGCATAGAGACATACAAAAACATTGACATACACAGAGATCCACACACACATCCCTGCCAACAACACAGTGGAGAGGCCGGTGAAACCCGGGACCTCTGAGTGTACATCATTAAACATCATCTTAGGAAGTGAAACTTTATAAAGTGAAGCTGAGTGATACGTTATCACACGGAACATAAAACAGATTGTTCTTCTCAAAAGTGTGTCTTCTTCTGTTTTTAAATATTTACGTCCACTTACTGCTGTACATACAGTAAAAGATTATGGTTTCTGACATGAGAGGTTAAGCTGACAATGCTGAATTATTGAAGATTTGTTACATTTACCAGAAGAGGAAACAGAATATGAACATTCTTGCAGTTCAATGTATCCTCACAACTTAGATTTGAACTACTCCCAGTCTAGCACACTGGCTCATGCTCCTATTTCCTGCTCCTTATTCATGTTGTATTACACTATTGAATGCACTTATATGAGTCCTAAAACCCATAACTGTGTTAGCAGCATTTTGGCATTTTGTTTCGTTGATTTTTCTGGCGAAGGTTTTTTTGCTGGATTCCTGAAATGAGGCTTCATAATGACCCACTTATGAGTGTTTAAGCTTTTGAGCCTTTGAAGAAGTAGGTTAACAGAGAGATTTTCAAATGAGGGAAGGGATGCTGTCATGGACATCAAATGTCGACAAACCAAACACAAACAAGTGAGAGCTAAGTGTTGTTGTTGTTCTTGAACCTGTGCCACCCATGATGTAGTGCTTTAATAGCCTTAAGTTAGCTTTTTCCCTGGCAAATGCATCCACGCTTCTAAAACTTGAAAAGTTCAGCAGGGGTCATTCATTTTGATTCATTGTGAAGTGTAAACATTAAGTGTTTTACCAATATATCTCAGAGTTGACAGTTTAATTTGCAGTAAAGGCTTAACAATAAATGTTTGGTGTCTGTTTCCCCCGGTTTGAACAACGTTTCTTCTGCTCAGATTCTTGTGTGTTTGTAAGAACCCTCACTTATTCTTGAACTGTTTTCCACCTCATTTCTTCTTTCCTCTGCTGGGGACTGATCAGCCATTAAAGGGATATTAAAATTTATTTAGGGTCAAAACACACCGTAACACCGAGTTAGACAACCCCTCTAGAGATAAATGTTGCCAACCGCTTGATTCTCTAGTTATACCAACTTTAGTAATGACCGCAGGATAGCAATGCACAGCGGTCTGAGGAGCCACAAATAAACCTCAACCAAAACGCCACTCTATAGCCACAAATAATGCTCAGAACAGCATCTAGCTTCATCAATGGTACATTTGGGGTCCTAGCCATAGCACTAGTCATCAAACATCTTTTTAACTTTGCCTGATTTCTTTAGCAAAGAGACTAAACACAACTCACCCACTATCTTCCAGCAGCCGCTTGTTTGTAGGGAGAGCTCGGGCCAGTCCATTACGGACTGCAGCGGGGTGACGCAGCTCAAGGAAGAACATTTATGATTATTACTTCATGGAAATGCGATCAGACCAAGACGCTAAGGCAGAAGAACTACAGTGCCTGCAGTGCAAAATGATTAATATGATGATTATGACTTCAGGGAAATGATGAAAAAATGATCATAAATATTCTTCCTTGAGCTGCGTCACCCCACTGTAGTCTGAAATTGATTAGCCCGAGGTCTCGCTACAAACAAGCAGCTGATGGAAGAGAGAAGGTGAGTTGTGTTTAGTCTCTTTGCTAAAGAAATTAGGCAAAGCTAAAAAGATGTTTGGTGGCTAGTGCTATGGCTGGGACTCTATATGTACTGTTGATGAAGTTAGGTGCTTCTGAGCATTATTTGTGGTTATAGAGTGGTGTTTTGGTTGAGGTTTGTTTGTGGCTCCTCAGACCGCTGTGCATTGCTATCCTGGGGTCATTACTAAAGTTGGTATAACTAGAGAAGAAAGCGGTCTGCAACATTTATCTCTCGAGGGGGTGTCTGACTCGGTGTTTGACCCTAAATTATCTTATGCTGGAATATCCCTCTAACCACCATTATCAAGGTTTCATTCTTCAAATAAATTGAGAGCAATATTAAAATAATTCAATTTAACATTTAGACATAAAAAAGTTTTATTTGCAGGTTGTTGTATCACATTTGAATGAAACCCAACCTTACTAAATTATTTTGAAATGTTGTTTGACATTGCATGATCAAACACTACAGTAAATAATACTGTAAACTACAAACATAATCTATTCTCATAAAGTTTTGCACACTATGCACTTGTCTCTGTCTGGTCTGCCATTATGATGAATGAGTAACATGTTTATGTAATACTCAGATAGATGTAGTGCCCGGGGTTCATTCAGTTTGCAAGCTGTTTCTCCTCTTGCATGAGGACAATTCACCCACAGCAAAGAAAAAGGTTCGATCACCTGTTAGAGCAGGATGACATATACAGATTAAGCTGTTGACTGAGTCTCACCACTGCATGCTACAACTAGCTCGACACAAAATCGAGGCTGTTTCCGTAGATAATTTTTTAATGTGGTACACTAAAACTTGTGGCTAAATGTTTTATTTAAGCGACTCAGCCATGTGTTAAATGCAACCAGTTCACTTTCTGTTATTCGATGATAGGGAACACGATGAAGTGAGGGAGCAACCGTCAAGGGAGCCATTGCTGCTGCTATTGTGCCGCAGCATCCTTTGTACATCGCGTTTTAAGAGCTAATGTGAGCTGACACCTATCTGGTGCGTCACTGTCTCATATTTACAAGAGACGTCAAAGTACTCATGTATGTTGTAGGAGCTTTGCTGAGGAGGATATTAGTGTCCCTGACTAAATACAGTGTGGTGGTATTAAAGAGTCATGAGCTGCCATTTTTGAAACAGTCTGAGATTTTACAGCTCGAAACTTTCAGAAGTCATTATCAACCAACCATTAGAGTTGCAACTACAGTTGCAGTCAGGGAACGGATAGAGGAGAGGCAAATAAGGTGAAGGAAAAACCTGACAGGGAGACGAGGCGACAAACAGAAATGAAGAGAAAAGGAAGAGGGGCACAGAAGCTGCCATTAAAGTAAGGTAACGTAGACTTTATTGATCCCGCATGGGGGAAACTATTTCACCACCAGGACAAGACGACTCATACGGACAACAGCATGGAGACATCAGAAAAACATAGACTCAACACCAGATACACAACCAACACAGTAAAGCCTAATGAAACATGATTTAAAAGTGTTACAATAAAAGATAAGGACATGATGAAATACAACAAAAGCCTGATAGAAATGAATAAATACTAAAATAAATACCTCTACAAACTATGCAGCAGTGCCAAGTAAGACCCTAACATACACTGTTAAAAAATCTCACTGCTGCTGAAACACAAGACTTTCTCAGTCATTCAGTGGAGCACCAAGTCATCACAAGTCGCTCACTAAAAGAGCCTTCAAGATCTTTGCAGACATAGTGCAATGGATGGTTTTTGTAGCCCAGGATTGATTTTAATTTAGACCTGTTCCTCCTCTCAACAATGGCCTTAAGAGACTCTGGGACTAAGCCAATAACTGACTGATTGTGGGCGATCATTCTCAGGACACAGATATGTTTAACATTGCAGTCCAGACCTGTCTCCCATTGAAAATGTGTGGCGCATTTTGAAGCGTAAAATTCGACAACGGAGACCCCGGACTGTTGAACAACTGAAGCTGTACATCAAGCAAGAATGGGAAAGAATTCCACCTTCAAATCTTCAACAATTAGTCTCCTCAGTTCCCAAATATTAACTGAGTGTTGTTAAAAGGAAAGGGGATGTAACACAGTGGTAAACATGCCCCTATCCCAACTACTTTGGCACGTGTTGCAGCCATGAAATTCAGAGTTAATTATTATTTGAAAAAAAAAAAAAAAGTTTATGAGTTTGAACATTAAATATCTCGTCTTTGTAGTTTATTCAACTGAATATAGGTTGAAAAGGATTTGCAAATCATTGAATTCTGTTCTTATTTACATTTATCACAACTTCCTAACTTCAATGGAATGGGGTTTTGTAATACTCGTGCAAAAGTCTGACATGTAATGGCAGGGTTTTTGTAAAATTAACCGACTCACTTTTAAAACTTCCTCTCCTGATTCCTTTCAGATCAAAATCTAAAGCCTGTTTCACAATCATACAGTTAGGATGTTTGTATATTAGAAAGCCAGTGGCCTGGAATTACTTATTCACACACTGCTGGTACCTTCCAGCAGACCATTACAATGATTTCTAATGATAAAAGTAATTACACTCATTTGATCTGGACATGGATAAGCAGCATGAAATGTATGAGTGGCTTTACCAAATAAGAACAACTCATTCAGTTTGCTTTATCTAAGGCAACATTCCCGCTGTATGTCAGTGGGCTCTCTAGCTTGCAACAGTGATGATGTTTTTACAGGTCTGATGAAACTGACTGTAAATTTACAGAACCGAGATCAACATCCTCTGGCACACGCAATAAGCTGTTTTAACAGTTCCAATTTTAGTGCATTTGATCCGCCAACTGTCAGCTCTCAGCTTGATGCAAACACAATTATTAACTCGTGTTTCTGAACAGCAGACAAGAAGATCCTATTCAAGACCTTAATCAATTCAATTTTAAATACCTTATTCCTCTTTGAGGCCTCTTTTTGGTAAAAGATGTCTCTAAATTCGCCAACACTTTCACATAAGGTACACATAACTGTTGAGGAAAAAAGGAATCAATTGCCGTTTCTACTCACAGGATTGATCCCTGAAGCAGACGCAGCAGAAGCGGAAGCAGCTGTTGGATTGGCATCAACTTCTCCTTCAGACTCCACTCGAGACAGCACAGTCACAACTGACTGTAAAGACTCTGCAAAAAATGGAAAAGATGACTAATCAATAGAAGCACAGGAAACAAAATACAGAAGAACAGAAAATAAACATGAGAAGCAGAGATAATACGATTATTCATTTGTTTTTTTTTACAGATTTTAACCCTTCAAAAGTTTACCAACCACCCTTGCACTGCCTATCTTTCGCTAATCTTCATCCTTGGTTTAATCATTCTTTTTAGCTGATTTAACCTCTTCATTCTCATTCTTTTTAGTTGCATGACATTATGACACCTTACATGAGAAAGCAAGGTATTTTCAAATTCAAGGAAAGGCAGTGTCTCCAGATTCAAAATTATTCTGCACATGGCTCTTTTTTCTTCATTTGGCACCTGGGAAGGGGGCTTGATAGTAGCCAGACCAGTATCGATGGCAAACACACTGAATCAAAGTTATTGATTCCTCATTGCATGCTAAACTGAGTGAGACAGGTAAATGTTCCTGCTCTCTTAAGCCCACACATAGTTGACTGTGTCAAACAAGTGCCTGCAGCTCTGCCCTGTTCTGTTTTGCTATAATCCTTGTGGTAAAGCTGAGGACCTACATCTGCAAATACACCTTCAAATCTATTCTCAGGGTGCCACTGGCCTTCCAGTCGAAGCGCGCACCATGTAATGTATCAAGGCTGTCCCTCACATGGAGAGCTAGGGTTCAATTCCAGCCTGTGACTCCTTCTCTGCATGCCAGTCCTCGCCTGTGCTATCCACAGGTCCTTTCTCTCCAAAAATGCACAAAAACAGAAAAAAAAGAAAACCTCTTTCCTACAATGAGACGCTATTTTCACCAATTGTTGCCAGTTTGAAATACAAGTGAAGACAGAGACTGCAAACAAAAATTATAACAACACCACAATGTCAAAATGCTCTCAAACAATCTCTACATTTAATTACCATTGAATTTTTTTTTCTCTATGCTAGATTCTCTATTTAAACACTGTTCCCACTTGTATGAGTGGTTTTATAACTTAAATATTGGGTGGATGTGTTTCACTTTGAATGTGGTCTCTTTTTTTAAGCACTCCAGGGGGCCAATTGCAATTTCATAGTATTTTTCCTACAGTAACAATAGAGGCTTCTATGTATTTGTCATATAATCTGTGTGCCTATCTATCTATCTATCTATCTATCTATCTATCTATCTATCTATCTATCTATCTATCTATCTACCCATCTATCAATATTTTCCCTACTCTAAGTCCTCACCAGGTAGAAACCATAAAATCTGATCTTTTGCAGTAAAAGCTTCAGGATTTCATGCCCTCAAAGACAACAAAAAAGTTTGTTTTTCTGACGCTCGCTGACTGAAGCAAAGTGAAAAGAATTCCAGGGAGATATCAACAAACAGTAAGAATCTCAAACTGACACACAGTAAGCCAGGAGCAGCTTTAAAATTCACAAAGGGGCTGTGAGATCCACATTATCAGTTCTCTATCCTATCAGATGTTTACATACTTGAAGCTTTGAGTCTGCATTGTTTGTTCTCACTTTGCCTAAGAAGAGACGGTAAATACATCCAAACAGGTAACACAAGCCATGAATGCCTAATCAGATTCGGCAAAAAGAAAAGAAAGAGGGCTGATTCAGGGTAGCAACAGTGAAATAGGCGATGAAGACTAAAGGACTAATTACTGTCAGTTATAAAACAGGCAGCAACAAGTCGCTGTAGTAACCTACAAATGCTGAGGCACAACAAAGCAATGCTAATGAGGCCAGCTAGCACCCTGTTGGACTGCCACCTTCGCTCAGTTAATGTTAACACCTCCACGCTTTCTTCAAACGTGCATCTAAGAGCACAGAGAGGGGTGGAGGAGGCGGAAGGAAATAATAATCATCTACCACCTTCATGTTGTTGAACTGACAGGGAACAGCGCAAGGCTTGTTCATACTCTACATCTTGTGTACCTCCTCATCTTTCCTCCTGCTCACTCACTTGATCTCTAACACCATCTTGTTTGAGCGAGTTGTTACTAACCTCTTTGTAAACACAGATGAGCTGAGAGTAAAAAGGGCTCGATTGGCTGGAAATTTGGTGCACTCTTACAAAAGCAGTGGAACGGTGTGAACACACGGCGACTGAACTAAACATGTGCTCTGTTTATTATTTTAAATACCAATTTTGTTGCTCGAACGAAAGTGTCCTCAGCTTATTGGAGGTCTTCTTTTTTAATAATGATAACGCCATCTGCTCTACTAGATTAATCACTTTAACATGAGTGCATTTCCAAACTTTGATAAAAAAAAAAACACTGGGAATTATATCGCCTTATTTCTTTTCATATCTGATTACTGCACTTTCACATTTTCATATTCACAGAACTGTATATCCTATTAAATCCCCACTGACTAGAAAAGTGTGTGATTATGTTCTTTTTTTTTTTCAGGCTACTATTCATTACTGCCAAGTATAGTTTCTTAGTGGAGGTATTTTTTTTCTTGTACTAGATTTCTTTGCTGCCTGCTGTGCTTCATATGCTCTGATACCCTGCTACTCTGACTCCAAGCTTTCCCAGCTCCTATCTTTAGCCATCCATATCCATACACATATTTTAACCTATGTCCGTAGCTCCAACAGTGCTGTTAATAAGAATGTTCACTCCCTCCTTACAGGATTTCTAAATGGTGTGCATCAATGGAAAAAGACAAAGCCTTCTTTTTAATGTCTAAATGTAAAAAAAAAAAAATACTATTTCAAAGATATATCACATGAAAAATGACCATGAAACTAACAACTACTTTTAGTTTTTAGTGCAATTGTTTGTGCCTACATTCTGCTCACATGTACAGGCTTTGCAGGTTACTTTGTATGCACACATGTATTCAACCATTAAATACAGCACTGACCTTGGATACTGTTAGGTTTGGTGGCATCTGTAAAATCACAGATTTTCTCCCACTGGTCCCTGACAGCCTCAGGAGTCATGGGTTGGTTCTTTTGTCTCACTGTGCAGCCCTGAGAACGCTCCCAGCGCACTGCACACATGGACACGTACAAATAAAAGAGGTCGTTAACCAGAGGGGGAAAAACAGAAAATCGCATTCATACAATCCTACTGGACCCAGGGCTACAGAATATTATAAATGCATAGAGACATTTCCTCGGGAAAAATACACAATACTCACATTTACCAATCCAGCCTGCACCGACCTGACAGGAGATAAAATACGATCAGATGAGCAAACATACAGAAAATAGATGTTGCTTTCCAAAACTATTGCATTTTTTTTATTAATCATAAAATAAATATAGAAAGGAACCTTCAAATAGTGTTTGGGCAAGAAGTGTTTTTTTTCTGTTTACCTCAAACAGCCCACCGTTTTCTTGGCACTGTTCATGACAGAGCCAGAGGACCATGGGAGCAACATACTCGGGCTTCAGAGACGCCACCAGGTCTAAATAAAACAAAATACACACTCATAAAAAAACAGCACAGCTTCTTTTTATTGCACATCTGTTATACAACTGACCCAAAGAGCAGAGGGGTGCTTCTGCTTCACTGTCTCTGTTTGGTTGGTAGTGTGTCGTGAAAATGATGCTCCGACCGTTCATTTTACTCATTTAGATAGTACTATGAAAGCACAGTAGGAGATATCCCACAAGCCTCAAGCATTTGTTCCCCTTAGACCAGTGCAAACAGACACAAAACACAAGACACTGTTTAGTCAAATAAAGAAAGGAGAATATGGGTTTTAAATCTCTAAGTGGCATTTGTAAGTGAGCCATTCAAGATGAAGCTACATGTTTGGAAACCATGCTGCTCTTGATTGATGCAAGTACAGCAGGCTTATTTGACTTTTTGTCCTACTATTTGGACAGAGCACTCACTCGTCGATGTGATTCACTCCAAAAATCATCAGCTAGACCAGACAACTGCTAAAAAAACATGCATTAACATTAGCACTGTTAAATGAAGCAGAAACAGACCAGCCTTTGAATGCCAGGGAGCACAGAGCCAGGTCAATGTCATTTTTAAGTGACTGATCTGTTCATTTGTAAAATCTGATCAATGAAAGGAGGAACCAACAGTACTTCAGATGCATTTTATAAATGCAGTTAATATGGGGAAACTGTTTATCCCCCATATGATTCAATAAAGATTAAACACTAGGCACCATATGTGAGCTGAAAATATTGGTACTCTTTAATCAACAAAATGGGATGGCAGGAGAACAGGCACTCCCTTTCCCTGCAGTCGACAACGTTGAGCAGGATGATATCGGTTGTTTGTTTTTTAGAAAAGCCTGAGTCAGTGAAAGCCAACATATGGAACCGAGTCATTTTCTAAGGTGAAGTCATCCTGTGACAGTCGGCACCGTGCAGTGTGACAGATGCTGCGGTTAGATCAGCACGGCAGGGCAACAGCACCGTTCCTTTAATCTGTCAGTGTATACCCCTGTCAGTTAGCTGGTCTAGAGCCACAGAGCATGGACAACATTTTCAAAATGTATAGGCGCGTGGACACCCAGGGTTTGCTAGTTTGGAAAAACACTGCTCCCCCACATGGGAACATCAGGTCCTTTTAAAAGACAGCAAGCAATAAATGAAGAGTTTTAGTTTTATGGGCTTTTCTGAGCTATAACTCATGGTGTTACCTGTAGGCAACAACTGCTGCATTACCACCCGCTCTAAGTAATATTTTTACCATGAAAAATATGACTGCGTCATTAACATGCCTACTCAGATTTTTTAAAGCACAGCTAACACCTACAGTAAAATTAGGGGGCTGCAGCCGCCTGTTAAAATCAAGAGCTCACACATTAAAACTTTTAAAACACTTCCAGGGTGCATGATTTCATCATGGCTGTTGAAAGAGCAAAAAAAGGAAAAACACAGATCTTGAATATTACATGAAAAATTTGCATGTCAAACGGGACTGCTGCTGCCTTAAATTTTGTAAATCAACACAACATGAGCATAACATTATGCTGCAGTTCTGAGAAAAGTGTTTAAAATCTATTTGTTTATTTTGCTCTGCCCACAAAACGAGCGTGTGTGCGCACATGTTCAGCAGCATGCCTTGCAGAACGTCAAATTATTCAGACCAACTGCATGCAATCAAGCATTTTTTAATCTCTCTGCTTACCAGGGGGCATGACGGTCTCTGTGAGGCGCGACCCTGCTACAGGAGCAATAGTGTTGCAATGGATGTTGTACTTTCGTCCCTCAATGGCCAAGGTGTTTGAAAGGCCCAGCAAGCCCAGCTTGGCAGCGCTGTAGTTGGCCTGGCCGAAGTTACCATAGATGCCTGCGGCTGAGGCTGTCATGATGATTCTGCACAAAGACAACCCCAGGCAAAAAATAAGTGGCAGACATCACTGCAGAGTAAAGGGACACACAGATGAACCCTTACAAACACTCATGACCTCACAAAGTGGTACACACTTTCATGCATGCATAAACGCACAGGAGTACACAAATGCAAGCAGCTAGTTACACATACACAAACAAGAACAACTGCTTTATCACAGATACAGAGCTGCACACAGCATATTTATTTGAGCGACTGTGAGTACAGCCTATATGCAGGGGTGAACACAAGTACGCACAGCAGGCACACAGTCATACACATAAAATTTTCCCAGTAATCTCACGCAGACAGTTCAATTCAGTCGAGCAAAAGTAATAAGGTTAAAACGCTACATTAACTGTTGAAGACATCTGAAACACGCTGAATCGCTGGTCATCAGAGAGCAGTGATCCATACCACAGCACACAACAATAGAACCACAAGGGGACCGGCTATGACAGAATATTATTCAAATCAATAACCTTTGTGCACATCGGTCTACGGCAAAACTGCTACAGGAGCCATCCACGCTGTCAAGTGCTATTTCTCATAACGCATCCTTTAATCTTTACAGAGTGTCATAAAATGCTGCCATAAGAATGAGCAACAGAAAACACAGACTGTCTTGTGTGCAATAAAGCCTCTGCAGATCTGCATCCGTGTGTTGTTGTTTTTAAGTGTTTTATCCATATTCTTGACTTTTATACAAACTCTGTCTGTTTTGTTGAGATTCCTGAAACTAATTTGTCTACATTTCATTTCTTTATGTCATAGTTTTAACTTTAAATGCACCTTCACCTTTTTTTCTCAGGCTGACAAACCCCTGAGATTGAAACCTGTCCATATATGCAACGAGCACAACTATAGTGATGTGGGAATGACGCTAATGGAGAACATCTCTTAGTGGCAAGGTAGACATGGATCTCATTTCAAAACCAGAACTGCCTTCTTTTGTAAAGACCCCAGTAAGTAAGTAAAATAAGTAACAACTCTGACTGGGCTGGTAGGAGGTTAAATTTATTTGAAAACCACAACACGCAAAAAATGAGCTGAGATATTGCACTCCCTTGTGATGCTGTTGTGGCTCACAGCCTTGAGGCAAACATTCACTATCAATGAGGTCAGAATCAAAAAACATTCAAATGAAAGATCTTCAAAATAAACAAGAAAAACCATTTGATTTTCTGGGTTTTAAAAGGAAAAGTTCATCATTGTATCCTAGAGATCTGTGTGAAATTGTGCTGTAGCTAGTGAATCAATTTGTAAAGTTATGGCCATTTTTTTGTGCAAGAGATCACAGTGTCCTTGAACTTTTGATCACTGAATTCTAACCATTTCAAGACTAAAAATAAGGTTACACCAGGTGAGATAAAAATCTCCTCCAGGCACTGCTAAGCTTTTTGTAAGGACATGACAGTGACTATGATCAGATACGGTCATATCAGGTAAGGAGGTATAATAAAAAAAGCTGCGACATTAAAGTTGATGCTTAAACGGATATTCTGGCATAAAATTGAGTTAGGGTCAAACACACCGTAACACCGAGTTAGACACCCCACAGGGAAATGCAGCTCAAGGAAGAGCATTTATGATCATTTCCTCATGGAAGTGCAATCAGACCGAGACGTTGAGGCGGAAGAACCACCGCATCTGCAGCGCAAAATGATTAATATGATGATTATCACTTCAAGGAAATGATACAGTAATGATCATATTCCAGCCGTTACTCTTAAAGGGATATTCCGGCCTAAAATTAAGTTGGGGTCAAACACACCGTAACACTGAGTTCGACACCCATATTATCATTTCCTTGAAGTAATAATCACCATATTAATCATTTTGCACTGCAGACGTTTTTATGAAGTAATGATCATAAATGTTCTTCCTTGAGCTGCGTCACCCCGCTGTAGTCGATGGACTCGCCCAGAGTGTTGTGTTTAGTTCTTTTACTTGAGAAATCAGGCAAAGTTAAAAAGATGTTTGGTGGCTAGCACTATGGCTGGGACCCTATATGTACTGTTGATGAAGTTAGGTGCTGTTCTGAGCATTATTTGTGGCTATAGAGTGGCTTTTTGGTTGAGCGCGTGGCTCTCTGAATTGCTATCTGCGGTTGTTACTAAAGTTGGTATAACTAGAGAAGTAAGCGGTCGGCAACATTCATCTCTCGAAGGGGTGTCTAACTCGGTGTTACAGTGTGTTTGATCTTAATTCTATGCCGGAACATCCCTTTAACACTGATACTGAGAGGGGCCCCATATATAAAAGATACAAACATGTGTTGTAGACAAATATGAGCGAACTGCTGTCCTCCACCACCAATGTAGAAACCCCCTATACACTCTTATAAAGGGCATCTGCAACCTGCAGTAACATGGGAGCAGAGCTGGTTGTGTGACCTTCTTCTGTAAATTATTATTCAAAACATGCAAACCTCAGTGGGCCTTTTTCAACACACACATCACATTCTCTTGTGATAGCAGGAGCAGCGCAAGTTTTCAGCTCAGCTTAGGCTCGCAGACATCATGCAGACATCATCATTAGCTTAAGACAACAATGTTCTACTTTCTGGAAGAGCCATTAATCTCTCTTTAAAATAGATCTGATCATACCAGCAAACATCAGGAGGACGTTACAGTCATTTGGAAGTATCAATTTGAGACTTGTGCTGCAGATGTTTGCAAACTCCCACACAATATTTTTAAAGGCAAGTTCAACACCTAGCTTTTTAGTCTGGTTTTTACCTGTTTTTATTTTTAATCTCTTAATCTGCATTATGTGTTTTCAGTCTATTTTAGTTTCAGTGTTAAAATTCTGTGTTCTATTGCATCTTTTTGTTTTGTTTTTTTGTTTGATTTTACAACAGTTTTATTTCAATTAACTTGAAACGTTTTATTATTTTTAATTTTATCTTATCATGGTTTTATCGGTTTGGTCTTAGGTTCGGTGTTTCCTCATTTTAAACTCCTCAGTCATCTGTGGCAGCTTGGAGGGTCCTATTCAAATGCCCTTGTGTGTACGTCTAAGTGTTGTGTGTGTTAAATGTGGGTAAGGAAGGTGGGTGGGGTTCTGTATTTTTATCTTGTATACCCCAACACAATGGACACTACTTTGTGCACCATTTCTTGTATGAAAAGTGTTTTATAAACAGCGGTTGATTAATTGATTGACAAGTGCTGCAACACCTCCAAAAGTGAGTAGTGTGTACAACTCATTCATGTGGTACAAAACTGAAGGAATCATATTAGACCTTTGGATATATTTGCAACTTCTTTAGGAGTGATTAATTAACCCACTTCTCAAATATTTAAGAGATTCACTTGCAGCGCAGGATAACAAAATTAAATTCATTCCTTTCATTCATTGCTGATTTGAATAATCAAATCAGATTCGCTGTCTTGGGTTTTTAAAAGTATGCAAATTTTTTCTCTGTACACCTTGAAACTATCGAAGTGAAAAATATTAAGGGGTATCAAATGACTAAAATCAGAGCAGGAATATGAGTATCATAATATGAGGGCAGACATGGTTTATATACCCATTACCCCAAGTGCCTGCTCTCGGGAGCCTTCTTAAAGTAGGGCACATAAAAATCATTTTGAGTATCTTTGGTACTTTATTTGATGTCTGGATCAGGCTTTTCCATAGAGAATACTGATATCCCATTGATTACAAGCCTGAAATAGTGCATCTGCTGAGAATAAGCTGCTCTCAAAAAAGATAAATTCACCCCCTACAACAGGAAGATGGCATGGTTTTAGCTACCTAAATAGCTGCTCTCACCTGCCAAACTTTTGGTTTTTCATGTGATTCCAGGCTGCTCGAGTCACCAGAAAGGATCCTCTCAAGTGAATTCTCTGAATCAGGTCTGAAATGCAGAAAGAGAGAGGCAGCACTACAGATTAGAGCAATGTGGAAGATTCAACTTCCAGTACATTTTCAAACTCCCACACAGACAATCTGTCGTTAAAGACATAAGGTACTTAGAAAACAAACACAATATATTCTTCTGCTTAATACTGCCATGAGGATTATGAGGTGAGCCAAATAAAACAGAGTAATGTGATGATACTGAGTGACTCTTCACACAGTAGGAGTTAATGAGAGTGAAAAGAATGTAAACTGCAGAAATAATTGAATTACCCCAGTCCAAATCACTCGTCCTGGCAAATGATCGGTCACGAAGAATCCTTGGCAAAGACAAGCAGGGCAGGGTTTTAGTCTTTTCACACTTTATGACAAATCTTCTGATTCATTTTTACTCTTGTAAACAAGTCACGTTTAACATTCATTATTAAATCCAAAAGTACTGTAAAAAAAAGACTTACCCAGCGTTGTTTACAACTACATCTAGAAAAAAAAAGGTTTCACAGGATTAATTATCAACATCATTCAATAGAGATAATTTATCAATGTAACACTTTAACATACTAACCTATTCTTCCAAATGTATCCAGTGCTGTTTGGATCAGTTTTTCTCCATCTTCTACAGAATCTATGAATGAGAGCACAAAAAACTGTCAAAGATATGGTGTAAGCTTTTTGCAGTCATACATTTTGAACGATCTGGCTTAACTGAGTGTCTAAAATTCAGTACCCGAGTGGTTTTGAGCTCTAGTTATGGATCTGATTCCTATCAGATTGTTCTTTATTGCAATCAGGATTACAGATAAAAGCAATGTAAGGAGGTGGTGTGATATCAGTTATATAAGTAGAAGAGGTAGAGGCATATAAGAGAGTTTTATTGAGTACAACACAACAATGAGTGGAGAGGTCTGATAAGTCATTTTTTCAGAGTTTACTTGTTTTCAAAGGTACCTGTCAATCACTGATCAACAGGCTCTCATATTTCTGGTTGGTACAAAAAGGTTTGTTTTGTTATGTTTGTAGGATGCAAAAAGATAAATCAGTTGTCAACACATGTTAACAGCATTATTAGTAAGCTTGTCAGAGTGACAGAAATCAATATTGTTTTAGACTTTCATTAAAATGACTAATTATTTAAAAGTAAGCCAGAGCGAAAAAACAGAGATAATGATGTGCCAAAGAAAACAAGTGAAGACAAGATCGCAAGCTCAAACTTCTCACCATAGTTTGCCACTGCCTTGCCTCCTTTCGCTCTTATCTCCTCCACCACCTTATCAGCAGCTGCAGAACTCTTTCCACCTCCTTTAGTGTCTGCCCCAAGGTCATTCACTTTATTGCAACAAGAAGAAAAAGATTAGCAATAATGGGGTGAGTTCTGCAATTCTCCACAACTGATTAGGTAAAGAGAAGAGTCGAGCTAAGCTGATTCCTTGTCAGAGTTCAAGGGCACGTTGGGCCCAAGCGTCAGGGGGAAGCTGTTATTTTTGGGAGGGCAAATATTTATGCCAACATTTGCAACTGTGCAGTTTAAAAATAAAAAAGGTTTGCATAAATAGACAGGATTTTCCTTTTTTAAGATTTAATCTACTGAGAAATTAAGTGATTCAAATTTTCTCTCCCAAAACAGATTTTGATACCTTACCTCAGGGTACCGCTGCTGACACTAAGTTTTAATTCTGTAGCATAAGTTTCAAGGTCATTGTAAATCACTTTGTGTAATCGTATGAGATATAAATTAATGAGTGGACAAAAGCCCAGGCTTTTCTGTGACTATCTGCCTCCCACTTCGACTTAATGAATGTAAGCCAAAGCAATAAATTATGCATTTAAATTTTAAGTTGCACTTATGTGGACTTGTTAAGGTCCAAACCCAGTCTTCTTACTGAGAACATAACATGTGGCAGTCAAAAACCTATATAACTTGTGCCTGCTTCTCTATATGACTCTAAGGACAGTCACAGGACAAATCTGAACTCACAGTCACGTACTACAGTTGACCATGAAGGTGCAGGGACTTGCAGCTTTTAGTCCATACTAGACTGTCAAGATATCTTCTAATGCTTCTCTATATATGATGTCAATACTGTAGATTAAAAACTAGCATTTAATTCTGATACAAACAGGAGTTTTAAGAAGAAAAAAAAGAATTTTATTGATCCCCGAAGAGAAATTATACTGTCTGTCGTCCCATTTGTTGAGTCTCTAAATGTTATCTACTATTTACAAAAGAGTTGTAAAGTCTGATGGCTGTTGGTACAAAAGATCTTCTGAATCTTTCTGTCCTGCAGTGAAGAGAGAGGAGCCGTCCACCACCATTGGCCCTTTGGTCCATTAAGGTGTTGTGAAGTAGGTGTTGCATGTTCTTTAGAATAGTTGAAATAGTTTTAAACAAAATAATTATGTTTTAATAGTTCTAAATAGTTGTTTGTTTGTTTTTTAAGACAATCCATGAAAGTAATCTTCCATCCAAAACATCTTCGAGGGAAACTCTTCTGGGACACCATGCACAGTGACATGACTAGCCTCCAAAGCAAAGAAAATATGAACTCAAACAGCGGTATACCATAAGCAGGAATTTCATCATGTCCCTGGGATCAAAGTCTGCTGTGAGAACCAATATTAGGTGTAACAATGAAGATCTTTTGTTTACCTATAACTGAAGCACCTCTCTCGGCAAAAGCCAATGCATATTCTCTGCCAAGACCTGTAAGAAGAAGCACATATGAGTAAAATGCTGAAGTTTACTTTGACAGAGTGGAATACCCTCAACAACGAGCTGCAGTGTGCCCTTGTTTGATATGCCCTTTAACACACTTACCATGATTGTAAACTATTGCGTTATTCGCACTTTGCTCCTATCTGCTGCGGATGAAAAGGTGAAACAAGAATCTGTATCGGTACGAATAAAAGCAGGACTTTAACTACATCTGCTGTTCTTTCCTGAAGGTTTTCAGGTCGTCATGGTCAAGATTGTTTACCTTCATGTACTCTGACTCGCAGCTGTTTCACAAGTCTTAGCACTCCGACAAACACAGAGGTGACACGATGAGCCATTAATACAGACTTCTGCACCAGCACTTCTCACTATATGCTCATTCAACATGCTCTCTCTGTGAATTTTGCACGTTAGCAGGGTGAGCTAGCGTTACAAGCCTCCGTACATGTAGGAACAGTTAGCAGCAATGACAGCGTCGCTGTATCTTAGCATATCGATTCTTACCTCCTCCGGCTCCAGTGACAAGCACGACCCTTCCATCGAAAGACAGAGACATCCCTGTGCTGTGTTATTCCTCTGTTTTCGCACGCCAAGAGAACGGGGGCGAAAGATCAACACCAGCGTCTACAAACAGAAGGGTGAACTTCTGCAAGTTCTACTTCCGCATTCACAAGGGGGCGGGCTCAACGGTGGCCAATCAAAACAAGGGAACCAAGCTTACCATCCCACCCCTGTAGTCTTCACTCTTGATGTGTAGTAGTCCACTCTGTACTCCAGAAACTGAACAGCATTTTTCCCTTTATATTATGATATCTCTTTCTAAAATTATTTGGTATATGTTGATCAGTGTGAATATCTTTTTTCACTTTATCCCTCATCATTGCACCATTATTACAACTGTATTACATTTATTTGTACCATTGCGTTCATATTGCCATATTTGCACTATTGTGTCCACATCAGGACTGCCATACTGTTCACATTCACTTTCTTCCACTCACCGTCCTCTTAATATTTATACTGCACACTGTTTATACTGTTTTGCTGTTTATATTGTTATCTTTATTTTGTAAATTGATGTGAGTATTTAAGGTAGTCTTTTGTTTAGCTTAGATGTTTATTCTATATTTATACTTTTATAGTTTTATTCCTATAGTTTATTGTTATGCCCCATGGCTCTGAGAGGACTAAAATTTCATCTGTGCTGTGTGTTGAACATGTATAGCATATTTGACAATAAAGTTGAATTTGACTTTGACTTTGATATCTCTCAAACTGGGCTCACCAACTTGTCTTTTTGCTGTAAATCTCTTTGAAGCATCATTGCCATTATCATTAATCTGCAATAGATGTAAGATTATGTCCTAAGGAGAATTGAGGTTTAATCTTTTTCTTCTTTAGGAGTCATTATGATTGCAAAGCATTTTTTTTAGCATTTGACCTGCAGGACTCCAGCTGCTACAACAATTAATATCTGTAGTTGAAGTAAATTAAAAATTAATATCAGCCTCACCAGTACCATCACTGTTACAATGCTGATGTTCATTTTAAGACAGTTTGACTCACACTGTTTTACTTGATAGTTTCATTCCAACCCCTATTATAAACATCATTACAAATGTTGATGAGACCTAACGACTTTAAAGGGATATCCCGGCATAAAATTAAGTTAGGGTCAAACACACCGTGACACTGAGTTAGACACCCCGTCAAGAGCTTTATGTTGCAGACTGCTTGCTTCTCTAGATATACCAACTTTAGTAACGACCGCACAATAGCTATATACAGAGCCATGCGCTCAACCAAAACACCACTCTATAGCCATAAATAATGCTCAGAACAGCATATAACTTCATCAACAGTACTTATCGGGTCCCAGCCATAGAACTGGTCACTAAACATTGTTTTGACTTTGCCTAATTTCTTTAGCATTTCTTTGGCTTTTCAACAAAGGTTTGGTTCTGCTCAAGGGTTCTGTCAGTTCAGGGAGTTTTTCCTTGCTACTGTGACTTGCTGAATGCTGCAAAGTGCTTTGCTCATGGAGGATTTAAATATGAGATAAGACTGACACTTAGGCTGTAAAATATGACTTATCTAATCTTGATGATGGGTCTTTGTAAATAATACAGCATAGAGTCTGGGCTAAATCTGCTGGCTAAAATAGATTATTTTGATTGATTCTGTCTAGATTCTGTCTATTTTTAGACAGGATTTTGACCTGGCACAATAACCCATTATTTGATAACTATTTATTTCAAAAAGCAGCTGTGAGTTGCATAACTGACCCCCTAGTACTCAACGAAAATAATTATGATAGCCGTTGAGCATTATACAGTTTAGTATAGACAAGTCCAGATTAAGATTTAGTCTAAACTGGTCTAAATTTAGATGTCTAAAAATCTTTCGTTTTTAGACCTGTGGTAGCCTGGTTTTAGATCAGACGTCTAGGCTACATTTAGACGTCTATTAGGCCAATTTTTGGACCAAAAAATGCTCAGTGTGTATGCAGTTGACAATAAAAGTAATGTTTGTTTGACTGATTGATTGATTGATTGAATGTGATTCATTGATTGATTGAAATAGCTATTCAACCTTTGTCTGGACAGTTTTTAGGGGAAAGTGCTCCAACAGTGCAGTGTCTGTCCTTGGCTATACCTCTTTTTTAGTTGAAGAAAGTGAGAGTAAACTTGGCAAGCATATTATGTTGAGGCTTTGAGGAGCGGGGGTTATTCTCAATCAGTGCTATAAATAGACCTCCGAGCGTGTGGGGGAGGTTATTAAGACTACAATAACACAACAAACACAAACGCTCGCCCCTTAAAACCAATAACCGGGAGACCTTTTCAACAGCGGTATGCCTGTGATGAAATAGCAACATAAGATCAGCAGCCGTGCAGAGAGAGAGAGAGAGAGAGAGAGAGAGAGAGAGAGAGAGAGAGAGCATCCTCTGCGCCCGCCGGACGTTGGTTCAGACTCTCTAAGGAGGCTGCGATGGAAACAGGATGAAACTGTCGAGGTGTTTTTCGGAGGAAAGTGCCCCTGGGGTGTCATTACCTGGCGGCTTTCCGGGGTGTATCATTACAGAGACCGTTTATTTATGGAAAGAATTGGAGTGTATCACAATTTTCTCGATGCCGGAGGATTATGGACCATTTCAATAACGACGGTTGGGATAACTGCCTGTCTACTCAGTTTTGCTTTTCCGTGCTTTTACCCTTGTTTACCCGAGATAAAACATTTTCTGCGCGTACGTGTCAAACATTTTTTTCTCAAAATGTTGAATTCAGCGCTCACTCGACTTGAAGGATATTCGTGGCTCGTCGTTTTTCGTTGTTGGACATGAGGGTGTAAGGTGTACAAACCTGTGGACGGGCGCCCGTTTCGTAGACAGTATGATACAATATTTTGACATAACCGTTATTTTCTGTGTTCCGCTCTATTGCGCATGCCTAGTGGTAGATATAGAACGCTGCCCGACGCCACTTCACTCCGTCCTGGCCGTGATGTAGGAGCAAAAGTGAAGGGAGCGGAGGACTAAATAATGCGTTGGCAAAGTGGCAGCGTGGCAACCAAAGGATTTGACTTTAGATCCTTCACTATATAGATTGTGTCATAAACTGAAGAATGTCAGGGACACCAAATGCAGAGGCTGAAGGAGTAGTCTCCAAAGTACAAGTGAAAAAGGAGATCAAGACAATCGTGGAGAATTTGGAAACCATCCTGGGAGACCTTAAGGATGTAGCCAAAGAGCTCAAAGAGGTAAATGAACAGGAAACACCGCTGCTTATAAGCACGTTTGATCTTAGCCTGTTTCTACATGCTCTTTTAATGCAATCATGTCTGAGGAGACATGAGAGGCTGACGTCCACCTCACGGGGGCCTGGAAAAGGCTATGACAGCACACATACTCCCTCTCTCTTACGCACACACATACACACACACACTCACTGACGTGCACCTCCCCCTGCCCACTAATGTATGTGATTATTATCTCCAACAGGAGAGACATTTGGCACAGGAGGTTGTGGGGTGTGAAATGACAGGACAGCCTCTTCACCCTGACTCATACAGGCTTCAATGAAAGTGAGAAAAATGTAATCACAATTAATATTTCATGGACAAGTTGGTTCATCCAGGAAGGCACTTTTGCATCGCATTTCATCATCTTAATGCTGACTTTTGTTTGCTGCGAATTAATAGAACAGTTGTCTCTCCTTTTCACTTTTCATCTCTCTCAATCTGTGGTGGTGGCTCTCTCTTTATCTACACCGCTCTTTGTCTTTCACCACATGTCAGTATTTATCACAGCCAATCATCTCCATCCTCTCTTTATCTCTTGTTGTCTGCTGGCTTTCCCTCATCTCGCCACAGAATTCTTCGGATCAAAACTCTCAGAGCTGTCAGATTCAGATCTCAGTGATGCTGAGACTGGAGTGTTGAATGGGAATCCGAGGGATCACTGAGGGATTCTGGGATTATATGAAGATACTTCGTGTTTTTTTTTTTTTTTTTATTTACAGCAAGTTTTTTCTTCTGTTCAATTCAGATTCATCCACATGTAGTGGGGCTTGCTTCCAATCACTGTTTCCTGCACTGCCAATCACTGAGCCCCATGCTGCCACTTCAGCTGTATAACCTGCAGTCTTTCCCGTTTTGATGTTTACATTCCTCCAGCAGCCACACACCAGGCATTTGGCCTCCTGTTCTCCGCGTCTCACCCAAACATGACAGGCTGTCAGTCTAATAAGACCCTATTGCTTACAGCTTCTGGTTCCTACATTATGGATGGTTCGTCGACACAGCATCTGTCTCCTTCTGCTTCTCTGCTTTCCTATCTCTGATTTTTCTGAACTTGCTTTGAATAAGACATTTTTGTGTTTTTCAGCCATTTACAGTGTCTTGTAGGGAACACCAAAGATAAATGAAAACATGAAGGATGTGTAATCTGTCTATTGCAATTTTATATGATGTGCCCCCTCTTTTTCTCAGGAAGTTGTGATGTGGATCTCTTTTTTCTCACGCTACACACACAAAACACATACCTTGTGGGGATGCTACTATCAAAGCCAGTGTTTGGGGTATAATCCCTTTGAAATGCATTTATCTGTTATAACTCACAGACAGGGCTGGAACCCTGCCTGGCTGTGAGGAGTGACCCTGCCCAGATGCTTGGCACAAACACTGTCGCTGCCTGGCCTACAGCAGAGACTGCACACTGGGACCGTACTGATATTACCTCTCGTGTGTGTGTGTGTGTGTGTGTGTGTGTGTGTGTGTGTGTGTGTGTGTGTGTGTGTGTGTGTGCGTGTGTGTGTGGCAAATTATCCATTTAAAGACAGAGAGTTAAGCTCCATTGCATTCCCCACCATTGACTTTTATCTTGTGCTTTATCTCCTTCTCCCAGTCACTCTTTTTCTGTCTATTTCTCACCACTCGACTCTTCTCATTTCTTCCTCATTCTCCAGCCACTGTACAGACATGCATTTCAAACACTTGAATCATAGCAGTGGTGTTTTAAATCGGGTCAATGTACTAGATACTCAGAAAAAAAGGCATTACTGATTCAGGAAGTGAACATAAGAACATTGTCATGTCATGATTATTTTATGGCGGCTGTAAAGAGACATACATCAACTTATTTCTTGTGACTTTTTCTCACAGTTATTCCAACCATTTTTTCAGCACTGACAAAACAAACTAAGGCGTGCTCAGATCACCTTATATTGGACATTCTTTGGGATCACTGAGTGCTGGATCCTCTGTAGTTAGGCAGCCAGTAATAAAATGTCCAACTGCACTTCAGTTCTGGGCATGGAGGCAATAAAAACTCCACCCGGGAAAGCAACTCTTCTCTAAGGGGAATGTTTTTGGATACGCTTCTAAAAATGGCTTTAGTGCATGGACAATTTATCAGTTATTATTTCCCTACAGAGTTTAGTCAGATCCATGTCTGTTGTGTTTGTAAAACTCACTTTATGAAATTGAATCTCCTCATACTAGTATCCGCTAAAAGATACAGTTTGCACCAACTTTTATTTTTGCATGTGACATTTAAGCTCTTTGATGTACAGCTCTGCAGACTTGAATGTGTGGTTAGGTTATAATATCTATGCTAGGGTTAGTATGCGCACTGATGCATCCTATCCTGACAGAAGGTGCTCCCCACTAGGTTTTTACCCACTGTTAGAGTGTGTGCAACAGTACAGTAGGTACTCTTTGTACTGTCTCAGCTGCTGCTGCTGCTGTCTCCTTTCAACTATTTCCAGTCTTGCTTATTACGTTTAGAGTGGCAACAAACCAAATTCCTGCTCCAAAAGTTCTTTAATATCTGCCTTTGCAAGCTGTGAAAACAAATTTCCTCTTGGATGATGAGGGAAATATCTTTGGATCTACATATCTCCTGTTTACACACAGCACCCTTAGACAAAATCTCCTAATCAATTCCACTGCACCGTACAGAGTTTTTCTGTCTTTTCCTCTTTATTACACTTTTTGTTATTATTCATTTTATCATCTGCAGTATGCTTTATTCACAAAATGACCTCTTGGTTCAAGTTTGCAGATGTATTCAAATATTAAGCTTGTTCTTTGTTTGGGTTGTTGCTTCCACCAAAATATTCATTTTGCTATGTCACAGTGCATTTCTTATGTTTTGTCTCCTTTTCCTCACTGGCACTCTGAGAAAGTTATTGCACCACTGCAGCTGAATTTGTTTTCTCTTTTATAATATGTTGTTTGCAGAGTTGATTTCTGGTTTTGGTTTTTCTAGTCTTCTGCTCCATTTGAAGATTTTCTCCTCCCTTTTCTGGCAAACCAACGTTTCATTTTTTATTTATTTTTTTTTGCTGTTCATTCGTGTCATGATGAATTATTTCCTTCTTTGTTGTTTAGAACCATGACTCTTCGTAGAAACCTTTGCTCTCTTAGCATTTATTCCAGTGTCTTGTGAATCACCCTCTGATTGTTGAGTTGTACTTGACTTTTGCCATATTTTATATATTCCTCTTAATCTCTGACTGTCTTACTTTTAGCAGAACATTGCAAAACCTGTGTTTCAATTGCAACCTTTATTTTTTCATAATCTGCCTTCTTTTCTGTTTGTTAAACCCTTGTGTTTCTCTTCATTAGCTGCCCTCTTTTCTTAGATGCAGAGGGTGTGTTGTTCATCATTTTCCGACTTGAGTTCTGTATTATCAGAGAAAGTACAAAGTTATAGGATATGGTTGGATTCCCTTCTTGTAGCATATCACTTAAATCAAAGTCTGGCTGACTCATGGGTGTCTGGCAGGCTCATGGGTGGTCCCATAAATATTTTGGCGATATTTCTTTCCCCTGGTCTGGCTGTCTCCCTTAACCTTAAACGTCTCTTAAATTAAGTTTCATTAAGTTAAGTCCTCAGTTCCTCCAGTATGAACTTAATGTAACAAAGACTGCTCTGTCATAAAAAGTCTTTTTTCCAAAACATTTCGCCTTCCACCTTTCAATCCAGGTCATCAGCCCCTGTGGAGTCACCTGCTGCTGTATTGACTTCAATGCTCTTATTTCTTTCCTTCAGACTATTCCTGTCCTCTTTTGTCACAGTGACATTTCTTCATCTCATCTTTAGGTTGTTCATGACATCGACACCCTGACTGGTGACCTGCAACTAGAGGAAGACGGACTGACTGATAGCTCCAAAACGGACACGCTCAACTCCAGCTCGAGCTCCACCACCACCACCACCACCGCATCCAGCCTGGAGAAGATGAAGCTCTTCCCTGATGACTGCATCTTCAAACCACCTGCAACCATTGCCCCCGCCCCTGTCCACCCTCCTATGGTCTTGACTGTACTCAAGAAACCCCACCCTCCCCTACCGCCACCCAGACTCACCCCGCTGAGGGGTGAGGAACACAACACCAAGAATCTGCCTCATCCGACGTTAGTGTTATCAGGGAATATCTCCAAGGCTGCCGGATCAGCAATGAGGAATGGCAGTGTTTTTCCTTTGAAACCAAACAGGGATCTATTCTCCTCTACACCTTGTTTCATTTCTAATGACGGAATTCCTGAGACGGGGCTTGTTCCTACATTACCTAGACCCATGCCTCTTCTCCGCCATGAAAAGAACAAATGTCCAAAGGCCCCAGGCAGAGAGTCTCGTGAAAGAGAGCGTGTGCGATTTAGTGAAAAGGTCCAGTATCACGGCTACTGCCCAGACTGTGACCTCCAATATGATGTGGATGACACGGAACTTCACATACAGGCCGAGCTGAACGACTTGAGACTCAGTCCAGTGCATTGCTGCTCTTCCTCTCCCCCTCCTCTCCCTCCTCATGCTCTTCCTCATGAACTGATGTTGGAAAACGGTGGGCTCCCAATGAGCCACAGTTTCCCGCCAACGACGAACACTCCTCCACCTTGTGTGCCTCCTCACCCGCCGTCCCTAAAACCCCAGAAAACAATCCTGCGCAAATCGACAACTACTACGGTGTGACGTCACACCACTTGTTAAGTCTCACTTAAACATTCTTGAATCATTCATAGTGTTTTCTACTTTATGAGCGCTTTCTACTCCAGGTGAACTTTGGATTAGCCAATCAGAGAGAGGAGATTTTAGGAAAAAGGAAACAAAAGGATGGATACGCTGAGTGGAATGGAGAAAAAGCCATCATCATGGGCACTGAGATGTGCACTGGGAGATCTGGAAGAAGCGGTGAGTGTCTGTGCATTTTTGAGTGTTTGTCAGAAAACAAAACAACTGCTTATGTCTGAATAAAAGTAAGTTGATGTCCTGGGTCTACACATGTGTTTATATTTGTAGGAGCATGAGTAGGCATTTGTGTTCAGCGTTATGTTTGTAGGCAGTGAGCCTCGGCGGAAAAATGTTTAGGGACTAAGAAAACTTCCAGAGACACTGCTGACAACACTTTAACTAAATTGTATGTGCCTGCCTAGTAGCTCTAACGAGTTTCAAATTTAGGAAGTCCTTTCAGAGTAGGCTCTAATTTATTCATGTCCTTCTGGATGAAACAAGAAAACCCGTTTCCCTCAGATTTCATCTAAAGCCCTAAAGATCTTCCTATAAACCTACATCCAACCCTGCACCACTCACACATAGACATGATTCAAATGACTGCGGACAGGCTTACATCTATATCTTGCTGAGATGAACAATTAGGGCTAAGGAACTGTCAAGAAGCCTCATACCTTCATTGCCTTCATCAGCTCTTGTCTCTACCAGTCCTGTTTTGCTGATGTGTGAAGGAACAAGAATGGAAAATGAGAGGAAAGTGGCACAGAGGGTAAAGGGAATGAAAGAGAGAGAGAGAGAGAGAGAGAGAGAGAGAGAGAAGTCTGGTGGGGAAAAAACACCATCCTGACAGGAGCTAACTTATCAGCAAGCTGTCATTGAAAGATTTTGTTCGTCGTTCTCATATCGTGTTGAGCAACTCATTTCCGATTCCTAGATTTCCCTGACTGCTATATAAAAGGGACTAAATGGACGGGAAGTTCATCAATTAGGCTCATGAGTGGAGAGGATTGCGATGAAAAATATTGGCCCTCGTGTCCTTAAGAGAGCAATAAATCAGAGAAATATCATACATCTCAGTCCGTATGGGCAGTCTCCCTGCTATTAGTTCTTATTAAGAAGCATATTTAATAAGGCCTGTGAGTCTTGTGTGTGTGTGTGTATGTGTGCTGTAAGTTCGATATCCTTCAGATCCACTCATGATATCCTTCAGATATCGAACTGTGCTCAGCTGTGCACATGTCTGTGTGCGTGCAAAGGTGTGTGTAAAAGCACATGTCAGTTCAGCAGACTTGGGGAGACAGCATACCCTGGAGTCAGATGAGAATAGTAGCACCTTCCTCCCAGCTATGCCCTTAATTAGCTGGATTAGACTACCAGAGATAACAGGACTGCTTCAGATAGCCTTTGTACCAACATTAGCTTTGACAAAGCTCTGAGCTGCTGCTGCACATATTTTTTTATGATAATAGACATAGAAAGGGAGCAGAGAAAGAGCAAAGTGAAGGTGAAAAAAAAGAAGGAAAGCGAGAAACGGAGGGACTAGTGTGGTACACGTAGAACATATTTATAATTTGTGTGTGTTTGGCATTGTTGGGATGAGAAGCTTAGGGGTTCAGGCTGAGAAAATGAGGGTATAAAATAGCACTCACTGATGACTAAATCCATTGCACGACCCCGCTGGCCTTATACATCTAAAATCGGCGTCTGGATTAGGGATCAGCGGATATCCAGCCATGAGAAAAATGAGAACGAGTGAGAGAGTTGGGTGCACAGAGGGAGAGAGAGGGGGACAAGAGGGTGATGGGGGAAGGCACAGAGGGAGAGGGAGGAACTGTAATGCAGTGGAGGCTGACGCTGGTTTTTGTGTTTGTGGCTTCTTAAGGCTGCATAGTGAAGCATGTTTGTCCTCTAGATGATTGCTTTGGGTGTAGAATGTTTCCTGTATTTACTCTGTATTAATGGACCTTAATGAGTCTGGCAGCACACACAGTAACACATACACAGAGAGACGCACAATGAGGCTGAGCAGAGCCGTGTGCTACAGAATGGAGTGCAGCCAGTATCATCAATAGACGCAGCTCATGAGAGCTTTTGCTGCCGTGTATTATCCAAGGAACGGAGGGAATTGTCACAGTGGACCTTGAATCATATGATGAAGGGACCAAATTGGAAAGTAAAGGCATCTCGAGTTTCAATGCATGGACTTGTTTTTCATTTTGAAGCCTTGCAAGGTAAAAAAATAAAATAAAATTATATATATATATATATATATATATATATATATATATATTATTTTTTATTATATATATATATATATATATATATATATATATATATATATATATAAAACCCAGCGTTTTTGTCCATACATATCAATATTTGTGTTCTCTTTTAAACCTCTTTCAAGGGTCTTGCATCTACACTTTGAGTTTGTAATCACTCCCCACTAGGCCTTTCCCCTGCTTTTAGATTTGCTGTCTGCAAGAAAGTTTGTTTACCAGTCATGCTATATCTATATCTCAAAGCTGAGCCACACAGTTGTTTTAAAAAAGTTTGATAATTGTTGGTATTTGTTCAACTTCAGGGCAGTGTAGTACCTGATCTAATTTCCCTACACGCTCTAAAAGGTTGTCTTTTATTAAGATTTGTGATCATAGTGCCTTCTGAGGTATTGTCTTATTTTTTTTATTTTCTCTAATACAATGCCTGCGTTCAAGCAACAGAGCCAAACAAATCTTTTTTGGAACCTTTTGCAGGGGAAGGCAGTGTTGGAACAAACAGCTTTTTTAATTTACAATACATGCCAGAGTTTTCACATTTAGAAAACCATCTGAACAGAATTAGCTGAATAAGACTTGAGCTGTTATGAGAAAGTTGTTTTTCATCAAGAATGTGAAGTGAAGTTGGCAGAGCATTAATGGCGCTTGTACAGGGGTTATGTCCTCGTCCCAGCAGCCAAAGGTTCGATTCCAAGCCTTTTCAACATGTCTTCCCCACTCTCTCCTTGCACATGTTTCCTGTCTTTCTTCTGCCATCTCATTAACTAAAGGCAAATGCCGATAAAAGACTTGTCATGAAAAAAAATCAGGAAAATTGCAAATCTCTTGCAGTCATGCACTACATTTTTCATATTTTGATGACACATTTGGGAGAGTTCTGAAAATGTATTGCATTTTCAGCCCTAGTGGTGGTGGGTATTTTTGCGCTCAAAACAATAAATGTCAAGTCATATCCTGTCTTATCTTACTTAACCTTACATATTAAGGTCGAATAAGTTTAAACTATTTATCAGGCATCTCAAATGTGTGAAGAGGGTGACTAGACAAAAAAAAAAATCCAATATGCATGCTTGGCAGAACTGGCACCCACAATGAGAAATGAGAGAAACATTTTTGACATTTGCACTAGCTGACAAGATTACATTGCAATAATGTGCCCCCTATAATGTGAGTGCATGGTCCATTGTTTGTTAAATCCATGACTTGTAATCGGATTGTTCCTCTAACACAGAGACCAGTGCTGCTTTGACCACAGGGTGTAGGAGTCCTCCTCTGTTTTGGTAATGGCTATCTGAGCTCCAGTGCTCCGGGCTGCAGGATAAAGTTGTAATGGGCAGGGAGGAGGTGGATCTTCACCGCCTCCATCATGAGTCAGGACTGACTCAACTGTACTGACCTACTCCCTACAGCTCATAGCTCTAGTTCATAGCCCACCTCTCTCTTTCTTTCCTTTTCTTCCTCTTTTTTTTGTCTCTTTCTCACTCTGTATTCATGTCTTTTTTCCCCCCTCCCCTTGCATGATGCTTAACTCCCACTCTGCAGCAGCTGTATGCATAACAACCTCTGCATGCACATGTATCTTTATGCATATGTGGGTGGATTATCTATTAATAAAACATATCTGACACTTCGTACACTAAATACCTTCGGCAACATCTCTATTTGTATGTTTCATCAATCACTGAGTCGTTTCTTGCAGATCTTCAGCATCCATCACTTCTCACCTTTGAATCACAAACAACCCTCTCGGGAGAAAAAAAGTCGACTCTGAGTTGTCATGCACTGGCTAAATAAATGATTGTGAACAGCTCCTATATTTTGAGCTTTTGTGTTTACATTTTAATTGACGTCACAGATGCATCACCTCATTTCATCGGGTTAATAAGGAAACCTGCTGCTTCCATAATTAATCGCAAACCTCTCCGAGCTGCATGCTTTGACTGATTGATAGTTTGCAAATGTAAACCTGTTACTCTGATTTGTTGTCTCGTCTTATTATAACACAATAGCCATGTGTGTGCTTATAGTGCTTCTACTGACTGTACTGTCTTAATCCCATTTTCCAACCTGGCAAGTGCGCAGTGTGCAATAAAACCTGATAAATGTGTCAGAGTGAGACACACATTTTGCCAGTGAATATTAATTAGCTGTTGTTCCTCTGACTGATTGTTGGTGATGATAGGCTGCCAAGAGACACAGTTGTCTATTTGCTCATCCCCATCCTGCATGCATCATTTATTTGGATTTCTGTTTCCTTCAATCCACTAACTTTCATTGTGATCATTGAAAATTACAAGGTTGCGAGGGTAGCATTAAACAAAACAAGCCAAATAGCTGTGGCGTCTCATGCTAGGGGCATTATATCTGTAATGGAGATATTATATGCAAAGTTCATTAGAATACAAAGTAGACATGACCTACATTCCCAAACATCAGTGCATTCAAAAGTAGATCTGGTGCTCACTGGGCATGGATGCTGCCTCATCTTCTCTATCTGTGACTCAGACAAAGTCATGATGTGGGAAAGTGTGTGGGCATGTGTGTCTATGTCCTTGTCACATTGTGCATTCATGCTCACATGCATACATTTTAATGTAAAAGGGAAACGTGCATGTGTTTGAGGGTGTATGAGAGTGGAAGAAGGCATGCAGCCATGTGTGTGGGGGAAAAGGTTTAAGATGGCTCAGTGCAACTTGGAAGGCTTTTGGGGTGAAGCAAACTTAATCTGAAGATTTCATGCTTGTTTGGAGTTTAAAGTTAGAGGCATCAGCTGCACCTTTCACATGGAAGGTACACAGCTTCTTGACAACAGGATTGGATTTGTACATTAAGAGCCGTGACGGTCCAGATGGGGTCCTCTGCTCACTGAGTCACTCCAGACCTGACTAAAAAGATGACAGCTGTTTAAGGAGGGACACAAGGCTCAGTGATGTTTTTTTAACCATAGAGGGCCAGACTACTCTCCTTTATTATGACTTGTGTACAAGTGCCTGAGTGTTTGTGCGTGGGCAATGAAACCTACCTGATGTATCTTGACTCTCCTCTCTAAAAATTGAGTGTATTTGCTGTCTCAGATGTTCTTCCTCCATGCGTACAGAAATTCAAACTAATAATTTTCCTCTTTTTTTCCTGCAGGGCCCATTGAGATACGAACGGATGCTTGTTTCACGTAACTTTCAATCCTGGTTGATCAGAGAGGGGGAGACACCAGAGCTGAGACCAAGCATCAACCTTTTTATTTTATTTTTTTTCTACCTAAAGTGTTCATTACTCTCAGCCAACAGGAGATGATCTATTAATATTTTGACTTTTGAGCACTGAACAACCTCAAGGCTGAGTTGTATGCCAGAGCTTGTTACTGTGAATCTTGGGAATGAGGGAGAGCAGCCTTGTGTGTAACAGCATACAGAAAATTTATAGCTATGGAGGTGATATTTTTGTTACAGAAAAATCAATGAATTAAAGATTAGAAATCTACTGAAAAGCCTCTCATCAAAACTCGAGAAGCAAGCTCAGATGAAGAGGTACAAGATGGGGTGAAATGATGTCAGCCAGGATTTCATTGATGTCTTTTGCTCTGTGCATACTCAGATGGAAATCAATAGCTCCACTCAACCAATGGAATTTGCCTTCTTAAGAATTGTAATTGTTTATGTCTGGAGAGCCCGCCAGCTCTGCCTGGGAGCAACATGCTGCTCTGCTGGACTGCAGATAAGGAGAAAATAATGCATTGTGCCATACACACAATCATAGTGTATTGCTGGAAAGACTAATGGTTTTCAAATGAATGGTCGTGTGGTCACTGATCTGTGTCCAGACATTATCTCCATTGTCCATCAAAATCCTTGTGCTCAACTGGTGACATGCAAGCTAGATTTTATTTTCTCAATAACATGCAGAGATACAGATCATACAGTGGCAGAGTGACAGCTCTGAAGGATCCTCGAAGAAGTAATAATTTGCATCAAATTTTCTTTGTATACAAATACACATGTACATGTTTGATATCTATATATTTCAGGCATTTTTCTACAGAAACTTTAACATTTAAAGAGATGATATTTTTGATATTGTGTTGGATGACTGAGGTATTTTGATGAAAGCTGACATTCCTTAGAAGTACTTTGTTTTCAGCAGGGCATATGGATGAGTTATTTATATGACAGCTAGGGGATTATGTTTGTTGGGATGAAAAACAAGTGCTTAAGTATTAATTGCTTAGGTAAAAGTATGCAGAATGAGCTGTGGTGCAGGAAAGAAACTGCAAGGGGAAAAAGACGAAAGGCGTAAACCAAATACCTAGTTGTGCTTTATCAGACAGGAGGCATGGGACTAAATGAATGCATGACTGACTCTTCACTTTGTCCTGCCATCACTGTGTTTTTCTATGCATTTCTGTGGAGAGGCTGTCTGTCGGAGGGTCCAGCATGCTGGTAGCTATATTTTCCTCATATGATGTCAGTCAGGTTGTTTCTGGAGCCACTACCAGTCAATCGCCCTGAGTTTTCTTACATGACCCAGACCAATGAATAATTGTCAATAAGCGACAAAAAACAGAGTTTTAAAAAGGCAATCAGCAAACCTAGAGGCAAATGAGTAAACAAAGAAATCAAATTAAAGGTTGTAGGTGAACACATTTCCATACCCCATTTCTAGATCAATAAATTGTGTGAAACAAACTAAATGATTCACAGCCTCCCTCCACACTCAGACAGGAGGCATGACACTTGTAAACTCCACCTCTTTGTTCTCACTGGACACAGAAACTGAATTCATTTTTTAAAATATTGATTGATCAAGAATCAGTTTTTAAGATGACTGGAATGTCAGTGGTATTTTGTTGTGTCCACAAACTGTTGGAAAAATAACTTGTGAGAAGTAAATACTTTACACCTGAGGTCTGTGTGTTGGTGTTTCTTTTTTAAACGTAATGATTTCAGCCAAAGAACGGTTTGATTTATTTGTCTCTCTATTAAAAACTGGGCTCTGGCCATAATCTTTTGAAGTATCACAGCTTTGAACTGGATGTCAGATAGAGGAAATTAAACTGATGGCAAACGGTCACCCTTAATCCCAGTTACCAAAAAGAGCAGCAAACTGCTCAGAGAGAAAAATATATAAAACGGCTCCAGCAGCTGCATCAGTTAATTGAAGATTAGTTTGATGAGATAGTGAGTTGGCAGAACTAAAGACCTCGATAAGATATTTAATGAATTCATTGTTGCTTGTCAGGCTTTGTAACACATGCTGAATCCACTGCTGTAAGAATGAAGGACAGAGGTACATGAACAGGGTAATGTTGGCCCAGAGGAGAGTTTTGTAATCATAACCATGCACTGGAAAACCTGCAAGGGGAAATACATGCTTGACCTGCTGCCTTAGAACCAATGAGCAAGGCATGAAAAGTTGTAATGGTGGGCTGTCAAGTCAAAAACCTTTTTTCACCTCTCCGCCATGGACTTTTTTTTGTCATTATCATCATCATGAACATATCTTCCAAAGTAGCATCAACTAAAACAAAGCATCTGTTTGTAATATTCTCAGTGTATTAGTGAAATTCTTCCAAAACTCTGAATGAGGACTCAAAACCAAAAAACTAAGTGCACATAATTGTAAATACAAGCTGAAACACATGCATATCCTGTTACCTTAGCAAGTAAAATCTCACCTTAAAAGGTCTGTTGCCAGTTTCAAACTATTTTGTCCATGCTAGAAAAGAAACCTTTTTGCCACAGTTGACTGAAATCTGAAGTTCCTCTTAAAAAGTGTGATAAATATAGGATGTTAGTGACATTAGAGCTGGGCTGTTCTGTTTTCAATCATATCCAACTTGCTTTAGTAAGCACATTTGTTTCACAGTACATTAAGAGTGCACTGTGCAGCTATATTGAAGGAAAACGCTTCCTCAAAATATATTTAAAATCAACATCAGACTGTGTAGAAGCAAACACTTGAATTGTTAGATCTTCAATCTAAAAACACAAGACAGACCTTTTTTTTCCCTTTTTGTTTAAGGTTTGTTTTCTATTTTTGGAGAGAACAGGACAGTGGACAGAGCAGGAAACAGAGGGAGAGAAAGCAGGGAGTGACATGCGGGAAAGGAGCCCAGACTGGCCGCTCCAGGCACATCCTCCATATATGGCACACTTTTAATCTTCGGCCACCTGAGCCTCTGACCGGTAGGCCCATTTAGAAAATTATCCATAATTAGATATCAAGCAGTATATTCATTCAACTTTTATTCCTCTCATTCATTTTACCAGTGCCAGTTACTTTAAGAGACAACATTTACATTATTTATCTTCTACCTCCCATACAATAATTAGTTTAAATACATAGGCTACTGCCCTGGCCCCTGGCTTACTCATAAACCATACCCCACAGTGGAATGTAGGATGTATATTTTTTGCAAGATGTATATGCATACATCATATCCAATAGCCTTCATAAAGTTATCTATTTTAACCTATATCATTTTGCATCATTGTATTTTTAACCAAATACAGAGGTTGAAGTGAGTATTGATAATACTAAGACAGAAAGGGTGTATGAGTGTACTTTTTTAGGGGTGAAAATGAACCATAATCTCAGTTGGAAACCCCAAATAAACTATGTTAGGTCAAAGCTGGCTAGGAGTATTGGCATTTTGGGTAGGACAAGACACATATTAAAACAAAACTTTATACTTATTATACAATACACTTATATTACCATATCTGACTTATTGCATAGAAGTCTGGGGAAATACATACAAACCAAATTTATAACCTATATATATTATGCAAAAGAGAGCAAGATGGGTAGTTAACACAGTAGGATTCTTCCATCATACTAATGAACTGTTTCTGAAATTAGGAGTGTTAAAATTTGCTGATTTAGTTGAATTTAGAACTGCACAGACAATGTACAAAGCAAGTAACAATCTACTCCCAAGTAATATGCAGAAAATGTTTGGTGGAAGAGAGGGCAGGTATGTATTAAGAGGGGAACGAAATTTAAAACAACCAGGCGTTTGTACAACACTAAAAAGCATGTGTCTTTCTGTTGTGGGTGTGAAGCTGTGGGACAGCTTGCCCCATGAACTTAAACAAAGCAAAACAATAGCACAGTTTAAAAGTAAATTAAAGCAGAGTATGATTTAAAAATACTTAAATGAGTGATTTTCGTTTTGCCACACATATTGTATATGGGTATGGTACAAATTAGAGATTTGAAGTATTCTAGGTTTATATGTAAAGTGCATATTTGTGTGTGTATATACGTGCATATAGGTTTAGATTTATATATGCATATATAGGGTCTTTGTTTCAGTATTAATGATTTGTTAAATATTCATGTTAGACTTTGGAGCTTTGTTTACTTTTTGGCGACTTCAGAAATTCTAAAATTCTAGAGACATGTAAAGGGTCAACGAATAGTAAGGAATGAGGGTATGTACAAATGAGCTAAATAGCTTCTACCTACTCCTTTTCGATCTCCAAAAAATAGGGAAATTCTTGTCTAAAATTGAACTGTATGTACATTTGATAGAATAAACAATCTCTCAATTTAATTTACAAAAATAGACATTGTATGATTAATTTCTACACAGCAGATGTATCTATAATAACATACGGTATATTGACGTATTTTCATTCAAATATCGTTACACAATGTCAATGCAACTGATATTAAGAAAAAAAATAGATATTGAAATATCTTGAAATCATGAAAACAATAACGACTATATGTATTGTCTATCAAAACTTATATGAAGTTTAGCATAAGATTTGTCGACGTCGTGTTTGTTGACTAAAGCTTAGTTTGAACCTTCATAGTGTCAAAAAGGGTCCATCCATCCATCCGTCCCTCCATCCATCCTCTCATTCGTGCAGGTGTACAGCTGGAGCAGCTGTATCAAGAACCAGCTTCCAAGGGCACAGGAGGGGGGCGCTTGTTTCTCTTTTACCTCTTGTCCGAGCGTGTAGCGATTTACATAACGGCTGTCAAGTTGTAACGCTAACTCCGCCCAGTTAAGATAGCCTCATACAACACAGTATGCGCTCTCTCTGCTCGTCACGTGACATGGAAGAAAGGAAGGAAACGGGAACGAAAGGAGGAACAGAGATAAAGGAGAAAAATAAACAGAAGAGGCGCTATCTGTCTGGGAGGAGGAGGCACACATATCTGAAGGTAATAAAAACGAGGAGCGAGTTATCGAGATACTGTCATAGATAGTGAGTTTTATTCGCTAATTGTACCTAACTGTGGTAAGTAAGTGTTAGCTAGTGCTCAGGGGTTTGGTGAATTTGCTGACGCTGGATGCCCACCCGTGTTCACGAAGCGTAAGGTTATTTTTGACTAACACTAACTTTCAGACAGTCGGATTGTACTTCTTGCCCAGTGTTGTGGTAACTTTTCCTGTAAGCTAGCTGGTGATGAATCCTCTGTGCGAAGTGCTGATGCGTCAAAAGCGTGTGATCACTAGTCTACTGGACTGAATCAGCGGTCCAGACACGCTTACAGCTCACACAGAGAGGTGGAAAAAAACAACACTGTGAACCTGTGACACGTTAGCAAGAAAATAACCGGACATCAAACTCTTCTAACAGCACTCCTGGATTGGATAAAAGCAGACAAATTACCATCAGAAGCGTCACTTTCAGCAGGATTAAACTGAATGTGTAATCCTCTTTTCTTCCCAGAGACAGAGAACTAAACCAAAGAAGATGGAGGGGAAAGTTTAGTTATTAGACCCTGAAGTGATGGGTGGATGGCAACTGGATATGAAACAATCAAGTGAGTATGAAAAGATTGTTGGCGTTGTTTTTTTTCCCTGCTAGAGATAGTAATCATAACTTACAATAAAATATCAAGTGAACCTAAAAGGTGACTGAATAACTTCCATTACTGTTAAGCCACACTCAAACTAACTCCTTCTTAATAGACTAAATCTGGATAAGTTGTTGCTTACACAAAGGGAATGTCTGAGCCCTTCTTTACAGCCGATCATGTGACCAAATGGATTATAAACGAGCAGTTTTCTCCCATCTGTAAAAGTTACCATGTAAAGTTGACCTATATTAGCAGTGGGGCAAAACTTTGCATCGGTTCTGTTGCACTAATACTAAACTACCTAGTTTAACCGTCACAGAAGTGTTTCTGAAGCCATGTCTTTGCATTTTTGACATTACTGGTTGAGTTGAAAGCATGAAGGTTGACAGGATTGCACCAATGAGAAGAGATGAAAAAAGTGGGTTATAAACCGGTTAGTAAGCCCTTGCCCTTGATTTTGAACTTGTTATTTAAAGGTGAGGTAGGTAGGATTTGGTTAAAGAAGCATCTTTTTGTGGTGTATATACAAAAAAGCTTTTAATATCAGTCTCAATAGCTATTAGTTATTGATGAAATTTGATGATATGATGTTATCGCTGTGTTCTGTTATGTCTGTGTGGTTAACATTTTAAATTTTTTGAGTGGCCCGCTCTTTCTGACTGTAAACAAAGCCATTTTCTGCCTCCCCCAACCTGATTGGTTGTGAGGTGGACGCTGCTCCCCCTGTGTCGTTCACGAGCCCAAACAAAGTTAGCATGCTACAATATCGGACAGTAGAAACCAACCAGAAACTACGGAAGATTGTCTGAATCCTCCTTTGGCCACGACTGCCAACACAAGCAAGATAACAAAGTAAATACCAGAGACTCTGGCGGAATAACGGGCGCTTAAAAAGAAGGCGGACCGGTCAAGAGCTAAAAAGCCGGGTCAACATAAAACAATAGGGGACACTTTGGGATCTTACGGACTCTGTAACCTTTCTGCTGGACAGGTAAACCACTTTAACAAACTAAGCCAAGTGTCTGTAACGGAAGTGTTTCTTGTCAAATGGGACCTGCTGCTTGTTGTAGCACCGCTCAACTGTTTACCTCGGGTCCTGAACTATGTCACTTTCTCCTAGTTGTAGAAGTCCTACAAACATTGTGTTTGCTGGTAGTCTGTTGGCATCTACAGTAGCACCAATGCTTCTACTTTCATGTTGGCTGGGCCTCATTTGTAATTATCTGAAGTATTTATCTGCATTATATTTGAATTTAATTGAAATGATACAAGCGAGCAGGAGTGTCTGTTTGTGGGCGGGGCTTGCTGGAGCAGAGAGGGAGGAGTTGAGGGGAAAACTGGTTGGGTGGGGTAGTGTTTACATTCAAGATTTCTTCCAAAAACTGGCACTTCCTCAGATCCTGCCTAGCCCACCTTCACGTGTCATTCCTGGAAGAGGAGCTACATGCTCTAATGGAATCCTGGTCTGTAAACTATTCTGTTTTAAATGAAACTTAACCTCTGTCTTTCAACTGATTCCAGGATGAAGACAGGATCCTCTGAGGAAAGGAAGTAAGAGGAAGAAAATGAAGCTGAATGAACGTAGCGTGGCGCACTACGCCACCTGTGACTCCCCACCAGACAAGACAGGCTTCTTGTTTAAAAAGGGTGAGCGAAACACAGCGTATCACCGCCGCTGGTTTGTTCTAAAGGGCAACATGCTCTTCTACTTTGAGGAGCGTGACAGCCGAGAGCCCATTGGTGTCATTGTCCTGGAGGGATGCACTGTGGAGTTGTGCGAGTCTGCAGAGGAGTTTGCCTTCGCCATCAAGTTTGACTGTGCCAAAGCTCGAGTGTACAAGATGGCTGCAGAGAACCACGCAGCCATGGAGTCCTGGGTGAAAGCATTGTCAAGAGCCAGTTTTGACTACATGAGGCTGGTGGTGAAAGAGCTGGAAAGGCAGTTAGAGGAGATCCAGGAGGCTGCTGGAGCTGGTTGTGTGGGGGCTGGAGTTGGAGGCCTGCAGGCCAGGTCCAAAACCTCCAGGCGAAACCAGGTGGCACGGTCCAGGTCTGGAGTATCCTCCTCATCATCCTCTCTGTCTTCTGTATCATCATCATCAAGTGCCACTAACACTTCAGTTCCCATTGCTGGCCAGAAGAGCCTCCAGGATGAGGGGCAGCTCATCTCTGAGTGCTCGAAGGAGAATGGTATTACATGGAGTAAACCACAAGCTGCCTTGGCTAACGGCTCTGTTGAGACAGCATGTGTGGCCTGGGAGGCCTGTGGAGACTCTGGGAATAACACTGTGAGTGATGGGGTGAGAGCTCCACCAGTTCCCCCTAGGAGAAGAGGAGCTTCTCTGGAAAGCCCGGTCTCCCCTGGCACTAGCTGCTTCTCCAAACTCCATGACTGGTACGGGAAGGAAGTGGAGGAGCTGAGAGTGCAGTGGCTGCAGGGCCAGTAAACTCAAAGATGTGGATCATCTCTTCCTTACACAGTCATATCATTCCTTTTTATAACTTACAATGTTACATCCTGAGAGGAGATAAAAACTCAGTTCTTTTGACCAATCATAAAGGGGAATGGAAAATTGAGATTGATTTCTGGCACAGAGAATTCAGTCTGTCTTAAACATTTACCCCAGTCTGTCATCATATCGTGATATCATCTACAAACAAATGTTAAAAAAAAATCTGCAATACAATCCTAAAAATATCCACCAAGTACAATTAAAATGTTCAGAAAACAATTTTTAAAAATGGTCTTAGCAATCAAAATCATCAGTTTCTATTACAGGATGCAAGAGAGTTTGGCTTTGAAAGGCCATGTAGCAAATCATTTCCTATTACTTGATTATTTTTATATTACCAGTACAACACGTGCATCGCTTCCTCCCTTGTAGCTATGAATTATACAAGTGCAGTTATTTTAAGTTCCAGACAGTTTATTTAAAGTTAAAGGAGACATAATCTAATGTCAAGCTTTACTGTAGTTATGCTTAACTCTGGCAAGTATGAAACACAAAGCCCCCAGATACAACAATTAACCATTTAAAACCACTTCTGTTAAGCCATTTTTTCAAGGAAAATAGTGTGCTTGTTATTTGAAATTTAAAATTAGAAAACCACATAGAAGAAGATTTAAAGTAATTTCACAAAATGAGTTAATTTTTTATGTTCAAATGGTGAACAAGGTGAAGGTAAGAAATATACTAATGACAAGGTTTCCTCCCGTCATAGGAAACACTTCAGAAGTCTCCACAATGTAGCATTTTGGCCAAGAATTAAAGGTGATGGAATAAAATAGGAAGCTGTGTGCACAACTTAAAAAATGCTTAAATGAAAATATTTCAAACAAACAGCGTTTTGAGTTTCCTGTTACTTCAAACAACCATAAACTTTTCAGACTGCTTTAATAGATTGACCTGAGGGTGATTCTCCGAGGATAAGGCGTGTTGTTAAAGAACATGAGTTCACATTCTCCATACTCCCACTGGGACACAGCTCAGCTCACGAGCCCCATGGCTGCTAAGGTCAGAGCATCCACAGTCACTGGGGACTGTAGTGGGAGCTGGATGCCCTGCTCGGAGCAGCACTCTGGTATTTTTAGCGCTTGTTATCTATTGGCTAAATGATGCCGTGCCATACGAATGCTTGCCACTTACTTCTCTTTTAACTCTTATCCTTGACCCACATTCTTGACCTTATGGGGCTTAACACATATTTTAATGATCCTTAATATAATACAATCCAGTTGTCTTATCTTTCTCTTTTTCCACTGCTGGTTTGTTCTTGATTTATCTGAATGTGAATGGATGAGTGAAACGTAAAGAGGACAATAATGTATGTGATCATTTAATCTCTTGTTTTGTTTATAAATATTTACAATTTCATGTTGGAAATTAACACCAGCAATATGCAAAGTAGACTCTTTTAAAGTGATTGCTCTTACTGTATTTGTATATCCAATCATATCACAGCGGTTTACACTTTTGCCTTATGGTTTTTTAATACTCTTTTATTGCCTTTAAACCATTACCATACATAAGTTTTACAGAGATGGGAGGGTTTGACTTTTTCCCAGTCAGGACTGTATTGTTGTTTTTGCTTTTTGCAAAAGCTCATATTGTTGCAATCATTTTTTGACAATGGCTCTGTCTCTTCAGCCTGCATCATTGCACAGCTCTAGGATTACTGTGGTACGCTTGTCTGGTATAGAGACGACTCCGTGGGAAGCAGCACTGCAGTGTGGATACTGTGTTTATGTGGTGCTATGCTTTTCACACATATAATCCAAAATCATTATTACAGTGCCAATATCATTCATTCCAGAAGACAATTAGTGTAATTGAGGATGGCGTGCCTGTTTTGGTGTTTTTTGAATAATACTGACAGAAAATTGTGAATGTGTCAAATAGTCATAAAAAATTATGGTATCTATGTTTATTCAGGAGTGCCAAATGAAGAATGCAAAATAAATGCACAGTAACTTTTTTTCACTGACTGACTTTGACATTTGTGGCAATTAAAAAAGTATTTTAATGTTCTAGCACACATTATGAGCATTATTTTAAATGACCAATAATATTTACCACATTGTCCTAATCTGGTACTATAACATGAAAGCTACTTAATAAAAAGCATTACATGAATATGTTGTCAACAGTTGTGTTTTCTTTTGATCACAATGTCTGTTAGGTTCAAATTAAGTTACAGCTGTCATGATAATATAGCAAAACTTTGATTGTTTGTAGGCTATGGCTGTTTCAGACGTTAGACATTTAGGCAGAGAGGTGAGTATGTGTTGCAAATTCTGGATGCTGTTCAGCTATTCTCTCACCAGGGGTCGCCATACCATAGCTTTGAATGGTACTCTCAAACCCTTGACTCAGTGTATACCTCAAGCACATCTTTAAATTCAGAGCAGGTTACCACAATTTAAAACAAAAACCTTGTTTTTATGACGTTTTTGAAGTTAACTTTTTCTAACTAGTGCTTAGGAAAAGAGTTAATTGACCTTCTCATTTTTTAATTTGAATTTGTTTATGAAGGGTTTTCGCATTTTAAATATTGTTGTGTGGGACTGCATTGCTTTTAGCTAGGCTCAGCAAAAAACTGAAGAAAATTGTTCCATTGATCATACCACTGTTTTAATGACATGTTATTGGGGGGGACTTGAAGTAATTTAGGCGAATACATACTGAGCAATTCACTTAGCCCTGTGTTTTGCAGAGCACATTAAAACTTAAAACAATGAATTTGATACATTAGATACAATCAGATACAACTATACAAAAATATGGGTAAACAAGCTTTAACCTTCACCTTTGGGGGTTAAAACATGATGAACAAGATATATTTTCCATTAAAGTAAAAGTATTTACTCATGTAACTGTCTTACTGTCATGCATCTCCAACCCAAGAGCAGATGTGGAAAAGAAAATAAGACTTTCTATCAAGCAGTAGCAGGTCACAAAGTAAAGAAAGTTAAAATGGTCCAATTCCAGCATAAAATTTCCATAGGAAGCAACACAGAAGTGTGTGCATAATAATAATGCTTTGAGTAGAAAAGCAAAAGGCCCAGATCAGAACAATAATGCAATGTGATTCATACTGCATTTGATCGATGTGGGGCTGAAACCAACAACTTTGTGTAGCCCTCTAACCATAATGATTAACCTTCAACTGAAACCAACTAAAAACTGTCAATTTTGAATACTTGGTTCCTGTACATTACTGAACCACAGAGTTCATACTGACTAACTAAATCTACAACAGTTGCTTGCTTCAGTATAACACTGTTTCAATCTTATAAATGCATCAGCAGTAACACTGCATAGGGGAGAGTGGGGTAAGATGAGCCATTTTTCATATTTCAGATCACTACATCGAGGCAATCATAGTTTTGTCTCTGACTAGTGTATCTGCATATATTTCAAGATGTTGTGCATCCCTGCAAACCAACCTTCACCTTCACAGACTCCATGAATTGATGCCCGTCCTTCAAATATTTGGTCACATGATCATTTTCTTTTACCATTTCCAAGCAACAGGTGGTGGCTCAACTTACCCTTTGGCTCAACTTACCCCACTCTCCCCTACCTCATTGATGACAAAACTGTCTCATAGGGTCCTGAATTTGTGCTTCCAAGAACTCTTCACCAACACAATGAATAACAGGACTTTTTTTTTTTTAACAATTTGAATTTGTCATTAGTAAAGGACATACAATGCCCGTGACCTCCTTCTCATGGACTGAGTCTAGCCTAAGTTATTTCCGGTACGCCTCGCGCGAGTCTTGGTGCATCTCTTGTTTTGAAAGGACAGAGCCGGAAGTTGAGCGGGGATTCTGTTGATTTGACGCACGAGCTGGACCGCGGCACATTTTTGACGACGGAAATGAGGAGACGCCACTTTTTACAGCGTCAAGCTCGTGGCTAAAAGTTTTTTTTTCTTTCCTCTTATTTTGCTTTGAGGAACTGTCGCTTACGCTCACCATGATAGAGACGGCGACGAGCTTTTTGACTCGCAGCTTCTCCTCCGGTGTCCAGTTTCTCTTACTCCTCTCCGACGTCGTTTTGACTTACTTTAGATGCTTCTCGACACACTTCCGTTATGCAAAGTCTAACTTGTTGGTTAGTCGTCGTGCTGCGGTGGGTCCCCGTCCGAGATAACGGAGAATGTGAGTATGTTGTCACATTATATTTTCTGCTCACCTAAAACTGCTTAAAAAGTCATTACACTGCTTAGTTAATGCCAAGCACATGGGACGGTAACGACCACTGAAGTAATGTGGACTCAGCTTCCTTAAATAAACACTTTTCTGCACCAAAAAATGTTCCCATGTGAAGTTTAAAGGGCTTTACTTTACTTCAGTTCGGGTAGTTTTTTGGCCCCAAAAGTACAATTTCTCTGAAAGTTAGAGTCCTGTCACTCCACCGTGGACGGTATTTTGTCTCTTGAGCTACTTAACATCACACTAGGGAGGAGAGTTTGCCTGAATGATGCTCTAGTTGTTGCAATCAAACGGTACTTTTGGTGTGTGTGTGTGTGCATCCCACATTATTCCACATTATTTGGCGCAAACCCCTCACCAGTGGTCGCCATGGTGATATCACAATGTGAAACCTACTGAGACCACACGTGAATGGGCCCAAACACGGAGCCAGACATCCAAGAAGTCACTTGGCTGCTTATTGTTCTCCCTATCCAACCATAATTGTACCACAATGATAATCTCTCAACATTTCAACGCCATTGTTGTGTGTTTGAAACCCTTTATTAAGTGTTGGTGATCACCCTGAAAGAGTTTAGATGGAGAAGGGAACAAACAGGGAACAGTAACTTGGTTTCTCAATATAGGACTGTGTGAGTTTTCAATCAAAACAGTCATTGTAGTGTTTTGCAGGGGGATTCGCTGGCATTCACATCTCCCTGAGTGTGCTTGTGTGCCAGACTGTGGCTGCAGGTGTGTGTACAGGAGGATAACATTTCAAAGTAAAAGGTGGCCTTTGTGTTTGTGCTTTGAGACTCTGAGGTAATACTTTTTAAACCCCACACTGTTTGTACAATGATGAAAAGTAACTACAAACAGTAAGCTTATGTACAAGTAGCTGATAATTTTTTTTTTTGCTTCACTTGGGAAGATCCTCTCCCAGTGTGTCACAAATATTCATCAGCCAGACACATTTCTGGGATGTTTTTATAGCAGGACTGAACTGAAATCACCGAATCTGATGTTAGGAGATCGACCCACATGACTGAAATATTTAATTGAGTGACACAGTCAATCTGTCAAAAACAAAGACTTCTCTTTGGTGCCATTAATATTACTCATAGAGACTGGTGAAGGCATAATTTAATCATTTCCCGTCCTCTCGCTTAGCTACGTTCTGTTGAAGTTAATCAAACAAGTCCCATACAGAAGCTATGAAGTTCAACATCTATAACTAAGTAAATAATATTGCATATAGGTTTTGGGTTATTGTTGGTGAATAAGTTTCTCGGTTGATTTATTGTGAAGTCAAGGGACTACTTTCAGATATCAATTGACACATTCTTTGTCGACAGTCAAAGTTCTGTTTGTGACTTATTCTTGAGAGTAAATACTGAGCTCATCAAATACAAATATTGAGATAAGGCAGTAAAATTTCCTACAGCATCAAAAACAATGGCCCTAAACTTGCTTAATTTATAAAAGGATAGCAAGATCTCTTTTAATATTGACACGTTGCATCAAAAGTCTTAATATGACACACTTTGAAAATCAGCCACCAAGTGTTTTACTTTGACAGGCACTCTTTAAAATCGCATATGATGTAAGACTTTTGTGAGCATGTTTTTATGGTACATATTTACCTGCTGAAGTAATCCCAGCAGCAGGCTGAGGTCTTTGTTGTTTCAGCCATTGAAAGGTTAAATGTATGACCAAACTGTGACAGTTGTAACACCTTGAATCATTGAAGCACAGAGGAAAAAATGCCTCTAGGGTGGGGAAGTAACACAGCTAAACCCTACATAGCATTTTCCACAACAGACTGTGTCAGCCCCAGACAAAAGGTCGACCTATAATTTAAAGGTTCAGTGCAGTTTAAACCCCCTAACTGACACATGTAGACGCAAACATTTCTGATGAATTTCCCATAAGTGTTTACTCCCCTACAGACTTCCTTGTTTTCTTGCCGCTTGGAAATTTTTGTTGTTTTCACTTCTCTTATGTTCAGTGGTGAATAGATAAGTTCAGTTCTGCCTATATGAATGCTTATCTGAACAAGAATACAGTGAAACCGAAGAGTTTAACGGCAGTGTATACCTCGTGTTTTAGAAATAATTAATGCTGCATCTTTAAATAATTATAGTAATTGTTCTCTACATCATCATCAATCAAAAAAAAAAAAAAGACAAAACACAAAAATCAAAACAGGGACTTTCCAGGATAAGGGATGACACTTCTTTGGCATGAATTCAACAGGAATTTCTCAAACTTTTGGGGATTTCATGCACAACAGTTGTCTGTAAAAAAACTGAACTTGTGTGGAGCTTGAGTTTTTAGTCATTTCTGTGGTGTTTTTAGGCTTTGAGCATATTCATTGTAAAGATACAGTGTGTTATATTCCAGATGCGAAAGAGGGGGGGGGGCAAAAGAAGTCAGAAACCTTGGCTATCAGCTGTGGATCATACAGTGTGGTGGTTCCATGTCTGTAACTGTGATGTTATCAGACACCAGCTCTTCTTCCCTCAGGGATTCCAAGAAAAAGGAAAATAAAGGGAGGGCAGGAGAGGGAGAGGAACCATGGAGATTTATTTGCAGACAAACAGAAATAAAAATCTGGGGAAAAAAAAGGAGAAAAAATGACTGAGGAAAATGGAAAACAAAATAGGGCAGGAAATAGAAGAAAAATAGGACTCTTTCCTGGTATCCGGGGACATTCAACACTGTAACACACATGTTCCCTAGCAGTTTAGGGGAAGTGACTCGCAAAACCCTTGGCCACCCTTACGGCTAATCCTAAAAATCTTCGCTTTAATTCTGGATTCACACCACAAACAGATTCTCATTCACACACACTGGAGTTGAGTTCTTGCATGTATGCGCGCTTTGTGCAGAGTTTTTTGGGGGGCAGCATGTGCGTCTGTGTGTTTTCTCTCTAAAGCACCAATAATTAGAGACTGTGTGTGTCTGTGTGTATTTGTCTGTGTGTGTATTTACGCCAATGCTCCCCTGTTCTTTCGTTGAAAGAATGTTGATTATAGGCCCGATTTAGCTGCAGCAGTGTGAGGATGTTGCTTTAAATGCTCGTACTTGTTGGCGCTCTGCATATATCGGATTAATGGGCTTTTGTTTATTTCTGTTGAGGATGAAAGATGGGATCCAGCGTGTTGATTTTTCAAACACTATTCAAACTCTTCCAAAGTACTGAGGGATCTCCTTTTTAGTCATGACCAGTTTCTTAAATTTTGTGGGACCACACGTAGCGAGTCAACTATAGCAGAAGTGTTTCAGTCTACGTGAATTAGACCAATGGTGACAACCCAGAAATATGGCAGCAAAATGGTTTAGAAAGGAGAGACGATGTGGTTGATGGCAAACATACATTTCTTAAGGAATGAATCATTTCTGACCAAGAAGCAACGACACAAATGCAGGTACTTTGTCAAACATTGAGAACAGCAGAAAGATGTTTTAAGAATTAGATATTTCTCAGCAGAAAATTTTAATATTAGTTTGTGTTGTAATCTTTGTATCGAACAATGTGATCGTATGTTGCAGGGGCCGATACTACAAAGAGAGTTGAACATACCCCAGGTGTCTTTTTTCGATCTGGCGTCACTAAACTTAACGAATGAGCTCACACTAAGCAGTCTCACTGTCACAGAGCTGGCTGCCAACCTAATAAGACAACCCAGAATTATTGTTGGTGTTTTCATGTGAACGGGGGTGATATCAGCAACATATATGACCAATCACAATAAATCAGTTTGCCGTCAGAAGGACGTCATGATTTGTAAATACAGTGCAGATTTTGATTTGACAGAAAAATGAAAAAGTCAGACAATCTCGATTAAATTCTAAACGGATCAAAAGTTTGTTTACAAAACCAAGGAAGAACTGGTAAAAGAGAAAAAGCAGACAGTGGGGAAAAAAGGCCTAGAGTGAATGATAAAAAGTATATGATCATGTAATATGACAGTATATTATCCGTCATAAGTGCACAACAGATCTGACAGTATTTACTCCAGTTTATTCTCTGAAAGTGATTTGTGGGTTAGGTGTTAATTTATAGTTTGTCTGGTTTTGGACACAGTTTTCAATGGTCTGCAGATAAAAAAAAATAAAATGAAACCACGATTTGAAGCGATAAACTTATTTTATAACAAAAAATCTGATGTTAGTGTGTTTGTTTCTGTTGGAGAATGAGATCAAGAAAGCTCAATCAATCACTATCTTATCTCCACTATTAGATATCCTGTCAGTCTGCCCCCCCAGCCCTTAATCAGTAACAGAGCTCAACAGTCAGGAAAATAGATTGATAAATAGAAAGTTCTTTACTAACTGACCTTTTATTCTTGAATATAACCTGCTTGGGGAAGATGTCACAGTGATCTCCCCATGAGAGAGGTGAACCACCCTCATAGTGCTGAAAACCCAGAGTTAACTCAGGAGTTACTAACTGTAACTGCAAATTCTGCTTTTTATCTCTCCAAATACCGACATGACAAACCCAAGAGTGAATACATTTCCGTAGAAACAGTTAGTTGCAACATTACATGCATATTGCATACATATCTTGTGATGTTTATTCTTTTGTGTGTTTACCAGAAATGGGAGTAAGCTGAAGTGAAAGTAGGAACCCACTTTCTCATAAACATCGTGTCACATAAGCTCCCAAACCATATTTTAAAAAAAAATTCAGTACAGAGCTCCGAAATGGTACAGTGTCAGAGAGGGTGGTTTTGCAAGTGTGAATTCACTCAGCTCATCATTGGTCCCTTTGTGGAAAAGTTTATTATTCCTAAATGAATCTGCCAGGAAGTCAGATGCCAGCTGATGAATCACAGCTGATCAGTGTGACTGGGGGAGTCTGTAACCTCTAAACCCCTCACATAACACACACATAGAGACACACACAGTTACACACACATATACTTAATATCTAATATCTCACATCTTAATAACGGTTCTTCACAATGAATCAGAAACACAGTATGAGTAGGGATGACTCATTCATAAAGTGCTTTGTGGATTTTAGGCAGAGATTTGTGTCGTACTCTCTCCGGCTGGAACATTTGAGTCTACAAAGCTTGAATTGGCTGAATTGTATTGAATTGACTCAACCAAGTAATGAATGATGGATTGTTGTTTTCAGCTTTTGAAAAACTGAGCCGTGTTTAAGGCTTCCAGTAATAAGTTGAGGTCAGCTTTTGGTTGCTTTGTAGCTGAGAAACAAATCTTAGCTATTAAGTGTTATTAAGTGTATGTGAATTTAATGTCCTCTAATGTTCACAGTCAGTCTGTGTTTATTATACTGCGTATTTATGTAAACATGGTACATTAGAAACAGATTTTTGCAGTGGTGTCTAAAAAGCTTTAACTTGAGATATCTAAACAGTGTCCAGTTTTAGGGTTTTGTTACATTTTGGAGAATAACCAATAGGATTTAAACACCTGAAAAGACAGAGAATCAGGAAGGCTATCCACAGATTCAGGAATAATTTGAGGACATATATCATCATTCATTTTAGGAGCTGCAGTTTTGCACGGGGCAGATTTGAACTTTGTAAACCTAACGTAGAAATAAATACAAACCCCAAACTGTTTTGATTGTTCGACATACATCCGGTTAGCCTCGTGCCAAATTGTAACTGTTTTGTTATATAAAATGTCTATAAGAAGGCAACGTGGTCGTAACAAGCTGGAAGCAGGCATGTCGCCACCTATCGTAGCGAAGGTGGACATTAGAGGCGGGAGAAGAAATTGATTCACATAAGTAACGCAATTTTTTGTTTTACAATTTCTAAATAGATTTTTTTGGGCTAAAAAAAAAACAGTTTTTTTTTTTTCAAATATAAGACTAATCGAGAAAATCGACGATATCGTAGAATTTCAATTGAATGGGCATCCCAAAAATCGTAGAATAATCGAATCAGGGAAAAAGCATATTGTCCCAGCCCTAGTGGACATGCTTCTTCTCCTAATTTTTTTTTTTTAAATATTTTGTTGGCAGCACATGGTCGGAGCTGGGCTCAAACATGCAACCGCATGGGGTGTACTAACCTGCTTGGCCATCTGCACGCCCCGTACATGCTTCTTTTTAATGAGGTTTTTGCTCAGTGCTTGTAAATTAGGACAAGAACCAGTCTTCAAGTTAAGTCCAGCTATAAACTGTCCATGTAAAAGTACTGACTGTGTGTGGGAATAAATAATAAAACCTACTGTATTAGATAAAGCAGTTCTTAAACTAGGATGTAAACATGTTGAATTTTGCTAAAAAGAAGAAAAAAGGCATTTTGGCAAATTTGAAAATCTAGTGTTTCCACGTCACGGATGAGAAAGAAAGACAATTGGACACAGTGTGTCACTGACTGGAATTTAAAGTCAAAGAATTGTATAAACATTTAAACTGATTTGCTTCACAAGATTCCTTTTAAGCTGTATCATTCAGCCCTAATACTCAGTATCAAGAAATAGCAGCATGGAATAATGAATTGACGCACAAAAGGGTGAAAAAGAGGCCGGAAAAGAAGTTGTTTTCAATATTAACAGTCACTAACTGACCTCATTCCTGTAGTCGTCTTCTCCTCACACATCACGTCTAGCCACTGCTAAAAGCTAACTCGTCTTTATTCACTTTTTGCCTGTCATTACGTCTCTGTGAGCTCTATATTTTGGTATTTCCTAGACATGCCAGGGTCTGTCTTTGCAGGATAATCACAGACTGCAGGTTGTGGAGAGAGGCTTTGCATTAGTCACTGGGAGAGTGCAGGACAGCTGGAAGGATGCTTGGCGGTGAGAATTTTATTTAGTCGTTGGAAATTATTGGACGCACATTAATCAAACTGTATATAAACTGTTTCTCTTTTATGCGTAGCCCTAGATTTTTGTCACACTGCGGCGCAGAGGGAGAAAGTGGTCTTGATCCTGCAACATAGAGTTGATTTCCGATTTAAAATTCTAGCCTGTGCTGAACAATTTCCTTGCTGTCATGGATCCAGCCTTTCTTGTTTAGTTTTGCTTTTTCCCAACCTGCCTCCCTCTATCGGTTCCCAGGCCACAGGAAATGGCCAGAAAGCTGCCAGGCTTTATTTCTGTGCATCTCAAGAATAGCAGCATTGTGTTTTGTTGGAGCCTGCATTGTTGTGGGAAAGTAGCACTGAGGTAGGGAATACTCCAACAAAAACAAAACCCCTATAGTACCTAAAATTATTCAGCCTGCACATGAGAACAACAGAATTCATATGTAATACAATAATGACTTAAATCCTGCTCATGAGTTTTCCTGATGACCAGATTTTGTAATGTATTGCCAGTTTATCAAATACTGCAATCAATCTGGTAATTCATCAACTACCACATTATCATCATGGACAATGTATGCTTAATCTTATTGCATTTAATTGTTTCTTTTTATATTATATTGCACCATATCAATCATAATCATATTTCATTATATTGTTACATTGCATTGTGTCATGAGTCATCCTTCAAATCAAACCCTATTAAGCACCTAGTCAACAGTAAATGAGTGTACATCAATACCAATTATTTCACACAAGTTTATTTTAAAAAAAAAAGAAAAGAAAGCCTTTCTCTTTGCCCAAAGCCATCGTTGATAAAAGCATCAGCTAAACTAAATGCCACGCTTACAATGTTTAAGGTCGTTCTCACCCCAGAGCAGTGAATTGTGGGTTATATTAGTGTTTGTTTTTTATGATATAATCCGTACTACAAAATACTTTATTCTCTTTCCCCACACTTCATTCCAATATCTTGTATTTTGCTTTTACACCAGACATGTTGGGTGCAGTGCAGATACCCGTGTAGAGTAAAACTTTTCCTTTAGTGTTTTTTTTTTTTTTATTTGTCACAGACTGGAACTCAACTCTCTTCTTTTACCCTGAATCAGCTGATGCTCTCCTCAGGCTGTGGGAAGTTAAGGTTATCTAAGCTGAGGTTATCTCATGTTTCAGCCCAACTTCCTCCTTTACAATATGTTCTTCAATTATGTAAGCCGTGAGCGTCTCGCGTTCAGCTCTGTTCATTATCAAAGCTCTTTCACATCTCACTTCACACAAACAGGAACACTGTGGCTCAGCCGATCCACGTCCCTGCAACTGCAGATCCTTTTTATCCGGGGCCTGTTCTTCTTTCATGTTGCTGATCAATCTGCACTCGTAGCTAAATTTATTGTACTTCTTGTCAGGTTATGCCCGTTCTAGATCATAGACAGCAGCTTGTTGCACTCAAGTATAAAACATGAAGTGAAAGGGATGAAAAAAGGGTCACATGGTGTCAGGTTGTGTTAACGGGTATGTTAGCTTACAGGGGAACAGGCTGTTTTGCCTGTCATAACAATAAAGACTGGTAGCTGTTATGGTGGAAATTTCTTGCCTTTTTCTTAAGAAAACAGACTTGTATAATACTTGCTTGTGGATTTGTGCGTACGTTTTTTTTGTGTTTTGTTCAATCTTTGTTAGTGTCTCAAGAGGGAAGAATGGAGGGGAGTTGCATAAATGTAACAATAATAATAATCAAAACAATCAAGAATTGAATTGGGGGTGGTTTTAGCCATTTAGCCTGTTTATTTTAGTATTTGAAAGTATTGTGCAATAAAGCCTGTGCAGAGGCTGGGTGATATGGCAGATCAGAAATGGTCTTCATCAGGTGTCTGTTCTATAGCCACATGAAGTGGAGGCTACGAGCATAGCAGCGCCTGACATACATGTAATTGAAGTCGTGTTGGCATTAATCATCAACGATTTCCTTATCATTTAAGGATACCTTGAGTTCACTTTTGGTCTGGCTTTTCTATCCCATGGTTCCACTCTCTTTTTAAACCATCTTTGAGAGGATTGGGACCACTATCAGGAAAAAAGATTTTGTGATAAAAGCTGCAAGTTTACAAGAATCAAATAAAAAAGAACAGACATAACATTACAAGAATCAAGTTGTAAATTGACATGAAAGAGTCATAATTTGAACCTATATTGATCTTAATGTTACCAGGGATCAGAAGAGCTGCGAGCCACCTGATCTTACAGGAGGAACAAGTTCAGTTAACACTTTATTTGACGCCTATCTCTATAACACAAATTAGATATATATTATGTGTTATAATCACATTTTAGCACTGTATAACTATAGTTATAAATACTCATAAATGATCATAATGCAATAATAACAACAGCTGCCTTGCATTATCTATGTGGGCATTGTCAGTGAGTTGTTAACAGTTATAACACATTGTAATACCTGACCTTTTAAGTCATGATAAAATGCTGCTTAATGTGTTCTGATTATTGCTATAAAGCATGAGGATCATTTATGAGTGTTTATAACAATAGTTATATAGTGCTATAATGTGATTATAACGTATTATACATATATTTATAATGTGTTATAGAGATAGCCTTCAAATAAAGTGTTATCCAAGTTCAATTTTAGTATGTTTCAATTACTAGAAAACCATCTAAAATTTCATGCTTTTCCTGTGAAGTCTCTGACTATATACAGGTTTTTGCAATCCATTGTGATCAATCATGGAATATGCTTATGATCACGACATAATCAAGGACAGAACTTCACTAGTTCACCCTCACTCTGCCTCTTTAGTGTTAAGAGGACAAGCTGCTGGTTCCAGCTACACCATACACAGACAGGATAAATGCACGCAGGATTATTAGAATTTAAATTTATCTCTTTTACTCGACCTGTAGTCTTTGAGAGAGTTTTCTCTGAACTCCACTCCACCATGCCATCTACAATTTCTAATATTGTCCCAAAATCAACAGCAGCCTCTTGTGCTGGGATACTGTGTTTTTTTTTTACCCTTTCAAACCATGACATTTTACCTCCCAAACTCCTAAATTTATTGAAGCAGATTTCAGATTTTCAGATTTATCAGGGGGAATTTTCAGTAGGCTTACATGGACTAGAACAGCGCCTTTTAATCTCTCTTTAGAACCAGTCACAAGTCAGCCCTGATGTTTGAGTACATTTTGGTGTGTGTGTGTGTGTGTGTGTGTGTGTGTGTGTGTGTGTGTGTGTGTGTGTGTGTGTGTGTGTGTGTGTGTGTGTGTGTGTGTGTGTGTGTGTGTGTGTGTGTGTGTGTGTGTGTGTGTGTGTAGGGTCTTTGCATGTGTGCACTGACTGCACACTGCTTGCCTGGGCAGGGCAGGGCTTCCTGTAGCTGTGATTGCTGCCTGGGCAGAGCAGCGCTCAGATCCTTTGGTCTCTGTTCCTCTTTTTCTTTGCCACCTGGACCTTCACCCACAAACCTGGCGCCGTCTCCTCCCCTCTCTTGCTTTTCTTCTGCTCTGTTTTTCTCACTTCCTGCCTGCCTTCTCATTATCCCCTCATCTGTCTTTCTGTCTGTCCCTGTCTCCTCCTCTTCCTGCTCTTGTTTGATGCCCTCCCTCCTCTTTTCTTTCCTACAACCCTCCCTTCACTGTCCTTACACACTCACTCACTCACTCTCTCTCTCTCTGCTTTCTATGTGTATCCCTCAGACTCTGTGATTCATTCAGTGATTCAGAAGATGAAAATTCAAAGGTGGTAACAGAATCTGTTTTTCATCCCAAACCTTGTGATGCACATGTTGCCACTTTTTTCCAATTTATTTATTTTTCCGCACCAGTTTTATGGGAAAAACTGTAGCGTTTGATGTCTCACTCAGCCTTGATGCCTTGCAGAGTAATGGAGTCGTAAGCAATAGATTGGATCCGGCTGATCTCAGTAATAAGACTGGAGCTAAATAAAGGTCACAGGATGTAGCTAGCTGTAAATTACATTTTATTGAATGAGTATGAAGATTAGGAGCACAACTTATCTCTGTACTCACTAACAACTTAATAAATAATGAAGGTGTGCATACACTTGGCTTAGACATTTGTGCACTCTGATGTTCAGTGCCATATTTTTCTTTAGTTAGCTATCAAACATTTGTGATTTCAACTTAAAAATCCTTAGTAATGGATAACTACTAACTATTGATTTGTTAACCTGAGTATAATTAAAGCTCAGATATCAGAGCCCACAGCACCAATAATCCCTCATCAGCGCTTCATTGTTAGATAACTATCAATAATGACAAGAAGACATTTTCAAAAGAACGAGCAGAACTATCAAAACACGATTATAAGGCAAAAAGATAAAAACAGATAATCTCTGTATGATTTTGCTCTTTAACATCAATTTCCATCATATCTGGTTTATGTTTTTGCATCTCAGCTAATTTTCCTCCACATCAGCATGTTTCCATGACAGCTGCCTCCTCCTATGAATACATGACCCAAAAGCTCAAAGACCTCTTTGTGTGTGCGTGTGTTTGTGTGCGTGCGTGTATGTGTGTGTGTCTGTCTATAGCTTCAAACAAGAGCTGCTTCCAATTGAGTACAACAGGGAGCACACAGTTGTGTGTGAGAGCTGATACCGAGCTCTTGAGATATAAATAGGACCTCCCTTTAACTGGGCTTCCACCAGCAGCACTGATAATTCTGTGTGTTGTATAAGTTTTAGTCTAGGTTTGTCTTTGTTGATATGAAGATCTTGGGTTTAGCATAAATTCAATGTAACGCCTTAATACTGTTTGTCTATCTCAGTGTTGTATTGGAAAAGTTTGAGTTCTCAGAGATTTCATGATTGTCCACAGTCAGGAGGACACTGTTCTCTTGTGGACATATCAGGCTCACCAGCAGCTCTTCCTTGTTGATGTCTGGGCATTTTGGCAGCAGTGCCATACCACAGCACCCACACACTCAGCCCCCCCCCCAGTATGTCCTGAGGTTGATTCAAGCTTCAACCTAGTGAGCTGACAACAGTCATGAGGTTACTCATGCTGACAAGATCAATTTCTGTGTGCCTTTCACGCATCCTGTTTCCTTCCTGCCTGATTAGAATCAGTTTTGCTGTCCCAAGAAAAAAAAAAAGAAATGCTGGTTTACTTCCACTTCTGGTGTTTGGAGCGACACTTAAGGAGGGGGAGGTAAGAGCTGTGCGTTAGAATTCTATCGTATAATCATACTTGGTTTACAGCTAAAATTCACTTTTTTCTGTTTTATGTCTTAATACATCTTCAAGTTAGGACTTAAATTCTGAGATTAATAATTCGCAGAGGAAAAAAAAAAAATATTTGGATTGCATAAAGTAAGTTATTTATTTCTTATTTCTGTATTAAATGAACTGTTGTATCAGACCAGCACAGACATACTTATACACTAAGATTAATTGCTGAACACTTGCATGTTCTTATAGTTGAGATTAGCAAACAGTACGATTATAGAGTGTTTCAAGCGATATCCGATTGTCCAACAAAAAAAAAAAACTAGCAGCCAGTTACAGGTTGCACGCTTGGCAGCCTCAGATATGTGTCTAACTCCAACATCTGTCCAACAAGGGAACAGGATGTCTGAATTATGTAGATGTCATAGTCTGAGGTTGATTGATATGTCAGTCGAGCTGCTGCCCTCTGTGGTTTTAGTCACAGGTTCGACGTTCTCACTGTTGCACACGCTGGTTTTGTTTTTTTTGTTTTTTTATTGCCTCCAAATCTACAACGATTGTCGACATTAATCATCTGCAAGCTCAAGATGGCAGTTTCCCTGGCTGCTTGTGGTGTGTGATGCTGCAAGTAAACTGCACTAGATTTCTGAAAAGCTCACAAGGGAGACAGAGAAAGCAATCAGTGTGCCTGTTTCACAGAGAAGAATGTCTGCTTTGAGAAAGAGGAGGAGGAGGAGGGAGTGATGAGCATGGTGAGGAAGACGAAGTAGAGAAAAGCAGGAACTTTAACTATGTGTAGGAATATTTTCTCTATTTTGTAGCTAAGGAGACACAAAACTGTGTTAGCATTTTTTCCTCTTCTCACGTGTTTGATGTGGTCATGTTAGGCCCCTCCAGTCAAGGTGAGACGAACAGATCTGGAAACCCTCATTACAGAGGACAGAGAGGATGAACAGAATGGAAAAACCATGGGAACAGAGACCGTCAAACCCCAAAGGGATTGGACTAGAGGAAGTGTGTGTCTGCAGATGTGTGTGTGTACAGTATACTGTGTGTGTATGCATGCTCTGTAGTCAGTCAGTGCTGAGTCATCCCTGGGCTGGCCAGGCAGATAGAAACAGGCATCTGGGGGGGCCAGCTGTAGGGGCACAAGGCGGCGCGCACTGAGCATGCTCTAAAAAAGTACAGGAAGGGGATAAGTTGTTGTGACAGGGCGCATCCAGGAACTTTAGTGACGCAATAATTATCGTTGCCAAGTTTTCGCTCCCTCATTGACGTGCGAGTGTCCGCGTGTTCGATCTCTGAAAAATATAAAGCCTTATTGCATGACTCGATCGCAAGAAATCCCATTTTTTTTCCACGATCACCATCTTCATTGAATTTTGTCAGACATGAAGTGGAGAGGGAGGGAAAAGTTTGCAGAGAGATAACAAGACGTGTTGCTCCATGTTCGACCCAACCACAACGACCCCCCCATCCCCCACCCCCCTATTTCTTGTGGTTTTCTGTGATCTTGTTGGACCAAAGCTTGACGCCCCCCCACCCCCTGCACACATACACACACACACATGTAATGCACACACATTCATACTTCCTGTATTGAGAATAGGCTCTTCTTTGCTGCACTGGAGGAATATGGTATGTACTGTGGGCACATGTGTTATTTTTGACATTGATAAAACCAAGGCTGATGTCTATAATGTAGCTCATTTCTTCTGCCTGATTGCTACCACTTTACATAAAAAGACATTTAAAAAATTTCATATTAGATTTGTAACAAAATGTGTCCCTGAAACTAATTGATTCAACTTAATTTAAAAATAAATTAGGTCATTGTCTTGGCTGCATTACATTAAAAAGAAAATCTAGCCAGTCTGCGGCTGATTGTTCAACATTGAATCATCTATGGGCTGTCCCTATAAACCAAGAAGCTCCATTCTTGCATCAGCTCAGGCCAGTTATGGTTCTTTGAAAATGTGTCCTTCCTCCTCTTGAACTCACGTAGCTGTGGATTGAGCCTCCTTGGGGTCAGCAGTGTGAACTAACATCAGGTAAACTGCAGAGTGATTGACAAGATGCATGAATGCATGGGAATGGTTTCAGTTTCCTCTTTTTTAGTTGAAATGAGTCGTTCACTGAAACCTCTATCTCGTTTTTCATTGACTAAATATAGGGCTGCTGACATAAAGTGCGGCAGTAATAGCTCTTCAGATTGTTTGTTTCGTATCCGTCACCATTTTTAATGTGTCAGTTAGCTGTTTTTATCCAGGTAGATCAAATTATTATCATTTAAGCCACTTGCAGAAATGTTTCACCGATGCATTTTCACTCCCAAGATCATGCTCTATTACAAAATACCAGCATACAGCAATGCTGATATTTTGCTCAACGGCATGAAACTGGTGTGATATTGCTACATTACATCTGTATTTTGATGAACACAAGCTGCAGGCTTCTAGACAGAAAAAGCATCTCTTGGCAAAATTAACGAAACCTATGCACACTCTTACAATGCGATAGAAGGGAAAGCAGTGAAAGGATCAGGAAACAGACGACTGCAGGAGGCCGTTCATGCACCGCCTCAGTGTATAGGATGAAAAATTCACCAAAAATCAAACTAAGAACAACCATAATATGCATCTATAGGTGGTCAGGGATTGATTTTTCTGGACATGCTGTACATTGCATTCAGTAAAATGTACAAAAGTAGCAAAAAAAGTGCAGAAAATGGTAGATTTTTGTTGAGAAAGAAAGCCACAAACCAATTAAACACTTCATCCATGTCTCTTGTTCTCGTCAACTGTGAAAATATGTATTTCAGGAAATTTTTAAACAAATATCTTAAATTGAAGAGGCACTTCCCTGACAAAGGAGCATCAGGACAGATGTTTGCAAATTACAGCAACTTACTCTTTCAGTCAGAACTTGAAAGAACTGTGAAAGTTTTAAAGGGTTTAATAAGACTGATATAACATCATTAGCTGCATATAAAGCAGCAGAAATTTAAACTACACAGGACTCTTATTTAAAACAAAAAGGACAAAAAGCAGAGAGTCACATAAAAGACCAAATTGGGACATCGATTCAAGCAATCACAGTCCATATTATGTCCCTGAAAGAAGATGAAGGAGAAAAAGCAGAAGGAACAGTGAGACAGGTCACATGTAAACACACAGATGGCCAAACAGGCAGTGTGGTTGATTGAGAAATTTTCTAACCATACTTCCTCTGTCAGGGCCTCATTCAGTGTCTGGCCCAGTGACTTATTACTGTTTTCATTCATTTTAAACACTTGTGAGTCTGCCATCCATTTCAGAGCACTTTGGAACCGATTTAGTCATCTTTATTGAATCCACTTATCTTCTCTCTCCTCATTTTCTATCTTCATTTTATTCCCTGCTGGTAGTTCAAGATTTCCTGGAGTTCTTCTCAAAAATATGCACTTAGGGTGTTTTTGCTCTTAATTCAATCAAACTCTTTTCCCACAAACTGAACGGTTACCCATTGTCCTTTGGGTGAACCGTGGCCGTTCTTATCTATTAAGATACTCTTTGACTGGTTGATTGCCAGAGATTTTTTGCAGGACCATGTAATCCAATTTAGACCGTTTAAGACTGAAAGCAGATATAATCAGACTTTTGGCCGTCCTTTCTCAATGTTTGAACTGTTTCAAACTTTTGAGGTAGTTCAAAGAAATGCTTTGACCGTTTTTTCCAATTCAGTTTGCAGTGTTTCGGTTTATTCACAGAACTTTAAATGATCTTGATTTGCCTCTAATTACAATTCCATATCTCTCTTTTCTTTTTACCTTTTCCCTCTCTCTTTTACAAACCCTTTTACCCCCCCTCCTGTCCTGTCTCCAACTGACCCCTCTACCCCTCATTCTCTCAAACCACTCATTTCTCTTTTCTTCTGTTCTCTTCTTTCTGTTTCCAACTTTTTTGTGTTTGGCAGCAGTGATTCTCAGCCGGTCTGGTTACTGCAATGAATGGTAACACTATCCATCCAGCCAACACCACCACAACAACAGGAGGAGGCCCAGGCTTGGCAGCGCCCCCGAGAGGCTGGAGGGAATTCTGCGAGCTGCATGCCATCGCCACAGCCCGGCAGCTGGCTGGACACTACCAGAGCTTTGCCAGAGAGCGGCCCCAACATGACGTACTCCCACCAGAGACGTTTTCTAAGCAGTTCACCGACCTCTTTCAGCAGCACTTCTGCTGTGAGGTCGACAAAGACGGCGCTCCACTCAGTCAAAGCACAGGCTCTACTGCCACCAGTAATGCTTCCTCTACCGCACCAGTGGCAACTTCCCTTCCATTGGAGGGTTTAATCGGTCGGTTGCGGATCACATCTTTGTCAGGGGTGCAGGATTATCGGGAGGCGGGCCGGCCGAGTGTAGGAGCTGCGCCGTTTAATGTGGTGTCACCAAAAGTTGAGCCTGTCGTGTTGAGACGGGAGCAGGAGCAGCCGTTGCGATGTGCAGCAGGAAGCTCCTTATCAGGAAACCCGGTGGTGCTCAGAGGGTCAAATCGCAGTACCATCGGCGGGTCGCTACTGATTCGCAGCCGTAGCAACGAGGAGATCTCAGGCACAGATCGTCGTCAGGTATCGGAACGGTACTCCTCTGATTCTTCAGCCTCTATCCCTGCACATGCTGATGTCACACATTTCTCTGTCAGTCAGATCAGACAGACTGTGAGACGACTTCTCAAGAAACGACCGGTCCCCAGTCCCCCCTCATCCCAGGACCTGTCTCTTAGCAACCCCACCTCAAACAACAACAGCAGTCCCCCAAATAATACTGACAGAGTGGGCAATGTTTCCTCCCCAAACGAGGAGGTGTCATCTTCCCCCTCGTCTTCCCATTTGTCTTGTCTGAACTCTGAAGCCGTGCCCCCAGCTTCTTCACTCGTGGCAGGGGTAGCCTCTAACTTCCTGGATCGTTTTCGCCGGTTACGAGGCGGGAGCATGAGGCAGAGGAGGTCAGAGGTGAGCGGCTGCTGTAAAGAGGGCACCCTGAGGTACTTGCTGGTAGATGACACTATCTCAGACTCTCAGCCCCGCTGGCAGCGCTGCCGTCTGCTGGTCAGGAGGATCAGGGACACTCAAGGAGGAGGAGGAAGAGGAGGAGGAGGGGAGAGGTACCAGCTGGAGCTCTATGATCCTCCAAAGGTAGGAACATTACCCAATGCAAAGTCACTCATATATCCTCCTACTGTGTGGGTGTGCACATGTTCACAATATTATGATCCACCAGATGCTGAAATAACCAACCGACATAAACTAATAGGATATCACCATATCTAGTTCTGCTGGGCATTTTAATCCGAATGTGATGGCTTATCATTAAAGTTCTAGTAAAAGAGGTAAAAAGTAGATCTTTGCAGTGTTTCACATCCATTTTAGTCGAACTGTGTTTAGCAAATTTTCTCCAATGAATGCCAGCCATAGTTGCCGTATGTCCTCAGGTCTACTTGTGACATCAGAAGTGCATTAGTAAGTTTAATTATGTGAACATTTCAGTGATTTGTAAGTAGCTGCGCCTGCAAGACGAGATAAAACACACAGATTTCAAAACTGAAAGAAGAAGTCGACAAATGCAAATACACTCTGACATTTGTTCCAAATGTTTTGCGAGGATAGTTTAAAATCAAAATGTGAGTCAAGCAGCGAGTTAGTCGAACAATATCCGTTTTTGTCATATTAAGCAGGCTAGCTGTATGTAATGTTTGGGTAGTGAGGCTGTCGCTCTAGTTTCGTAGTTCCACTTCAAATGGAGCAGCTTTTTTTACAAACAAAAGTTATTGCTGCTGTTATTGTTTTATTTTTCTAGTGCAGCATATCAATGGCTGATAATTGAGTCCTTATTGCTGTTTGTGCAGCAGATGCGTGCTTTCAGAAATTTTATGTTATGTTTTGCAGGATTGTGTAGGAGTGTGTGTCTGTGTGTGTGCACGTGAATGTGGTTCTTGAAAATGTTTGTTAAGCGTCTTCTCAGAATTTCACTGAGGCATTACACAGCTGGCAGGTTCCTCAACGTGTGCAGATACAACTCTGTTGATCTGTTTGTGTTCACAATAAGACCAAAACCCACACAAGCTTATACAGGGTTTAATGTAGGTTTACCTGGCTGTGGCAGTGTGCATGAATACACTCTTTTCTAACACACACACACATGAGCAGGCACAAAGTCATTTCCTGTTTCCAGCTGTTTTATTCGAAGGGGTTTTCCCCCTCCTATTTCATATCATCTCTTTTCTCTGCATTGTTTTGTTGTCATAAATTCTAGTTTGCAACATCTAAAGAGCTCCTTTTGCGTCGAGTTTGCCACATGTTAAAACATGACCAAAGCTATGAGGAGCTTCATCTGTACATACTGCACATTGTGTGGTTGATTTTCTTGCCATCTTTGCCACTTCTTATTGTTCTGACCTTTTTTAAAAAACAGCCATAGATTGTGCTCTGATGTTCAACATCAACTGATGTTTTCACCTGGCTGGAAAAGCAAGAGAGTGACATTTGGAGTTCAGTTGAAACTAAAAGTAATGGAAATTAATCAGTGCATCGTGCCTGTTCTTGCCTGGTATGCTTAGTTTCAGTGTCATTATCAAAGCACTATCATTGGTTTCACTCTGATTGGCTTGTAAAGATGGGGTTAGATATAGTTTGACCTTTAACATTCTTGAAAGTTGTTCAGGAAATAAAGGGAGTGCTAGTTCAGTTACAGATAAATGCACCACTGATTATTGTCAAACATCTCTAATGCAGTCATTTTCATGCATTCATATCACATCATCTGTCAATTGAGACATTTTGGTGCTCAGCTGCCTCAAAGAAACGGCATGTCTTCTTTAACTGCTCAGTTAATAGATATGCCTCCTACGCAATTTCCTGTTTGTTTGAGGTTTACTTCAGCCAGTCAGAACGTTTCTACGAATTTCTTTGTGACTAAAACATCGACTTAAACATAAAGAAAATATGATATTGTCACATCAAAGATATTTTCCTTGAAAAACTTTGCATTGTAATGTTTGGAAAAGGGTAAATTAGCTTGTCTTCCCCTGACTTTGCTTAAAAATAAAAATGCACCAGGAAGCTGTTTTCTTCTGAATATATATGTTTGGCTCTTAGCATGAAATGTAATGGCATTAAACCCTGTGATATTCCCAGATAAGGCCAGCTGCAAGGTCGCATGTGCCTGCACACCCAGTCCCCCAAGATCCCCAAACCAGTAATCAGAGTGGCTGGGTTTACTGCATTCCTAGCCGCTGTCATCTATAGGGTCAGTGAAAGTACAGTTCAGTCTCTTTAGGGTGTGTGCAAGTGTGTGTTCTGGCACAAATAGAGGTCAGAGGAGGAGAAGTTGCATGCATGTGTGTGTGTCTGTGTGTGTGTGTGTGTGTGTGTGTCTGTGTGTGTTAAATGCATAAATGTGCAAGTAGGCTTTTATATTTAGCAGCCCTCAACTTCTTGGCCAGCTGCAGCCCAGAGCATGTATGTAAGGTAATTCAGTGAATTGCGTGTGTGTCATTGTGTGTGCGCGCTCGTATGTGTGTGTGTTTGTCAGTGCATGTATTTTAGTAGAGAAATGCATTGAAAAGGTTTTCCTAGCTGATTGCAAGGCTGTTTTGAGTTAGCCAACTCCACAGCAGCTTTGAATACTCATTATCGCTCTCTTTATTTTGTGCTTGTGTGTACTTGGGTGTGTAAACGTGCTTGTGCATATATGTGTGTGTGTGAGAGAGAGTGTGTGTGTGTGTGTGTGTGTGTGTGTGTGTGTGTGTGTGTGTGTGTGTGTGTGTGTGTGTGTGTACTCTTGGTAGGGTAGAGAGTTAAGGCCCTGAAAATGTCCTTAAAAGGAAGGAGAGCTGTGGACTCACATGAACACTCGGTAACATACAGAAGAAAACGCACGTGTTCACGCCCCAGGAGAAGTCATTCAAACACACCGACCTGTAATGTGATGAAAGTGCTGCTTTCGTTTATGTGGATCTGAATTCACACATCTGTGCACTTTCTAAGACTGTGTGTAGGTGTGTGAGCATGCATGCCTGCAGCCTGCACACAGAATATGATCATCAATACTTTGCATTACTTTTTCTTGAAGTGTTTCTGTGGGTGTGTGGATGTGCATGTCTGTCTGTCTGTCCGTCTGTCTTTACCGGTGAGAAACAGCAGTAATGTTGGTGAGCTGATTGAGCACAAAAGAGGAAGCTGCATGGAAACTGATAATGTGTTCTCGTGAGAAAGCTTCAGTCAAGGCGCAGCAGGGCCGTGGCGATGCAGAAGTCGAGGCAGGATTCTGATGCAGAGCAAACTTGGATAGGAATGTAACTTTAACCTACTTAAATCAAATTAATCAGGGGAGTTAAAAGCATAGCAAATGCCTGAACAAGACACCACATGGAGATTTAAAAGGTTAGAGAAAACAAAGCTAGAATAAGCAATAAGTACAAGTCTGATCGCTCATCAAATTTTATATATGCGTTTTTTAATCATCAGCAAATATAGCTAAAATAAACAATAAGTACAAGTCCGATCTCTCATCAAATTCTATTTATTTATTCTTTTAATCATCCCAGAAGGGACATTCATCTCAACACTGCCCAGAAAGTTAACAGGCATCTGTCAAGCTACAAACCCAGTTTACAAACTGGGTCCATACCCAAAGTTGGACCTCCTTTTTTAAAAGTATAGGTTTTATGTTCTCACTTTCTTGCAGAGTAAAATGCAAAATTTGTGGTCACACTTAAAATGATCATTACACAATAAAAAAAAAAAACCTCTCCCTGAATGATTACTTTAATCTTCTTTATTAAGTTTGATCGTAATTGGACAATGTTTTCTATACAAACTCTTTGCTTGATCCTTTTGTAGGACAATAAGTGACTTATTAATTCTGTATGCCTCCTGAACTGGTAGTTGAACAGACATGTTTAAGGTCCGTGTCCTGTGTTGCAGATGCAATCCAAGCCAAAGAGCTGTAACCCTTCTTTTATTGCAGAAGTGAATCTAGTCATGTCAGCTGGAAAGAGCAAATGTCTCCACAATGTCCCCTGTGTTCGTCTGAAACTTGAACTCAAAATCTAAGGGCCAATGTGTCAGTATTTCCTCATGGAGATCCTGAGGACAGAGAATTTAAACATTCCCCTCTTGGTTCTGGTAGATCACTTACTTTTCTCTATATTGTGCATTTTCCCGCAAATCTTTGGAGTCATCTTTTGCTCTCCAAGCTTCGACTCTCTGTCTACCCAAATGTTTTTTTTTCTCTGCCACATCGAGCCCCACTTTCCCTTTCATCTGACGCACAGTAGTTAAGGTTACAGACAAGGTTAGCATCTTGCCAGGAAAATCACGGTATTCTGTCTCCCAGAGTCAGTTCCCACAGACTTTGAGCAGTGTGATGGCGGATATGTTTCCTCAGACCTCCTGTAGACCTCATCTTAATCACACCCTTCACATCTCATCACAGCTGTGCGTTTTGTGCGTGTGTTTGCGCGTTTGCATGTGTTTGTTCCAGCTCTTCTACCCTTAATCTCTCCCACATGTTTTCATTTCATGCTTGTGTGTACATGTGCCTACACTCTGTATCGTATTGCTATTAGAGTTAGTCTTTCTCTCTATGTTTGTGCTCTTTGCCTTTCCTATATAGTTAATGCATGTAAGAATATATAGTCACTGTATTGTCTTGGCCTTTGTGTCTTCCTGCGAGTCATTTGATACTGTCCTTAAGTAAAGTAAAGTTTAAAAATGTGGAGTTATGCTTTGTGAAAACCAGAAGAATTAAATTAACACAGCTGAACTATACGACTTAAAATATTTGTGTTTATACATTCTTCTTTTTTTCTTTGATTTTAGCATTTTTCTCACTTTTTTTTTTGAGCACACATATTTTTTCTCTCTCTGACAGTAATGGAGGAGTTTGCAACATCAGTGGAAAATACTTTTCCAACTAGCAGACTCTGGTGTCCATCTGTTCTGTGTTACTTCTCGTACTTTGGTCTCTCATATGGCAACATGCAGCGTTAATATGGCTCTCGTTGCATACCACAACTAAAGCTCTGAACACACACATGGGCCCCAGTCAGCTGAACCAGAAACAGAATGAAACCAACCAAGAGAGACACAGGAAACACAACAGCAGGAGACTTGAGAAACACAGACGAAAAGTTCAGTCAACAAGCCAGCGAAGAGGAGGACAGACAGACATGGCCAAGCTGTCTGTAGGTCTGTTTGTGATGTATGTTTTTAGGGTCAGGGTCTGGAGAATCCTTAGACTGAGAAGAAACGTGTAGGTGCCTCGTACTTATTGATCTGTTTTTCCTGGTCTAACATGTAAGCAGTTAGCTGTTTGATATCACATAAATGTTCAAACTTTAACAAACTTATTTCAAACAAATATCAGCTGCAAAAAAAGTGTCTTTTTAAAAGCGGTCAAAGTTTATGTAACCACAAATCTATATCTACTGTTCAGATGGTAGGGAAATAGAAAGTAAAACACACCCTTTCTTTTGTTAACCTGTTTGTGCCTTCAACTAATTTTAACCTTTCTGAAAATCGCTTTTATGCTGATGAATTTTTTATGGGGTTGACATGCGGCCAAAGGCGGTTTGTTGGATTTGAACTGGCGTCTCCTGCTTGGCCAACTGTACTTTGAGAGCATGTGATTTAGCCATTGAGCTTAAGCAGTGCATGTACGCGTACACATACACTATTTTAATTGAGCACAAGAGAGTTTTTTTCTGGCTTTACAGCCTGAAACAATCCTCTCAGAGTCCATTGAAATGACGCTACTTATAAACAGACTTTTTTGCAAATCAAGAATAAACTTTATGGCATAAAAAAAAACAAAAAAACAATAATTGGTGAAAGATAATTTATCATCAACTTTTGGTTAAAAAAAATGGTTATAGAAGTTTTAAAGCAGCATTCTCCACATCCTGACTCAGAACTCCATCCTTGTTTTGTTTTATGTGTGAGTAAAATTGATATTTTAAAGTCCTTGAGTCATTGAAGAACATAACTAGAAATTTTGATGTTAACATGACACTTCAGGGGATATTTAAAAACACTGTGTAATTCATCCATGTTGAAAGTTGATTTTAGCTGCAGCCTTGACACTGCTCCCCCAGATGACTGCTTTGTTTTGGTTCCACACAGTGATGCCTCATGTTATGTCTAAATGTAAACCCTTTGATCGGCTACAACAGGAGATGTTGGCACAGGTCTGTGTTATAATTGTGTAAATTCTCCAGATGGTCAGTCTGCCTGCGCTGACACCACAGCAGCTCCAGATCCCCGATAATTTCTTCAGAGAGACTCGAGTTTCATTTTGTATCATAGCTTTTCTGTATCTCACCCACAAAGTCAAATCTTTTCCGCTTTCCAGGGATGGAGTTTCATAAAACCTAGACGCTGTGCCTTGAAGTCGCTCTCTGAGTCATGTAATGGATATACGTGTGTGGGTGCACATGTGTCTTGTGTCTGTACACCATATTTATATATGCTGTGAGCATGATCTTGCCAGTCCTCTGTTTCTGACCAGAAATTTAGAAATGGTGAAGTGTGATTTTGTCTTGTTTGTTATCTTTGGTAAGTAAAACTGGGTTTCTTAAGCTTTTGTGGCTTTTTGGCCTCACTGGGCTCTGCTTTTTTAGTTTCTCTTACTGACCTGCCTGAACTTGTCCACCCTCTTCCTTCCAATTTTTGCGTTGACAGATCTGTATCAAGCACAGCCCACAGAGATCTGTGGGAATTTTCCTTTTCCTTTCTTTCTCCTTTTTTCTTTTTTTTTATACCTTTTTGAAAAAGTTTCGATAACACAACCCCTCTGAGTCCTCAGGCAGCCTTCCACTTGGCCCCTGAGTTAGAAGATCCTGCTGGAAACAATCTCTCTGGTAGGCTGATGTTGGTCAGAATGACAGGACAGCCAACTACAGATCTGTCCTCTGGTCTGATTGGCTCTGACTTATGGGCTTTCTTAACCATTTTTTCTTTCACCAGTATGTTTTTGACATCTTAGAAAACAAAAACAACAAAACTTGCATTAGTTTCCAGAACTAAACATGACTTTTTTGATCCTTGAGTTGATCAGCAAACCAAAAAACAGTGACGGTAATTATGGTTTTCTCAGAAGAAGCTTTTTCACCTCTGGTAGGCTTCCAACTTTATTTTCACATTTCTACAAAGCTGGAAACTGTCTTGTGATATTTCAAACACTTGAGGCGGAAGAGAGACACGCCCATTGACTCTGAGGAATGATTGTTCCTTTTTGTAAAAAGGCTTTAATTAGAGAGGACGGGACGGTTGACAGAGCAGGTCATAGGAGCCGAGAGGCAGCAGAAATACAGATTTATTGATTATCAGGGCCAAACATAGAACTGACCATTTAAACAAGATGCGAAATCAAATCTACATGTTATTGGTTAAAAAAATTAGAGATCACTGCATGCAGAAATTGTTGCTTGATAATATGTTAGTTTATACCAGGCACCCTTTTGTAGCTTCTTACTAGGTCTCTGCCCTGAATTACCGTGCTCTGTGTGTGTGTGTGTGCATGCGCGGTTGCCATAGCTAGTTTGACCTTCAAAAACTCACACAGTCATGGGAAAGTTCACTGAGGTGTACGCCAAAAGAGTCAGGTGTGTAAGAAGTAGAAGAAGAAGTTGGTTCAGTTAGGATGGTAGTTTCTGTGAGCTCATTAAAACAGATTTTTTTTTTTTTTTCCAAACCAGCTGTGGTGGAAAATGTGAGCGCCTCTCATAGAGGGTTCGGCTTTTTGTTGATTGTATGTTGGACACTGGCCACTGTTGATGGAGTTTCGGTTTACATTTCGTGTTTTAGAATTAAGCATCTTGCTTCTCAAATGAAAGTGCTCACACAACATAATTCCTGAAAGTGGGTTTTAGGGATTATGATTTGGTAGAAAACCAGCATTTAGCCAGAATCAGGGGTAATGACTCTTGTCAGGAACCGAGTGAGTCATAGAGAAATTCTACAGAGTTAAAACCCACACATTTCAAAGGAAAGCACTTGGACTAAACATGAACCTCAAAGTGTTGCAACCTCTCAGATGTTGCACTCTACATATGCTTCATGACTACAACTTCTCCTTTTTCTGCCTCTATAAACTCTGATGGGAACCTGTAGACCAAACAAAGACCTTTCTAACCATTTGAAAAGGAGTCCTAACAGTTTGGGGTCTTTATTGTTTTTCACGTCTATTACTATAATTCATTCAAAGGACATTGTGCACATGAACCACAAGGCTTTTCTCAGCAGCAGGAAACTCTAGTCCAGTGGTTCTCAACTGCTCTCACTCTGGGACCCACATTTTCCCATGGTCCTTAAGTCGCGACCCACTCTTATAAAATTCAAACCAATCAAATTTATTTCTTATAAAAAAAAAAAACTTTAAAGACTCAAATCTTTGACATAAATACACCTATTTTATTGAGCAAAGTGCATTTCAGAGCACATGAACTGAAGAAGACAACTACTAAAGTTTCGTAGACAGAAAATATCAAATTGGAGACCAGCAAAATTAAAAAATTTGGCTGAACCTGAGGAGGACCATGAAAGAGCTTGGACAAAAATGAATATCAAATTGCACAAAATAAAGACCATAAAGAAACATGTAATTTTACTGCATTCAAGCCACATTAATAAGAAACCGAGGAAGACCAAACATAACGTGTGCCTTTCCAAAGAAGCTATTTTTCAAAATAAAGACATGTCAAACATCAGACGCGCACTAAATATGTACTTTTTTGACCAGTTGTTCTCGACCCATCCAGGATGTGTCCACGACCCCCTTTTGGGTTGGGACCCACCAGTTGAGAACCACTGCTCTAGTCTCTAATGTAGAAAAACTCTTTGAGGGATTGAAATGGACTGGAATACCCTCCATAGATGAGGCCTTCAGCTTTGATGACTCAGTGAGGCAGTCCTGGACAATAGTTAACCATAAAGCAAGTTTGTGAAGATGGGCTGGAAGTTTGGGATTCTATTGGTTGTCCTGATAGACAAGCAGTGTCATTTAATCTGGAGTTGGAGGCAGTGATTTTGGATTTGTAGAGGTGGGGGCCCAAAACTTTTTTTTTTAGGGATGAGCAATGTGGAAATTGTTCTTGCCACAGGTTTGCTCTTTAACCTTGACAGGAAACTGGATGGAGTCATAGGAGTCAATTGAGAATTTAAATGTCATGTGGGCTCAGTTTAAAGTGCCAAACATCCTACTCGTCACAAATTCAGCTGGTTCCTGATTTTAAATGTGCAGATTTTCTCGTTGCACTGAGAGAGAATAAATGCTTTCACGGGATGTGACTCTCAAAACTGAATACATATATACACAGAGCTGGCATCCAGAAAGAGCATAGTATAATATCCTGGGTCTTGTTTGTGTTTAATTGTCTGTCAGAACAGGAAACTGAAAGGCATACATGTGCAGCAGTGAGTTTTTATATTGCAGAATGCAGCTTCCTCTGTAGGGTATTGAGGTAATCAGGAAAGAGATGAAAATGGCCTCAAAGGTGGTTCAGCCAGCTTGTTTGTATATTTCCATTCAAGTCCAAAATAAAGGTGACCCAAAGGCAGGTGCCACTGCATTGGAATAAAACTCAGTGAGGTGCTTACATTTTTGTGCATCATCGAACAGGCATTTCTGTATCAAAGGGATGATTTTAGAGAGTAATCGTTTGCTTAAATCAAAAAGAGAGAGCATGGAAAAGCAGAGAAGGTAAAATGTTGTGACGAAAACGGCTCACAGAATGTAAATCAAACAACAGAAATCTGCTTTGAACATCAATTGTGGCTATTTTTTGTTTATTTGCATTTGAAAAGTCTAAAAGGTGGACATGAAAACCCTATTGTGTGTGTGTGCATGCGTGCATCTGTGCGTATGTGTGTGACAAAAATCTATAGAAACATCTGAAGGAAGTGGAGTGGTTAGAGTCATGTGGTCAAGATGTTTGTCAGATCTCGTGTTCTGTCACTCTCTAGTTGTGTATCTTTCTCTGAACGAGGGGCTTGTCATCTTCTTGTAACCTGCTGCTCTGGACATTTGACTGAAAACTATCTTCTGTAAAGATCAGTGTGTGATGGTCTGAGGTGTATGAAATCTTTTCTTCCCTGTTTTACCTTCTTGGTTGAATTACGTATAGATTTTGTGTCAACCACAGTGCCAGTGCACATGACCCTGCTAAGCTGCATTCGGAAAGCCCCTAAAGAAAAGCCGTGCCACACTTGATTCAAGTCCTCCCCAGGCCTCTGTTTTTCTCATTTGTCTGTGCATACACACAAATACACACACACACACAGACATGCATGTGTACCTGCAATCACAAATGTGTTACCTAGCACTGTAACGCCGTGGTTCTTGATGATTTAGTTTGCTTTGTTGACCTAAATAACAGCTGGGAACACTTTTTTTCATACTGAGATGGAAAAATGTAAGCTACACCCTTACTGTACACAACAAGCTGATAATTAAGTTTAATTTATACGTACATACCCTGAGCTCCTGGGGTGTTAGGCAGCAATTTAGACTCATTTTTGAGGAACCAAGCAGCAACTTAGAAATGAAGCTGAAGTGAAAGTGCCAAAAAACAAAAAAAAAAAAAACGGTGGTTCCTTTTCTGGCCACTTGAGACCGGTTTCAAAAGTGAGTCAGCCACCATAACACCTTATTCACCCGTCACACTCGACCGCGACTTTGACATGTTTGGAGCCTGTTATAAATAATGGTTTTGAGCTCTGTTTCTTAAATCAGGCAGATTATTAAGTCTCGTCAGCTACCAGCAGAAATGAAATTAAATTTACTGAGAAACACTTGGGTTAACCTGACAGTCAATTCGTCAAAGTTGTGCAGCTGTCTTAACTCAGCACCCACTCTGAAAATAACACAGTAAAGGTCCTTTCACACCGGGACCATCTTTATCGTGCAATTATTTCAGATGTCAATATATATATATTTTTGAACCTGTATCCTGTCAATACAAGTGTTCACATCAGCAACGTTTCCTCGTCCTATGATATTGTGGCATTTATTTTTCGGATCATGGTCGATTTTTCTGAGGTTTTGCATACTGTGTGTCCACTTCTGTCCAATCAGATGGCGTGTTGTTGCGACGTCAGATTCACTGGTATATCCAACATATCCAACCGGCTGATTGTTTACGTGTCGGAGAACAGAGTGCTTTTTGATAAAAGACACAAACATTACAACATAACGACCTGAAGGACATGACTATGGTTTGTGTGCTTTAACAGTTTGCTAAACGTCTTTGTTTTAACTTTCATCTGTGCTAACGTAAGCTAACGGTTGTTACCAAAGTTTCATGTGCTTATATTATCGCCTCTGATTGGCTATAAGTGCTGACCGTTTGGCTTGAGCGTGTGATGACGTTTCCAGCTTTTCTAGCCAATCAGAGGTGACGGAAGCGGGACTTCCCCTGGCCAAAGTCTTCCCAGGATGCATCTTTTTCCCCCGGAAAGTATCAAAATTGCATCAGGCTTGATGTGTACAGTCAGGCACGTCAAAATTCACCTCCGAATTTTTCGTGTTTTCACGTTCTGTATTTGCGTTGGCTCCGGTGTGTAAGGACCTTTAAGCCCCAAAATGTACAACCTGAATATTAATTGCACATATTTTTCCTCGAATTATTTTCTTCATAATGCTGCTTTGTTTGTTTCAACATGTGTTTACACTCCTTGCATCATAATCACAGTTTCCTCTTTCTTGAGTCTGTTTAATCTGTTGTCTGTGTTTTTACACAGCTGTAAACTAAAATACGAATTTTTTTTTTGTCATTCCTTTTTGATCCTTTTTCTTTCTATTTTTTGTCATTCTTGGTATTCAGGCATCATTAGTCCTACAACAAGTTCAGGAGCAGCAAAAATAGACTTGTCCCGTATCTTTAGCAGTGCTGCTCTCGACACATTTCTGATACGATGCTGCGACGGAGCTGATACATGTCCTGTCTGCAATGCTGCATTGATGAGAATGGCAACCTTTTTGCTGCGTGATACGCGACAAATACGCGCTACATGTGGATCCTGTATATTTTAGCCTTCAGTGCTTCTAGCTACAGTAGCCCAGTAAGCCTCCGAATTTACAGCAGGGTCAGGGAGGTGTTCGTTAAAGCAACAGGTTAGATCATCTGTTCAAAGATTACGACAGTCAAGTTATGTAAAATTATTTTAAGCACAAATGGTTATAAATTCAACACTTGGTTGATTTTCCAAACGTGTTTGCTTCGTACAGTTGAATATTTTTCCTTTGTTTCCTAAATCTGGTCTGAAAATGCTTTAATTCTTCAATAATTAAAGACAATGAACACATTTCAAAAATGCTAATTAGATTTTATATGGTATTAAAACTCCAAAGTGACTGTTTCTACGTAACATCTGTCCTCTACCCTCCCCTCGTTGTTTTTTTTCCCTCCGTTTTCTCTCTGCTGTATAATGAGTCACATCTCCAGCTCCCTCCCTGAATCCTCTGGGCAAGTCTTTAGCCTGGTTTCCATTTCAGCGCAACACACAGCTAGCATTTATTCATTATCTGTGCCTCTCAGTTTTCTCTCCAAATAAGAAAAAAAACTGTTTTATCCTGTTGCCAGCAGAGATGATTTGTCAATTGGGCTGCAGCCTTTAACTCAGCAAATTGTGGTCTTTTGATCCTGTGATTTAAACATTTCAAGTTTGTTCTGGCAAGTGCAAGTCCCACTTGGCTTCAGCTCTTGTTTGGAAAAGTTATCATGACCAGATCTCCTTCCCTATGTAACCTGGTTCTGGCTCAGAAGTAACAGGAACTGCAGTCATAAGGGGGCAAAAACTGCACACTAATGTTTATTCAGAGACAATGGTGTGGCAAAGGGGCAGGAGGGAGAGGAAGGACAAGAGGGAGTTTTTCTTTGCCAGCTTCTGGCCTGTTTTAGAAACCGATTACTGTGGATTCAAAGAACCATCCACATCAGATTTCAATTTGAATTGCTTTTCAAAATCAAAAACAGTAAAGCAATAGCAGAACTTGTCCAATATTATAACCCAATGTGGGACAGAGATGTATGCCTATCTGGAGCGGCAAGTAGTGAAAGTTTTCTTACCACTTCTAATGATGCCAACCTCCTCTCCCCAGCTTAGAGGACCAAGTACTGAACTTGGGACAGAGCATTTTCCATTGAGGGAGCGGGCCCCCTAAACACAGACTCTACTGATCTACCCACATTTAAATCCCAGCTCCAAACCCATCTCTTCAGAACCACTTTGACTGCAGACGATGTTTGAACCGTTGCTTTATTCATACATATGATTAATGTCTTGTTCCATGTGTCCATTTGTAAAGTGTCTTTTGAAAAGCACTACATAAATAAAATGTATTGCTATCAGGGTTTTTCCTGGCTCAAATTGAGGCAGAGGTGGCACCATCCTGACCATGCGCCATGACGTGCATGTATTTGTAAATTCAACTGACTCATTTTCTTTTACAGGCAACATACTTTAAGTTAAGAGTTCAAAAAAGAGTGTGACCATTATCATGTTAAAGCATTCATTTATTAAAACTATATACATACACAAATCAGCTGGCAACTTTAAATTGAAAGTACACTTCATCCACACATCTCACAACCAGACAGAACATTTCAGCCTCCTCTTTTTCATTCTGTAGAACCTCCTCATGCACTCCTTGTAGTCCAAGGCCTCCTGGTCTGGTCCATCAACGGCCACCTTACAACAGACATCCAAGTGCCTTTCCTTCAGTCTGTTCCGCAGAGGTGTCTTCACCTTAAACAAAACAATTCATCATGCATTAAGTATTTTTGTTTTTATTCTGATACAGACATGAAGAGTGATAGTGTTTTAATCATATATTATATATATGTATACGTTGCAGTGTCCTCCCTAAAAAAACGACAACCAATTATTTCTTAAACTATCTAAACTATGTTATTTTAGTTTTTGTAACTTTATTAGTTGAGTGTTTTTAGGTACTACAATGTTTAATATACTTCTCCATCTCTTCTGCTGCTTTGTGAACGGCTGTCACCTCATGTCTTTTTAATGTGTCCAGCCTGTAGTTGGTTGATGGCTGTCTCACTAAGGAGGCAGCAATTGCCTGCTGTGTTGGGGCACAGTGCTTTTGGCATAAATAGCAGTGCATGCCTTCCTCAGTATGCCTGAGCCAGGTAAATTGATTGAGCCACTGCTTGTCAAAGCCACTGGCTCTGTGTTTTTGAGAAGATCTAGAAAGAGAAATAAAAACCACGTACACGTTGGTTTTGCGTTGTTATGCTCCTAATTGGAAACTAATTAATTAATTACCCTCACCTCGCCGACTCGTCCTGTCCTGCATTCTGACCCTCGCGATCACCAGTCCCTTGTGAAGTACTTTCAAACCTGAAAACAATTGTCCACGTTGTCCCCACCATGAGTTATAGCATTTTAACTGCCTGTTACGTTTTTTCTCTGCTGTGTTTCACCTGGACTCTTGACTTTCCTCCTCGCGAGGTCGCTTTTTAAAGTACTGTCTGATTTTGCCTGTCATAACTGCAACGCTAAAAACGGAGTAAACTTTTTTTTTAATAAACACGTCATGCTTGGATGCAAAAAAGACAAGCAGTATTTACCTGTTTGTACCAGCCGCCGGGGAAAATCAGGTCGCCGATAGCACCAACTAGCGGGAAAAAAACTTGAAAAAACATGATTCGATCCGTTTCTTCTTCGGTAGATGCTTCAGGTCTTTCCGGTGCACTGCTGTTGATATAGCGCCTTTATAGTGGCGCAACCCTGCAACTGCAGTTAAAATACGTTGCTGCTGCAGAGGGACATCATACACTCAATCAACACAGCTGGAGCTTTACGCTGTGTTGAGCGAAATCAATCGCTCTGGCTGGGGGCGGCACAAAATTAGGTGGAGGCGGCCGCCACGCAATTTTGAACGCAGGAAAAACCCTGGCTATTATTTATTTAACCAAATACTTTAGCAAAAAACATTGACTGTTTGACTGTTTGAAGTTTATTTGCCATAATTAGAGAATGAATGCTTGTCCCTTCTTTTGGAGAAATATCACACTAGTCTTGAAATTGATAGATTTCCACGGATATGAAGTGATTAATGTCAGAGTGGGTTAGACATGAGTCAAAGCGTGACTCAATCCAAGAGTTTGGATTGAAGAGTTATTTTAAGAAATGCTGACAGTTGCAAAAAAGAAATTCTCACCAAAAGCTCAAACTTAGTCAGAGCCGAGAGGGAGGAAGACTTGGATCACAGGGAGAGGAACAGGAATGCACAGGCTGAGGAAGAATACTGTATGTTCTCTAGACTTGTCCATGTATGTGTGTGCAGTGTACTGGACACACAACACACCCTTAACTGACCATCACATACATACACACCCATAACTGACATACGTGAATAAGTTGCAGACACAGGGGGACTGACACAAACATGTAAACACGGGTGGTTCCTGCGCAAACGACAAACAGGTGGCTCTTCTTAAACCTTCTCACCGCCTGTTTTATACATAATCATTCACACTTCATATATATTTTGGCAAGTGAATAATTTTAAAGCAGGTGTAAGACACACTTTTAGGAGTATTGTTTTAACAGGATTTAAGATTTCCTTTTAAAAAATGTATGAGTAAGTCAATCTGCCTGGAAATTTGATCAGTCCACTTGAGCGGTGTCAGCGGGTTCATTTGTGCTCTCCGACCGTGACTCATCTGCATCCTGGTCCTGTTTTCCATCATATTTCACTCGCACCTTGTTAAGCTTTTGTTCTTGTGCTTTACTTGCCAAGACATGCTATTCAATCAAAGATCAGAATTTAAAAATACAAGATTAAATCTTTACTATAACGGCAGTCACAGCTCAAGATCTTGATAAAATGTACCTGGTATTGCCCACTCAATTCTGTCTACACATATTTTCTTCGGAAAAAATGTACTCCGTCAAAAAAAGTTTGTGTAATTATCTGTCATCTGTAATTTTTGTGCATTTTTGTCAATATTTGAAAGCCACAGAAGAGATAAGGAAGGAAATGAGAGAGGAGAGAAAAAGCCCCAAGCTGGATTGAGATTGAAGACCACATCCTAGACCATTATTCAGCAGGGACTCTCTGAAACTCATCTTTTAAAGGCACGCTGCTATATATATTTAAATCCAGACTCACAAAGCTGCCTTCACTGGTTCCCACTCCAGCACAATTATGGTGAGTACAGTGTTGTTTGTGGTGCATGAAGTATTTAGAATATGTCTCTCCAAAAACAATACTCCGGTTACTCTGGATTATTCACAGACATGACCGCCAGTGCTTTTCATCAGGAGTACTTCTTTGCTAGAAAGCAGCCCCAATAAAAATAGGACACATTTTCAACAGAAAGTGGTGCCAACAAAAACTTCTCCCAGTCAGGTCTGCAGATTGTCAGGAGTCAGTGGTGAATATTTTCTGGAAAAAGATATGAATGTTGAGTTTTCAGGTGTCCTTTTTTTAATATTATGAGCCCAAAAAATTGGTGTATCTTTACTCCTTGTTGTATATCCTTGGCAAAAAAAAGGATCACAAGTTATTCACCTGAGGAGATTCTGTTTGCTACTTTTGTGAGCACAAAAAAATGATCTATGCATTGTGATACGACTTTGCGAAATGTAGTAGCTGCTATGCACACCACTGCAGTACGAACATCTGACCTGTTTTTTTAGACATCTTATGATTCTACTACCTCTCTCAAAAAAAGCTGAATGTTGTTATTAAAAAACTGAGTGAGATGTTATCACTTCTCCTTTTTTCTTCCTCTCTTTCAGGGTTGCTAATTGCTCTTTTTTTATGCTGTGCAAAACCACAGCTAATTCATTTACATAGAACTGCCACTCAGTTCTATGAATCTGGAGTGTACTCTCTTAACTTCTGCATGTTTGGCTTGTGTATCAGTATTTCTGAGAATGTTGCAAGGAGGGCAGCTCGATGAACTGACACATTTATTTATTACTGAAGGCTGTGTCTCTAAGCAGCTTCTGACAGGTTTCCTAGAACACACATATATATCTCTATCAGTGTTGGTAACCCCACAGTGTTTCTGTGTGTGCGCGTATGCGTGTGTACTTGAGTGTTTCCCACATCCTCGATGATGCCACAGATAGAGCTGAAAGTGAGTTTGATCAGGTTTAGTGATCTGGCTGCGTTGCTCCTACAGTGTACATTTAGTACATCTAGTGTGTGCAAAGGTGGCGTACAGAGCGGTTTGCCTTTTCGAAAGAGAAAACCGTCCCTCAACAACTCCCCTGTAGCTGTTGTACCTTAAATTGTTACTCGTCTTACAGTAAAAAGTGAAAGCAAAAGAGATCATTTATTTATTTATTTTCTGAAATGCCTTTTTTGCTTTTGGACCTCCTCTTAAAAGTCAAACTTTGAAGAAACCGTAAAAAAGAATTTTGTTCCTGCTTAAAGAAACACACTCAGAAATTTCATATAAAACTTACCACTGCATTACTTTTATAACATGAGGTGATTTTTACAACCAGACGAAGTGTTACAGAAGATGAAGTCAGTGTTCTCGTCTGATTAGACTTTTAATCTTTATAGTTTTATACAGGAGGAGAAGAGTGGCCTTCCTGTTGTGGATGAAATTCAGAGTGAAAATGGAATCAGAGAAGCTGAAGCAGTGTTAATGTTTGTGTGTGTGTGTGTGTGAGTGATACAAACAACAGGTGTGGGACTTGAAAACAAAAGCAGCTGCTACGCATCACATGAAGTTTGAGCTACAACTCTAACTATTGTGTTGACGGATGTGGGTTATTTGGTGTTTAAAGCCCAATAATGGCAGGTCAACTTTTTGAGTAATCAAGCTTAATGTGAAACTATCAGATCTGTGTGATCTGAGTGAAAACTGAATCAAAATAATATCAGGTGTAATGTAATTTTCCTGATTTCTCACATTCGACTGGCTCACTCTAAGTGTTGGTGCTTCTTGATTCAGTTAGAGTTTTGTGTTAAATTTGAGTGGAAACTCTTGTAGTGATCCTTTTAATGGTACTCTAAAATAATGGAGCTCTGTGGCACTGAGTTACTTGGCCACACCAATGGCATTTCTTTGAAGAATTCTTGAATGAATTTTTGGTCTTTTAACAGGGACGGTAATAAAAACATAAAAATAAAGATGCTTGCGGCATTTTCCATTTTAAGTGATCCTGAAACTGGAGAGCAGCACAGACAGATGTGTGGGTCAAGTTCTCTTCTGCTGGACAAGGCCCTGATGGGTGGTGTTGTAAGTCTGTGAAAGTGTGTGTGTGTGTGCGTGTGTGTCAGTGCTGGCCGTGTTGACCCTCACAGGGGTAGTGGAATGTTGAGTGTGTCGGTCAGTTGCCATGGTAATGGCCTTGAGAGAGGGACCCTGGGAAGACAGTTTTGGACTCCAAACATCCTGTGTGTCACCCGTGAGTGGGTGTGTGCACTTGGACTTGAAGATGTGCTTGTGACTGTGGGTGAGAGGTCCTGTGGTTTTGTCTGTCACTGTTTGTTTGTGATCTGCTGTTATTCAATATTATTTATGACAGCAATGTTATTTATCTGCCTTAATTATGTTCAAAAACTTAAACTTGTTAATTTATTGATGATTTAAAGATAGCCTTTAATGTTTCAGTTAAATATTTTTATCCGGCTTTTGGGTGATGCTTATTTTTCTAATTAATTATGCATATTAACTTTGTTTAGGTTTTCATTTGAAAAATTAACCTTCACAAAATCAATAACACTTTCAAATCAAACGATCCTTCATCAGTTGATATTTAAAGCTGATAACTGCAGCAGTCAGCGGTCAAGCACAGTGAAAAATATTATTATTGCCCTTTAATTATTCGTAGTGAATTTTGTCAATTTTTTTAAACCAGTCTGAAGATGCAACAAAAATACGTTGGTATCTTTATTAAATACTGTGAATGAATTGGTGACTAAAGATCATTCAGAGAGAAAGCCACCTGTATAAAAGAAGGTAATGAGGAAATCATGCAAGGACAGGAAATAACAGAGGGCTGATCAAGAGGAGACGTTTTTATGGTACAGCATAAACATCGTCTCAAAGAGCAGGTTTACACGTCAATATGGTGGCCACATTGTAAACTGCTATAAATTAGCCTCATATGGTTGCAGTCTTACCCGAGTGTGTTTGTGTGTTGAGTTAAAACACATCGTAGTGAAAGTTGACTCAACCTGAAAAGAGCCAGGAGTGATAACTGTGAAGTTGTTGTAGGGTCACAGTACTGCACTGAGTTTTACATGAATGGATAAACTCTTTAAAATGTAGTTGTAATAGAAAGAACAAAAAGGGGTCCAGTTCAGTTAAATAAGGTTATTTAACTGTATCTGTTTGTCAGTGCTCTGTAAACTGCCTAAATATCACAACTAGGAGAATTAAAAATCCCTGAACTACGTCTGAAAATTGTCTTGTTAAACGATCATGACAAAAAATTTTTCAATTTACTGTAAAAAGTTTTCAAACCCTCTCGTTTGAGATGGCGGACTCAGAAAAAATCAAACAAATTTATCAAACTCTGCTTGTCTATTTTCTGCCTCCAGTTTATAAACAATATAATCAAACTGTTGAGCCAAATAATTCACCAAGTTCAACAAATTTATGTGTGTCATATTAAGTGTTTCAAAACAAGAGAAACAGCGTTTTTAAAAAAGAAAAAGAAAAATCAATTTGAGTCGAATGTCGCACTCCGCTTTCAAACCACATGGTTTCGTTGCTTAGACGAGCTGATAAGACAGATAAACGACGCTGTCGAACATTATAGGAAATCTGATGGTTTCCAACCTCAAACCCATTTCAAGGAAAATTCGTAAGATCTCTCGACTTTTTTTTCTTTATGTCACATGTTGCATGTAAAAACGGGTCACCACAAAGCAGAGTTTTTTTTTCCTTTTTTCTTTATTTAACATAACCTGGCCAACAGCTGTGAAAACCAAAAAAACAAGCCGTAAAACACAGTCTGTACTTCGTGTCTCTTCGTTATGTGCTTCATGGTCAGAAATAAGCTTGATGTTCTGCTCTGCTTCAGCTTTGATAGTCTGTTTTATGTTGTCTTTTTTTACTGATAAAACTCCACTCTCACTTTGTCATGAGTGGAAAATGTATTTTAAAGTGGGATTCTTCTCACACTCACAGCTTCAAACATTTAGAGGATATTCTTTGAGAAGTATTTTAACAATTATGGTTGTACTAACTTCACTAACTTCTTCACTAACTTGTCACTTTCATTTTGTGCCTTTTTTCTTTATTTTTGGTCATTTCTGTGTATTTTTGTATCTTTCTGGTTGTCTCAAGGTTTAATTCAGTCTTTTTGCAACTTCTTATCAACCTCTGGCATCTGCTGTTCGTGTGCCACGTCTGCGAGTGGTCTTGTTGTGTTGCATCCCTCTGCGGTGTTTTGTCGTTCTTACGGCTCCTTTTTATATCTTTGAGGTCTACTTGCATCCATTTGGTCTCTTTGCGTATCTTTGTGGTTGTTTTGGTCTCTAACGTTTTGAAGGACTTACTTGAAAGATGAAGACACGTGTGTTGCTCTTACGTGCTTGAACCATGTTTTGCACAATATTTGGTGGTTTTGTTGAAGCTCTTGAGTAAGTTGCTTGCAGTTGAGTAAACGGCAGAGGCCTCGGCTGTATGCATTTTTTGCGTCTTTATGGGTTTTTGTGTGTCTGTGCCTGTTTAGTGTGTCTCATCGGGGAGTATTTCTGACTTAAGTTGCAGTAATAGGAAATGTGCTGGGATCTTGAACTTGCTGCCCTAATGGAGCTGATTCACAGAAATCGAGCCTCTTGTGTTGTTGCTCAATCAGTCAAACATCTGCTGCCTCCTCTTTTTTTCTGCGTTTTTCTCCACACTCACATATGGTTCCTCAAAGATTGTCTTAGTCAGAAACTCATTCACATTCTCACAATGAAGTACTCTCAATGAGTCACTGATATACTCACCGACACACAGATTTTATTAGTCTCTACACATCCTGTGTAGTTATGAGGATGATTATAGAGCTTGATCTGATCCCCATCCATCCATCCAGTTTTACCTACTTATCTGGGATCAGGTTGTGGTCTCAGCAGTCCAATGTTTTCTCATGCTGGAGGATCTCGAGGCATCCTATGACAAATAGAATGTATAATCCCACCATAAAGCTCTGGGTCTACCCCAAGGCCTCCTCACAGTTGGATGTGCCCAGAGAGGGGCATCTGGTAGCCATCCTCTTTATGCAAAAGAGCAACAGCTCTACTATGAGGTACCTCTGGGTTTTCAAACCCCCCTGCCACCCTTCAGAGGAAACCTGTTTCAGCCATCTGTATCTGTGACCTCGTTCTTTCAGTTTCTACCCAGAGCTTGAAGGGTGAAGGTTGGAATGAAGACCAAGAGCTTTGACTTCTGTCCGCGCTCCCTCCTCACTGTGATGGTCTGCATCACTGCTGACACAGCACCAATCCACCTGTCAATCTTCAAATCCGTTTCACCTTCAGTAATGAGCGAAAACACGATACTTTCCCTCACTGTGGGCAAAGACTCGCTTCCCACCCGGAGAGAGTAATCCACCGTTTTCTGGCGGAGAACCATGACCTTGGACTAAGAGGTGCTGAGTCTCATTCCAGCTGCCTCACACTTAGCTGCAAACTGCTCCAGTTCCCTGATGAGGGTCCCAGTCCAAAGGGGCCAAACGAACCACATCATCTACAAAAAGCAGAGATGGAACTCTGAGGCCCTGCAAACTGGAGACTCTGCTCAGATAGAAACAGTGACAAGAGGCAACTCTGGCAGAGGCCAACAAGCACTGAGAGTTGTATTTGTGCAGGGTATGCAGACACGGTTCTCACTTTGGTCCTACACCAACCAAGACCGGACCTCTCAATAGACCTAATTGTAAGCCTTCTCCGAGTCCAGAAGAAACTCACTCCACGGGCACTGTCCCAGACCTCCATTTGACATTGGAGAAGCTTGTCAGCCAAGACAACCCAACGATGTCCAGAGTCTTCAGCATCTCAGGGGGAATCTCATCCACACCTGGTATCTGAGGAGCTTTGTGACTCCCTCAGTAGCCATGTTTACCTGGGCAAAAATCCTTGATTTGATTAAAATTTTGAGGGATTGGATTGTCTGAATCCACTGTTGCGTATACATGCACCAACTTTTATTCAGATCAGAGGTATTTGGACAAGCGCAGAGTTGTCTGATTTCGCTAAAACAACCACAGAAGAAGAGTTGTATTTACATCTGTGCTGTCAACAAACCAACAAACGCGGTAGTGGCTCACTTCATCCAATTCAGGAGTTTCTCCCTGTTTAATGTTGTCACTAGGTGGCGCCCTTGCGTACTTATTCTACTGTTCTGTCAAAGGTTGCGCTTTGCGTACAGATGTGACATCATTACGCTGTATGTACGCCTTTTTATGTTACTGGAGGAGCAGACACGACACCTACGGTTGTGTTTTATGCCAGAGTGTTGATAATGAAACCTCCTGTACAGGCCTCAACAAATAAGCTAAAGGCTAAAGAGTGAAGATCAAGTTAGGTAAAAGAGTCACGATTGGAATAAGTGTTTACATGAACGCGTTTCAGAATAACAATCGGCATAAACCACCCCTCCCGATTGGAATACAATTTCTTTCCGATTGAGCTGAGTTGGATCAGAATCTTCCGAGCGACATGTTTACATGTCGCATTTTTATTCGGATCGGGCATTTATTGCGATTATTTGTGCCCGTGTAAATGCAGCTAGTGACCTCTGCCAGTAATATAGGACCACCCTCCTCGAGTACTCAGATTCTGCCCCCCCCTTGACCAGTTGGATTTAAGAGTTCCTCAAGGTGTCTGGGTCACTATCACCCACAGTGATACTCTAAAAACTGTAAAGAGTGAAGTTTTCCTAGTTATCATGAAGTTAGGTTTAATAAGCAGATATTTCTGTCTGTTTTGGCACAAAAGTTGATATTCAAAGATCATTTTGATCTTTGAATCTGTTCACCAAATCTAATTAATAATAATAAAATACCCTGACAAGTAAGAACATGTGTCCCAAACTAAAAAATCCTGAACAAATATTGTTTTTCATCTGTTTTCAAGGAAGAGAGTAAACTAGAACTGAATTTTTAAAGCTTCAATGAATTGATTTTGAAACCTGAGTAGTTTCATAGAACATTATGAGTCAAGTGCCACTAAAGTGTTTTTTAATTTCACTTCTCCTACGAGAACATTTTTTTCCTCCGTGCCAGCTATCTTCACACCAGGTGTCTATCAGCACATCTTTCTCACTTTTCTCTACTCATTTCAGAACAGTTTCACGAAAACCTCAAAGTTTTTTTTACCTGAAACTGAAGAAACATGATTTTCAGAACATCCTGGACAAAAATTAAGCTGTGGTAGCAATTTAGTGGCAAGTTCATGTCTAGTCAGTTCCTCTTTCAGTGACTCAGACCTCTCTGAATGAGTCACATCCTTCTCATCTCTGCTTCACAGTGTCGTTTATTGATAATATTAGATGATGCGGTGAAAAAAAACAAGAATGTTTGGTGTCAGAGGGTTTATTGATGTCACAGGCAGGCTGAGGAAATTGGTCAAATGTGTGCGTGTGTGTCGGTTTTAATCTATTAATTTGATGTGTGTGCGTTCCTGTCTGTTTTTCTCTGTGTGTATGTGTGTGTGTGTTTGTGTGTAGGATTAACATAGACATTCCTCAGGCTCACACTCTGTCACATAGACTCAAACTCATCCGGTGCACAAAGCCCTGGAATCCGTCCTCCCTGCTCTTCATCCCTCCCTCTCTTCCACCCAGCGCCTTGTCTTTCACCGTCTCGTCTGTTTCCTCTCGCAGCTTCTGCTCTCTCACGCCACTCACCCCATGGACCTTTCCCCCCCCCCCTTTGTGTTGCTCTCTTGCATAGAGAGTTTGTCCCATACGATTTTTGCTGTGGTCCAACTGTAACTCGTTAAATTTAATTCTGAGAGCCCCCCATAAACTCAGATTGGGGTAGAGAGCTGTACGATACAACAACGCTTTTACAGCACAATTCATATCTGCATAATGATACATGATGTGGACATGCTTGAAGCGTTTTCTGTAAAATCTGTGAATTTAAGATAATATTATTAAAACATGCAAAAGCAGAACTCTTTATTATCAAACAAAATAAAGGTATTTACTGACATTTTTATCATTTTTGTCTCTTAATTCAGGAAATTAGTGCATTTTTTTCATTTTTTTAACCTTCAGAGTACAACTTTTCAGTGTCTTTCAGGCTCTTTTTAAAGGACAAGGTTTTTATCTTCCTTTTAAAATTATTCCTGTTTTTAAAGTCCTTTTCATGATCTGTGTCATGTTTTCTCTCCTTCATGTTACTTTGTGTTGCCTTCATGCCGCCACAACATTTGCATATAAACTGTGTTTGAGATGAAATTAGTTAGCATCACAGTCCATCATCCAAGCGACCAGTTATTGCTGTTGAGGAACTGACTTGTTACACAACCAAACAAAACATGTTCAGTATCCTCAAACATGTGGAGTAGGGCTGGGCGATATGGCCTTAAATCAATATTACGATATATTGAGCAGTTCACCATGATAACGATACATGGACAATAACTACTCCACGAGCTGCTAACCCCCTCCTACATTAACTTCGTCTACTTCAGCCGCCACTCCAGCCACTCCAACTTTTGAACCGTCCTTTATCTCCTCACCTGTATTTCCCTCTTTTTTATGGACTGGATGGGATGGAGACAGTGTCTTATAGGGACATGAGACCATAGCCTACCTACACACATCCAAAACCAACTTTTATTTATATTTTGACACTGAATATATTGACATGGGCAAAATGACGTCGGTTATTGCTGTAAATTTCTGAACCGGTTAATTTTCTGTTTATTACCCAGCCCTAAAGTGGAGTATAATGTCATATTGCGCTCTTTTCGTAGAGGTGTGTGTAGCTGAATTGATACACACCTACACACACACACACACACACAGGCTCAGTATGAGCGTCTGACATTATGTCCACTAGCTTCCATCTCCTGACAATCCAGCCTTCGTTTAAGAGTTGACCTCTGACCCAGCATGCCACAGGATTCTACACAAGGCTAACCAATCATCCGTTCGTGTGTGTGTGTGTGTGTGTGTGTGTATGTGTGTGTGTGTGTGTGTGGGCAGTGGTGTCTGGGGGCTCCAAGGGTCTGTTCTGTACCACTTTATTAGTGACGTATGACTAGTAGTGCACACACAGCCTCTCCTCTGCTCCCGTTAGTGTAAGGTTTATCCACATGAAACAGAGTGCTCATACTCATTCACCTGCAGGACATATCTCGGTGCGCCTCTCTCGTTAGAGCAGAAGAGTCAGGTCAGTGATGATTTTGTTGCTGAAAAGGTCATAAACCGAGCGTAGAAGTCAATGCTGTGCACTTATAAAATCACAAGGAAGGCCCTCGTATCTCACTTTACATTCCTCGATTACACAGTCCGTCCTGGCGGGGTCGACCTTGGCAAACAGCCACGAGACCTCGACATAACTGCACGAACACAAATGGGTCTCGCTGACACTGACCTGATTTCCTGTTTTGCACCATATGGGTCTCATGGAGATGGAGAGAGAACACCAAACGTTATGGTGAATTCTAAAGAAGCAGAATAAATAACGCTCATGTACATATCTCTTTTATGATATGAATTATTGGAAGTAGGGCTGGGCGATAAACCGAAAATTAACCGATACTGAAATTTACAACAATAACCAACGTCATTTTGCCCATATCAGTGTATTCGGTGTCAAAAAAAGGTGTAGGTAGGTTATGATCTCATGTCCTTTTAAGACGCTTTCCTACGTCAGAGACAGAGAGGGAAATACAGGTGAGGAGATGGAGGACGGTTCAAAAGTTGTAGCAGCTGGAGCGGCGGCTGAAGTAGAGGAAGTTAATGTGGGAGTGGGTGAGCAGCTTGTGGAGTAGTTATCGTCCATCTATCGTTATCAAGGTGAACTCCTCAATATATCGTGATATTGTTAAAAAGAAGAGAGCTCCACGTTTCGCCTCTCAGGCTTCAAACGCGTTGTTCTTTTATCTAATAAATGAGTTTACTTTCTGACTTTGTTCTGTGCGGTGGAACTCTCTTCTTTTTAGGAACCTTTTTCCTGACACCACCAGCACCAACGTTAAGATCTGTGCTGTGCAGGGCAATCCTCCTTTTTATATCGTGATGTTGATTTGAGGCAATAGCACCCAGCCCTAATTGGAAGCTAATTTTATGTTACCTTCGTGGATATCAAGCTGGAAATGTAGATAATGCTTTGATAATGCTGTAACAGTGAGCTGTGTGAGGCCAATATAAGGCTAATTACCACAAATACTTGCAGGTTTATCACTTGTATCATATTTTCCCAAATACCATGGTGGTATCTAGTGAAGTTTTAGAAACAAGCCTGGTGTGTCTAAACTTTGGCAACAGTCAAGTCGGTCAGCCGGCTCACACAAACCACAAAAATCAATCTTCAATTTTTTGTCTTGGTGTCTTTTTCTGTCTTTGGATTTTCCTGCATGTGTTGGCCATCCTCAAAAAAAAAAATGGTGATCTGTCTCACAGTCACTGTTTTTCTTTGTCTTTCAGGCCTCCAGTCCCAAGCTGACGACTCACTGCTCAGATATCCAAGAAGTCCGTCGTTGCAACCGTCTGGAGATGCCCGACAACTTAAACACATTTGTTTTAAAGGTAGGTGCAGGTTTGAACGACATGAATAACAGCGGTATCTGACAGACTCGGCCCGCTGGATTGTTTACGGACACATTTCTTAGATCTGCAACCTCGGTTCAACATGAAGAGGAAACGGGACAATCATCGTGTCATATCATTTCATAACAAAACTCCTCAAACAGCCAGATTTAATACTTCATTGTTTACACGCGAAGGAAGCTAAACTTTGTCCCCTGAGCTTCAAAAAAAATCAAACCACCTGTGGCGCTCAGAGATTGCTGTGGTAACACGATCATTTCCTCTTCGTAAGCAGAAATTAAAATTTTTTGGAGTTTTTTTTTTTCTTTTTTTTTTGAAAAAGAGGAAGCATCTCTATTTCTGTACTTTACTCACTACAGCTCTTGTTTGAACCTTAATATGTCAGTCAACAAACAAATAAAAAACCCTGTGCTAAACTTGTTTCGATCGGTAGAATAAGCAACAAAATTCAGTCCCTCCAAAAGCGGTGTTAGATTTGGACTAACTGGGTCTGAAATCAAGTTTTACGTTACATTACCTCCTCCTTTTCTTTTTTTTTTCAGGTTAATCGAGGAAGTCTAATATTTGAGACAGACAACGACCAGCAGGTCAGCTCCTGGACCACAGAGCTGAAAGAGTGTATCAGCAACAGGTGAGCATCAAGTTACCGACTTCAACAGCATCATTGAATTTCAACTGTATAAGAAAGTTGCAGCCGGTTGTCAGCATTTTCCCAGCATCCTCACTCAAAATCTGAGTCCAACTGTGGAGCTTTGTGGAGAACTGTATAATTTAGCTCCACCTGACCCAGCCACAGAGATTATGTAACAGGAGCCTTCATCATCCTCATCTGTCTATTCATGCTGCATTTTTCCTGGAGGTTCAGAGTGGAAATATTTTCCCTTGGACTTTGGCTGGGTTTTTTTTTTTTTTTGTGTTTGTGGGCGTGCTGGGTGTTTACTCGCGCTGAGGTATGTGTTTGCACATGCAAACATACCTGCTCCAGGGCTCTGCAGAGTGGAGACGGTTCGACTCTTGTTATATTTGGAATATTCCTGGAAATAATCATTCATCAAGCTCGTTTGTCGACTTAATATTTACATAAAACCTTTTAGAAGCAACACATCTGGTGAGGGGAGGATTCAGTTCAGGCTTGAAGGTTGTGCAATAAACGTACAGTAGTTTAAAATGGAGCTGAACTTTCCCGTCTGTATCTTTAAAAAATTTAAAATGATTAAAGTTGGAGAGCTGTTGGAGTTCTGGTTAGTGTAGCTGTAAGATTTCTACGGAGCGCTTTGGCTGTACGTCATTATTCCTCTCCCTCTCTCTTCATTTCCTGTCTGAGCTCGACTGTTCAGTTTAATTCAAGCCCAAAGAAGAAAGTTTTTGAAAACATTACTGATATTTTTTAAAAAGTACTGCAGTTCATACAGAGATAAAGACCAGGCTGCATTTATCAAGCCCATTTTTGGATGGATCGGACAAAAAAAGAGGGACTGATCTCTTTCAGAGGCATCACTCTTGACGACATGATGAGGGAGGCTTCAGATTATTCCACATATTTGATAAACGTTGTCTTTTACAGCAAACGAAAAAGCTTTTTTAGGCTTTGGCTCAGTGTTGGAGAGCTGGATATCTGCGAGTGTGTGTTTGTGCACGTGTGCTAGTGTGTGTCACACTGAGAGAGGAAGTGTGGGGGAGGTCTCTGAGACTCGGGGGAATCTCAGGACCTTTCTCATTTCTGCAGATGTCTGGAATGCTCTCGCAGACACACACACACACACACACACACACACACGCAGTCTGCAATCCAGTGAACACTCATCCAGGGAGGAAGCGAGGTCTGAGTTTCCTCTTAAATCCATTGTTTATCCAGATAAACCACAGACTTGTCTTCCATATCAACAAGATTCTCTTCTAATGAAATTAGGTTTTAACCTCGGCAGCGTGTCCCCGTGAGGATTCCTCTTCTGCTAGAAGACATACGAAGCAAAATAAGCCGAGCCAGCCGAGCACTCTGCTTTAAAACGAGGGTGGTGTGAAAACAGTATAAAAAACTGATTTGGACAGGAGTGGGTTCATGAGTCATACATCTGAGGAGCTAATCTTGTCAGTGTGGAGCAGAGGAGAAGTCAGGTGCAGCTCTGTGTTGTTTTTGGGAGTTTTCCTTTCTCTTAAAATGTTTCAAATCAGGCGTTTGGTACAGAGGTTTATCTCACACTAGCGTCACAGTATCGGCTAGATGATGTAGCTTAGTCTGGACTCATGTCAACATTTACTTGTTTAATGTTGCTGAAAAGAACACATTCAAATTAAAGGCAAAGACGTGAAGCTCATTCAGAAACATCGTCAGGCATGAATGTGATTTTGGTGTTCACAGACGAGTTTTAGTCGTTTGATCCCCATCAGGAGAGAAGCTTTGATTTCACTCACAGGCAACAATACCCCGTCTTCAAATCTGTATGTTCGAGTGAGGGGCTGCATTTAAGTGATATCAGACTTTTATAAAGATCGATTGTTCAAAACCAGAAACTGGTGACAGCGTAGGGCTGGGCGATATGGCCTCAAATCAATATCACTATATATTGAGCCGTTCACCTTGACAACAATAAATGGACGATAACTACTCCACAAGCTGCTCACCCCATCCCACTTTAACTTCAGCCGCTACAGCTTTTGAACCGTCCTCCATCTCCTCACCTGTCTTTCCCTCTTTGTTACTGGCTGGATGGGGTGGAGTCACGTCTCCGATGTAGGATATCGTCAAAGGGACATGAGACCATAGCCTACCTACACAAACCAAAACCAACTTTTATTTATTCATTTATTCAACACCAAATATACCAATATGGGCAAAATGACATCAGTTATTGTTGTAAATTTCAGTATCAGTAAATTTTAGGTTTATCGCCCAGCCCTATGACAGTGTGACATGCACCAGGTCATATGACTGACATCACACTCCCTGTGATGTCACTCCTGCGTTTCTAAGCACCACAGTTGTAAGCGTCTAACAATAAACATATCTTTAAAACTTAGTTGCTTCACTTTGCCACAGTGTCTTATCAGTCCTTGTGTCCACAGATACCCACATAGCTGCAAAAAGAAAGGTGGCCCAGTTCTTAATTTGATAGCACGTATCTGTGATGGACACACTGTCACTGTTATTGTCACAGCTTACACGTTTTCCTTTCAGCCACAAATGATCCTTTCCCACTTCACAAGTTTTAGGTTCAGTTTGTTTCAAACATAAAGAGCTTTCTGTCGTGCTGAAGTGATTGATGATTGGCTAAAACATCCAGACTTTGCAGAATCACCTCCCTGTACTAACACTGAACATCTCAATAAAAGATAGTAGAAGAAGAAGAAAGCACGCGCACAAAGACATACAAGCCGCACAGAGAAGAGAGACCTGTCTTCCTGTTATTCAGAGAGCTGCAAACTCAAGTCAGCATTTTAGCAGGATCTACTCTGGCTCCCCTCTCTCAACCTTCCCCTTCTGATTCGCGCACGAACACACTCTGGGTGACTGTTCGTCTTGTTTTATTGTGTGTACATGTGTGCGATTGTGTGCGCAGTGAAAGACAAGAACAGTAAGTCTTAGTTCAGATGTGAACTGGTGAACTGGACTCGCTTCCTGTCTGTGCTCAGTGTCTTTGTGTTCCTTCAGCCTGCTTTTTCCCCCACGTTCACTAGCCTCAGCCAACCACACAAACACACACACTCAGACACACAAATGCAAATACACACAGACCTCTCTCTTTTCTTCTTCCCCATCAATGCTGCTCTCCCTTCTGCTTTTGTACAAACAATGTGTTATGACACATTTAAACATCATTCAGTCATTTTTGTAGACACAGTTTCTGAATGTGAAGGTTGCGGCCTTCACTCTGTGGTTCACAGCGTTTTTACCGTTATCACAAAAGAAAAGCAAACATAGAAGAGCAAGCTGACCCCAAAGCTCAGGAAAAACTGAGTTTTTTTTTTCTTTTTGTTGACCCACCGTGAAATACAAACAGGAGAAAAAGTCATTGTGCGTTTGACCCATTTTCCTCTTCAGGTGGTCTGTGATGAGAATAACATATATGTGCTGTAAATCTGTTCTCATCTTTCAGGTCGGGCAGTGTGGATCTGGAGCCTCTCCCCTCCCCAGCTGACAGCCCCGCTCCAGCCAATCACAGAGGGAGTTTAGACTTGGGAAATCAAAGTGAGTGTTGGAGCGAGGGGATGTTGCTTCTGAGTGAAATAAGAAGTCATTGAAACACAGATGTGCGCGCTCATTTTTCCTCCTTTAAGTGTGAGGTTGACAGTCCTGGGGTTTTATCCACACACCAGCCAGTTTGTTTTAAAATCCCTCTATCAAGGCAACCTTGACTTAATCTGGTCTGAGGTTTAGTCTCCCTGAACAGTCTCACTGTTTATTACTGAAGCTTTTTAATCTTCATGATTTAAACAGATGAATCTCCTCTGTTCGTGCCCTCAGGTCAGGTCACCTTCAATCTACCAGAGCAGGTGGCCCAGAAGACAGATCACTTCCTTTTCTCCTACCCCTGGTTCCACGGACCGATCTCCAGAGTAAAAGCAGCCTACCTGGTCCAGAGCTCCGGACCCGAGGGACACGGAGTGTTTCTGGTCCGACAGAGTGAGACGCGCAGAGGAGACTATGTCCTCACATTTAACTACCAGGGAAAAGCAAAGGTATGAGTCCTCTAGAGGAGGAAAAAGTTGTGTCTTTAATTCCTTCACCTTATTTCGAGGATTATCTTTTAGAATAAAAGTCTTGATATCATTCGGGTTGCACAAATTTTCTGCTTTAAGAACATTAAACTGGGGAAAGTACAAAGAAACTGCAGGCCACACTCTGGGACTCTCTAAGCGTTTATCACCTTGTGTCCATTAGATGTGGTTTTTCATGAAAACAAAGGTTCTTACCTTGCCTACAGACCTGTTTTTATCTTTTCATTGGGTGTAATACAAATGAATGCTCAAATCCAAACAGAACAACTGTGCTCAAAACTTCAATAAGAGAAACTCCTGGTGACAAAAACTGTCACTAACCAGCACAGAGAGGAAAATCAGAGGGGGGATTCAACCCTCACTAACACTCAAACACTGAAAATTTCACCTCACGTTTTTTTTTTCTTTGTTTTTTTTTCTTTGTCCCCCCCCCCTCAACCGTGTCTCTGCAGCACCTGCGCCTCTCTCTAACAGAATGGGGTCAGTGCAGGGTTCAGCACCTGCGCTTCCCCTCTGTCATGGACATGCTTAGTCACTTCCGCCTTTTCCCCATCCCGCTGGAGTGTGGGGCCGCCGGGGCTGTCACGCTGTCCAGCTACGTCGTCGCGGGCTCCAGCCCCCCATCACAGGGTGAGACCCCACGACTCTGTCATGTTTGTGTGTCAAACGGAGATGTGATTGATGTTAGCGTTAGTGGCAATAACTGAGAGAGTATCAGTCAGTTTTAGCCCCTGAGATCAGGACATGCAGGAGGAAGCAGAGAAAGTCACACAGATTGTTGGTTCTTATGATTGTTTATTTTTGCTCTTGAGTCGGCTGATAGAGAAACAAAAGAGGAAGTTTGAGATGTTTTCATACTCGCCAAAACTCTCATTTCCTCTTTTTTGTTTCCTCAGGTCAGCTGTCAGGCGCTCTCCTCGTCCCGTTCTCCCTCCACAGGTGGAGCTCTGAGCCCAGCCTGGCCCACTGCAGCCTGGCTCGCTGCTCCGCCCCCGGCACCGCCACCTCCACCTCCAGCCCCAGCTCCGTCTCCCACCAGGGCACCCACCATTCCGCTCGCACCAACCCCGCACCCAACCCTCCCCCCTCGGCCCTTGCTCCTCTGCGCCGCAGCGAATCCGTGGGCAGGAGACCCCTGCTCCGCCACAACCCCCACCTCCCTCAGCGGGACTCAGACTACGAACTGGAGCCAGAGCGAGGGCGCAAGCGAGCGATAGACAACCAGTACATGTTGCTCTGACCGACAGTCGCACACACCTGCATCGGCTGTGACTGACAGCTGACACACATCATCGCGCACACACCAGTACACACACTCAGTTACCCGCAACCAGCTACATGTGGGCATGTGAGACTCTCAGAGAGCACAGACTTGTGAACTTGAACCAACAAGTCTTTGTCTGTTCGATGCGCAGATGTGTGTATTCCAAGACACACACACTCACTTTGAGAGCGTGTGTTACCAGTGTCAGACCCTCACAACCTCCCCTCCGAGCGTCCACAGTGAATGTATTTTGGGAGTTTCCTAACAGTGTTGAGCGTGAGGATGATGATGATGATGATGATGACGATGATGATGATTCTAGTTTTATGATGGGAGAGAGAAAGAGTGGAGGAGCTGCACACGCGTAGCTGTACTCAAGAGAAGACAAACATTTTCAAATGTTCCTTTTTTCCTCTGAACTCACAGAGGGCGCGCTTGATTTAACATGTTCGGCACTTAACCTCTGCTAATGGTGAGTAACAGCCTGTGAAATCTGTTAAATCAAGTATTCCATTCAAATATTTATAAGACATTTACTCTTCACACACAAGCCTCTCTCTGTGTGGAGCGCACTCCCACCTTTTTTTGTACAAACACCGATGAGAAAGCACTCAATTTCAGAGTGCGTCACACTCAAGTAGATACTCCTCCTATTGTGATGATTATATATTGAAGTGCGCAGCGCTTTCGGTGCACTTTGGAAAACAATGTGTATTTTTTTCTATACACAGATTCTTTTGTAGAAAACGAAGAAAATTCAAGTAAAAAGCTGGTTCGAGTCAGTCGGAGAAGCTGATCTTCTTTCGTCGAACCGTCACTGAAGCAAATTCGGGGGGAAAAAAAAATCCTTTAACAGCTATTTTGACCAAATGAGCGGGAGTCTGTTTCTCCTCGTGTCTGCATGTGTTAGTGTTCTCTGTTTGTGTCTTTAATGATGTCTGAGAGTGATCCATCAGTATCACGGTGCTGGAGTCAGTCCAGTACCACACTCAATTGAAAAGTGTGTGAATTTCTGCCCCGACACTCACAGGGTTTTTCTTCAAGTGTCGTTGTCGTGTCCCGTTTCATTTCAAGCCCTAAAGGCATCATGTGGTCATAATGAACTCTTTAGAAAAAAGGTTGACATGGACATTATCTCTGCTGCTGCAGAGTGGAAAATACAATATAACTTCATTCAGTTATCCTTCAATCCTGAACATTTCTCTCAAAAAGTCACTTTTAGGGACGCATATTTAATGATTTGAGCCTCTGAGTTCAATGTAGAGTTTTGGTTTACGACAAAAAACATCGAATCAGTGCATTTAAAATGCTGAAAACATGAATGACACTGAATTTGTAACTATAGTTACACCCTATGTGATCATTTCTAGCATTAGAGTATTTTAAAATCTGAATCCTTGTGAATTTATAGAGATGTCCTTACAGAGGATATAAAGATGGAGGTAAAAAAAAAAACACCCCGTAAACAGACTTGAGATGAAAAAGGAATCAGACCTTAAAGCTAAAGTTGTGTGGGCTTGAATCAAAAGATGTAAATAATTGAGGTTATAAACCTTCCTAACTCGTGTTTGTTTGTGGTTTGATAACTCATTTGATCTTTAAAGGGCTTTGAGAGGTTTGAAAAAGAAGATGAAACTTCAGACACACACGTGCCTTTCTAGACATTTCTGCTCTTACTTCATCATCACGAATCTCGACTCAGGAAGTTAACCCGGCCCCTCTAATTTTTCTAACTTTCATCAGTTTTCCTCATTCTTTGTCTCACTTTGCCTCAGCACCCGTTGAAAAACAAGAAAAGATCACAAATACAAAACATTTTGATACCTTTAAGTTCTTTTTTAATCTGGTGCAACGAGTCTTCGTGTTACCATGAGCTTATGAAAAAACAAAGCAGCTCAGACCTTCAGTTTCAAGCTGCAGAATTATACCAGACATACAACGAAAGAAAAAAAAAACTCAGGTATGACTTTTTAAGAGCTCTGAGGGAACACATCCAAAACTGAGTTGAACCAAACCAAGCTCTTGTGATTCTGTGTGTTTGTGGTGTTTCATGTCACCCTCCAGCGGCTCTCTTTTCCTCACAAACCCTCAGAGAGCTGAGGACTGACTCTAAGTGTTCAAAATCATGACACCAGCTTTATAACTAAGATTCTCCTTTTTAGAAAGTGATCCCCCTTTTTTCACATGAAGCAGTAATTATTTTTGTTTTTTGTACCTGACACGTTCCACGTCCTGTAATAATTTTGCTCGGATAATTGAAGCTTCACTTCCATTGGCAGCGTGCTTGGTATTTGTCCTCTGTCCTCGCTTGAACACTAACTTTAGCAGTTGATTAAGATTTACCTTCAGAGCTTCACGTCAGGGTTTTGACCTGATTCTGTCTGCCTCCCTGGCCTCTTTTATCACCGTAGTTTCCTGTTTTTATTAAGAGAAATGCCTCTTCATTTCCTCATAAACATGACCAGAGTAAGCCTGCTGTGATTATTTCTCGTTATGCAATGTCAGCTTTGTGTACCAAAGGGACATTTTTTTACAATGGTTGTGTAGTTCTCTTTTAAGTATGACCATGATTAAGACTGACATCATTAAGCGTTTGTAAGGGGAACAAAAACAAAGATGTTTTTGGCAAAAGTACGGTTGATCTTCCTGCATTAATAGGCAGTCTTATCAGGTCCTTGGACACACCTGAGTCTCATTTCTGCTCAAAGAAAGCAACGGTAAAAAAAAAAGAAAAGAAAAGCTATTTTAACTATCAGTCCCCCTCTCTTTGCTGATTTATTCTCTCACTCGACTCGGGAGAAGGACTGTGCCTTTGCCAGAAAGCTGCTGTTGCTTTTCCCCTTTTGGAAAGGTCAGGGTGTGATGTGGTGTAGTGCAATATCAGACAGATGCCCAGTGCTTCACACCTTTTTGTGTATGTTGGGAACATTCAGAGGCTTCTAGACGGATGAATTATTGAGCGAGAATGCAATGTTTGCACCTCGCTCATAAAATAAAAGAAAAGATATTCGACAAATGCCAAAGCGCCCAGAAGAAAAGGCTCATTTTAAGACCAGGGCTCGCACATTTTCTTGCTTTTTGGTTTATACATTTGTTTTATGGTCCACTCTAGATTTTGTGCAAGTTAATGCTCAATGAATCCCTGTGTACCTCAGGTGTCATCCGCAATATCCACTCCAGCAATACCTTAAATTTCCCCTTTTGTTGTATTTTTAAATGTCCAGTTGCTGAATGTAATGTGTTCTCAATACTGTTCATTCTGTTAGTTCACTTTTAGCACTGTAAACATTCCAGTTTGATCCAACATCCCCTCAACAGCCAATGAAAACAACAACAGCTTTAAAAATCTGTCAGTGTGTTTGCATCCCTTTCAGCAAAAAGCATCTAAATTATATTAAATATATATCAACTGTATATTTGACTTTTTGTAAAATAAACCTAACCAAAAAAAAAAAAAAAGTCACCTGGTCTGGTGTTTGTCATGTCTTACTGGTTTTGTTTCTACAACTCTGAGTGAAATATTATCATTATGAAAAGACGAGAGAAGATTTTAACGCCATATTAGCCTGGAAACAGGCTGGTAACTTATTAAGACTTTACCGTGAAAGAAAGTATGAATGCAGTCTTACAACGGAGTGTTAGGGCCACAAATAGAAGGGGAAAAAAATTAAAGACTTCGAGAATAAAGTCGTTAACTTACAGGACAAAGTCATTACTCACGGGAATAAAGTCAAAGTAATTGCTTGCAAGAATTAAGCAGTAAAAGGGTCATTACTAACGAGAATAAGGTTGTTGTAAAATCATTACTTACAAGAATAAAGCCGTAATAAAATCATTACTTATGAGAATGAAGTCATAAAGTCGTTACTAATGAGAATAAAGTCATTACTAATGAGAATAAAGTCATTACTAATGAGAATAAAGTCATTACTAATGAGAATAAAGTCCTTATATTCTAACCTGTTGTTTAAGATGACAGCTGTTGAAATGAGAGCCATGGAGCATTTTGTGAAAATGTACTTTAATATAGGTTTCTCAAACAAGGAGATACATAATCTTTTGGCACATCAGTACCACATTATCACAGCCCATCGTAATGATTGTATTACGGCTTTATTCTCGTTAGTAATTACTTTATTCTCGTAAATTAACAACTTTAATTCGGAAGTCTTAATTTTTTTTTCGTAATGTGGCCCTAATGCTCTGTTGTACAATATAACTGTTGAGTTTTTCAGTCATTTTCAACCTATAAAATAATTTTCATACATAATGAATTTTCTTTATTTTTCTAATTTTAGTTCCTTTGATGGTAAATATATACATGGGCACTGATATCATAGCTTATGAGTAGCTAGTTTATCAAACTGTTTTGATGCCTGAAATCCTGGACCATGGCTCACTAGATGGCTGGTTCTCAGGTGAGGCACATTGTCTCATTAACAAAAAAAAAAATAATAAAAAAACGACTTTCTAAACTGAGTGTGGTAACACTGAAAAATACCCCGGGATTGTTATCAGTAGGATTTTAAGTGTTCAGCTCTGGAGGTTTTGACAGACAGCTGATATTTAGTCACAAGATCCTTCAAATTTTGACAGAAAGCTGTTTCTCCTGCTTCCACCTCTGCTCTGCCTGCTCCTCATATTTTTTTTCACTGTCATTTAGCCACAGTGAAACCAAAGGCTAATGATTTTAAATTATGACTGATGCAACAGAGCCAAAGGTGGCTGAAACAGAATTAGTGAATAATGAGACAAGTTCCTCTGTGCCCTCAGAGGAGTTGGTGAGGCTTTAGCTCTGGTAATGATGGATGCCTCTCTGTGGGATTCTGCAAATTTAGCAGAGACAGAGAGATGAGGGAATTCACTGATACTGGGCTTAGGCGGACTGGGTTGTCTCAAATATTCTAAATGGTGTTAGGCTTGTTAATCAAAGCTCGGTCAGTTTAAAGACACAGTTTCTACACAAGTATGGAAATAAATTTGACCAATTTCCAGGTCTTAAAAAGTATGAAAAATGAAAAATAAAGTATGAAAAAATATTTGTTTCCAGAATATTAACAGTTTTATAAAATAGAAAAGTAGGTATTTCCAAAAATAATTCTAAAAAGTTGGGTATGGAAAAGTATGGAAATTCCAACTGAGTAGAAACCCTGTAAAGAGTGTGCAGTGTGAGTCTGATAGTGTCGAGATCATGTTCATGTAACAACAGCTGAGAAGTCGACACCACAAAGCAACACAAGAAGCCAGTCAGTTTTTAAAACTTTTTTATTGTTTTTAAGTTTTTTTGCTCATTTTTTAAATTATTTATATTATCTACAAAGTAAAAGTTTTTAACTTAAAAGTTACATAAGGGTCAGGTGAGAAGTGGGATCTGATCACCTCTGCCATTATAATTTCATAAATAACGTTTCTCCTGTCTTCTTGGCTGCCTAACATGTTCGTTTCACAGGAAGCTTCTCGTCATTTCTCGTGTTTTCTCTTTTTTTAGTTTGGTTAGAAACTTTTTAATGTAGTCTGGAAACAAACGCAGCACATAGCAGCAGCAATAAACAGTAAGATTAATACTGTCTAAAGGTCGGAAGATTTTCTTTTTCATAACAAGGTGCAGACAAAATACAAGTTCCAGTTGAAGTTTCTTCTCCTTCTTCACTCTCACTGATTAGTTTCTCTCCTTCTCTTTTTCACATCTTACTTGGCAAGCTGACTCAAATTGCAATTTGGGACCCCTGAAAGTGTGTGTAACTGTGTGTATATGTGTGTGTGTGTATATGTGAGTGAGTGTGTGTGTTATTTTTGCAGATATCAGGGGCTGCATTGGATCAGTCTTATCCAATACAACTCTTTAGTTTTATTAAATCATGTCACTGCATCAACCTGTTAACATTCTCTTATTGCCTAGTCAGGGAGGGAGGAAGGGAGGAAGGGAGGGAGGAAGGAAGGAAGGGGAGAGAAAAGCTGATGTGAAGCATGTCTGGTGAAGATGAGGAAAGAGAGGAGAGGGAGGGGCTCTCATTCTCTTCATCGCCTGGTTATGAAGGCTCTGGCTGAGAAGCGTGACGCAGATCGGGTCCCTCGGTTCGCTGGCGCCCTCTATCTACAGCTGCTGCTGATGATGAGGTTGCACTGCGGAGAGACGAGACAAAATGGGGGAAAATGGGAAAAGTGTGCGTTCAAGAGATCCTCCCGAATAACTCAGTTCACGCTTTACAAAAAAAAGTAGAGACCGTCTTTAGCTTCTGCTGGTCCTTTAGAGATCTGAGAGGAGAACTTTAGGAATCAGACTGACCCATGATTTTTTTTTTCTTTTTACTAAATCAAAGCAGTTGAGAGTTTTCAGCGCCTTCTTTGTCACTTCTTTTCCGCCCTCTTAGTTGAATGTAGTTCAGTTTCAGGGCACAGGCCTGCTCATCAATGTTGCCTCTTCCTCACTAACCAATCAAAATCAAGAGGGGTGGGACTTGGGATACTAATTTGGCCAACATCTACGATGGAGGTCTGTGCAGATGTACTTGTTTAGGAGGACCTGGATCTGCTGCTAATGCCACTACATGTCTTCACTGTTTATTTCTTGTTCCTCATGAGGAATGTCAATGAATGATATCAGCAGATATAGAGTATTTAAAAACAGGTAGAGCTGAAGTGCTGTTGAAAAACTTTCATATCTCAACAGCATCATGAAAAACCTCTTTCCTTCAGTTAATTTGCTCACAGGCAACTTTTCAAAAACACTTTAAGCACAAACCAAAGTCTGCTCACATTTAGAAACACAATCTAAATCCACACTCTGTATGTATCACAACACCGAGAGCCTGTAGCAGACGAGTCTGTGGGCTTAACTGGATCGTCTGGAGCCCTGACTTGTCATCCAAGGAAAATATTTGGTGAATCATGAAATGAAAAATACAACAAAGAGATCTTGAACTGTTGATCTGCTCTGCTTGTAAACATGCCGCTGTCACTACAATAAGATTTCAATAAGTTATCAAAGTGTATTTTATAAGCACAACACAACTAGGGTATAACAAACTCCACATCCTAATGATCCCCCCCCTGAGGTAAACGAGTATTCACCCAGCAGGAGCGTGCTGGCTCATAAAATCAACGTACCTTGTGGATGTGCCAGGTAGGAGAAATGTGTGGTGGAAGAAACGGGGATGGGGTTAATGGTGTTAAGTGCAGTCTGGGGCATGGGGGGCTGCGGACCTCCTGGAGGACCCTGGGTGGCCATCAGCATCATGGTGGGGTGGGTGGGCGCTGGGTGGTGAGACGGCACCATACCAGACTGCATATGAGCCTGTTTGTGAGAGAGAGAGATGAAAACCCTGTTAGCTGCTTTTTTCCCAACATTTCTCGATCTCTATGTGGACCTGACGTAGCTGAGGTATTTCTGATCAATAAAAGACGAGTGTTTTCCTCTCTTTTCTGTGGAGTGCTAAATCAAACCTCTCTAAAAGCGGTATAGCATATAAACCAATTACATCTCAAGGTCTGCCTAATTGCATGCCCTCCACTTCACAGCAGCGTCTTCACTCAAACACGACCCATTCATAAACTCAAACATCTGCTGGACCTGATCCCAGACTCCCTGACTCCCACATTTAAAACTCTGTGATGAAAACACTGCTGGTCTGATCTGCGGGTCAGAGCTGCTCGGATAGTTCAGCCAGCTGAGAGCAGCTAGTTTTGGACTCACCTGCTGCACGTGTGCCATGTGGTTGTGGTTATAGCCGTGCTGCACCTGCTGTGGGTTGATGTAGACTGTCTGCGGGGCAGAGGGGAACGATGCCTGTGGGGACTGAGGATTGGGCCCTGGGGTCATAGAGGGGGGCGTGGGGGCTAAGGTCGAGTACATCTGCTGTTGCGGAGGCTGGTTGGCCAGGTGCAGGGCCTGGGCTGCTGCGGCCGCTACAACACACGAAAAAAAACCACACTGAGATGGAAACACAGCTCCACCAGCTCAGGTAGGGGAATCAAAGCCTTCATGTCATCACCTGCGGCTGCCTGTTGGTGCTGTTGGTGCTGGACTGGGCTGGCCGCCGGGTGGTTAGGAGGACCTCCATGTTGCGGGGGACCACCCTGCTGGCCCTGTCCTGTAGGAGTGGCAGAGGGCTGAGGATGCTGGGGGTGCTGCGGGTGAGGGTGCAGGGTGGTACTGGGGTGGGGGTACTGCTGAGGCATCGGCCCTGGAGACACTGAGAGAGACGGGGATCAGTGTGAGTGAGGATGAAAGTATGAAAAAACAGCACAGAGACATGACCCGAGCACTCTGAGAGGAACACAAAAAGCATCATGGGTGCTGTCTCGTACCATACATGGCGTGTGTCTGCTCGGGGTACTGTGTAGTAGAAGAAGAGACGAGGCTGGGCTGTCCGTGCGTGGGAGGCCCCATCATCCTGGCACTGCCCTGCATTACTGGACTGAACACATGCTGTGCCTGGAGGAGGAGGACACACACACACACACACACACACACACACAAAACACAGCATCAGCATCAGATCCAGAGTGTGTAACCATTTTTAACCAATTCAGAAAATGAAAAATGAAGACAAAAATGAAGTAATTAGGGGTGCACCAATCACAATTTTCTGGCCGATCACAGATACCAACTCTTATTTTAATGAAAAACACTGAACAATACTTGTGAAACAACACAAACGTTTTGTGTTCGTTTTAACTGCACATAAGGTAGTTCTCTCAAATACAAATGTTAAGTTTAGAATTTTGTTTTCCAAACTACTTTATTATATCAGCTCCTTTAGTCTTTTATTTTCCACATTTTAAAAATTATCAATACTTGCGCAGCAGGTCCCACTGCAGGCCTGTTTTGAGCCTCTTACCAAAATAAAGAGCACAGCAGTATTTTGCTTTGACAAATACAGGAAATCACAAGGTTTGAGGAATAATAATCGACAGGACAAACTAGCAATACGACAATCCTTGTAGTGGGTTCAACATGTTTGATTGATCATGCTCCGGATGAATGTTGTGTGTGTGGATGGCTAACGCACGCGTGCACACGTGACCTGGCGGGCGGGCCTGTCATTCTGGCAAAGCAAAAAGCTACAACGGCTGACTTTCAGACCTTTGCTCAGGTAGATAAGATCGGTGGATAAAATCGGTTTCATATGTAAGGATCAGCTGATCACCGATCCCCCAAAATCGAGGAAATCGGCGCCAATTGATTGATGCATGTTTAGAAGAAATATGAGCTTGGTTCATGCTAACAAGGCCGGACAACAATAAAGCAACTCTCAGCTCAGAATGACAGAGAGAGATCCAGCATCAATCATCATGACAAAGTTTCACAGGAGAAAGCAGCAAAAGGATTTCAACACAAACCTGCACAGGACTGAATCAGCAGAGAAATAATGAGTAGTTTTCCTCATTTAAAGCTCTCTCTAAAGCCGTCGATAAAAGAAAACAAAAAACTACACACATTGAATTATTTAAGATCTCACTCCTCTCCTCTACAATATCGTGTCAAACGGTCTAAACTCAACTTTCACAGCATTTTTCTTTCTGAAACAAAAACCGATTTCCCATCCAGAAATCGATGTGTGCTAATTATGTTGCCCCGGTGTTTTCTGCTGCTCGCTAACACCCAACAACGCTCCACGAGTCAGTCAGAGACGACCGTTCACTCCACATATCAGATGTGGTGAAACATCAGCACGGTGCTGGCATTCAGTCAGGCTGCTGGGGCTGCATGCATCTGTCAAACAAACCAGTGAACAGCTGGGAGTCACACACGCTGCCAGCTCTCACTGATGGTTCCACACTAACAGTAATGGTAACATATTGGCCCTGATAGAGGAGCCTTCTGGACTGGAAACAGTGATGAGATGAAATATTACCTGTGACTGGTAATGTGTCATCTGCTGGACTAGAGGCTGACTGGTGAACTGCTGTGGGCTGCAGGTGAAGTACTGGGCAGAGTAAGCGGGGCTCTGAGCTACAATAGGGGGTCCTGCTGCCGTCGCCGGGTGCATCATGGTGGGCGTGCCAGGCGGGTGGTGCTGGTCTGACCTCTGCTGGGGCATGTTGGGTACTGTAGGGTCATGCACAGGAAGGAGTTCGGTTTAATAGTCCTTCATTTTGAGCTGATCAGAATCATGGAGAAGTGAGGGAAAGAGAGAGAAGGAGGTTTATGTGAGGGGGAAAAGAGGCGGTTGTTCTCACCTTTACCTGGTCTGTAGGGTTTGGATTGGCTGACCGTCATATGAGGCATCTGAACCTGGTACATAGCTGGAGACTGGAGTGAGGAGGGGAGTGAGGATGAAGAAAACAAATGTGTGTTCAATCTTCTCATGGAAGTATGAAAACCAAACCTCAACTATAACAAAAAAAGAACTTCTGCTCATTTGTCCCAATGCTTCAGTGAGGCTGGACAACAACTAAACAGCACTAACCCACATATCTTTGCTGTCCAATAAAAAACACGTATCTCCAAAATGTGTTTTTTTTTTTTCAGGAACATTAAAAAAATTTTTATTCATAAACTACCTTATAGAATAAACCCAAAACACTGTATTAGGACACAAATAGGACCCGAAATCAAAATCTATATTGACACAGTCATAAGTGACCTGTTTGATATTTTAAACGGACATACGTGCTTTGCATTGTGAGTAATACTGGATTGATTGCGGGCTATCCTACAGTTCCACATAGCACAATGATTGTCAACCTTTTTGAGTCACAACTCCCAATTTAACATGCACTAGTGTCCGCGACCGAGTGTGAGAGAGAAAACAGCAGCAGCTTTGCCTCTGCGGATGAACTTCGGCTCAAGAAATCTAACATACAGGTAGGCAACGCTGTCATGGTTACAACAAAGTTTGAGGTCGGCATCAGTCAATGTGACGACATCAGTGTGGCATTACTCTGCACTGTAATGAGTCTGTCACAGAGTCTGTTTGCTGACATGACAACGCAGGGCCAGGGCGGGAGATTCGTGCTTTGTTGACACTTCAGACACCCAATGGAGATACATGTGAAAAAGACGATGTTATAAAATGTCTTTCCATCGGTCATTTGGGTACCCAAAACTACGGGTTGTTAGGAAAGACTATGACCATGCATGTATTGAAAAAGTCCAGAGCGCTAAAAGTGGAGATGCGTGTTTTTCATCGGACAGCAGTGATACACAAAGAGATCTGATCAAAACATGTGCATGTGAGAGTGAGGGGATTATCTCTTACCTGGGGCCACATGCATATTTTATTCCTGTCTATCAATGGGCAGAATCTGTGTCTTACTATCATGACTTCAACCCAAACACTTTATCTGAACTCCTCCACATCATAATCCATGCACTTCTATTATAAACAGTACTGTAGCAAAGACAAGAGGCTTAGACTCCTATAAGTAGTCAGCCGTTTGTCCGCTGAACAGATGAAGCCAATAGAAATAAGATGAAGCCCATCTGTGATGACAGTTAAAAAGGAATTGCAATAAGAAGTTGGCAAACCAACATCTGATGGCAGTAATTCAACAAGCAAACAAAACATCTAAATACTGATTTGGCCTTTGAAAAAAAAAAACAGAAAGGATTTAAAAAATGCACAAACCTTCCATATTATGCTTTTCTAATGGAGCAAGAGAGAGAGGAGGAGGGGGAGAAAAAGGGAAAGAGAACCACTCTTTAGTTGTTCACCAAAGTATTTTAACGTTTTCAAGAGTCTGATGTTGGATCACCAAGTTTTTCTTAAAGCAACACACAGAGAAATACAATCAATTCATGGCTAAAGCTGCAACATTTGGTTAGAAACAGAGTTAAATGAGCTTTACACTGTCATGACCATCATTACATTTAGCATACTGTTGTAAATATTGACAAAAAACATTTTCAAACAAAACAAAAATATCTCAACGACTGGAAGGAAAAAGGAGATGGTGAAAGAGTTTGAATCATCCTCCAGGAGGACTAAACGGAGATGCCGTTCTGTTGCTCAAATACCTAAACCACAAACATCACACAGGACTGTAGACAAAGCAGCAGCATGGTGCGCTCAGCGTTTCAGCATTTCAATTACCAAGTCGGAAAAAAGCAAAATTGGAGGTGGAAACAAGATGACTACATCTACGCAAGTTATTTTAGGGCTTGCCTTGTCCGATAAATAACAAGCCCTAACTCAGGTGTGACGTCATTTTCAGCTCCGAAATCTGACTTCTGAACGCAGCATTAGTCTTAAATGGTCCTTTAGCGGTAATCCCTAACAATACAACAACCTATCTTCCCCTCCAAAATAAACAGACCCGGTGATGGAAACCAGTGAAAAATAAATATACATATATTTAGAAATCAGTGTCTGGCTGATGCGCTCCGGCAAACACGAGACATCAGGAGAGATTAAAGCATTCAGATCCACTACAGCTTGATTTCCCAATCATAAATCATTAATTTTTCAGACAGTCTTTGACAACATTTGAAAAAATGAAACATGTCTTAACACTTAAAGACAACAGACAGCTGGGAAGGTTTTCATTCCCACTCCACAGCTGACGCCTAAGACAAGCTTTGATCAGGAGGAAAACCATTAGACTCATGTGGGCTCCAAATGTGGAGCACTGCTGTACTTTAAAAATAAAGAACTGAATTTAGGTTCGGTCCTAAAATTATTAAAAATCTGATGGTATCGATAATAAATGATTAAAATACAGATATAAACATATGAGGACATGTTGAAGGCTCTTATGATGGTGGTCACTATTATTTTATTAGTTTTTTCATGCTATCTTGTGCTTTTGTACATTAAATTGTAACATTAATATTAGGCTATTATAAGGGGAAGGCTTCAAATAAGCCTACTGTAGCTTTTTTGCCACCGCCTGCACTGTTTCATTATTACCTATCATTTTTTTTGTTTAATCTCTTTGAAATGGTGCAATAAATAAATAAATAAGTTATTTAAGGTTTGTTTCAACCACAGTCACCACTCTCTTCGTGGTTCATATCCAAGCATGCTGCTGTGTGTCTCACCTGGACTCCAGGACTAACAGGTGTGAGAGGATACATCTGAGGGAAGCAGACTGTCTGGCCGTACACGGCCTGAGGCTGCTGGACCACGATGGAGGGACTGGGCTGGCCCTGAGGCCGGGGAGGCGTCGGGGTGTTGGCTGGTTTAGGCTGATGAAGGTGAACATGAAGGAGACACAGAAACAAAAATGAATAAATTGACAATCTCAGTTGGAGGTTTTTAGATCCTGGAGTCTGGGAGCAGCAGGGAGGACTGACCTGTGTATTGAATCTGGGTTTGAACTCATTGGCATTTGGGTTCAGAGTTGATTTCCTAACTTGACTGTAAGGAGGAAGAGAGAAACATTAGCCCGTTAGAACGATCATAAATGAAATCTTGTTTGCGTTGAGATAAAAAGACCCGGCAGTCCTTTTCACTCACTCTTGCACGGCCTCCTTCTTCTCCTCCTTCTCTTCGTGCTTTGGCCCACTGAATGTGGATGTCGCTGTCGTTTGAACTCCCTGTGATGTCACATCTAGTCCTCCCCTCTTCATGTCCGGAGCTGAGGGAGACGGGGACAGTGCGGCGGGGCTGCCAGGCTTACTGGTGTTGGTGGTGTTAGCGGATGGAGCGGGAGCACAACTGGGGGTGCCCGCGGTAATCCCTACGCCCTCATCGATGGCCTCTCGCCCCGCCGTGGAGGTTTTGTCGAGGGGAAGGTCTTTAGGCTTGTCTGCTGGATCTCTGGGAGGCTTGGTCATCATCTGGTCAAAGGCAGGGTCAGAATTTGAACTAGACTGCAACTAAAGATGAGAGGGAGAGTCAGAAATGGCACACACACACACACACACACAAGCGTCTGAGTTAGAGGTTTTGTGGTGACAGATTTTTCCTCTACCTCGGAATGAAAAGAAATACTAACCCTAAAATCTACGCTGAATTTCTTTAAATTGTCTATTTGTTTTCTGTGGTCTGGGGCCATAGAAGGGGGTCCTGAAATGCAAAAAGAGAGAGGAATCATTAAGACATTTATTCATAACATGATGGTCAAAATGTAGAAAAACTGTGAGGTCTGAATCATGGGATTGTGTCCGGAGTGATGTGTACCTTTACAAACTGGTCTGGTGATACTAGGTGAACTTTCTATGGGCTTGATGTTCTCCTTGTTTGCAGTGGGGGATGTCTGTCTCGTCTCCTGAACGCGACACTCTTTTGCTTTACAAAACAGAAAACAAACCCTCACTGTAATCCGGCTTGAAAGTAAAGACAGGATTTTTCAAACATCGCTTTGGCTCATAGCAGCAGCCCTTCCACCCCGAACCCTAATTCTGAGCTCACCATCCGCTAAAGGAGAGGCAACCATGCCGGGGGCGGGGCTAGCAGCAGTAGGAGAGGAAGCTGAGGTCGGCGTGGCAGCAGTTTCCACAGGTGTTGTTCCCGTCTGGGGTGACGGGAGGGATGAGGATCCAGGGGACGCTCCACCCATGCTGTTCTGTCTGGGGGAACGAGGTCTGTGAGCTGAGGAGGGGGACGGAGAGTTAGTGCAAACAAAAACTCACCTGAACATGAAGACTGAACCACTACAGAAGAACTGCTCTACCTCCACTAACAACTGATGACCATGTCCCACCAGAGGGGCTGCTCCTGGTTGGTGGAGTGACTGAAACCTCTCCTGGTGCATTATGGGAAATTAGGTCCACTCCTGGAGGTACTCCACCGGTCCGGCAGGGTGGTACTCTGTGAGCACGAGGTGTCCGCTGGGATTTCGGGGACATTCTGGGTGGACCTGTAGATAAAGACGACAGATGAAGACAGACAAGAGGACCATGAACTCACAGTCGGTGTGAGGTTAGCACAACCTGAACACTCTGTTGTGGAGCTCTCTCTTAACTGTAACTCACAAAACCTCTGCAATGATGACATTCGATGTTTGATCCGAACGTCACATTGGACGGTTATTTGGTGCATGCATGTTAGTGGAAAAAAAAAACTGCACATGATCCTGTAAAAGTGACAGAGCAGACCACACTTCTCACACCAAAACCCAGTGAGGTGGGAGTTAAGAGAGAGAGAGGAAACAGGGGAGAAGGTGAGGTGGAAACCAGTATTTACAGAATTCACTGTTTAGCAGAGTTTGTGCAGTTTAAAAGGAAAGTATCTAAACACTAGTTCGATGTTTTCCGTTTAACTGTAACAACATTTGTGAAGTATTAAACACTCCAAGTATGAGGATAACAGTTCAGAGTAGATCAAACATACGGCAAAGCGATTAAAGTTCTCACTCCTTTCAATCCGTGAAATGAGTAACGTTCTTTCCTTTAAGTACACAACGGAAAAATGCAAAAGCTTCTCCCCCCAAAATGTTTACACCACTCTCAAGAGAGCTTTGGGGAAAGGAGCCCGACACATTGCTTTAATTACTGACCGAGTTCAAATACTTCTCTCGGAAAATCCTGTGACCCTAGCTTGCCGGTTTTAGCTACTGGAAGACGGCTGATGTGCACCGAGTGTGTGTGTGCACAGGTCGGCAGATGGACAGGCAGGAAAAACATCCAGTCAACTAGATGTTGAAGGTCATTACAGGTCTGGGACACCCACCAATGCTGGAGAACCTCAATTCTTTTGATGCTTTCCAAATCAACAACAACTGCTCCAAAAGTTAAAATCCAACCCTTAGCGAGAAAAAGGTGAGTCTACGATGGTGAATGAATGAGGTGCAGCTAGAAACTTAGAGTATACTCTTGCTAAACAGAAACCACAGCACACATGGTGGTGCACCCACATGCCAAGGTGAAGCTGCCTGATGCACCGATGAAGGATCAGATTTGTGGCTTACGTGATTTTCACTGGCATGGAGGTTACAAATCTGACCCCGAATCAGGCTCCAGGAGCAACTTCACCTTTTTGTGTCGTTCCACACTAGACCTGGGCAAACTGACTTTTCAAAAGGAGGCCTCTGGACACACACCTAGAGCTCATTCTAACATGTTGGCAGTGGTGGTTTCATTGAAAACTCAATCCATCCACCTTCAACTTGTTTCTTTGCCCAGGTCTACTCCACACTGATGTGGGTACCTTCTGAAGACATGCGTTTGGGCAGAGTGTTGGCTGGAGACGTGGGCCCATGGTGGGAAAAGGAGGATGAGGAGGAGGAATAGGAAGGGTGGGATGAATGAGAGGGAGGTCTGGAAGGTCTAGAGGGGGGTCTGGAGGGTGGCCTGGTGGGCGTGGTCGCCCGAGGAGGCAGGGAGGAGGGGCCAGACTGGTAACGAGAGGGGGGGCGGGAGGAAGGAGATGGACAGGGTGAGGGCCAATGGGATGAACCTAAAAGGAGGGAAGGACAAATGATAAAAGGATGACAACCAACAGATGACAACCAGTTCACACACAGGGGGAAAAAAGTACATCAGGGACAGAAAGAAACAGCAAATGTATTAACATGGGAAAGAAAGGCAAGGCAGGAACGACTGACTGATTAAAATGATTGAAAGTTTTAGTGAAATAAACTTATGAATTAAATATCAGCTGCAACAAATATGACAATCCTTTAGACTCTAAACCAGTTACCTCACGCTCTGAAGAGAAAAAGGTAGAAGGTAACATTCACATGCACCTCTGTATATTAAAAAACGCAACAGGTTTGTGTGTTTGGTGTATTACTCTTACCTCCATTGACCACCCTCTGGTCAGCCCCAGAACTGGGACTGTAGTCGTGAGGTCCTGGTCGAGGAGCTGAGGACCCAGCTGAGCTCTGAGCCAAACGGGGGGAATTCTGACGTCCTGGTCCCCACGACATTGCCTCCCTGTTTCTCTGGCCTGGAGGAATGTACTTCTCTCTGAAAGCACAGAGACACGCAAACACACACACAGGTTTAGAGTAGAGGCAGAGAGGACAGCTGAGGTAACACAGGAGAGATATTAACACTACACTTTATAACATTCAGCCAAGTTCTCTTTCTCAGCCAAAATGAGCATGTTTTCTTCTCCTACTGAGGGAGCATTTTTCTAGAAACAGCTGCTATCTTCTTTGTGATTTCACTGGAACTGAGTTTTCTTCTTGAGTTAAGTTTAATTATTCTTCTGGTGCTTGATGTTCAGCCTTTTTATTGCACAGCCTAATTTATTCACAAGCGTTTCGTAAAAGTGATACACACACTGAAACTCAAATCTCTATAATTAAATGGTAAAAGCTTTTCCTTCCAGAAAAACTCTGGCATATGGTCTACAACTAGGGCTGGGCGATAAAAAGATAATGATATATATCAAAAATTAATTCCCCTTGATATGGGTGTGAAACATGGTCAATATGCTTTTCAATAGCCGGCATTCTGCCATGTTCTGGTAGACTATATGAATAGTTGCTCCGGGTCCGCTTCACACTGAACCAATCATGTGCTGAATTAGAACCAAGTAGCAAATAACGTCATCGTAGCAGGCTGCAGCTACACGCAACTATAGCACTTTAGCAGGTGAAGCTGACAGCACTGTCTTGGAGAAAAAAAGAAAATAGGTGCTACCCTCTGCAGAAATGCAGATGAAGGCTCAACAGATGATGACATCGTCGACAACACTGGCAAGAAAACGTTGGTGGTGTGGAGGTATTTTGGTTTTCATGTTGAATTTCATTTAAGAGTAACAGGGAACATTTAAGATTGACAATAAAAATTTTTATATCAAGATACATATTGATATCAGCTGATATGAAAAAAATACATCATGACAAACTTTTTCCTTTATCGCCCAGCCCTATCTACAACCTGATGTTACCGTGTAAACTCAGTACTCTGGTATTAACAGACTTGAAGCATGGTAGGCAACCACACAACTCCTCACCCCAAATCAGATTCAGGTTTAGATTTCCCCCTTTGGTTTCAGCTTTCAGCCGAATGAAAAAGGAGAACCAGCGAGTTCAGATGTGATGGTATGTAAAATCTGCCCTGAAAAGATCCCTAGAAATGAGAATTTGAGGTTTCACCTAGCCAGTTACCGCTCAGCTGACAAGTTGAAGCTGCTGGCCCCTCCGCCACAGAGCAGTGGAACAGCTCATGTAGCAGCCAGCTGGGAGTAAAATGAAGCCTTTGCCCGAGTTGCCAAACACAACAGTGCAAGTGACAGACATAAACGCCTTCAAGGTGCTGCTAAATAGTATCTGGATGAGGGGATGGGGCCGTTTTCCTCAGAGGAAAACCAGCAGTCAAGTCAATACTCAAAAATGTGACATGCAGTATGAGTTGAACAGAAAACAAATCAATACAAGTTACTGTAAAGGTCAAAACCTTTTGAAAGTTACACATTATTATATGCACGAACATCGATGAAGTACTTCAAATTTAAAAAAGGCCAGATGACCTTGCTAAAAAAAAACTTGATAGCTTTAAATCCTTCCTCTCTCTTAGGTAGACATCCACCAGGTAAATGCTGCTAATTATGGAAAGTCAAGCTCTTCTCAGTCATCCAGATCATTTGGCTCAGAAAGAACCGTCTCATTCTGCTCCCTAACTGCTCTTAAGGCTGCTTTTTAGAGCCCAGTCCTTAGCCACACATGCTGCCCGCTCCAGCATAGACAGTCTAGAGCAGTGTTCCTGCAGTGAATTCGAGTAACGTGAAAAATGCTAACAATGAAGAAACTGAAACGTAAGTAATAAATAAAAAACGTTAACACCGATAATTAACTATTTATAAGTAAATAGACTGCAAACTATGGTGTGAGAAACCTTCAATCACCGCAGGGGAAATTCCCTTACTACAATAGCTCTAATATACGACCCAGAACATTTGGTGCACATCAGGAATCCCTGTACCTCTGCTCAAACTCATGGTCACTTCACTGCATCAGCGTTATGCTCCTAGTCAAAAGACTTATTCATTTATTGTGGTAAAGCATGGACTGTGTATGTTCCCAAAGGTGATGACATCTGCAAACATTAACTGCTGACTAAAGTTGGATGCTAAGCCAGCTCCATGAATTTCCTCTGCTGCTGTGTTTTAAATGAGAATTATTTTCAACAATGAGAACTGCACTGACTCAATAGTCCCCCTCCAAACAGTGTGAAGCTAGTATTAGATTTGCACCTGTGTCCCGCCTCACCTGCTTAGCGTGTGAGGCTCCCTTTCTCCTCGCACCACAGCGGTATATTTCTCCTCCTCAGAGCGTTCGTCATTCTCCAGGGCCACACGGGCCTTGTATTGGGCACTGGCCTCAATCTCTTCCGCTAGCTGGGCAGCGCGTGCCTCCCTCTTGAGGAACTCTTCAGAGTTATCCCGCTCCAAAGGGACCCTGGGAAACAAGCTCAGGTCAGACAATGGCAGCAAGATGATTGAATGACCAGGGAAGGCCTGAATTCTACTTTTCTCCCTTTTTTATAAAGTCTAGACAAGATCACAGGATGAAACGGCGTGGGTTAAAGCCCTGCTCCATAGTATGGTGCATGTTAAGCTATTTTATATTGACCGAGTCATTTCCTGTCAATGTTAATTACCCAGTGTTCAGAGGAAGTATATTATCCATCAACCCACATTCTCTGTTTTAGAAATAGCATTACCTAATAACCAGGAAGTAAAACTAGCTGGATGGGGGCTTTACTGACCAGTAGTCGTAATGATTTGATGTAATGACTTACGTGTATGTGGACAGGCTGCTGTCATATGTGGACAAGACTCCATACTTCTCTTCATTGAACTTAAACATGTCATTAGGGTCCCATCCGTTGGACTGTGAAGACAGAGATATAAGTGGATACAGAGAAAGCACACACACAGTTTTCCATTGCTGTGTATCTCGCCACACAACCCAAAACCTTCCCCCTTGAATGTACAAGACAAGTGCATCATCACTGGTTTGTTGAGTCTGTGTCTGTTTTCTCACCACATCTGTATCCAGAGACTCCAGGCTGTCAGAGTTGTGGGTCTCGCCTCCATCCCAGGGCTCTAAGTCTTTCTCTTTATGCTCGCCATTGATCCTGCTGCTCACTGCTGCATCTGTGAAATTGTCTGCGGCACACACAAAGAACACATATCTATGTACAGCAGACTTCCTCACGCAAACACACACACACACACACGCGCGCGCGTACCCATCCACACACAGAGAAGCTCATGACGGTATACGGTCACATGGCTGCACTCGCACTGTGTATGCAGGAAAGCGTTCATGCCTCGGGAGCTTCTGCTACAAGCTCTTACAGCGGAGGTTGATAGAGAGGTAGAGGTGGTCCACTAGGCATACCCACTCACACCCAGACATGGGACTGACTAGACTGGGAGAAATCCTTTCAAAATAATTTCAGTTATTGCTCGAGTCGGCCATGGTAAAGCCTGAGAGATCTGGCAGGGTGAGCAGAAGCAGCCTTGTAAAGACGTAGAAGAAAGTTGAAATGTTTTTGGTTTATTCAAATCAAACTAAAAGATAAGGAGACTATTTTCACTGATAAATCAAAAATAGGTTAGACTCAGTTGCTAAAATGCCATATATGTTTTTTATAATTAATGAATCAAACATCATCACGGCGGCATCTTAAAGAGAAAATCTCACCCCACACACTTTGGGATATTCCAGTAAACTGAAAAATTTCATGCTTTGGTTTACTCACATAAACCACAAACATGCATGCCCAAAGATAAAAAAAAAAAAACCCAATTACTTCTGAAAGGAATTCTCATCTCATGTCAGCCCAAGTCTGCTCTCAAATTCTCAAAAGTGGCACCAATGGACTTTGTGCATAAAGCATATCAGCCACCTGGAGTTGCATAACTCTGCCGTCCAAACTCATCCGAAGCATTTCTGGCACAGAGCAAGTTCAGAAGTATTAGGTTGGCACCATACAGAATGTTGATAGAAGACGCCCGGACTGTTTTAGTAAGAGGTTGCTGAGATGCTCGTTGCACATCATCCATTCAGGGGATTGTGTGTAAAAATAACATTTAATCATTAAATGAGGGCAGAGTGAGGGGTAAGCAAACATGCATTTAGATGGCAGTCATTTACATGACCTCAAAACACCTCAGGGCTAAGTCAAAGTTAAACATCCTGCTGTAGCTTGATTTTTGGACAATACTCAGGATGCCGATTTCGGTTCTTATGTGCTTTGTGAGATTTCAATCTGTTGCTTTCAATGGAATCATATTTAGAGGCTTGAAATTTCCCTTTCCCGTACAGCTTACATGCTACAGTGAAACCCCATCTTTAGGAAAACGGAACTATTTCTGTAGAGGTCAGATAAAAAATTATACTAATAACCAAAATGTCCCTCATCTGTGGCCTAAATTACAAAGGGCATACGTGTGCTGCTTTCTAACTGCAGCCAAGCTAATGAATCACATAAAACAAGTATTAATTTTCTGCAGTTACACTACAAGATTTATGTATCCTACACATCCTTCGATCCCTTCATAAGTGAGCTTAATGCCTAATGTCCAAAGACTTATCTCATGGCTGAGACAGGCCTCTATTTCAGCCTCTGCTGTTATCTAAAGTAAAAGCCTCACTTAGCAGCATTGAAGGGCGACCCTTCCACCGAAAGCAACATCCACTCAAAACACAACAAAGGATCTTGTCAGACGATGAAGCAAAAATGACCCGCATTGATATTTTAATGTTTTAGAGTAATTCATCCCAAAATTTAAAGTTTGATTCGAAATGCAGCCAAAGGGGGAAACAGTTCAGCCTCAAGCCTCGAGAAGAGCTTCACAGATTTGTTTTGAGTGCAAAAAGAGACGTAAGAGAAGAGAAAACAGCCATATAACATTACCTGAGTCAGAGGAGACTAGACCATCAAGGAGGAGAGACAGACAGATGACAGAGTCAGAAGATGGACCAAAGGACAGAATGACTGACTGGCCATCACACTAACAGATGACTTCCTAAACAGTTTTGAGGAGGCATTATATTTACAGACATGTCCCAATGAAAATTCTACATCATTCTTATTTTTTACTACCAAAGTGTGATTTTCATTCTTAAGTCAAGTCATATCCACCACACTGCCTGTGTTTTTCATTTCAGCTGCTCAACTGGTGAACAGCATGTGCCTTGTAAAAACAAAAAAGATATTTCTGAGCAGTACTTTCCAAAGCACATTAAGTCCTTGGGTGATACGAGTCCCATTCAAATTAAGCACAACTAGAGATCATACATCTTACCAGTGGCGCGCTAGATATTTGACTTTACTGTGAAATTTCCAGTCAATCCACAATTATTGAATGTAACAAGATTGCATTGGCAGAAGTGACACCATCTCTTGAAATCATGAGGTGAGACCCTCACACCTTTGCTCATTTTGACAAAGTTCAACCCTCCCACACTGTCCACTTTCGCCGAGAGGAGAATAGTGTGGGTCAAGATGAATTAGATGAAGAAGACTCATTCAGCCTTTATTGAGTGTCCTTGCTGCGCCAGGGCAACCTTCGGACCAATCAATAGATCACATTAGTCTTCAATGACTGGCCACTCAGGGCAGACACACAAGATGTAACTCATGGCAAAGCCTCAGTGACATCAAGGTAGTGAATACAGACTGAGGAAGATCAATATGTTGTGTGTGTTCACTGATGGGTATTCACTCTTGCATGTTTTGTTTCTGTGTGTGTCTATGGAGTGAATACAAAGTGAGAAACTGACACAAGTTCCACTGAGTGCCCTTCAAGAGTTTCAGTTTGAACTAGACTAGATTAAAAAAAGACTGCTGTTTTTGTGTGCTTGGACGAAAAAATGGTCAACACAAATGCTGTCAATACCTTTTCTGGCAAAATTCAGGTCCACATCTTTGAAGGTGACGACTACAACGTCTGAGGCCTTGAAAATGATGCTCTCCACAATATCCTCCTTTCTGGGGGCTATGCTCGGCTCTGGGCTCTTTCTGTGGGCTGCATCCAACACCAAGTCACACTGCAGGGGAAAGTTTACTCAATCAGGTAAAAGGGCAATCTGACCAAAGTCTTAAATTGAGACAGGAGAGATGAGGAATCATCAGGGATGGGGAACTTGTTGCAACACGCACCATTTCATCAAGCAAACACTGTAGCACCTGAACTGAGAAACATAACTAAAGTCTATCAATAATTTATCACTAAATTTATTCCAGCGCATATATAATGCAGAAACATCAAGAAGTATTTTCTAGCCGTAGCTCCTTAAGGAGGATTTGTGTTTTTTCTTACATTTTGGCATACTGACTATATCCTTTCATTTTGACCTTGTTAGAAAAAAAAAGAAAATGAGATCATCTTTACTGCTGTTTCTTTTTACTTGACAAAGAAAGTGTTTAAACACAATCAAAAACAATCATGATGAGCACAACTAAAGGAAAAGTCATCAGATATACTCCTTGGTGTGTTTGATTGGACTGAAAACCTGCCAACTTGGCCCAGTGCGCTTACATAAAAATGAACCACAGGAATCTCTCTGTGGGTCTCTTGGCTGACAGCAAACACAAACTTAAGTTTTGACTGACATTAAATAACTGAGATTATTTATTTGCTTTCACACCAGATGGAGGAGCTTGTGAGTTGCAATAGGGGCAGAAATAACCTCCAATTTCTTATAAATACTTTTTAATATTATAAGTTATTCAAGAACTAGTGCAATACCATGAGAGAAAATTGAAAATACAGGTCCTGTAGCCAGAGATTACATTGTTGACAAAGAGACAGTGTACAGAGGGGTGGTGAGTACAGCTGGGTGAATATTTCACCATGTTTGACTGTTCAGCTTGCGCACACTGTGGTAATAAAAGCCAAATGTGATGCTTTGTTCTGCTCCCAAAACAAAGTGGTGTGTTTGCCTGAAAGCAAACCAAATTCTATTTATTTGGGAGTATCCTGCCAGCCGTAGTCGGTGTTAATCGCACAACCTTTTAAAACGGATAAAAGAGAGATGTATTAACAATCAACACTGCAGTTAAGTACAAAAGCAACGGGGCTATAGTTCAAGACAAATGAGCTGGTAAGAAACTGCAAGACTTGCTCCGGTGTAGCTTTTCATCTGTGCAAAGTTAAATTTCTCCCACTGGAGAAAGAATGGAGAGTACATCAACTTAAAAGGGAAGATGAAGGGCCACATACCTCTCCTCCATAAAAGGAGAGATAGAAAGGGCGAACTTTGTGTAAACCACCTCAGGGGTGAAGCTGCTATTGGGCTGGGCAATTCTCCCGCTGCAGTTGACAATAACTATTATCACTACTACAACTACTACTACTACTACTACTTTAGAGCCAGTCACAGATCTAGCACCCATGAACATCATCGCATAGTTTGAAGCTTACCTCTGGACCATATGTCTTAAATACTCCTTCATAGATTGCTCCGTTTTTCACTTTCAGCTCACACTTGGCCCCCTATAAATAAACAGGCGCATCATTATTCACTGTATGAATTTCGTGCTCATCAAATTAAGTGTCAGTGTCTCCTTACACATTTCAAAAATAAATTCAGTAAACCATCTGCTGTAAAGCAGACAAATGATTGATAAATCTCTGCTTTGTTTCTGCAACCAGCTGTCCCTACAAATCACACAGGCTTTGTTTATAGCTGTGTAGACATTTTGAAGAAACAGCAGGCGGCCAGAGACAGACTGCAGGACTTACTGCTGTGACAAAATCATTTACACTACACATTATCCATATTGTTGTTTCAGACATGGGTTTTCTTCCACAGCCGTGCTTATTTATGTATTTGTCTCTACATTAAAGACCAAGTTCAGAACTATGACTACTACTTGATATGTCTTAACATGTTAAGTATATCAAAAGTGCACAAGACAGATAGTGAACATACCACCACTGAAGTCAAGACGTGGACCATCCTCATATTTGCATATACACCATTGAAAATTACCTAAAAGAAATACACACACATACACATCTTTAACACCTGATATTCCTCATCTAAAGCTGTGTGACACTTATAACTCATCTCTACAGTCAATCACTTGATTTGCACATCATCTGAAATTCACTTGAAGCAAAAGTGTACAAAAACATGCTGTCACACTTTATTGACACAGCAACTCCTTCTCTTTGATAGAATACTACACTCAGCAAAACTACAAATCTGTGTATAGATTGGTACTTACTGCAGCAGGACTTTTCCCACTGTGTCTGCCCCTGAGAAAATAAAAAAAAAAACATCAATATTGTCAAACTCAACATCCTTATCACCACAAACTGCTGCTTCCTGGACAGCACTCACTGTTAAAAGCTGTGACATGTAAGATTAAAATCTCAGCAGGCTATGATGTAAGTATCCGAGACGTGACGAGGTCTAATATCTAATTTTGTGTAAGATTTGGAAATCCCTCATGGATTTAGGTATTCTGCTGTGCGGAAAAATGTTCAAGCAGCTGCCTACCAAATGCTCAGAAGCCTACATTTTTTTTCCCCAAAGCATGTCCTAAAATGCACCTTGTTCAGCAGCTGGCACGTAGCCAAGCATTCACACCCGATACAATGTGGGCAACGGCCACTTTCCCTACATTATATCCATTGTCGTATGTGAATAATAGGCTCAATTGTGAAGTCCTGTTTCCTAATGATTATAGCAAGAAGAAATCCAAGTCATTTCGAAATTTAACATACTGGTTTGCAGTGCACGGGTCAAACTCGATCAGTCTTATTTCACATTTTTTCGCACGGCCCCAAAAGATAAAAACCTACGCAATGAATGGGACGTACTGTCCTAGTGACCGGTGAATAGAAGCCTGACCGTATGAACACCTCCTATGAGCACAATGCGCATGCAGCTCCAGCACTCACAGTACGCGTTAGCTTCATCTTAGGACAACATATAAGAGAAATGTCATGCTTCAAGGACACTAATTCACTCGAGCAGCAGCAGTAGCAGCAACGTCAAGGTTGAAAGCCTGTCGGTCTATGATTCCCCCTTCTCCTCTTCACCCTCGTCTCCTCCACACCCGCCCCTCTCTCTCTCCCTCTCTCTCTCGTGCGCCCACACGCTTTATAGCAATTTCTTGGCAAGCCCGTTGCAGCAATATTGCGGTAACGTACCAATGCAATATGACAGTACAAGGAAAACAAACACAGGTGCCTGATCATAATCTCCTAAGGCTGGAAGGGGTCGCACAGGCTTGCCCCCATTTGCTAGCTGTTGTAATAGTGAATGAGGCAAGTGCACTGAATAACAAGCATGGGCTGTCAAATGGCTAATTAACGTTAGCTGAATTGGCTCCAAGCTGACTCGGCAAGCTCCACACATGACTGCCTGATCAGACGAATGAAAATGCGTAGCTAGAAAGCGATTTTTTTTTTTTACAGTGCAAGAGGAGATAGCCTCACGACGAAGTTGCAACATGATTGAAGCAGAGCACAGAGCAGGCAGGCCTCACTAGCTGGAGAGGATGGACAGCGCGTATCAGGGCCACACTAACACGTATACTACTTTTGGAACACCTAACGGGCATGTCATCTCTCAAAACCGCCACCGATGGACGTGAATGTACACAATTACTCAAACCTGACCACATTAAACGCTGCTGTTGTGTTTCATTTCGCTATCTAGATGTTTAAAAGCCACAGACCTGCCCATATTCTGTCTTCCCCCGCCGCTTCCTCCGGCACCGGAGGCGGCGGTACCAGCGGCGTTACCACCGCCGGGCTTGCTGCGATTTCCACCGGCCTTCATTGACATGGTGATCCCATAAAAGACGGCGTTTGAAAACGACCAGCTTCACACCACAAGCTGTTGATGACGGGACGGCGTGCGGTTTGGTGACAGCTCGCTAACGTTAAACGGCTAACTTAGCTAGCTAGCTAGCAGGCTAATGTCAATGTGCCTATCTGAGTGAAGATGCTATGCTAAAGAGGCGAGCTGCTGCTGCTAGCCAAATTAGCAATCTGTACAATTCCTATTAAAACAGAGAAAAAAATAGATTAAAAAAGACAACACGCGCCGATCACTCTTCCGAAATGATCATAAGTGTTACACCCTTTTGTCAATTAGTTGTGTAATCCTAACAAAAATCGATTATATCTGAAAATAGGTTTTGCAGCTCTCTCGGTTCTTTCCGTTGCTAACAGCGAAAAGACCAAAACAGTCTGAAAGGGCACAAAAAACGGCGGAGGGATATATGAAAGGTGCTACGGCTCATAACACAGAACTAAATATTGCGACATTATGCCCTCGGAAAAATACGGTTCAGCTACGCAGATGAATGTAGTTGTATTTAACGTTGAATACTGATGGAAACACACAGATGTGCGTTTGTTGGAGAAGATTATTCCTACAACATGGCACTATTTCCAGGAAGTCCGTGAATCCTCATCGGCTGTTTAGTGGCATCCACGTGAGCCGGTGAACACACCAAACACACAGCGCACAAGGATTGACACACGCTGTACATACACACTGTAGGTTTGAACATTATTGATAGCAACAAAATGTTATTACTGCTGTTGTTTGATTACTTGTTAAATAACTTGTGATGGTGAAAACAGTGAAGCAATTCTTAAATTATATAGCGATATATCAGGCTTGTTTAGAGGTTTTCCTGGAATATAGTACATGTATGAGGTAGGTAGGTAGGTAGGTTGAATTCATTGTCCCCGTGAGGAAATTCATTTGCACTAAGTTAAAAACATGCACAAAGACAGCACACATACACAATTCCGTACACTGTCCCATATAAAACAAAGCAACCCAGAAAAGACAATATAAAAAAACAACTGTATTGTATTTTGATAAATAGTCTTTAAATAATGTATCTGTGCTCAGACCATCTTAACCAGTATCTAAAAATAGATAGTAAATAGTAAAGCTGCCCGCAATCTATTTTGGTTTATCCAGTTGTAAAATAATATTCTTTATTAATTAGAGATTAATTTAATTCAGAGTATATAACCGAATCATATTACTCTTATATGTGCTTGATTTTGTATGTGAAATCTAGCATAACTCTGAAAAAACAAGCCCATGCAGTCATCCATTTGCTATGTTAATTAAATATATACAGCACTCATCATTGTAATCTGACACAATGATACCACTAGTACTGCACTTAATTGCACTCTCAGCACCAAATGCGGAGATTTGGAGCCAATGTGAACCTAATTTTGTCAAATCCATCTCGTAAAATATTTTTGATCCACAAGCCTTGAGTGTTTGATGTACAGTAGGAGCACGTATGTTGTGATTTCAGTTTTCTGCAAACTTTGCTTTGAAAAAGACAGATCCACCGAAATGATCACTCTGTCATCTTTTTAAAAATGTTTTAAAATGACCACCTAATGAGGATATCAAAACTCGATTTAAAAGAATAAACTTAACTCGTAAGACAGGGACAAATTTCAGGGAATTTGTCTCCAAAGCTTCTTGTATGAGCTGATAAATACTGGAAACTACCATTGTATGTCAAATTCATGTGAATTTTATGAATCAGCTTGAGTTCTTAAAACAGAGAACTTCTACAAAGAAAAAATATGCAAGTGAATCAAAGAGATGCAAGTTGCTCAATATCTCCACTGTTTCCAAGAAAAAAGGTATAAATTGCATCACTTCTATTGTATCTTTAAGTCAAACCCCACACTGTGAAAATATGCTTGTTATAACCATCAGACTTAATAACTGTGTAAATAGTAGATAACTTTTAGAGACATGTCAAGTGAGACAACAGACAATTGAATTTTCCTTTGGGGATTAATAAAGTTCTTGTTATTCTTCTTAACTGCTTATGAATCTAACGTTTATCTGATAAAGGTAAACTGTCTGAACAAATATTGACAACACAGGGAAATAAAATGACAAGGAACTTTGCATTACAGCTCGTGGATGCATGATGACAGGATGGTATCTGTTTAATTTGAAGTGTTAATGTTAAACAAAACCTTATAATTCAGTTCAAAGGCTTTTTTTTTGGCATGGGAAACAAACTTTTACACAGACGTGCAAAAAGACATGACAGGAAAAAGTGCAGCCAGATGGCAGTGTTATTGTTGTCACTTAAAGCTCGAAGTCTCTCTCATATCTCTTTTACTCCTTGAATTTTAACTGAAGCGTTTTTTGTTTATTATTATCAGAAAGATAAAATTTGGACGTTAAAGAGGATTTCTAACACTTTTCAACTTTAATGTTAATTTAGTAAGAATGTATCTCTTAAAGTTTGAATAATGAGTCGTATGTCTTGTTATTCGTGTGGTTGAAATGGTAATAAAGTTAAATGAAAAAAATGGGACCAGAGAAGGACCCTCTGGAGACGGTCTGGCTTTATAAAACTAGCTATTTTTTGTCTGATTTTTGTCAATTTTGAAAAAATATCGAACCAGACACAGTCTAGTACATATCGAACACGCATTTCAATCGACAATATAAACATTTTTGTCTATATTATCGCTATTTGACGGCTGTGTGGGTGATTTTCAGCAGGCGCTGTGCGCAGACTGCTGTTGCGTACTTGCCGACTCGGGTTGTGTATTCTCTCTGACAAGATGCTCCAGGATTAGCAAAATAGTGCGGAGATGTGTGCATGCTACTTCAGATACTACTTCAGATGCTAGACACGCCCACATTGTAGGTTGGTCTCGGTGCATCCTACGGGCATGCTACTGACCCAAAATGCACCGCGGGCTTCTTCTTCGTCCTCTTAAAAGTTGTAGAAGCGCATGTGATGCTAGCGCCACCAGCTGCTGCCTATTTAGATGCGTCGCGAACGCCGGCTGGCCACAGCAGCGCGCACCATGTCGGAGCAGCAGCAGCAGCAGCCGGGACCGCAGCAGTACAGATGTAAGTTTCATGTAACTTCACACACTGTCCTAAAAAATGTGCGGTTGTATCTCTTTGTCATGTCATGGTGTCATATTTTCCCAAGTAATCATTTTATGAGCAAGTGGCGACATCATGGAGGTAAAGCTCACTTATTCCATCATTAAACTGCACAGCTGCAGTACTACAGCCAGGCCCACAGATGAAGGGCTTCAGTTACCACTGTCTGCACGGGCGCAGTACCTACTCTCTGCCTGCGGGGGTCGTCTTTCCCCACCGCTCGTCTAGTGTGTCCGAATTGGGCCAACGTTTTTAGTATGTAGGAGTAGGATCTAGCAGTAGCACGTAGCAGTAGCATGTAGTATCCGAGCGGGCAGTTCGGACGCAGCAGGGTTGTGTATTCTCTCTGACAAGATGCTCCAGGATTAGCAAAATAGTGCGGAGATGTGTGTATCTCCTTGGTTACCGCTGAAAACATTTTTATGTAACCGTTTCCACCGCTCAGATGGTGTTTTTTTCTATTAAACTATCTCTGAGGAGAGTGTCGAGTCTGTGTTTTTGACTCATATTCGCCTCTCGAGCTTTAGCAGCGCTTTAGCAGTTTCGCTCGACGACATTTACAGGCTGCTCTTTTTTTCGGGACACGGTGTGCTCGTAGTGTCGGATCAGTTTGGCACTCGGAGAGGAATTTTCCTGTAATTTAAAGTATCATTGAGGTTTATAGCTCATTTTGACTTCTCAGTGTGACCGTGGGATGGAGTGGCATTAGCTTACAAAGCTAGCGGACTCCAGCTTTAGCCGGTGCGTGTCTGCGCAGAGCTCTGACTAAAAATACATTTCTCCTACCCCTGAAAGTGGCGGGTTAGTCTACTTTAGACTAGTTCGGTGCCTTTCTTTTCACTTTGCTCGGAGTTTGACACTCTACATGGTCACTTCAGAGGATTTAAGGCGACTTGAAGAGCGAGTCGGACCCCTAACTTGGGAGCCGAGGTGGCCTGATCTAGCGTCACGTCTCGCCGGGTGGTGGGCTACAGGTTCCCGGGGGAAGAAGGAAAACCAGCCGGGGCTGATCGGTGGCCCGATATCATTTGGTTCTAATGGCTTGTTTCTGTCATTAGTAGTGGTAGTACAAGCCTTGGTGTAGCCCAGGGTCGCAGGAACTTTGCAAAGGTCAGAGACGAACATCTTGTTTCTACTGACAACTGAGTTTGGAGAGACAGGTTTCAGCTGTCAAGAATAAACACCATGTCAGAGGACAACAACGCAGACAAGTTCATCAAGGTAAGAAGGAATTATATGACTTTGATTAAATGAAATAAAAACCCAACAAGGTAGGCTTCAACAACTGACGTGTAGCAAACATGTTTATGTCTTAAATGCTGGTATCTGGGTTGTATTATGATTGATGGATGTCTGTTATGAGAATGTTTACTATAGCTTCATGATATTAAATCTGTTTCTATTAGTCCGAAAATCACTTCCACAAAAGCGCCGAAGCTGTGTGCACATCTTTGAAAAGCAGCAGAAATGTAAATAACAAAAACTAGGTTAAATTTTCATCTAAGCTCCAGCTCAGATTCATCTGTGTCATGAAACAGGTTCTTGGATTAGTGCCTGGCCTACTCTCCTCAATGTGTCACTGCCCGGGCATTTATGTCAGCGGTAAAATGTGATCCCAAGTGCCCATACACCCCCACCCCCACCCCCCAATCCCTTCACAGTTGGGTCAGAATGTGTTTAATACTGGACTTGCTGGGGGGGATGTCATTTAGAACTGGGACACACATCCTTGGGGGTTGGTATCCTGAGAAAGAATTAATCATTTGGGTTTTTGGATTCTTGGTTTAACCATTTCCTTTTTGGTATCAAGACTCTGGCCATTTCTCAGGACATCGCCACGATAGCACATGCTGGGTAGTCTCAGTTTACAGGATCTGACCATAGCGTTGTACTTATTGGCAGTAACATATGTCTTGTATTTAGAGCCTTTGTGAGATCCATTGATGGATCACATTCAAGGCTAATTTTTACTTATGTTGGATTAGGGTAATATAAGATCGACAAAGCATAATTGACCCTCACTAAGATTCATCATTGTCATCATCATCCAGGGCAGTTAAAGATGTTGTTCAGTTATAAATATTCAGCCCTCAACTTCTAATTGGAAATCAACACAACTACGTACTGTCACCATTTTTTTGTACCTTTTGCACCTGCCTGCGATAGCACAAGTAGAAACTCTTCATTCCTGCCAAGATCAATGTGCTCTCAGGGATAAAGGACAAGGACTTATTGCACAATATGCTGATCATAAAGATGTAATTAGTTAATGATGGATCATTTAACAATAAAGCACAAAGCAGAAATTGCTCATTGACTGAAACCACATATTCTAGTCCGGCACAATTCTGATAAAAATCCTCTTTGACTGTAATTTCCAACTTGACATAATCATATTCTGATCATAGTCTTATTTTATAATCCTTTTATAGATAGCCGTGGCTGGGATTTACCAGATGTGTTAGTTTTTACATCACAGCTAAGCTGTCATCTTTCCAGAATAATCTGTGTCAAGGATTAGCACAATTGTGGAACCAGACAGGTGATAATGGATAAGATAACTGTTATGCAACCAAGTGCTAATACGATGAAAGAATGCATGGCACTGTGTCAGCAGACACTGCTGAGTAAAAGTGTTCAGGGAGACATTTCTTAGATACATTTGCCAACTTGTATAAACAGCAGTTGATTTTTTTGTGACTATTACTGTGGAAGGTCTCCAGTTTTGTAGAGTAGCAGGCTGTCAAGCACTACACAACAGAAACTATGGAGATAAAGGTGAAAAGGGGGTCCTTTATCTTGACACTTTTTTGTATCACATTTATTTCAAGGAAGGATTTGTCTTCTTTTTAGTTGTTTTCAGAGGTTTGATATACTTGTCTTTTCCCCTACAGGAGACCTCTATCCTAGATGAGTACAACATCAACTGGACGCAGAAGCTGGGAGCTGGAATCAGCGGACCTGTCAGGTGAGCAGGCGAAACTTTAGGCTTCTTGGTCTGTCTCTTGTAATAGAATTTGATCCTCTCTACTGTTGTATCCGTGTTTACGCTTCATCACTCCATCACTTCAGGTTTTCTTCTGGTTTGTTTGGATCTGAAAATGGTGTATCGTGACTCAGACTCTTCCAGAAACTTATGAGAGGATTTAAGAGACGGATAAATATTGATGTATCGCCCAGCCCTCTCAGTGCATGACTAGACATCGCTGCCAAAAGTCCTCCTACATGTTTTTGTTGTTTGCTGCTCAATACTTCCCCTGTAGTTTTACTTTGGTTTGTTTACAGTGACTCCCCTACAAAACAGCAGGTTAAGTTGAATCCAGACATGTAAATACTTACTGTGAAAATGAATTTGTCACTGAACTCGACTTTGGCAGACTGGACCAAGCAGTAACATGTAACACCATCATAATTTAAGGCTTATGAAGGTATATGTTTATGCTGATGGTAGGCAGTAAGTGTGCTTCCTGTTATTTTGTAGGATTTCGTTCCACAAGCCAGAGACGAAACTTATTGCACTTAGATTGAAGAGTAGAGGCTTAAGGATGCACAAGGGATCGATGATCAAACTCAGCAGCCTTATTATCTGTGGATTTGTCTCTGTAATACTCTCCTCAAATACATTGGCAGTTTATCACAGGGAAACACAGCCGAATTATTTCAAACAGCTATACCTGTCAAGCCTCTTAACGTCCTACTCATTTATAAAATACCGACAATCTTGACTGACATGCATGTGACAACTGACTTTGTAAGCTAGGAGCCTGACTGAAGTTGTGAATGGACATTTCCTGTATTAGATAGAAAATAAATATAAGAGTTCATTATTTCTGGCCCTAAAATGTTTTCATACTTGAAGTTGTTTGCGAGTATCTGCTGTCGACAATAAAGACTTTATTGTTTTCCCATTGCTTAAAAAGACTGCATCAATATTGTTCTCCCGTCTCGTGTTTCAACCATAGACTGTATATAGAATGGACAGAGTCTGCCTCCTCGTTGGGTGAAGCCACTCTGAGAACAGCACACTCTGGCGACGGGCTGCAGTATAGGTCATAAATCCCGCCTTCTTCAGCAGAGCTTATGGAGCTGTGGACAAACTTTAGAAATTAATTTCACAGAATATACATTTTTCTCCCCCCTGGTTGCGATGTTGACATGTAGTTATTGTAAGTCCTCTTTTTTTTCTGTACGGATCCATTTTTAAAAGTTATTAGGGGGTTTTCTATGATTGACTCTTGATACAGCCTTTGGGCGTACGAAGATTGCGTAGCTCACCCTGGGGATACGCTGTTTGAGCCGAGCGTCATCACAACAACTCTCAGCGACTCTCCTGCTGAATGCGTAAAACGCTACTGCGCAATGTTGGTTTCAGGAAATTCAGAAAAATCGCAGAAATACCGAGAGCTTTTTGGCTTCAAATCCGTATACTGGCGGAAGGTGGAACCAAGTTGTCCATAGTACTGTATATACAGTCTATGGTTTCAACAGTGTTAATCTCTACAACTGTTGCCATAGCGCCCATCTCTGCAAAAACCCAATATTAAGTTTATCCAAACATAGAGTCAATCACATCTCAAACAAACTTTTAAAAAATTCTATCCTTTGCACTGATTTTTTTTTCTTTTTTACATTGACACTTTCACAGGTACAGGCTGTAATATGTCAGTGTTTCACACTGAGGTTTGACGCTATCACAGGTCTGGTTCAGCAGAGAACAACCTGTTATTTTCTGAAGTGTGTAGTTTTGGCCTCAAGGGGCGAGACTTCTGAGGAACTGACTCAACGGCCTGTCATGTAACACTCTGAAACTCCTGATACTCGGTGATGAACTGATGATTCATGCTGTACACTGTGTATTTCTCAGCAGCTCTTTTTAACCTCTGCGTCACTTTTCATTTTGCATATCCCTCTGATTCATTCAGAATTTTGCCGAATTAGGATGTCTTCTTTTTTCTGACTCTCCCACTCAGCTCTTTCAGTCACCTAACACATCAATGTCTTTCGCTCTACCAGCCCCCCTCAGTTGCTCTCTGTGATTCATTAGGCAGGCAGTGATTTACAGAGAAGTGAACTTTGGCCGAAGCAGAATGCTTCTCTTGGTAATGCTTTAATAGTGTAATCTGAGTTTAAGGGCCAGAGGTTGCTGTTCAAAGTGAATATTTGAGTCCGTGCTGCTGAGAGGAGAAAAAGAATTCATGTGAATTCATCTGCCTCCTGCTGTCATACTGAGAATAGTCTTCAGAGGAACATCAACACCAGGAGATAAAAACTTAAATATGTGTTTTTGAATGAAAATAAAACACTCGCCTACATCGTTTTACGAGTGAAACAACAGGAAGCCATCCAAGATCATTATTTCCCATAATAAAAAAACTATTGACAAAATAATGTTCCTGTCCCGACTAATCTACTTTAATCTGCTGCACATAGAACCAAAACATGAACACGTACAAGGAAGAGATTTTGTTGTAATACATGCCAGCTGTTGCAAAACACACCAAGAATCTTCCTGTTTGTGTGCTCTCTGTGTCTCTGGTGTGGATGGGTCACTCTTTAAGGCATGAGATTAAATGACTGAAGGGGAAAATAGCACTGTTGCCATTCTGTTACATTTATTTTCAATAAGGTGAAAATCACCTGTATGGTGACTGATGCAGGATTTGAGTTGATCCCATTTTGTGATCACTAAAAAAGATACCTGGCTGTGAGTTAGAGTGACTGAATATGAACCATTATCTGCCAGATTTGCCAGATTTGATTGATTGTCTTCATTCTTGTATCAGAGATCCTGTTGTCATGTTGACTGAAGTGATAATTGATTTTTGTTTTCTTCCTCTTCAGAGTTTGTGTGAAGAAATCAACTCAGGAACGCCTGGCTCTGAAGATCCTCATTGATCGGCCCAAAGCCAGAAATGAGGTTAGAAGGCAGACTCTCTGTAGGCATGATTAATTCCTGCTCTTTGTCTGTCTTTGACTGTATTGATACTCTTTGTTCTGTTCTGTCTGTCTGCCTGTTATCAATCTCTCTCAAATCTGCTCGTCTTTCCTCCACCATCTGTCTCCTGGGCTTCTGCTGACTTTGTTGTCAGTAACATTTTCTTCCTGTGGTGAACTGAGTGTGGAGCAGCCTCTCCATGTCATTAGCAGCCTTCTGTTTTGACCAAGCAGCTTATTCAGCAATGAGACATGAAGTCAAACAAGCAGCAAAGATTTGTTTTTGCAAAGATACCGCTGTCAGACTGTGTAGCTTTCATAGACTAGTAAATACTCTATGGCTCGACAGGATATTTATCGTGCAGTGTTATTTTCCTGATGTAATGAGGAGTTTCCTCTTAATGTAGGCTGACAACCAGTTTTCTTTTATCAGGTGCGTCTCCATATGATGTGTGCCAACCACCCAAACATCGTGCAGATCCTCGAGGTCTACGCCAACAGTGTCCAGTTCCCGCATGAGTCCAGTCCAAGGTAAAAACTGGACAGATGACAGACATGTGAATCCTAACATGAAGGGTTTGCATACACCAATCCACAACACCTCCTCTTTGTTTCTGTGACAGAGCAAGGCTCCTGATCGTCATGGAGATGATGGAGGGTGGCGAGCTGTTCCACAGAATCAGTCAGCACAGGCACTTTACTGAAAAGATGGCCAGCCAGGTCACTAAAGAGGTTGGTGAAAACTCCAGTTTGAGCCCCTCTGTGAATCACCTTTTTAGTTCTTCATGTGTCCTCGCACTCGTCTGTGTGTCTCTTAAAGGGTGTGTAACAGCTTATCTTGCAGCCTCTCGAAGGCATTAGCAGCTCCATGCTCGGATAAAGCTGCACATGTGGCAGAGATGATCACATGCTCAAAGAAGCAACACGTACACTCATATCTAGTGTGTTAAAAGGCTGATAAAGGTCTAAGTTTGATGTTTCTTCTCCTTGCAGATCAGTCAAGCCTTGGAACATTGTCACTCTCTTAATATTGCACATCGTGACCTGAAGCCAGAGAACCTGCTCTTTAAGGATAACTCTCTGGTAAGTAGCTTAAGTTACACACTGTAAACATAAACACTGGAACTGCATTTTTAAAAAGGCGCCACTGCCAACGCCACCGCTGATCCCTCAGCAACACCTCATGCTGTATGTATAAACTGGAGAGGAAAATAAACTGCTGAGTTTTAAGGCTGCAATCAGGACTTTTCTTTCTGAGGAGATGCTGTTTTCGCTCCTCACTGTGATGTTGTCTCCTCCGCAGGACGCACCTGTGAAGTTGTGTGACTTTGGCTTTGCCAAAATTGATCAAGGAGACTTGATGACCCCTCAGTTCACTCCCTACTACGTAGCACCTCAGGTAAAAAGCAAGCACAGGATTCACCCAGAACCAAAAAAACTGTTAGTTATTTCTTTAACCCAGTAAAAAGAAACCCTAAAGTGAGTTTTCATAATGTTCCTCCTGCTGTTTGTCTCTCTTTAGGTACTTGAGGCTCAAAGAAGACACCAGAAAGAAAAGTCTGGGATTATACCTACCTCACCCACCCCGTATACCTATAACAAGGTGAGACCCAGAGGTTATGATCTAATATTTGTGGCATATTGAGGACACTGTCAGTTTCTTACAAATATCCTCAATCCGGATCTACTTAACGGGAGGAGAATTTTCTTCCTAACAGGATTATATCTTCTGTCATTCCTCAGAGCTGTGATTTGTGGTCTCTTGGTGTGATAATCTACGTGATGCTGTGCGGCTATCCTCCGTTCTACTCCAAACACCACAGTCGCACCATCCCGAAGGACATGAGGAAGAAGATTATGACAGGCAGCTTCGACTTCCCTGAAGATGAGTGGAGCCAGATCTCTGAAATGGCCAAGGACATCGTACGCAAGCAAGTCCTTTTTTCCATCCCTCTGCTCTCTTCTTCTTATCTCATACAGCTCCATAAATACAGAATGCTAGAGGAGGTAGCTGGAGTATGCTCAAGTGTTGTGTTGAAGGGGTAGAAAAAAGTTGACATTTGTTGTTTATTGCGATCTGTCCATATTACCTCACTCTTCAGATTCTAATTTACTGTTTTCATTCGCACCATCCCTCTGTTGAGGCTCTAATTCATAGTTTTTCATCTTAATAATTTGTACTCCTCCACCTCCTCCCCAATCCATTCTGTGCAGGCTGCTGAAAGTGAAGCCAGAGGAAAGACTGACTATCGAGGGAGTCTTAGCTCACCCTTGGCTCAACTGCACCGAGGCCCTGGACAACGTGTTGCCTTCCGCCCAAATGATGATGGACAAAGTGAGTGAGAGAATCTTAACCCATCCCGCCAATACACTGCATCATACAGCCTAATATCCATTCCTCTACTCTGTGAATAAGAGAGCCTGGACTTAGACGACAGAGAAGAGGACATCCTCTTGTTCTTAAAAGTCAGTGATTCTCAACCGTCAGAAAACTCCTGGGGTCCACAGATAGTTGTTAAAAAAAGACTTATATTGTTAACTTAGTTATACTTTTTACATAAAATCACATGGACCAATGACATTAGAGATGCACCGATCCATTTTATTCCAATCCAATACTGATATCTGGGCTGAGCATATCGACCGATATCCGATACCGATCCAATACTACTGTTGAATGAATGAACTGTATACCTTGCCTGGGGGTGAAGGAATCAGGCTTGACATTAGCCTTGTTGAAAAAAAAGGTAACAAATTAACACAAATATAACATTACTTAATATTATTTATTAACAAATAACACATTAGCACACAGCAAAAAGAAGTTAGACTGCCATGTATTAAAAGAAAAATAGTTAAAGAAAAAAAAGACTTGATCGGAACGCTGGATCTGCATCATTCATCCAATATCTGATCCAGTTAATTTGTCAATATCGGAGCTGATATCTGATCCAAATATCGGATCGGTGTATTCCTAAATGACATAAGTTGTTTTAGTGCTGCTTCAAACTGGTAGCATGTCACAGTAGCTTCATGATGGCTGTAGGTGATGCCTTTGGTGATGCTCGTTCATGGTTTTCACACACAGGCTGTTGTGATTCTACTCCTGAGGACTGGAAATCAAAAAAGTTTGAGAGCTGCTGCTCTGAAATTGTTTCATAGCTGCTTATTAAATCTTCAATTATAAGGTTCCACATGTACAACTTATCTGCAACATATCACAATGGTTGATAGTTAGCTATTTGAGTCCTGAGGTCAGTCAAGACAAATCTCCTACACTGATGGCGGTGGTTACTATACAGCGAGTCCATCAATGCTCATTTATACACACTCAAGGTGTGTTTTGAAATAAGTTGAAATTTCCTCCATTTCTTACTTTTTATTTTCACCTTTTCAGGCGGTGGTTGCAGGTATCCAGCAGGCCCATGCAGAGCAGTTAGCCAACATGAGGATTCAGGATCTGAACGTCAGCCTGAAGCCTCTCAACTCCGTCAACAACCCAATTCTCAGGAAACGGAAACTACTTGGGTATGACTTCTTTTCATCCATGTTTTTTTTTTTTTTAATACAGCTGTTGTCAACTCTTTTGATATACAAACAGTCATCAAAGTTTGGCCTGAAAATGTTTTTTTGGTTTTTTTGGAGCAGCCCCAAGCCCAGTGACGGTTTCTTCATTCACGACCCAGAGAACGGAGGAGAGGACTCCAACGTGGCGCTGGAAAAACTACGAGATGTCATTGCACAGTGTATTTTACCACAGGCTGGTCAGTAACTCATGCTGGTGTTCATATTTACTCTGTCTAATTAAATTAATTAAAACATAGTTACAAATTGCTCTTCAGACAAACACCTCTGGAATCTAAACAGGCAATACCAGTAAGACTATTGGTCAAATTTTGAAGGTATTGTCTTCTCACAATAGCTTAATGGGAAAGCAGACTCTGAAGTGATTTTTTTCTTTCTAGGAGAGAATGAGGATGAGAAGCTCAATGAGGTCATGTATGAAGCTTGGAGGTTCAACAGAGACTGTAAATTGCTAAGAGACGGCTTACAGGGGCTCAGCTGGGATGGTATGTACGATTTCACAGCGTCTACATCGAACTGCGTTTTCATTTTGCCCTTCAAATATTCAAAGTTCAATCACTGCTGGTCTATGTGCTCATTTGGGTCATTTAGGGTCCTTAACCACCAGCTCTCTCATTGCAGGACGATCCTTCTCTGATAAAGTCGATCGCTTGAAGTTGGCTGAAATAGTAAAACAAGCCATCGAAGAGAAGACGAATCTGGAAGAGTCTCATTAGCAAACGCTGTCTTTCTATCCTCTTTTTATAGTGTTTATTATGACCCTTTTTAACCCGCATCTGTAAGGAGGCTTTTTTTAATGTCAAATGATGCGCTGATTTTTTTTCTTTACTTTCATGAACTCACTTGCAAATACCTATTGTACAGCTGTAGAGATATTTCAAAAAGGACTTGTTGGTACTGGAAATTTTTTATTGGATACTTGCAAAGAACATTGAAGAAAAAATATATTTTCATTTTTGCAAAAAAGAAAAAAAAAAGAGGAGAAAAAACAGTAAAAGACATTAGCTTCTGGGAGGGAGTTTTTCTTTGGCTCCTTGACCCATACCTTCATTTTTATATCTCAGTAAATTCATTTTATTCTATTTTATTTTATTTTAACCATCCTAAGAATTTTATTTATTAAAACAAAGAGTTCCATTATTTTATATCCTTCTTGTAGCCTGGCTGTGGGCTCTAAAAAGACAAGCTGACTACAATGTGACTTTGCTCTTCCACACAAATGTTAAATCTCAGACTGAGTTTAAATGATATAAAATCTTTGGTTATTTGTTACTTTCCCTTGACTGGTTTGTTTTGTGACGGTCAAGGCAGAGTAGAAACAGAGGACGGAAAGTGTCATGAAATAGACGCATGCAACGTCAAATTCATCCTGTCAGAATTCTCTTTTTTTAAGCTGATAAGAAGCTTCATAAAATCGACTGAAAAGGCAACAAAACTAAAGCTTTGTTTCTGTCTGACTCATCTGGATGAGTGTGTTTTGACTCAATTTATTATAAGACAAATCTGCTAATTAATTTTTTGGAGCTGTTGTCTGTCTCACAGCCCACTTTAGGTTTTAAGGTTTTAATTTTTACATCATCTGATGCTGTTGGAAGTGGTAGTTGTGTCCAAACATGGCTGTCAATCTGCTTTACTCATTCAGAACTAACTGTGATCCTCAAACTGTGAGTTAAGCTCGTCAACTTGAAAAGATGAGGCTTTTTGTCAGAGTATGAATTTTCTACTTAGCAGGTAAAATGAAGTGAGTTATTTAAAATACAAGGATGAAAAAAAAACTTTTTACACGTCTTCCCATGTCTGGTGGGCTTTTGAAGGTCTTAAAGTGCTCAGTTTTTTTCTTATTCTTTTTTTTTATGGGGAGGTTGGGTCATTAATATTTCCTAATAACGGCCTTTTTGACCTTATGTGATCTTAAATTTTCCCTGTGGGTTTTCACACATTGTTTGAGCTGTTTGTAACAACACACTGCTTCTTCACATTCAAGTGTGTTCAGGTTTTTCTTGGAAATTCGACCGCCTTCATTCTGCTTGTAAAAGCACATTTGTAATGACATCAACAGAGGTATTACCTTTGTTGTGTTACCTTATTAAGCTGTTGTGTCTGAAATTCCTTAAAGAGGGGGTATTATGCTTATTTTCTAACTTTATATTGCCCCTCTGATAGTTTCTTAGCAGCTCTACCACTATCTCTATCAGGTCCTCCTAGCATTTCAGAACACAGCATTCTGTAAACCTCCTTCACTGTTGCCACACATTAAGTTGTGTTCCCTCCTTATAAAATTACAAATTTGACCCTTTAGGGATTACTGCAATACACATTAACCTTGCAGTCTGATGTTTTGCTCATGTGTAGTACTGATGTCCAACATTTTAACTTTATATTTATTTTCAAACATGAAAAAGCATAATATCACCTCTTCAAAAATTGATTTCATTCGACTGGTTGTGAGCTGCTTTGATGTGAAGAAGCATGTACTGGGATTCAGACTAGAGTCACTGGGTAGTTCAGTTATATTTGAGTGTGAGGGCTTGAATACCTGAACTCAGAGAAAGTCCATGCATGGTAAATTTCAGTCCGTCAGTATTACTGTCTTTTCTTTCCCTCTTAATGTCATGGTCTAAACACCAGAATACTCATTCCCTGTGCTTATTTATCATGATGATTTCATACGCCGCTGTATTAATATCATTGATTAGTCACCCTGCACTGTTTAATTTTAGTCATATCTGATGTTTCACTAAAGAGGAGCTGAAAAAGGGATTTATGAATCAGGCTTAGGTAGCTGAAAAGGGCATGTTATTGTGTTCAGTGCCTGATTGTGTCTTTGATGATGTATTTTAGTTTATTTAATATTCCTCTGAGGTTTATGATGAAATTCCCATTTTAAGAGGTCTTCGCTTAACTAAGAATATTTCCACATCAACACTACTCTATTGGTCACTGGTTTCTGATGATATAACTTGGTCCACTCTGAGTTATGAGCAGACATCAGTGTCATATAATACTGCTGTTTTTAAAACTTGAATCTCCAATTTCAGGGGATTTTGAAACGGTCAGATACACTAAAAGATCAGGTATTTCTCCAGCTGAGAATATTCTTCAACTTCTCAAGACAAATAAACCTTTAAAACATATTTTTGCATTTTCACATTACTAATAACAGGGCTGATGCTTTTTCTCACCTTGTTTAACTGCTAAACGTGAGCTCTCCTCAGTGCATGTCTTCATTTCTTAACCTGATTGAGTTAAAGATCCTAAACTGTTAACATGATTCTGAGAGCTCCTTTAACTGTCTGTCTTTGTGGTGGTCAGAACCGTAATAATAACTACATATTATATTTGTTAAGGCCTTATTGTTACATGGTTATGTTTGAAGCTGAAATGTGCCTTGTTGATGGGGCAGTCTATTTATCCTATCTTGAACTACATGTTAGAATCATCAGTGACGAGAGAGAGGGGAAACTCAGAATCATGGTTTTATCTTTTCCAGAGGGGCTGTGACTTGGTTTAATATGAGGATGTGAACGCTTTCATTCCACATTTGTTTTATAAGTCGATTTATATTAATGCAAAATTTTATCATAATTTGAGGAAAAAATCAACAGCTGAAACATTTAAAACTTATTTTGACGTTTTTGTAATACGTTAAGTGTCTTGACAAGAGTTGCGCCGAGTTTTTCATTGAATTATAACGATATCGCAAGATGAACGTTTTAGTTTGGGGTTTTTATGGCGATTGTCCCTTTTTCATTATCTGTTGGCTACTTGGCGACAACCCTCGAGCTTTAATTTGGTCCTAAAATTCACTAGTCAGTGTCTACATGTCTGCACAACAATTAATACTGCATATAGCGGATACCGATCTGCCATAACACTCTGAACAGCTTTATTTTGCTCCCTAAGTTTGTTGATAAAGTGGAGAAAATAAAGACCAATTTAATACACTCCAGCACACCACCACCTTCATAATAAATGTTAAAGCTCCTGTAAGAAACTGTTGGCTTTGTCAATTTTGGCGCCCCCCTCTGGACAAAGCAGTCTTCGCTTTTCTTGTCCTCTTCACGCTTAAGCAGTGTATTCTGACCAAAAATCTTCTAAGGAAAAGTCAAATGGGTCACTTATTTCGTATATTTATGTTGAAACTCTCAAAACAGAGTCATTTTTCAGCCACTCTGCTGACCTTACCCTCTCACAGCAGTCTCATTGATATACAAATTGCCAAACCTATTCCTGATAGCCTTGTTTGCATTTGTATGTTATGAAAAGTCAAAGACAGTAAAGACTGAAAATGTAGAAGCCTTCTGACAGTATAATTTGAATACTGGATGATGTGAAATTGGCCAAGAGTTCCTAATGTTATGGCTAGTCGGTGTATGTTTGTTCTTGTACAGACTAGACAGTGATTCTGATAAAGCGCTGTGAATTCAAAAGTCCTAACGGAGGACACTATGAGGAGTGGGATTAATAAAACAAAAAACTATTCAACTATTTCCATTGTGAGAAACTTTTGCCTCAGTGTGCTACAGCCAGGATTTTGATAGGTGTCATTTTGGATCGTACATTTCAGGATATGATAGCCTACCTTGAATTGACTGTGTGTCAGAATCTGCATCGCCTTTAAGTGAAAGTAGAACCAAATGCACTGACTTTGACCACGTCTTTGTGAATGCCGCGTGCAGGTTACACTTACCCTTATATGTAAATCTGGAGGCCTAACATTGAATCAGAATACTTCCTTTACTCACAAATATCAGATTAGATCCCTTTTTCTACCTGCATTGCTGATGAATTTCTGTCAAATAGCAGTTTGTATTTATTTACTGCCTTTTGTTCTGTGTAGTCAAAGTATGTTTCTCGATATTGATACTCCCAACAGTGAAATCTTCGAGGAAACTGAGCAGTCTCGCTGTGAAAGAATTCCTCTGTTTTGCTGCTTAATCTGGCTCAGTGTTACTAAAGAAAAACCCCAGAGGATTGCTGGTTATGAAAATACGAGGAGGCTGCTGTTTCTGAGTAGCTGCTGCAGGATGCCCTTCAGCTTCAGACTGATCCAGCTTTGACATATTTTAGAGAAACTATCTGGTCTGCTCATTAAACAAAAGCAGAAGAAAGTAGGATTTACACTTGCTCTCTTCCTGCTGTATCTGTACTCCAAAAGCACAGAGGTGGATATCTTGAAGAGTCGATGATTCATTTCTTCATCAAAGACCCAAAGAAGACATGTCTTTGGTTTTACTTTGCAGTCTGTTTTGGTTTTGGTCTGGCAGTAAATGTAGCATGTAACCTTCATGGGAGACTCGCTGTATTTCTTTCAGCATATATGTTTTGGACCCATCTTCATTGGAATGTCATCAACATGCTGACTTTGTAATAAAGAAATTCTTGGACTTTTTGAACATTTTTGTCCTCACACTTTTTATTGTGTGTGTCCATCCCTGCTCAGATCGATATACAGCTCATAATCACATTACAGGAGAAGTTTTGTCAGGTTTGTGTACACATGAACACTTGGCGATGAGGAATTTGGCTTTCTGTGAGAAGCTTTTGTTATAATCCCTCACTGGGCTTAGGGTTTTTTTACAACACTCGGTCTTTCACCAATATTTAATCATCTGTTTTGACAGCTGATGTTTTCTGTACATGAAAACTAGTTAACTTGTCAACTCTAAAATCAAAAACCTTTTGAGCACAGTGATTTAAGTTAAAAATCTTTTATTGCAGGTTGAATAGAGAGCAGATAGAAATCTTGAACAAAATCATCTTCAGAGGAGAAAAATATGTTCACATTGATACACAACCAAAACATATATATATTACACATATTTACGGCACTTCTTTTTAAGTTATAGTTGTTTGGAAAGCAGCTTTAAGAACCAGAAATTTGCTCCCAGAGAAGAAATCAAACCGTCAAAAGCCTAAAAGATTAAAGTCCATTAGGTATGAGATACACTGAACCGAAAGGTCTTTGCAGAGGAAGAGTTAGAACACAAACCTGTGCAGCACAGTGAGTCAGTAACAGAGGACTTTTGCGATATTATATAGGTGGAAAACATAAGATAACTTTTCTCCTGTTGAACCAATTTATGCCCATTATTTGGTCCGACCAAGTAGATAACACAGAGGTAATATTACATTCAAATACATATCTTGTATTGATCCCTTAAAGACATAGCTCAAAGCTGCAAGTGTTTCCAGTTCATTAAATGTGATTTAGTGGGAAATATCTCTTAAACTAATCAAAACACAGACCAGATCAATCTTTTAATCTGCACTGGAACTTTAAGTGTAAACCGGCTGAACATAATCTGTATGTTTGGAATGTGTGTCGTAGAGTTTTGATCCATTTTCCACCGTGACATATATTCTGCCTCCCAGTCAACAGTGTCAGGATTGCTCCAATATAGATTCCCAACATGTAGAAAATGTCCTCAGCAAAGCAGACGAACTGTAAAAAAAAATGCTCTGGAATTGACAAATAATACACAGAGGGTTGAGAACTGACATGTTTGAAAAAATTATGGAGTTAAGTGAAGAAACAAAGCAAAAAAAAATATTTCCAACTTTGTGTTTGTAAAAATCTCTACACAACCCCCCCTCCAAAAAAAAAAAAAAAAAACCCAGTGGAAGAAGGCGAATGTATCAACAGGTCCGACTCAGTCCGAGTCTTCATCGTCCAAATACTCTTCAGCATTGCTCTGTGTGCGGGTGATGTCTGAAACACAAGATATGGACAGTTAACAACGAAACAACCGCAAGACAACACAATCACAATTTAAATAAGTTCCCGGTTTGAGAGGGTAATGCATTCAAGAACAAGACCTTCGCCAGTAGTCAGTAGTAAGTGTCTTTGAATTCAATAGCTTTCCTCCTCCTACTATAAATTGGTGTTTTTCCTGACCAAGTATTCCCGTCTTGTTAAAGGGATATTCCGGCGTAAGATTAAGTTAGGGTCAAACACACCGTAACACCGAGTTAGACACCCCCTCGAGAGATGAATGTTGCCGAACGCTTGCTTCTCTAGTTATACCAACTTTAGTAACGACCACACGATAGCAATACACAGCGGTCCCAGGAGCCACGCGCTCAACCAAAAAGCCAGCAGCTGCATGTTTGTGTGGAGACCTCAGGCGAGTTTATTACTGCAGTGGGGTGACGCAGCTCAAGGAAGAACATTTATGATCATTTCTTCAGGTCTGCAGTGCAAAATCATTAATAAGATGATTATTACTTCAAGAAAAAGGTAAAAAAATTATCATAAATGTTCTTCCTTGAGCTGCGTCACCCCACTGCAGTAATAAACTCGCCTGAGGTCTCCGCACAAACAAGCAGCTGCTGGAAGAGAGTGGGTGAGTTGTGTTTAGTCTGTTTTCTAAAGAAATTAGGCAAAGTTAAAGGATGTTTGGTGGCTAGTGCTGTGGCTGGGACCCGAAATGTACTGTTGATGAAGTTAGGTGCTGTTCTGAGTATTATTTGTGGCTATAGAGTGGTGTTTTGGTTGAGCGAGTGGCTCCTGGGACCGCTGTGTATCACTGTCGTGCAGTCGTTACTTAAGTTGGTATAACTAGAGCAGCAAGTGGTCGGCATCATTCATCTCTTGACGGGGTGTCTAACTCTGTGTTACGGTGTGTTTGACCCTAACTTGATTTTATGCCGGAATATCCCTTTAACTTTTTTCTCTTTAACAGGTTTAGTGTTTTAGTTGAATAATGTCTCTCATCCTGATCTCAAAGTGGACTCTTCATCTCCATCTCCCTCCACTGACAGTTAATCACAATTAAGGAGCACCTCTCATTTTCTTCCCTTATTGTGTTTGTGTGAGTGCTGTATGACTGCCCCCTTGTGGCAGCTATACTTACTGCCTCCCTGCTTCTTTTTAATAAGTGAAGCACACGTGGGGTTTGTGGCCATCTCTCCAGCCAGCTTGTTCTCGTTGTTCCTGATGTCTGTCCTTGGATCTGAAACAAAAACACTCACACTAAATAACTGGAAACTCGAAGCAGAAAGACGCACAAAATAAAATGACGCAGGAATGAAATTTGTTCACATGAGGGCACATAATATTTGAAACTGGGCAGCTGGTTGGCCATTGCAGGTTAAGATGCAACTTCATACTCACTCTTGGCCAGCAACATTTGCACTATGTCCGAATAACCTTTCCAGGCAGCAGCGTGAAGTGCGGTGTCCCCAAGTTTATTCTGAAACCAAAAACATTAGTCATCTTTAGACAAGTGGAGACGTGTTAAAACTGACAGTTTTTGCTGTATTTTCTGGATTTATGTGCCTTTATTTGTGAGGATAAGACGGTGGCTAGAGGAGGGACTAAGGACGGAGCAGGCTGGAATCGAACCCAAACAAACTTGAGGCACAACCCACATGTATGGGGTGGGTTTCTAGACTGCTTCGCCAGCGGCACCCCTAAGAGTTGTTAACTAAATGTAATTTCACTTAATGACTGGCAAAACACTCTGACTCACAACTGGTAAAACTGGAATCACTGTTGTTCGAGAGCTTTGTAGAAGCTTGTTATTTTAGAGAATAAGACATTTAATACGACATTGATTGAGTGGAATTAGAAAACTCACCTGCTGGTTAAGCTCCACATTAGGCTGGCTAAGCAGCACCTCCACCACATCTAAGACAGAATCAACGAAAAGAGGGAAACAGAAAGAATGACAGATTGATATTATGCAGGTGTTTACTCAGATAAATGGAAAGATTTGGAAATTTGCATTATTCAAATCCTAGCGGCACAGGATGAATGCTGGATGAAATGAAATGGCAGATCACTGTCATGTATTTTGGGACTGTTCTTTAATCCACTCATACTGATAAGGGATCATGAAAGAGTAAGTATTTTTTGAGATATTATTATTTATATTTCTTTTCTAAAACTGCACTTGGGTAAATTCTCTGAAAACTAAAAGCTAAAGATAAACACCCCTTTAAGGTGCTGTTAACTGCTACAAAAAAACCCATCACACAGAGTAGAAGCAGTAACACCCAGATCAGATCAAATAACAGCCATCTGCGAACAATGGAGGAAAACAGAGAAGAACAAGTTCCTGTTTTTTGTTCACTTCACTTTCATCTCAAACTTCTGTGTCTGCTTATCAAAGTTTTGATTTATGTAACTACAATCAGTAGCTCGCTGCTCAAAGTTCAGCCAAACTTCAACAATCTCCAAGTCTCTTTTTCTGCTGTTAGTGTGTGTAGTATGTTCATATTCAAAGTTAATCTTAACCTCTATTTATCAACAAACCATGATGGATACCTTTATGTCCTCCATGACATCCCCAGTAGAGGGCGGTGTTCCCAGCCTTATCCAGCCCGTTAATTCCCACTTTGTTCTCCACACATTCCCTCAGCCAGCACAGATTTCCTGTTTAAGTACACAAAAATGTGCACACACGTACAAAGCACTCAGAAAGTAAAATGGAAAGGGGAAAATACTCGAGTTGCAAACAGTGAAAGAGCTCCATAGCAGAAACAGAAGTGACATTTGGCCATTTAACGTTTGGACGTTCTTTTTTTTTTTTTGAAGGGGGAGATTTTTGTAGAATCAGTGAATCAATGTTGTCGCAGAGAAGACAGTTGTGATATTAAAAGAGAAAAGATGAAAGTTTGCTCACCTCGTTTGGCTGCTTCATGCATTGGGTTGTCAATAGATTCTGCGTTCTCAGCCACTGAAACAAAACAAACATCGATTACTTACTCAGGAGATGATGGACTATCACATAAAAGAGAGCTCTGTATTTAGCAGTATTTTGGTTTCTGAAACATACAAAATGTCTCATCTTTTTTAACACATGTTCTCTCACCATAATTACTTGGGATGAGTCCTGTCTTTCCTCTGCACGTCCCTTTCCACCAGTTTGAGTCACTCTGAGGATGAAAAAGGATATTTGCTTTTGATCAAACATCAAAAAAGCAAAATGAGAAAATGGGAAAGGCAATATCAGGGGAACAAAGAAAAAAGCGCAAATACAAAAGATGAAAATGTCCAAAAATATAATTCAGAGAAAAGAAAGAAGGTAGAGGAAGTCCAGATTTAGATTCAGAATAGGATATGGGGATGTCTTTCACTTACTGTGTCAGAGATGTACAAGAAGTCTCCTTCTTCAAAGTACAGCTCATCAGGCTAAAAATGAAAATAAAGAGACTTTTCTTTATTTCTAACCTTTAATGACAAATGTTATTTTTTATTTTTAACACTTTATTCTTCACTTTTTTCTCTTGTTTGTCACCTGCTCAAAAATATAACTGCTCAACTTCATACGAGTTCTTACTGTTTCTCCTGGTATTTACCAAAAGGATGATCATAAGATCACCCAGTCTTTTAATATCTCCACCAAGGTCATATCATCGGTTATTAGTTTGGTCTTCAGAGAAACACTGTAACAGATGAAAAGTTCATACCGTTCTGGGGTCGAAGTTGTAGAGGGCTCTGAACACTTTGACCTGGCCTAGTGGAGACAAAACCACAACATCAGACTGCATGGCAAAAGAGATATTTCACAAATCGACATTATCTCTGTGTAAATTAAAGTGGTGGACAGAATAAACTGGAGAGACAGCTCAGTGAAACCATCCATACTGCCGCCTCACGGCTCTATAGATTCATCGGCTTATTTTAACTGTGACGAGGCAGAAGGTGAGTGCAAAATGCTGTTGAAAGGTGCTGAATTAAACTATTAATGAGAAATATGTGGAAAGCAGAACATCGCCTCACTCAAGCTGTAACATCTCTCTAAAATGCACTTGTTTAAACTGAAACCTAGAGCCCCTGATGTTTGCTCTCAAGCACCACTGTTCACTAAAACAACACTGCTCCAGTCAAGAACAATACTCAGCATTTTAACACTCTGCACAGGGACTTGATCACATAACCTCTCTCCTTGTGTGTGTGTGTGTGTGTGTGTGTGTGTTGGCCTGAGCTGGCTGCCCTCGGGGTCTGACATGGCTCACTGTGAAGCCTGGCGTTAGTTCTGCTGCTGGAATGCTACCAGAGTGGTTGCGGCCTTAGCTGTCAGCCCAACTAGTTCATGGAGACCAGCAAAGTAGTTTAAAGAAACAGGTACAACTTTATATTTTATAGTCCTACAACTGTTGCTGTAAACTACTGACAAGCATAATTTACTACACAGACTTAAGTTTAGACTCTGAGGACAAACTCAACACACTCAATGCATTATATTCACTGCAAATATGTAGGGCAGTCTAATCTGGCATTTTGTTTGATATCACAATACAGGGTCAGGCTGTGCATGTAATCACAATTGCGACAAATCTGCAGTTTATGCATCACAAAAGTCTGGATTTATCACAATGAACTGTAAAACTAGGGTGGGAGGCCAGGTAGGAAGGCCATGCTTTCACAATATACTCATGCAGTCAGATCAAGTTCATGCCAGGTATCGGCTAATCTAATATTGATTAGTGATGACTAAGTGGTTGGGGTTATACTTGTTATATTTTGGGAGTAGGAATAAGATGCAAACATTGATATTGTGAAAAACACCAAGTACAAAGATGAACTGAGTTATGGCAAATATGCAGCCTTTCATATTTGTTGATTTGTAGGGCTTCATATTGTTGCAATGAATCAAATGATGTTATCACTTAATTTTGATTTTCTCATATAGTGCAAGCCTAAAACAGGGGTTCAAGATCTGATAAAATGCAGCAGTACTGTTGATATATTATACTTTACTGTGACCATTAAAGCTCCTGTGAGGAACTTTTGGTGTGTATCCATTTTGGCGCCCCCTGTGGACAAAGCAGTCCTTTCATTATCTTGTTGTTCACAAGGGTAGCCCTTTAATGCCTGACATCACAAATTATGGCTAGAAATTCCAATTTTTTTTGGAGCTGAAATGTTTATTTCACTTACTACTGAAAACCAAAAAAAAAAATCAAAATGTCCTTAAAATTCAACAAATATATTTATTTATCTTGTTTGATACATTAGATGTTTTTGGAAACTGATAAAACACAAGAGGACATTTTTAACATTTATCGGACTGTATTCGGGTGTTTTTTTTAGTAATTTGTTGATCATATTATTGATTTGATAGAAGCATATAAAAGTATGCATCAAATATGATCCAAGACGCATTAAAGGGTTAAGAGTTTCTTTTGACTGTTGATGGTCAAATGTATCATTTACTGTCTATAATAATCTATGTGGAAACAGTAAAACTGGGGTTGTGTCTTCAGCTGCTTGGCTGACATCCCTCTTGCACCAGTTTCAAAAATTGTCATTCTTGTTGCTGATGATCTTGTTTGCTTTTATGATATCACTATGAATTTCAGTCTATTTTATTATTATGAAAAAACCCTCATCATAGGAGCTTTAAGCAAGACAGTTTTAGGAAATATGTTAGTCGGACAAACGTGCTGTCAGTAAAAAAGCAGCAAAAATGAGGGATATATTCATTGAATTTTCTGTAACATCCACATGATAATGTTTGTGAAATTGGTACAGGATCCAAAAAGATAACATCCACATCCTTCTGTGTTAAAAATATTTCTCTACATTGCTTGTAATACATTCACTTCACGAGGGTTCTCTCAGTCCACTGATTTATTTTCTGTTTCTCAAACTAAGACCTTAACATTCGACGGTTTCTAACCCCCCCTCTGCTGTAACTCGGAGTTTCAATTTAGCTAACACTGTCTCAGTGTGTCAGAATGAGAGGGGCTGCAGAGCTGCTTCTACACAAACCCCGCTCTGTTCACCACCGCAAGCATGTCCCGTCTGCAAGCCTGGTCATGTCATTCATGAAACACAAAAGATCTGTGAGGACTAGTCCACGTTGTCTGCGCGTTTTAAAGCCTTTGGGACATTTAAGGATTTATTGAAGCAAAATCAATCAAAGAGGAGGATAAATTTATCCTTAGCGTGAAGAAAATCATTGTCAGTGAGTTTCATTTGCTTGTGGGTTTTTGATGATTTCCAGCTGTGTTATTTTATTGCAAAACAACTCCTACAGCTCTGCATGTCTGATCTTGGAGGCTGTTCGATTCCCCATTCCTGCTGGAAGCCCAACCCAAAGACCTCACCATATAAACCTCCAAAAATATGACACCAGGAGCCTATAATCCTGAATGTGATGTTTTAGACCAAAGAATGTACATCACTCTCATGCAAACTATTCTCCTTGAAAAAGGAAAAAATATTTGACTCATAAGCTTGGTCTTGTTTCATCTATTTTGTGTGTGGCTGTTAAAAGACAACGTTTAACACTATGTTACACAAAAGATCACATTAAGAACCAACAGAAAAAAAAGGTTTATAATCCAATCTTTTGCGAGGAACCAATTTTCAAAATATCAATATGAGGAATATTTATAAACCATCAGCTTTACAGGCTGCAAAAATTACTTGGAAAGTATTCAGGGGAAAGTTTTTGAGGTATAAGTACGTGCGAAAACACATCTACTGGAAGCTGCTGTCAATCCAGATTTGAGTGAACCTGCAAAATTCAAGTCACTAAATTCTGTTTTAACACTGAGGCCTGTTTATCTCATAGTGTTGTACCTCCTCTGTGTGTATTGCTACATAAATAAAGCTGCATTTGAAAGTTGATGTGACTGTGATCAACAAGGCCAACCAGCCATCTGTCAGGAAAGACGATCTCACCTGCTATGAAAAGCTGACTCATGCCTAAGCATGAGCAGTGTGAATGAAAATGATGCTTTAATTGCTCCAGTTTTGTGCTCCTCTGTTTTCACAAAGACACAGCTGGTGGGCAGAACATAACACACAAGCCTCCACTGAAAATGACATGTTTTTTTCTACCTCTAATAAAAACTGGGTCATTATTTCAACCCATGAACGAATGGTTAATTCTATCTGGGTTAACACACTTACGCAAGTTTATTAATGGAAGTGAAACATGAGGGTCACCTATCAACCAAGACCAAGTTGTACAACTCTAAATAGAAAACCCCTGCATTAGGGTTTGGTTGTCATTTTCTTCCTCTTGTATACAGGTGGCTTCATGCAATACTGTAATCGGCCTTCATTGTTACCCTGATGATAGAGTTGCATTAAAAATTTAATGTTAAAGATCTTAATTTTTTTTTCACATCAATAAAAAAGACTGAAATTCCTGCCAATGCCTTCACTAGTTATCCAAAAGCAAACAAGATCATCTGCAACAAGACGGACAACTTTTACATTATATTTTTAATGCCTAAAACCTGTGTGAGGGGGTAGGTGTCAGCCATGATTTTGCTAATTCCACTTAAAATACTTAGAATAACTGATGTATTCAACTGTCAAAAAACAGCATGATAAGATATTTTTGTAAAAGACATGACATAAGCATAAAGAGAGTGAGATATGCAAAGATAATTTTGTCCACAGGGGGTGCAAAAATTGGCATAAACCAAAAGTTCCCCTCAGGAGTTTAAATTCAGCTATTCAACAGAAAAACTCAATTTTAACCTTCATGAATATTGTGTTTTTAAGCTTTTTAGTTGCATTAAGTTAGGATTTAAGTGTCTTTTTCAAGGGATTCAAATCATTGGACAAACACAACTCTCAAAATAGAAAAAACATTGTATTTACAGGTCAAATAGAGGAAAACTTGGTCATTTTATCATGCAACAAAGGAAAATTCTTTTTAAAAGGTGTTTTATATTTTGGACCCTTTTTTTGGATCTGCCTGTTTTGCACAGATTTCCTTCAAAACTGGATGAGTGTAAATTACCTGGAAAACAACGTGAAGGTCTTTATGGTTCTTTTTATTACTTCCCACATTTAAAAAACGTTCTATTTTTATCATTATAATAGTAATAATTATAATTATTTACATTTGATAACTAAAGTAAAGTATACCATGAGTAAATGATACATCCTTTAGGAATTAGACACATTTCCTTATCTCTGGGATTGAGTTACCAGATTAGAAAGGCAGGCTGGTCTTGGAGGAAATCAAAATGAAGTCACTGACCAAACAGCTTCATCATCACCTTCTAACCCTCTAACCCACGACCTACTACCGCTGGATGACGGCAGTCTCTGTGCATGACTGATGGAAATAGGGAAGTTACAGAGGCCTGCTGCTGAGAGCTGGATCCTCCTGTCAATCAGCCCTGAAGGCACTAACCACCCCCTCTGTCTGTAGTCCTGCCCCGTATAGAAACAACATATAATGTTAAAAAATACGAGATTACCAGCTCTCTGCACGCACTCTCGTTGCTGTCTTAAAACACAAACAACGAAAAAGCATTTGTCATGAACTTTGTCAAGTAGCGCTCACCGGCCGCCCATTAATGCTGAGCTTACAGCGCCGACAAGGTGTGCTGTCTGTCCCCCGTAGGACACTGAGCTGTTCAGGCTAAATTCACACAACAAATATTGACGAACGGAGTCTTACCTGGTTTAGCCGGCTTGGGAGGAGGTTTCGACATTTTCGAGGCACAGAGGTGGCACAAAACTAAACGCGCTGTGTGTTATTTTAGTCAGAAAACGTCGGAAGACTGTGGAGCACTTCACTGTTGTCAATGAGGAAGTGCAGCAGCAGCAGCACTGGCTACGCGGAAAAGTTCAGGAGCGCATGCGCAGAGCGAGGCATTACTTTGAAAAGTAAGCTGAGCTAGATAGCTAGATAGATAGATAGATAGATAGATAGATAGATAGATAGATAGATAGATAGATAGATAGATAGATAGATAGATAGATAGATAGATAGATAGATAGAACCTACCGTACATAACGAGTACTATTCATTTTTATGTTACATATCAATATTGGATTGGAAGATGTTTTCACCATTTTATATACTTATATACAGACTTTGTATAATTTTCTATCTATCTATCTATCTATCTATCTATCTATCTATCTATCTATCTATCTATCTATCTATCTATCTATCTATCTATCTATCTATCTAGTTTATATTATATAAACTATGTACCATTCTATATACAGTCTATGGTTTTCACCAATTTCTTTAACACTGTACATATAGTGCCCTTTTTCCAAGAATGGGCTGCAGAAATGGCACGAGTTGCAGCATTAGAAGAAGTGTCATATACACAAATGGGTAGAATGGATCTATATGAAGGAAAGTGGGGTAAATACTTACATTTCTTAAAGGGCTCCTGAAAAGTGTTATAGTGGAGAGATGCAAGTACTGGATTTTTTATGTGAGGTCTGCGTACCTGTGCTTTTCCTTTCCTTTTGTGTATGCTGAGCTTACGGAAGCAGCAAAATATGTACATTTATGTGTATGTACATGTATATGTGTAAGTGACTAAGTAGATTTGGGTATTTGCACTCAAGTGTAGTGATAGAGGGATTTGATCTGTTTTATGATTATGATTTTTTTTCTCTCTCATGTATGTATTTATATTCTTTCATTAATGGTTTAGATAGTGCGACTGCAGTTATTAGAGGCAGGTCTGCCTGATATGATAGAGCATATTGTTAAACATCGGCTGCCAAAGAAGGATCAACAGCTTGTGGGTGGTGGGGGGCTGAAAAATGTTAAAAATAATAAAAGTGATAATCACAAAAAAAAAACACTGTGCATATAGATATAATCGCTTATACTATATACGATAGATTATATATGATTATAAAATCTATCATATATATCATTATAAATATAATATATGTCTATACTCTCTCTCTCTCTTTATATATATATATATATGCATATATAAACTATCATCTATAGTATATATTATATATAGCATATACTATTCTATATACAGTCTATGGTTTTGATCAATTTCTTTAATACTGTGTATATATAGATATAATCGCCTATTTACGTAGCCTTACTTTAAAAAACTCCAATACTTTTTCTGTTGCCCTATGTAATTTTTATATTTTCCTTTATTTTTTAATTTTTTTTATCTTGCACTACTAACCATAGACTAACCATTGTTTTGAAAAGCTCTGTTTACTTTTTGAAAAAAAAAATTGTAATTGTTGTCATGTTTCCAAAAGTAATTCTGTTACATGTACACTCCACGATGCAGATGTTATTTTGACTTATATTTTAACTAATACAGTACACCTACCTTTTCATTATGTCATACATAAACTTCGATATTCTGTAAGATGTTTTGAAATTATTAACTTATTAACTTATTTATCAGTTTTATATTGATCTCTTATTATTTATTTGTTCCGTAACATCTCATTTATTCACTGTCTTTCTAATTAAACAGGTATCCCTCTCTGTTATAACACTGTGCTGTATTTACAGAGTGGGGCTATTGTCCTTTTTCTCAATGAGCTGGTCGTAGGTGACGTAGCAGCTGCATCAGCGAATCACCAGCGTCCAATAGCGGAAAGCGTGTGGGGAGTTGTTGTAGCTCTCGCCACGAACATGCCTGCTTACTAGCTGACTATAAAGATGAGACGTTAACTCATTTTCTCTCTCTCTCACAGCTTTCATTTATTGAAAAGTTTGCAGCGACAAACCACGACAAAGCCGAGATGAAGACGCTGGTTGTAGGAGTTGGTGGGTAAGTAGGTCGGGGTGTAGCTTGAACTGTGTTGCTGCTGCTGCGATAACAACCATGCGAAGAATTCCTCTCTTGTTTGGTCTGGATCACTTTGTCCACAAATGGCCGAATGGAGAGCCGGCAGCATTTTTCATGAACACATTCAGCCTTTATTCAACCAAACCAGTCAGTGTCAGCTCCTTCTTCTTCTTCTTCTTCTTCTTTTAGTGTGTTAGAGGGAAATAAAGAAAGACAAGATTACAGGTCAAATAGATGGGATCAGCAGGGCTAGAGAAGCCATCAGATCAATACAGCATGTGACAGCCATGTGCAAGCAGACAGATAAGAGTCTTACTCTTGTAGGTTACTTTACTAACACAAAACATGTCTCTTTAAATTAACCTCCTAGTCAGAGAGAAAAGTCGAACTATTAAGCTTTTTGTGTACTGTAATGCCATTTCACTAAATAAAAAATATAATAATAAATAACATATTGATGCAAAAGAGCTGGAAATTACATCAGTTTGCTTTGCATCAATGATATGTTAATCCAGAACATTAATATTTAAATATTTGTCAAATTTGAATCAAGCGATACTGATAATACACATCATGTAAATGAACTCTTACTTGCAGCATTTGTTATTGTGACTTAATGTAATTCGAGTAATAACTTACCAGGCTGAAAACAATGTTTCACATCCTTTCTGGTGTGAAAGTGTGTCGGCCACACCCTGCGTCGACTGTTTGGTGTGGTTGGGTTTGCTTCACCGTTGGCTCGGTTGCACCTCTTCCCACACACAACAGTGATGTCACGGTTAACAGACCAAAGCCTGACTTATATTTATATTTTTAAAAGTGACAGCAATAAATGCCGTACTTAATTTAGGGAAGTGTAATAGTCATATCAAAACTAAATAGGTACTGAGTGTGATGTTTGAAGTCTAAAAGCTGTATTATCATTCTTGAAAATCAACAAATAAATTAAGTCAAAGTTCACAATTTTTGTGCTTCTAGTCTAGTCTAGTGATTTTGTAGTTTTAAAGTTCAAATAATGAAACCAGCAAAACTAGAAAGTAAAATGGTACATGTCAAAATGTCAGGGTTACTGTGGGCGTTGTTGGAAAGCACACAGCACCAATATTTTGGGTCTACATTGGGATTCCTTCAGTGCACTGAGCCAAACCAAATAATAATGATTGCAGTTGTTACTTCTACAGGGTAACCAAAGTTAGTCTTAACAACTTTGATGCAAATAATACGCGTTTGTTTTCCATTGCATTGGTGTGGGAGAGGTTCTTAATGCCATCTTAACCTAGGATTTGGTATCAAAGTTAATACTGGGGGAGATAAGATAAGATATGAACATTTATAGATACAGAGCGCACAAATGACCAACTGCAAGCTTCAAAGCTCAGTCTAAACCATGTGGGTCAGATTAGGCCGCATTACTGACACACCCAGGAGTGCTCTAATGAGCAAAACCAACAGAGGTCAGCATATACAAGAATTCCAGATGCTGTTAGAGTAAAACTCTTGAGAGGCTACTGTAAACAGTGAACTTAAGAAGTTTAATGATATTCTTACAGCTTTGAGTTGATTTTTCAATGTCACAAATTATTTGATTTCAGGATGACCAATGGAGGAAAAACTACCCTTTCCATGAGTCTGCACCAGCAGATTCCCAATAGCTGCATCATTGCGCAGGACTCTTATTTTAAGGTAGACTCTGCAGCTTTTTTTATATCGTACCACTGCTGTCATGCTGTTACTCTGGATATCTGAGAGCTTGGAGTGATCCCAGCGAATGCTTTTTTTTTACAGGATGACTCTGTGGTGCCAATGGACAGCCATGGCTTTAAACAGTATGACAGTAAGAGCACTCGATTTATCTCATCACAAATGTTTATATTTCATAGATGAAAAATTAACTTCTTTTTTAAACTAAATGTAAAGCTATTACAGTTGAATAAATTATCCTTAGAAGTAGCAAAACATGAAAATGACAGTGTAAAGTGAATCTTTCTCTCTGTATTTTGTAACAGTGCTAGATGCTCTTCATATGGACACGATGATGAATGACGTCGACTCCTGGAGAAGAGATCCTGAGGCGTTCCTACGGCAGTGCGGCCTGTTGTCCGAGCAAACAACCCCGGTCGAGGATGAGGATGTGTTTGTGCTGATAGTGGAGGGCTTCCTTATTTTTAACCACAGGTAGACGCCCAGTGAAGTTCCTGTGTTAATTTATTTAAATGACCATTAAAAACTTAAACTCATGTCTAACCCTTTCCCTTTGTGATGATGATCTACTAATCACAAGACTTCTATCCTAAAAAAACTGCATGGAAAAAATGCACTAACTCTCTGTTTCCCCCTCTTTAGGCCTCTGAATGACTTATTTGACATAAGGTACCTCATGGAGATACCGTATGAGATCTGCAAGAAGAGACGAAGGTGTTAGACTCTATCATCTCTTGTTTTGTTTTACCTGCAAAAATGTTGTTTCTATATTTGCCCGCTCTTGTGTTGACTTCTGTCTCTGTTATTGTTTGACAGTTCGAGGGTATACAGACCTCCCGATCCTCCTGGATACTTTGACGGACACGTGTGGCCAATGTACCTGAAGAACCGACGAGAGATGGAGAATATGGTCTCTGAAATCGGTGAGCGTCCAAACAAAGGTGATGAATGTGATAATAATGGATTGAACATATTCAAATATTCATATTTAAATTCATTCAAACAATACTGGAAAGGGGAAAATGACACTAATGTGTTGAGTTGGTGTTTTTTAGTAATTTTAGATGGACTGAGGCCAAAGGAAGAGCTGCTGGCTGTTGTGTGTAAGGATGTTTATCAGGAAATAAAAAGGCTGATGGGTGAGTTTTGATGTAAAATAAACTTGAAAAGTGTTAAAACAAATATCCTACCTCCTAAAGATTTGATCCATTGTAGATTATATTTTTGTGGTTGTCCAGACATGCTGCAGTAGTTTTGGTACACTGCTTCATTGCACAATAGTGTACATTCTTAGCACGCACACAAGTAATGTGTTTGTCAGCATGCATATTGATGTGAGCATAAAAAAGACTCAAACAGGCGGAACCCTAAGAAGTTACATAAAAACATGTAAATTGTCAATGGCACTGATGTGAAATGAAACCATGCAGGCAGATAAACAGTTAATGGCATCAAAGTTACAAGACAGATTTGACAAATCTCAACCTAATCTGTGCGTCTTTTGAAAGATATTTAAATCATCCTTTATGACTAATAGCTATTAGCACACTGTTAAGTTTACATGACTGATATATGCACCGCTTTAGAAGGAAAAATTAACAAATTTCATGTATTTTTGTTTGCAGAGAAGAACTAAAATGAACCTGAAGACGGACTCTACTACTCACATGGATGTCAGGAAAGTTGATTTTTTGACTATATTATAACAGAAAGGACCAAACCAAGTGTTACTTCAGTGTTATGTGAACACACTGATACCCGTGTACCATTTTTAATACTAAATATTGCTGAAGGAGTACACAAATGTTGTAGAATTAACAGATGCTGTAGCATTTGGACTTGTCCAGCTGGAGACTGGACAGAAAGATGAATCACATTTGCGTGGTGTTACTAATATACACTAACAGACCTAATTTTAAAGCTAGACGAGCAAAGTAGATGGTTTTCTTTAACTGGAGAGCTGAGACTTATTCTTTAACCCTGTACAGAAGCGTTCAATTTTAACTTGTGAACACTAAAAAAATGTTTACTAATGTGTGCATTAGTACTAAAGGTGAGCTCTGAAGACTTTCTCTCTTACTTTAGAATATTATATTAGTTTTATTAAACATTGAGAATTGCGTTGGGGAGTCTCATTTTTTGTTTGATGTCATTTTTTTAAAAACATCTCAAAGCAGAGCGTGTTAAAACATTTCACTGCAGAATACCTGAAACCAGCCAAGGGGACAAATGGCAGTGTCTTAATATTTGAATCATGGAGAAAGTTTTGGGAAACCATCCCTGTTATGCCATTCAGGTGTTTTTCTGCATCAATATACCTTGATCTACAAATCAAGAAACAACCCCCCAACCTCCACCAAAAATAAATAAATAAATAGAAATTAAATTTATTTGGTCGTTTTATTTATTTATTTTTGTTTGTCTTTCATTTATTTATCTTTGTGTCTTTTTCTTTCTTTCTTTCTTTCTTTCTTTCTTTCTTTCTTTCTTTTTCTTTCTTTTTAAAATTGACCCTGCCAGTATTTTCAGTGCACCACACAAGATATTAACCTTCATTCAGGACTCACTCATTAGTCTTTACTTCATATTTGGCAGGAGAAATATGGTTTGCAACATTTGCCACCTCTGTTACTCAATGCTCAGAGAGCTGTCATCTATCTAAAAAATGTATATTTTCTGGGAAATATTCTGAGAATATTGTGCAACCGCAAAAGGAAACAGATTTCATCCCAGAAAAGAAACAAAACTGCTCTTGCAGCACTTCTGGAATCAGGGTCATGCATATGCTCTTTTTTAATAGATAGGACATGGAGTGAAAGCCATGGCGTTAAAGCACTCTTTCATCATTGTAACAGAGTAGGTGCTCTCTGAGAAAGCTCAGTCTTAGTCTGTTCATTCCTCTGCAAAAAGTCTCCACCTTTCAGATCCTATAAATAGACCACCTCCTTCATTTTCAGACTGAAACCGGTTTGACTGCATCATGAGAACTGTTTTGTTGTACCGATCCAGAGCTGTTTCCTCACCGTCTGTGTGTACAGTAGAATTTTTCACACTTCCTCCGTTCCCACAACTGTTTCCACCACACTTAATGACAAAATTTTATCAAAAAGTCCGTGATGTCAGCAGATTATTTTTGTTTACCACAGCAGTCAACTTGCTCGACCGGCGTGTGCAGTATAAGAGTCATCACATGTGAATCTGGACATTCCTCACTTCCCTCTGCTGAGTGTAACCTCCTCTCTGTCGACATATATAAGCGTGCCGCTGCTTCTTTCACTAACAAATGCTGTGTAATAGCTTGTTACATGATTTCGTGTGAGATTAAACCTTCATCAGCCAGTTTTTTAAAGGCACTCGATCTTAAAACATGTCAAACACAGGATTTCCTGCATATGTGAGTTTCTTTTTTGCATGCTGCTTCTGTTGCTTCTGTTGCAGCAGAGCGATGCCAACTCAAGTCAAACAGGAGGCAGTAAACAACAACAGGCCTGTGATTGGTAAGTGATTATGAAGCAACTAGTTGACACTTGAATTTTTGTCTTCTTTGAGTTAAAGGGACAGGTTTCTCACAGCTTCTTTCTCAGGAGTGTCCTCACAACTGTTTTTGTCCCCCAGGTATTTTGACACAGTTAGTTTCAGATGAAGTTATGAAACCATTCGGGAGGACCTACATACCTGCCTCTTACGTGAAATACATTGAGTCTGGAGGCAGCAGAGTGGTACCCATCAGGTAAACTGACTCCTCTAATGCTGCTTGTAACAGCTACACAAGACTTTATGCATTTAAAGGGAGATTTTTCATGTATTATTTGATATTTTTAGTGAGTGAGCAACAAGTACAGGGTGAATTTTCAATCATTGAGGCTGACGAAGTTTAGTGATTATCAGTTTATTTACTGATGACATTGGTAATAACAGTATAAAGTATAAATAGTCATTCAGTTGATTAAAATCTTAAGTTAGTGAAGAAAACGCATATCCTTTTTTAGATGAGCTGAAATCAACCGGAAACTATTTGTCTTCTGTTTAATCATTGGCAGATCATTTTTTTATCTATCTATCTGTTGATTGTTTGACTGAAAGTTTCAGCTTTATTGTGGATATGCCTGCAGATACATCTTCATATTGATGTCATTAAACACTTTTGAAACCCACAGTAAAGTAAAATAAACGTATAACACAAAGCATGCTTGCTAATGTAACTGACATCTGTTGGATGTTTTGAGCCCTTGCTGTGTAATCAGACATTGAGGTTTGCTGCTGAAGCGTAAAAAGAGGAAGTTGATTTTCTTTCTCCCTGGTTTTCTGGTTCTCATTCATAGCCCTCTGGTTGATTTTATGTTGCTGCTGTAAGACCTAGTTTTCTACATTTGTCATCCACAGATTGACTCTAACTACAGCTGAATATGAAAACATCTTCAGGAAGATAAATGGGTGTGTTTTTTTTTTTTAATCCACTGCTGTGTTTACATCTGTTATTTCTGATAAATACGCATTTTCTCTCAGTCGGTCTTGTCTACTCTACTTATTCTAACTCTGTGATGTCTCTGCAGCTTAATTTTCATCGGGGGAGCTGCAGATTTGGAGACTTCAGACTTTGCCAGGGTTGCAAAGATTTTCTACACCCTCGCTCTGAAGGTTTGCACAACAGAACTTGATCCTCTTACTCGCTGTAACTGTCTGTTGTTGTCTCAGACTCTATTTCTCTCTTTGTGTGTTTTTGTCTATTTCTGCTAAGAAGACAATCTTTTATTTGATTCTTATTATTATAACCAAGTTTGGAAAACACTTTTTTTTTATTGTTCTTTCACTTGTAATTACAAATTTCGTTTAAAAGACAGTGTTTAATGACAGTGTCATTAATATTTCAGACTCAGTTTTGAAGCTCTCACTCTGTTAAGTTTCTAAAGTTACTTCTGATTTACCATAATGTCAGATTTTGCCTGCACAGTTATCTCATAAAAACATGTTTCAGTTTAAACCATCTGGCAGAAAGAATTGTGCTTCAATAAATCACATAAACAATCCATCAGTCCATCATTAAAACTAAAACCCATTGTGTGCTTCAGGCCAATGACAAAGGGGATTTCTTCCCTATCTGGGGTACCTGTATGGGCATGCAGCTCCTGACTGTCCTGGTGTCCGGTGAAAACCTGCTGACAAAAACTACAGCTGAGAACATAGCACTGCCACTCAACCTCACCACAGGTAAGACCTCACTGCATTACCATGTAGCTTATTTTTAAGCAATACAAGTGCTTCTTGAATTAAGACATGTCCTTAATAGATAAAGATGGAGCATTTCATGGGCATGTCCTGAATTTGACCGCTGGGTGTCAGTAGAAACAAGTTAACAGAGGAGGTTTTAGCCCCGAATGGCAGCATCTGTGACCACCAGCATGTTATTTCTGATCATTTTCGTGTCCTCATCCTATTATAAGGGGATTTTTTAATGCTATTTTGTATAGCTAAAGCAATTTAGGGTTCACATGCTCACATCTCCACCTCTGTCCCAACAGAGGCCAGCTCCAGTCGGATGTTTGCAGGTCTCTCTGATGAGCTCATGAAGGCTTTAGCTGAAGAACCCCTGACAGGCAACTTCCACCACTATGGGCTTACAGTCAAGGTAATACCATCTATTAAAATAATTCACCTTATTTCAAAGCAAACAAACTAGATTCATAATATCTTGGGGGAGGTGAGTTTAAGCCAAAATCTGTACTTTCAGTCATAATGCTCATAAGCCTGTGGACTCTCATTTTGAAGCTCAGTCTCTCTTTAGATGAGAATCTGAACAAATGAAAGAACCCTGCAGGAGGGTTTTGAGAGCAAGCAGGGTCATATGAGGACAGAAGCTGTGAGATATAAAAAAAAATAAGGCCATTTAATTTCCTCTGGGTAAGAAAATAACCGTCATTTAACTGCTAAATGTCCTTGGACACAAAGCCAGGATGAGGAGTTAAATTTCTTCTGATATTTGAGGCTGTAACTTATTAACAGTTTGTAAAATTGTGTTAGCGTAATCCATGGGTAATCAGCTAAAGAAGAATTTCTTTGTCTGAAAAGCGTAAGTCAAATCCTAGCATGAGCCACAAATAAAGATTCACATCATTCTAGACTGAAAAAAAAAAATCCCAGCACTGCTCTCACACCCCAAAGTCAAACAAGGACGCGTCTCAACCGTCAGGCTTATGTATTCACAGATGCACAGTAGATGGCAGTATTCAATTAGCTGAGTTGCTTGAGCGGCTCACAAAAAGTTCAGGTAAATCCTTCTCTGTTGACAGACAGCATTGATTGTTATCCATTTCCCCCCTCTGGTGATTTGCTTCAATTTAGAGCTGAGAAATAAAATCTGAGATTATCTGGTTGTTACAACATCAAATCAAATCAACATCCCAGAGCCTCTGTTACACAATAACAGAGTGACTCTTTTCAATCAGTAGAATTCTAAAGAGCTAAATAGAAGCCTGTTAATGAATTATGTGAAGATGAAGGATTTATAAGTTTTGCTTTACCAGCAAAAAAACAAGTTTTTTTATTTATTTATTTTTTTAATTAGATATGGTTCAGTTTCTCAAGAACACAAGAACACAAGTTTTGTGCTTCAGCTGTTTAAAACACATGCTTTATACAGATAAAATAGCAGAATATCTTGTCACTTGAAATAGATTGATCTTCTAAAATCATCATAAAGTAATATGAGAAATGTGATTTCAGGCTTTCCAGGAAAATGAAAAGCTGCAGAGTTTCTTCACAGTGTTGTCTACAAACATAGCTTTGAATGGAGCTGTCTTCATCTCTACATTAGAGGGTAACAAGATTGATTTTCTCTTAATTTGACAATCTTCAACTATTGCTGCATTGTTATAACAGTGATAGAGGGTGTTTCTTTCTTTTTTTGTAGGTAAAAAATACCCCGTCTATGGAGTCCAGTGGCACCCAGAGGTGAATCGTTTTCAGTGGGACAGTAAGCTGAACTTTCCTCACTCCCCTCATGCTGTTCAGTTATCTGCTCGGCTGGCTGAGTTCTTCATTCAAGAAGGTACGATTATTAATGCCTGTTATCAATAATATTTGCTGCTTTTTTCAGTGGAAATTATTTGTTGCTGTGGGAGAACAGCGCACATTTGAGTCTATTAGAGAATATGTCAAACTGTTGATACACTGCAGTATAACAGATTTATTATTATTTTTGTACTTATATATGGCATTTTGGAAATAAATATACACACTTTATGTAATTATTGCATCAATCAGATACAGCACATTTCTGGGTATTTTCAACAAAGACATACAGTATATATATGGTTATTATGTACACTAACAGTAGAGTATCCAATATATTAACATAAACTTATTAACTGCTATGAGCAAAAACAGACTAAAATGAATGAGATTAAAAACAAATGTCCAATTAAATAGCACTGTATGGAAATCTCAGTATAACTTAGTTCAGTAAAGCTCAGACAACTATGTTTGCATGTGCTCTTATTATTTCCCCTCTGGAGATAACTCAACCAGTCTATTTTTTCTGTTCTCAGTAATCTCTGTAAATCACATGAATCTCACTTCTGCTTTGTTTAGGAAGGAGAAGTTCTCATCATTTCGACTCTCCGGAGGAAGAGGCCTCCTCACTCATCTACAACTACACACCTGTCTATACTGCAAACTTTACAGGATACGAACAGGTCTACTTCTTCTGAGGGTTCACTGCTCAGGTTGATTTTAGCTGCAGCTTACTTGGTTTACTTGGATGAAACACTTATTTGATGTATTTGGTGCTTTTTGGGATGAAAATAAACTCATATTTTGATCATTGTAGCTGTAGATGGGTCTTCGGGTGGTGTTTATTTGTCAAGCATCCTTGCCATTAAGCACAATAATGGTCAAGTTCACTTTATCTTGAGAACAATGGTATCACTGTAACGGTAAATGGACTGTTGTTATATAACGCTTTCTCTAGTCTTCTTAATTCTCAATGGGCTTTTACATTCACCCATTTATACTACATTCTGCAGCCATCAATACTAACTAATCCCATTTACACAGTTTAGTTTTTTTAGATTCAGACAACTTTATTAAGGAAGACTACTTCTTTCAAAAGGGTAAAGGATGAACATAAATGACTAACTGCACAATCTCCCATACATGAAAAATGTTAAAGTTAAGAAGTGTTGATCTGAAGGTTGACTTGAGAACTATAGAAAAATTCAAGAAATGTCTCTGAGGTATAATTTACCATACACATAACTTAATAATCATGTTTATTCCCATGTACCACACAAATCAGTGCTTAAGGCTCAAGGAAGAACATTTATGATCCTTACTTTATCATTTCCTTGAAGTAATAATCACCATATTAATCATTTTGCACTGCAGACGTGGTAGTTCTTCTGCCTTAGAGTCTCGGTCTGGTTGCATTTCCATAAAGAAATGATCATAAATGTTCTTCCTTGAGCTGCGTCACCCCACTGCAGTCTGTCATGGACTGGCCTGAGGTCTCGCTATAAATAAGCGGCTGCTGGAAGAGAGTGGGTAAGTTGTGTTTAGTCTCTTTGTTAAGGAAATTAGGCAAAATTAGAAAGATGTTTGGTGTTTAAGTGCTGTGGCTAGGACCCTATATTTACTGTTGATGAAGTTAGGTGCTGAGCATTATTTGTGGCTATAGAGTGGAGTTTTGGTTGACGTTTGTTGATGGCTCCTTAGACTGCGGTCATTACTAAAGTTGGAAAAACTAGAGAAGCAAGCGGTCGGCAACATTCATCTCTCTAGTGGGTGTCTAACTTGGTGTTACGGTGTGTTTGACCCTAAATTAATCTTACGCTGGAGTATCCCTTTAATATCTTGTTTTATCCAGCTAACCGTCTGAAATAATCAGTTTACAACCCTATTTTTCTATTAAGTCATACGTTAAACAAACTCTTCAAAAAATGTTAGGCACTTTACAACTTTTTGAAACACAATGCCAAGAACATGTGGGGGTCTTGGCAAACTTTTGCTGGAGGGGTGTGGGCCAATCCCGACCCTATGCGGAAGACAACTCAAACTATTTCTTTCATACACTGTCATTGATTCTTCGTAGTCTGTGTGACACTTTCATGCGTAAGTAAAATGAAAACGATGCTTGGAAGCACAGGCAGGCCCGCACAGCACACGCTGACCCAGGGTTCCTGCTAATTGGCTTGTTCGCCTGTCAGTCATGTCTGTGTGGGCGGGATTATGAACATCGAGCCAGTGCTCTAGTTTTCTCCTTCTCTGAAACAGATGCTGCAGCTGGGTCAGTGTTATGCTGCCTATTAATTATAAGAGTCCAAAACAGCCTCAGCGTTCAGAAGAGGACATCAACATGTCTTCTTCTTCTTGACACCACGGAAAAGGGACCAAAATAATGTGACCAAACCAAGCTTCAACTTTCGACCACACGCTTTTATCTCAATTTTGTTATCCGTCTTTTTTAATGTGCTAATGTCCGGCTAACCTTTCAAACTGCTCGTGCACTTCGCTGCGGTCGTCCTCATCCATCTGCTCGCGCGGAAGAAGCTGCGGCTTGTTGGTAAACACGAACCCGACCCCGGCGGCAAGGACTCCCTCTGGTGCATTGATGCACCCGTTTCAGTGGTGTAACGGTGAGCAGTCATTTTATATTGTCCGAGCTGTGTTAAGGTAGGCCTCTCTGATAGGGGCTAATGTGCAAAAATACAGTCTGTTATTTGGGCACAGTGAAGCTCAGATGGCAGGAGTGTAATAGAGTGTAGACTGAGGTTTCTGAATCACCCAGTGTTTCTAAATTTAGACATTTCCATTGTAAGAACCAGAAATACTGGAAAAAAAACACACACTCTCCTATTGTGAGCTGTACAGCCTTTTATGGTGAGTTTGCATCATTGTTTACCACCTCATTTAGGAACAATTAGCAGTATATCAAAATGTTACCCTAGTGTTATTGTCATTGATGTGTTTTTTCCAACACTTCCCATGGGAATTAAGGAGGGGAAGCCTAAAGGAAAATGAACAATAATCCTATAAATGAAGCTTTAATGATGTTGTATCTCAAGTGGAGTTATTAGTGGTGATAAACAGCATTTACACTGAACCATTTCTTTGTTTAACTACACCACAAAACCTTCAACAATGAGAAGAAAAGAGACAAGAGACGAATCACTACAAATCTACTTCACTGTTCTTCTCTGTCTTATTCATACCAAAGTACCACATGTTTCCTGGCTAAATCTGTGTAAATGAGTGAACTTTATCACTTCTCTGTCATGTGGCACATGTGAAATGAACTTGTTTTATACATGGTTTGGCCATTTTTCTTTGTTTCCTTGTCACTTACACAAATAGACTTGTATCAGATCGTGTCTTTAAGATTGTAAAGATAAGATGTGAGACTGTTCAGATTGTGTGCTTTCATTTATGTTACTCTGGGAGAACAAAGCAGAATCAGCTGATAAATAATGTTTAAATGATTTATTGCTGTTGCTGTTACCATGCTCATTTTTAACATACAGCTTTTTAAATGTTTTTGTGGTATTCCTTTAATAGCCCTTTTAAAAGACTTTTTACTGTGATAAAGATGTTAACACTGCTAATCCAAATTTGTGTATTGATTAATAGTGTGCTAAATGGTTAAATCAATAGAGTCCTTCATTTCCATCTAAATTAATTCAACTGAGAGCCACACAAGGCCTGCTTTTGTGCTCTCCTTGATACATCTGGCCTCTGTGGGTAATCTTGTTTACTCTGCCTGACTCTTAATTTTCACTCCTCACTTTTACTCTTCTTGTCCTTCCTTGTGAAAAAGTCTAAACAACTTCTGCGTCTTATTTGACAAAATCACTGCTCGCGCACGCTGTCGCTTTTGTCCTTGTTTACTTTAGCATGAATCTGTTCAGCGCAGTGAAATGATGTGTGCCACTGATGCTTTGCCGAGCGAAGACCAGGTGAAGATGTCGAATACGTGGTATTTAGTTTTCTCCTGACTTTATTGTTCATTTGAGCGCTAAAGCAGCCTCCTCTGTGGTGGTGTTCAGACAAGAACAATTACTCCCTTTGTGCTGCTGTTCATGAGGGAAAAGCACACATACACACACACAGACCCACAAATGGTATCAAAGAGTGACATTCTGCTGGAAAAATGAAGCAATGTCGGGCAGTCTTAGCTCAGCGTCTCCTCTGTGTGCCTGTTTATGTGTGATCATGCCCGTTTGTCCCTGTGATTATGCATGACACATGTAGAGCTTTCATGCTTTCAGGGGTGAGTTTGGGGCTCCAACCTACTTTCTTCTTGGATGAACCAGCAGCAGTCATCATGCAGGCAGGCTTGAGTGTTTTCCTCCCATGTGAACTGTTGAATATTTGATGGGAAGTTCTGTCTTTAGAGTGAGCAGCAGCAACGGCAGAAGCAGCTTTGTGTGAACGTGGCAGTATATAGGACAAAACCCCAGCAGGCATCTTGTAGGGGCTGTCGGGAAAGCTGCCTCAGCCGAGATATTCTTCAGTTCCATCAAATCGCAGAGGGATTTTCCTGCCTTTTGCGAACAGAAAAACAAGACTATCTGACGGCTATGGTGCAGTCTAACAATTCTTGACGTTGTCCAAATGGAAACCATAGCTTGTTAGCTTTCACCCTTTTACCGCATATGTTACACGTGGCACCATGGCAACGTAGAAGCATCCTGAGTGTGCCAATATATAGGTCAGTGGTCACGCGTGAGGGCTCCACCCGAAAGCACAAGTACCGTCTGCTTTGCATGCATACATAAATGGAGGAGAAAGACATGAATACTTATCAATCCATCCATACAGACAGACGGACAGTCATGATATGACAACCCCACACAAAGACTGAGATATGAGTGACCCAGATTTGGATTGTAAGTCTGCAGTAGCTTCACAGGTGATTTGTGCGATCAGCTGTGCGGTGACATGAATACATGAAATGATACAGACAGTCCACACCCCCACTCACGATGTGTCTTTGTTTGCCGAAGGTCCTTATGAAGCAGAATGGTGAAGAAGAGCACTAGGTCTCTGAGTTTGCAGGTTTTTGTCTTCTGGTGTGTTCAACTTCCACTTCAGACATTGCGGTCATGAATATGTAGGCACCCAACCCATGCTGTTTTTCATAAGGATAACGCTGGTTATGTTAAACCAAGGAGCCCAAGTTCCCATATCTGTGGACTCCATCAAACCATCCTACTCTCTGCCTCAGCAGCAGCATGAAGTGTGGCCGAAATTTTGTCACATAATACTTTGAAACGACCACTGCCAATCAGAGATGATCAAGTGATTGTAACCTTTTTTAATTACTGTGAAAACTGTCACAAAATTCAGATCTGTCTGGTGACAGTAAACAAAGTCGGACACTGGCCTAGTTGCAGCATTGACAAGATTTAGGAGTATATTTTTTGTTGACTTGAAAACAAAAATCTAGCTCAAGACAAGTCTTTATCAAAAACCTTGATAGAGGAGAGTTTAACCAAGACCTCAGTATTTTTTAAATCCAGGCCTTAGCCCTATGTTTGCCCCCCGATTAGTGTATATCTAATCTACATTCTCATTTGGGCTGTTATGAGGATCAGGCAAATGTCCAGGTCTCTTGTATTGATCGTTTTTCACTGAGTGAGGTAATTTAGGGGTCTTAGATGTGTATCCATCAATAAATGAAGCATCACTTCTCATTCAGAGAGCGTGGAACTAAGAGGTGGGATGTATTGATTGGCTCATACCGCAATTTCCACTGTGAGGCGGGAGAAATGTCAAATAGAAATGTCACCGTGACACTTTGGCTGCAGGGGCGACCAGAAATACCAGGATCGATAAAAAAAAACTCAGCCCCAAGAAAACAATCTGTACCGCAGGGAAATGAAGCTGGGAAAGGTCTCAATTTATTCCTCTAGTTCTCTGCCCATCATCCCTTAATTCATTCATTCAAATGTTATTCTTATCATTAATCCATCTATTCATCTGTTTATCTGTCCATCAACCTTTGATTCATCTATCATGTAAGTCTGCCCATCAATCCATCCATCCATCTAATTTTAATGTGACTGTTTGTCTAATCTTGCACTTGTGTGTTTTGTGCTAATCCATCCATAAAATTGTCGTTTTACTCATACATCTTATTCTATTTTCTAGCAGTCTGTCCATCTCCCCTTCATCCTCCATGATCAATCTATCTTTGTGTCCAAGTAAATGTTTCTACCAGTCAATCTTCTATTAAAGCATCCATCCAGCTGTTAATCCATTAACAAATCACTTCATCCAGTGATCCATCCCTTTACCTCTCTTGTCATGTTACCTTCATCCATCCATCAATCGGATCTCTTGGCCCCTCTTTGCAATCATTCTCCTATTCAGGTCTTCCATGCGACCATCCATCAATCCATCGATCCTTTTGTCCATATATTCATTCCTCTATTCTTTTATCCAACCGTCTATTTATCAGTACATCTTTCTGTTGCTTTTGATCAACCCATTGATTTTCTTTCATCCACTGATCTCTTCATCCATCCATTTTCTCTCCAAGTGGCAATACTGAGATCACTTTATCCTACAATTGTTCACCAATCCATCTATCTATGCAATTATTTTTCTAACACTTGATTTTTCTATCCTGTCTGGCCACCCATTGGCCTGTCATCTCACATATTTTTTAAAAGTCTCTTAATCTATGCTTCCCTGTATCCGTACTTTCAATCTCAATCAATTAGTCCACCTTTGAGCCCAATACCTTGGTCCCTTTATCCAACCATCAAACTACCAATTTAACAATCAGTCAATCAGACGGTCAAACCATCAGTCAACCCATCAGTCAACCCATCAGATTTTTCTAAAACTCCTTTCCTGTTCAGGGTTTTCACAGCTGCAGCCTAACCCAGAGTCAGTCAATGTCAACAGACAACATGATCGCCACTACAGGCAGGGAAATGTCTACTTTGTGTTGTCAGAGCAGAAATGGCTCAAGAACATTCAGCAGCTGGTGAATTTGTTTTGGTAAAGCTCTTAAATGTTTAGGTTGAGATCCTAAAGTTTTTTGTTATGACAGAATGTGGTGAAATAGCCATAAATCCGGAGCACCCCATTTAAGTTCACCAATACACAGTCTAATACATCAGACCATCTGTCATTTAAAATGAAGCCGTGTTCAAAATTAAATAATTTAGACTTCCTGTCAGTTTTCTTCTTCTTCCTCTCTCAATGTGAAGAGGTTCATATCAGCAAACTGTGATGAGTCTTGTGTCATCCCAGATTCACAATCACTCACAGGGTTAGTGTGACCCTGTTCTTACAAAGCCCCCTCTCACATGCAGATACTGAATACTCATTACTCATCCACCAGTGTGCTCTCTGTATCTGTGTCTTTGTCAGTCTAATCTACGACTGTCTTGCTGCGTTACTTTCCTGAGAATTATGTCTGGTCTCATTTTATCGCCACAAAATAAAAAAACAACAAATAAACAAAAATAGAGTTAGCATTTTACACTGCAACCTGGCTAAAGTCATGATACATTTAGCCTTCATTTCCCATCCTCCTCCTCCTCCTCTCTCCCTCTGACCTTAACAGCAGAAGGCTGTGTTACAGTGATAATCTATTTCGAAGTAAAACAAAGAGTGTAACATCAAATCAGGAAGGATGAGACAAAAAACAACACCTTTAATGGGAAAACCATCTGTTTGGATTGGAGCACACTCTAAACGTCTCCTTAAAAGCCCTCAGTTGAGGACATGGAAACATTATTTTTACACTGAAAGCTGTTATATATGGATAGATCATCACCCTGAATTGTGAGAAAACGCAACCATGTTGCCTGGAAACCACAACAACAGTGATTAATGTGCCTAAGTGTGACTCAATCGTTAAACTCAAAAAAGGAAGCAGTGTCTGTCTGTGCATGTAGGTGTGTGCAAAACTTTAATTTATGGCTTTGATTGTGTGTTTCCTTCCACCTGTGAAGTTAACATTTCATTTCCACTCGTGCTTTCTCTGTAATTGTGTTTTTTATATCCTCCCTTTGTCTCTTTTCAGGGTGCTTCTGTGGTCTGGGACTGGTTTACTCCAACAAGACGTGCGCCATGCAGCCCATCACCTTCCAGAACCTTCCACTCAACATCTACATGGTCATCTTTGGGACTGGGATCTTTGTTTTCATCCTGAGCCTTATCTTCTGCTGTTATTTCATCAGGTGAGGAGAAACCAGGAACAGAAATATTTGACAAGAAAACAATAAACCCCTGAAAGTCCAGCTGAGGGTTTTTACAAACCTTTTGGTACTTTCCTCTGGTACATTTCTGGAACACAACATTTGCTGCCTGTAAAAAAAAAAGATTAAATCAAAGTTAGGCCTCAAGTCAGTCTTAGGCTCACTGCTGGAAACTGACAAATCTGACTCTGAGGATGCTTATTCACTTTGCTATGTAGCTTCAAGGACCATGTATCTCAGCTTGAGACACCTAACAAACCTCCTTTTGTTCAGCATGCTCAAAAAGACGGCTACATGTTATAAACTAAATTGGACGAAAAAACAATGCAGGCTTGATTTTACAATATTTCTCCTGGGGATTAATAAATCTGAAATACCGGGCTTGTACAACAATCCTAAAAGTTTGTGGGGTTGTGCTTTAAGTTCATAACGTTATAGTGTTAAGTTGAAACCTCTACAAAGCACAGCTAAAGCTTATGGGTCTTGTAAACCAAAATCCTTGAAAAGACTAAATTTAACCTCATATTGGCACTGTGTGAAACCAATGCAACACTGAAGTTATGAAGAGAATTCACCCTCAGGTAACACCAAGTGTACGTACAAAACGTTTCTGCAGGTGATCTCATACAGTTGATGTTGAGGCTGTTAAGAAATGTTGGTCTGAAGTAGACCGATGGCCAACGTTGCCTCAGTAAGAGGGAGAGAAAGAGAGAGGAAGGAGAGGAGGAAAGAAAAAGGGGAACAGGGTGACCTCTCTGTCTATTGACGGTAAACTCCCACATGAGCTGAAGGGATATGTGTGTCTGAAGGACAGGATATGAGGCAACGGGAAGCTGACCGTCACAATGTGTGAGGATGGCAGTGAGGAAAACTGTAGAGAGACTTTGTTCAGAATAAACATGGCCTGAATAGCACACAGTGGGAGTACACAGACAAATCGAAAATGAATGAATGCAGGGGGAGAAACCTTCACGCAGAGTCTCAGCACCTGCAGAAAACTTCCCTTTACATGACTAAGCATCCTTGATGGAAGGATTACCGGATATTATATCATCAGAAAAGAATAGTAGACTAGAATAGATAAAAGTGAATAGAATAAAATAATATATTTTAAACAGAATATATTGAAAAAAATATATAATAGAATATTAAAGAATATATAGAGTAGAAAATAATAGAATTGAATATATATAATTGTTAAAATAGAATAGAAAAAATAGAAAAATGAATTTCCCTTTGGGGTTCAATAAAGTCCTTGTATCAAAAGAAAAGTTCCTGTTAAAGAATAAAAATATAAGGACTAGAATAGAATGAAATGTATATAGAAAATAATAGAAGAGAATATATATAATGTAGTTGTTAAAATAAAATAGAATTGAAAAATACATATTGAATAGAGAAGTGAATAGAATAGAACATATTGAATAAAATAGTATATTTTGAATAGAGTAGAATATAGTATATTGAATAAGAAATAGAATAGAAAGGCAATATAGAATAAAAGATAATAGAATAGACTATACAATATAATTGTTAGAATAGAATAGAAAAATCTGTAAATCTTTACAGCACAGGTAAGTTAGTATTTTTGTCCTGTACATAAAGATTCATCCTGTTTGGTGTGTTATTTTTGTTTATGTATAGCTGTGAAAATGAGCCAACATGCTGTTTGAAAAATCAGCACAATGTACATCACTAAAATTTTGACCTAGTATCTTTCAGGCATGAGGCACATTTTGCAAGTGTTTCTGTGTTTGCTTACTCTGCAGCCAATTTCTTCTCAACATTTAGATTCCAACCATTTCCAACTCCAACAGCGAGTGAAACAGGTGGTTGTGCAAAAGCTTCAACTCAGTAAATCCAGTTGAAAGATGGAGAGCAGTTTGTGAAAGTTTAGTCCAGATCTTAACTCTCCCAAACTGGCTGTGCATCTAAAAAGAGGGAATCTGTTCCAGTCATGAGGAAGTTATCAAAGTAGATATTAATGTGAGTGGATTTTACTAATGAGATGACCTGAAACACACGTCATAGTCATTAAAATTGTCTTTTATCAATGTTCTCTCATTTACTGTTCTGAAACTGTTCATCATATTAATATTCATGTGATGGTGAAGTTAACCTGATTTAAATCAACCATTTTTCTTTTGCACATCATGAAACATCGATAAGGTTACATTTGCCACAACACTCATATTAATGAGAGCTGTCTCTTTTTTTACCTCTTCCTCTTGTGTGTACTTTCCCCATCTGTAGATGCAATTTCGTTGTGACAGTGTGGCAATTGTGACAGTGACAATAAAAGCATTCAATTCAATTCAATTCAATTCAATTCAAAATCCATAAACTCACTTTCATAGTTGATTGAGGCCTTGTGACTTAAAGTCTGTGGAGCGCACCTCATAGTCAGATATATTTATAATCTACTTATGAACTACTCAGCTGTGTGTGAGTATGTGTGAATAGGATTAGTTTGCGCTGGTGGTCCCAACCAATAGCACTCTCTGCCGTCATTGTATGAATGCAGTGTAAATGGGTAACCGAGAAGAGCATGTGCTGTGAATGGTTGGAAAGACAAATATAGTGCTGAAGAAGAAGAACTCCATTGAACGATTTCATGGAAGGAAATGAATGAAATCTATCATTGATGAGAAGAGATACAGCACAATGGGGAAACCCTGTGTAATGATGAACAAAACTTGAAGGTTCTTTGAATTCTGAGAAATGAATATCCATTTCAAGCTTTTTTGTCAATATCTGAGCTATTTTTACATTGCTTTTACTCAGAAAGAAACTCCTGCGCAGAAATAGTCAGATCAGTCAATATCAAACAACAAAAGCAAGCCCCACAGGTTCATCCTTGGCATATCTCATGATTTAGTTTGATTTATTAAGAATGAGGAATGCAGCTTTAACGTGAGGCTGTTTTCTGTTATCTTAAATGTTTCATTAGGCCCTAGAGTTACAGATAAATTTACCATCAGTTCGGTCAGAAAAGCTCAAATCCATCCTTGATTCTCTTCAAGCACTTATCTTTGAATCATAACTAGTGAATCACTTCCTTTCGGACCCATTAACAGGCTGAATGTTGTCTTGGGTAGACGTGTGATCGTGAATTCATTCATAGGCTGACTGATTTATTAGATGAACGCTGCGGTGCTCTGCTGGGTGCAGCTTTTCTTATTACTCCTCTCAGACATACTCACTCTGTGATGTTTGATTTGGACTCGGAGGGAGGTGGCTTAATTAAAAAAAAAACTTCAATTCATGTGTCTGATGGCTGTCCTTTAATCGTACAAAGTGATTATGCCACATCTCCTAAAAAGCACCGAGATCTGAGTAGGATTTGATGATTTGTAAAGCACATTGTGTGCCCAGCTTTCATATTCAAAATGTTCTGATAACAGCGCAAACATGTTGATGGCTGCAATACACGTACATCGTACTCCTTCAGTGAACAAAAGGGAAAAATAATGAGATTGGGAAAAAGACACAATAAGTAATAAACCGAACTAAAAATTGAATAACCTGAACCCTTGTGTGCTGTAATAGGCGGGGGCACATGCAGCTCATAGTGAGTCTGAATACAAAATGGCCTTTTCAGCTTTTAGATCACACATCCAATTTTATTATGCACCAATATTTACAATAAACACCCCTTTTTACTCTTATTCTAAAATCCAACTATTGCTGCTTCTTGTCATACAGACATTAACATGAGTTAACTCAAAGCCAAACAAGATTGATGACATGTCTCCACCTTATTTCATGCAAAAGCAGCAAGAATCCTCTATGTGACAGACACTGACATATTGCCCTGACACTGACTGGCTGGTGGAGCCGTGGTATTGATGCCCCACTCTTTTCCCGACAAGCAAAATACCAAGGTTAGCCCCAGAACTGCCCCTTGTGAGGTTTTAAAGTGGACACTTGTGCCAATGATCAGTGATTCTTGTGTTCGTGTTGGGCTCCAGCCTTTCCTCCTCTGCACTGTTGATATTGTGCACACAGTGTGGTGGGAGCCACATTTATCAACAGAGCTGTTAATCTTGGCATCATGCAGTTTTCTTAGCATCAAACAACAAATTAACACTGTTGGAGAGAAAAAAAAAACAAACACTCAGACACACTCCAGCATGATAGGAAGAAGGTGGGTGGTAAACCCACGGGTTGGTTGTCATGGTGCTGATTACAGCCCAATCTAAAGGTGCTCTTTCATCATGGTCATATCAGACATTTGGCCTGATGCAATACTCATTCCTAGGGTGAGACTTTTTGTTATTTTTGTCAGGGGAATTTTTCCTGCAGGTGTTTTTTTTATATTAAAAGTTTCATGATCATTGGGCATTTGCAAAAGTGGAAGTTTGTGGCTGTGATTTAAGCCTAGTTTCAGCCAGACAGTCAGAGTCACGTGGTTGCCAGAACATAATCTTTGTCAAGAGGTCAGATGAGGCTGGTTGTCACACACTTACTCAAGCTAGCTGTTAGAAAAGTTTTGACATATTATGTAACCCAGGAGACTTCCAGCATATTTGGTGTTGGTGTGACAGCCAACCCTAGTCTCCAAAAAATGGTATTTAAGAACAAATACATGACCTGTTTCGATTTTAAAGTTTGTCCCAGTTGTTATCATGGAGTTTATGGCCGATGCTGCAGCCAATTAATAAGGCCAGCTTTAAATATTATCCCTTTAAAGCCTGAAACCACAAATTATGGCCAGAAAATTCAATTTTTTTTGGAGCTGAAATGTTTATTTCACTTACTACTGAAAACCAAAAAAATCAAAATGTCCTTAAAATGTATCTTGTTTGATACATTAGATGTTTTTGGAAACTAATAAACCACAAGAGGACATTTTTATCATTTATCAGACTGTATTCAGGTGTTGTTTTTAGTAATTTGTTGATCATATTGATTTGATAGAAGTATCACAAAAGTATGTATCAAATATGATACAAAAGGAAATAAATGGTTGATGCCTCACTTTTAGATATTTGTCATGTGGAAGGTAGTAATGAATTCATACGATGAATCTGTGTGCACTTTTTTCATGATATTCACATGCATACTTGAAAAGTGACAATTTTCAGCTATCTTTGCGTGTGTAGGCAGTCACCATCACAAACACAGAATTTTTCAAATGATGAAATATTTTCAGCTGACTACTCCCTGCATGTGAGTCACATTGTTGTCACTTATCAGACTTCAGCTGCTAATAACTAGTGTATTGTTTTCGTAATGAAAGGGTATTATTCGAAGGAGTCACGCAGCAGCTTTTGCTGTCAAACAGATATATAAAAGACCTTGTGTCTTTGCACAGACAACACGGAGTGAGTGAGAATAGAGACATCAAACCACTCGAGCCACTTTTCCCCAAATAAATGTACTGATTCACTTAATTTCCTGTCAGCGGTCCTTGAGACTAGACCTGTGCAATCACTGGAAGAATTCATATCCCAAAGGAGAGAGAGCGGTTTCTACTGCTTAATAGGATTGTTCATCAGCTGACAGGAAACATAACTGCTAGTAGTAACTTGTTATTATTAGAAGCTGCTTCTGCGAGCCCCCGCGGCTCCATAAAACCAGAAACTGTCACTCAGATATTATCTCACCCACCAGGGATTGGAAAGCAGACTGAGATTGAGGATAATGTACGGAGACGGCTTAACCCAAAATGCACTTACAGCGCAGAGGTGAGGCTGGAGCTAGTCTGTTAACACATGTAGAGACGCAGCCGTACAGTCCGCTGCTTATCAGGACAGAGACATCTATTAGGTCAGTGAAATCTGCAGGAAAAGTTTTAGTCTGAGAGGAGAATTATGACAGTTGTAGCTGTAATTCTGATTGAGTTCACCTGCAAACACAACCGACTGACCATATCACACTGATAAGAGTTAGAAACGATTTCTTATTGAGTTGTATTTCCAAATAGAACAAAAAAAACCTGAATTTATTCATATGAAACTAGAAAAAAATAAATTCTCCTGTAATGAGTAAGCAAAACTGTGACATATCATTCATGAGCAGTAAGTCTGGAACTTTAAGGGATATTCCAGCGTAAAATTAAGTTAGGGTCAAACACACCGTTAACACCGAGTTAGACACCCCGCCGAGAGATGGGGAGAGAGTCCATTGACTGCAGCGGGGTGACGCAGCTCAAGGAAGAACATTTATGATCATTACTTTATCATTTCCTCAAAGTAATAATCACCATATCTATCATTTTGTACTGCAGACGTGGTAGTTCTTCTGCCTTAGCGTCTCAATCTGATTCTATTTCCATGAAGTAATGATCATAAATGTTCTTCCTTGAGCTGCGTCCCCCTGCTGCAGTTGATGGACTTGCCCCCGTAGGTCTCGCTACAAACAAGTGGCTGCTGGAGGAGAGTGGGTAAGTTGTGTTTAGTCTCTTTGCTAAAAAAAAACAGGCAAAGCTAAAAAGATGTTTGGTGGCTAGTACTATGGCTGGGACCCTATGTGTACTGTTGATGAAGTTAGGTGCTGTTCTGAGCATTATTTGTGGCTATAGAGTGGCGTTCTGGTTGAGCACATGGCTCCCTGTATTGCTATCTGTGGTCGTTACTAAAGTTGGTATAACTAGAGAAGCAAGCGGTCGGCAACAACTCTGTGTTGGTGTGTTTGACCCTAACTTAATTTTACGACGGAATATCCCTTTGAGAGGCTAATACTCAACAAATACATGTAGGAAGATGATGAATAATTTAATGTGTTTGTCATCAAACCCTGTAATAATAGCTTTTTCTGCATTATATCATTCACACCTGTTGAATCATTGTTACTTAGAATAAGAAATGCTCCAGAGTTACTGAATGAGGATTTCTATTCTTGCAGATGAAGCACAATAGACAAACTAAAACCCTAAAATCAACGCCCTACCTCCCTCCCTTTCACCCACATCACTCCATTCTGCAGCCCTGGGAAACCTCAGCACATGTTAAACGCGTATCCTCACATTGTTCTGCCCGGGAGACTGTAAGCTGCAATCAGAGTAAACAATAAACCAAATAACAAAAACAATGAAAAACTGACATTTCCTTACTTAAAGCAGCAGTTTTTACACATTTTTCTAGGAGAATCAGATCACAAATAAAATCCCCGCTTTAATCTCAGGTGTTGTTCCTGCATTTGGTTTCAGGCTCAATTTTCAGACAATGACAGATGTTTGTGTCTATGTTTAGTTGTGTAAAAACAGGAGGCCAAAAATAACCCCTGGAGCAGACACAGCTCGCCAAAGCGATAAAGATCTCCTCTCCATTGTTGGTTCAGGGGTGGTGCAGGGATTCAAAGAGGCAACATACTCATTAGCTGTGTGTGTGTGTGTGTGTGTGTGTGTGCGTGTGCGTGCGCAAGCATTTGCTCGTAGTCAGAGGGATTACTTGGAAACAATGTGTGTGTTCCTGCAAAGGATCATGTATCTGTACATGACTGTGTGTTCACTGTAGTGCCCTGAGAGACTTTTAATGATCAAAGTATATCCTGCAATTACACAATGTCCTATGACTTAACCTCACAAACTACAATCTGGGCACAAATCAGCGAAGAGACGTGCGTAGTACACAAATGCTATACACAAGTATGATAGTTTCAGGGCAAATGTGTCCTCATTTCAGAGATAATGTTGTAAAATAAGGATTAAACCACTCTGAAAAGGTCAATGTGTTATCTTAAGGTTATTATGTGTAGTGTGGAAGTTCATCATTTGCAAAGTTAGTTACATTTTTGTTCTCTCCTTGTCCTCAGCAAACTACGACATCAAGCCCAGAGTGAACGCTTTGGATACAGAGAGGTAAAACTGAGGCTTATTAATATTTATGATACTTAAAGGTCCAAATAATTAAAAACAAAACTTCTCCAATTCTCAAACGCCTTTTTTGTTTTAATTACCTACAGGTGGTTTTAAAAGGAGATCCGATCAAATTAATTCTTCACGGGGTAAGTATATGATTCTTGACGATGCACAGAAAACAACATGAACACAGAAAAACCTTCAGTGCTGTTCAGTAACGTCATCCAGTGACCATCCTCTGACTGCTTCTTTCTTCCCATCTGTCTCTACACAGCAGACTTGCGCTGTGTGTCTGGAGGACTTCAAAGTGAAAGACGAGCTGGGGGTGTTGCCATGCCAACATGCTTTCCACATAAAGTGAGTATGGTAGACCATGGCAGAGCCTCTCATCTTTGCAGTTAAAAATGAAAATGTTTGTCTTTGAACCGAAGCTCGGTGATCGAGAGTTAGTTTTTGGTCAAGTGTTCCTGCAGCGCAGCACTGCTGGAGTTCCTCTTCAAAAAGGCTGGGTGGTAGAGTATCCCAGCATGCACTTGGTGGATAGCATTAAAATTGAGACCGTGTTAGATGAAAAGGGAAGTGTTTTTGAGGTGCCAGTCCTCACTTTTTAAAGACCTCTTAAAAGTATTGAAAGAAGTTAAAGTAAAAATACGGATTACAGAAAACAAACCTGGTTCAGATCGAATATAAATTTAACATTTTTAAGTGTTTAGCCTCTCAGTATTATTCTTTCTATTGCTTGATTCCTTTAAACCATCTATTCATTCTATTAAAGAGATTCAGATCGCATCTAAATCAATTCCCCTTTTTTCACAAGCAGAAAATTTCCAGAATTCTTCCAAAAGAAATTGTTTAACAATTTGTTAGCTCAAAGAACAGTTATCGATCGGTCTAATAAACTGATTTATTGTTAAAGCTGAAATGTTTTCTACTTCTTCTAGGCTTATTTCGTGTAAAACATCATGTTTTAAAAGCTTACTGAGTTTCAAAACTTTTTGTCAGTCAGAAAGAACACAGTGGTTGGACTTGATTGTGACCCATATGTAGACGGGAGGCAGGACAGGATCCCTCTAGAGTGTGGACACTTTAGGTGGTGGAGTGAAAAAATAGAGAGAAAGATAAAAACTCTCTAAATCTCCCTCAGTATTCCTGGAGGTGGAGGGTTGCGCAATAGCAGGTCTGACAGAGAAAATAGCATCGATATTTTAAGACTGCAGGAGGACCGTAGGCTGAAAAATCATTGTGAGTGTCAGCATGTAAATGTGGGGATATTGACGGCGCAGGAAAGTAGAAGTTCTGTGAAAAATAGAGCAGGAAGTCAAAATGATTTTTTTGTCATTCAGTTGTAACTGGAGTTCACTTCTACATTACTGTCCTTTTGCTCTTAAGTTCAGTCTTCACACTTTTCTTTTCACAATATCTTCATGTGACAAGTACCGTACACTGAACTTAGTTTACACTGGCATGAGTAACAACTACTTTGAACATCTGTAATTTAACACAAGATATGAACAGCCTGTGAAATATTACACACAAATACATGAATATAAAAACATTTCATGCACTTTTACTGGAAACTGTTGGAGAGTGTAATTTCTGGTTTTACAACAAACTTTTCTTTTGACAGTCTACAAGTCTCACAGGTAGTTTTGTTTTGAAGGATCAAAATGAGCCACAGAGGGCATCATCTTGAGGGACATGAAGTGAAAAAAGTACCTTCTCCTTGTTGGACTTCTCCTTGAATGTCTCCTCTGTCTTTTTCATTTGACTGATGTCTTGATTGTTGCGCAGGTGTCTGGTAAAGTGGCTGGAGGTACGCTGTGTCTGCCCCATGTGTAACAAACCCATAGCGGGCCCCCCGGAGCAGCACCACAGCATAGGGACTCTTCTGGATGAGTTGGTGTAACCCTTTCATCTCCTCACTCGCCTGGATGGGATTCTTTGGTCGAAACCAGCTGGTCTGAGTTACCAGCCATCAGGAAGAAGGGAAACTGTTATGCATTTGAAATGCAACAACAACAAAAAAAAAATGCCAACATGACGACAGTAAATTGGGGTAGCCTAGTTACCACCCAAAGAAGGACTTTAAAAGATGCTGTTGCTTGGCAACCACCATCTCAGAGATGGCAGCACGACACCTTGTAGTGTCTGAGAGATTATCTGCAGCCTCCCACACATCACTACATCACTCTTCTTTCATCATTCCCCTCTTCACCCACTCCACCACATCTCCCTCTGCAGCCTCCAGTGAGGTTAATGACACAGCCCGCTCAAGTGGAGGAGATGCCACTATCACAGTGATGTTTCAAAGTGAGTGTTGAAGGACAACCACAGGAGAGCGTGAATGAGTGTTGATTGCTGTGATGGTCATCAAATGAAATATCAATGTTTGTTGAGGTTATTAAAACTCTGGTTAAAGCTTCTGTCAGGGGTTTTTAGCAGATTTTAAAACAGACGTTTCTGTAAGACCCACAAAAGCAAACATGACTATCAGCTGAGAGATTGGTCATTTCTATTTGGCTGTTTTTAATCCTTGTAAACGCTGCCACAAGGGGACAGGTGCCAGAAAATACAATTTACAGCTAGCTGAAGGAACGACCTTTTTTACGTTTAAGCAGCAAATGTTTACAGTGATTGATAGATTTGACCTTTAAGATGGAGCAGGGTCAGACTTGTCAGAAAATACTACTTGTTGGGTGAATGGGACAAAATTAGCCAAGATATAGTGCATAACACTTTGTCCACAGGGGGTGCCAAAATCAACACATTATGAAAGCCCCTCAAAGAGAAATAGAGCCATAGAGACAAATGGATGTTTTCTGCTCCTCAGAGTATGTTTACAGTAAGTTTCCTGCTCACTTTACTAAATTCTTGGTTGATTGAATCAAGCGTGCAACAGGGATGTGTGGAAACAAATCCAGTTAAAGTTCAAAACAATGTCAAGGACAAAGACGTTGTTGTATAAAAAGAGCTTTTTAGGACACTTTAAACCTTTTTTAGAGATTTGGCCCTCAGAAAATTGAATAAATGTCACCCTAGTTAAATTTTGTGAGAAAAGATGGATGCCTGTTTTTCCTTTGTCATAAAATCATTTATATTTCTCACTATAACTAGAGGTAATGTGTAGCAAATACATACATCAGCATTTTCTTCCTGTCGTTTCTCACAAACCAGTAAAGTTTCTGCCGATATGTTCTGACACATACTGATGTGTGGAATCTATTTTTATGGGGATCTCATGTGTGACTTTGCCACAGGGGTGTTTTATTGTTCAGACATGTTTATATTGTGTTAATATAGATGGAAGGATCAACACCTCCTGCCTCTAGCTGTAACTGTTTGGTTCATTGTTCAAATATGTTGAAGATTTCTTTTGAAGATATTGCACTTTGAATTCATGAAAAAGGATTCCTTGTTTTCTTTGATAGAAAAAAGTCTGTGAAGTATCAGAGATGCTGCGTTGTTATCTAAAGATAAGGGAAGCAGCCGTACAGTCAGTGTTGTTCTGTGAATTCATCTGAGAAGCAGCCAAACCTCACTTTCATTCACAGTAATTATTTTGTGGTATTACTGCAGATGGATTCTTTTTTTTTATATATTCTGCTGAAGTAAAAAAGCGAAACACTGCCTAAATTTAGCACAAAAATCACAAGCACATTGTTGTTTAATGACACCACATACACACAGACAGACATGCACAATCACTCACACATACACACACATGCACACAGGTGACACTGCTGCAGCCACATGAAGTCATGTGCCAAAAAAAAGGGAAACCAGTCTCTTCTGTTGCGTTTTCAACCCAAAACTAAGCTCACTTTAATTCTGGCCACATTCCACATTTTGTAATTGAACATCTGTAAATAACTTGAAAAGAAAATAATAAATACAGTTGTCTGTTTTGCTCAGCTGTCTGGATTGTGTCTTTGTTGTTGTGTATTTGGCTCCACCACCAGGTGGAAAACTGTTGAATATTTTGAAATATTATTAAAAGGCCATCTTTTCCATTCAGACATTCAAAATCAAAAGATTTCAGAGTGATGCAAAGACAAAAAATAATAAATAACCATAATATATAATTTTAGGGTGGCCTTTTGATCCAAAACAAAAATGTCAGAAAACACCCTAAGTTTAGAAGTCCTTTACACCTTACATTAACAATGAGTTTACTGACATAGCAGCATCAATTCAGTTATCTTGTTTGTTTTAGGATTGCACAGGAGCTCCTGCAGTCATTGAGTCGGAGGTAGGTATACTTTGGATAGATCACTAGTATCACAGTGTTGCCACTAGGAAACAACAAAAAACAAACAACAACAAAAACATGTTCAATTAATAGTCATCAATTAACTTAATGAGCATAACCCTGTAAGCTAAAGTCCTTGCACTGTACCCACACATGCAGAGTATGCAAACTCCACACAATGTGAGATATTTTAGTTTACAGGGTTGAATAAAAAGAAATACCCTGGGTTTTTAAGAAGAACTTTATTGATCGTGGGGAAACTCATTTGTCTGTAGTCTTACATCATCTACTATTTACAGAAGAATTAAACAGTCTCTCTCAATCTCTCCAACCTTCCTCCAGTGAGTCCAACATGAATCCAACCACAGAACCAGCTTTTTCACCAGCTTGTTCAGGCATCTTGAATCCTTGTGTTTGCCTCCCCAGCAGCCTGTAACATAAAACAGAACACTTGCCAACACAGACTGATAAAACATCTGCAGCATCTTACTACAGATGTCTATTGATCAGAATCTTCTCAAGAAAAGAGGCAGCTCTGCCTGAGAAGACTCAAGACTCAAACATAGGAACATAAGCACATAACACTCAAACGTATACATGTGTTTCTGAGATTCAGACATTCTCTCCATGTTACCACCTTCTTTAAAGCTTAAAAAAAAAGACTAAGGATTATAAATATTTTAGAAATGGTGAAAGAAGTGCTCCTTCAAAGATCTTTAAGGGCAAAGGAAGCTCAGTGATCTTTAAAGACTATGGTCTGGTGCTGGCGATGTGTATAACTATATTATTTTCAGGCTACTGACTTAAAACACTTAAGTCAAACTGTTTCAAAGTAAAAGACAGAGGCAAAAGAGAGCAGTAAAACTTTCAACAACAATAATAATATTTAATGATCTTAAATAATCCAGACTGACATGTGAAAAGAGAGGGCTGACAGGGTGCAGTAAAAGTGTCTTTAATACTGTTGGTCTCAGTTTGAGATGCAGTTAACTGACATTCGGCAGTTTTCCTCTGTATACACTAAATCAAACACACAGATGTGATATGGTAGACATTAAAATAAAACTGCCTCCTTTCTTTCCCCTATGTTTTATCTTTGATAACAGGGTTCAAAAACACTTATTGAACGATTAAAAACAACCTTTTTAACATAATATAACAGTAAACTCTCTTTTTGAGGCTATAAATGTTTCTGAAAATCCTCTCTTTAAAACTGAATGACTGGAGAAACACGGTCCCAAACTTCAACATTTAGGGGAGTCAGAGCTCAGGATGAAAACAAGGACCATCTGTACACTGCCTCATTAAATGTGCAAGACCACGTCCTATTGGAGGGATCCATCGGGTACCTAACTATTTCCCCACACCAGATTGCAGGTGGCAGAGCATCAGGCAGAGAGAAAAAAAAAGGTCTGAAGCGCAGTCCTTACTCCTGCTGCCTTCTAATTAGACTTTAAGGCAGGACGGAGCCTCGGAAGATGTGAAAGGGAATTCCGGATGAAGGCAGATGGTGGGAAATCTCTATGAGACGGGAGTGAACACTGGTCTAATGCAGAGAGAGGGATGGAAAAAGAGAGAGAAGAGGAGAGGAGAGAAGAGGGAGGTGCTGGGAAAGGGTGGAGACTGAGAGGAGGTGCTCAGGACTCAGCAGGACAGTGTATAGTTTACTCTTTCGAGGCCGCCTCAAACCTCAGTTTTGACACAGTTTAGAAATCTGTCATTATTCTATTGAAGAGTTAACTTTTTATGGTTTATTATGAGACTAGGAAATGAAACTGCACAAGAAATGAGAGAAAGTTTTACATTTCTGAGAAGAAAATGAAGAGGAGAGGCTTCAGGATGAAGGACGCCATGATTCAACTTTCCTTCAAGAAATGGTACTTGTACACTTTTTTGACATCTTCTTACAGAGTTAATAGTTTATTCTGGGGCTGACGTTTACATGTGTCAAGGTTGTGATCTTTGTGTTTTGTGATCAATATCAAAAAGAAATGTATATATTTCCCGATGACAATGAGGTTGACAGGCAAACTCAACTTACAGGTCATGTGAGAATATGCAAAAGACTTTTAACGGAGCAACAAAAGATAGAAAATTGAAGCTGCACTTCAAAATATGAATGCTTAAAAAAAGGACTGATGCCATGCAAGTTTTTTTGCTCACATGCAGGCTCCAAAAACTGTGGAAAAGTTCGTCCAGATTTTCTGTTTTAAAAGGTGGAGTGAGTGAAAACGTCTGCATGGTATGGACACATGTGTACATGCTCCTAAAATCACTGACGCACACACACACATTCACACACATTAATATGCAACACCAACACACGCACACGTCCACGCAGCTTGGGTGGACCTGGAAACATAAGCAAGTCTTTCATGGGATCTGCCTCTACCTGAGCAATAAAGAGCCATCTGTGCTGTGAATAAACTGATGATGGCAACACACACACACACACACACACACACACACACACACACACACACACACACACACACACACACACACACACACACACACACACACACACACACACACACACACTTACAAGCAGGCACGTATACAAACACAAATACAGCAGGGTGGAGGGACACACAGAGAAATGCTTGTTTCTGTCACTTCCCACCTTGAGCGTCGTGGCACTCAGAGTGAATGTAAGGTCAGGTAGTTTCTCTTTTGGTGCGTTTCACAGCAGCCAAACTAAACCTGAGCTACAGTCCAGCAGCATCCAGGCCAGAGCAACAAACACTGAGGCACATCAGGACACCACTCACTAGGTTGGTTGGTAGGTGGAACGGTGTCTATGAAAACTGAAGTATTTCTATCTTTACCTTTGACACTTTGGTGTGACCAAATGCTGATAGGGATTTATTTGATGCTGGACTGTTAATGATATATGATGAAATATTTGATTTCCCGTTTTTCTGTGATAACAAATAGTTTGATTTTTGTAGGGTTTCCACGCTCTGGTGATGATCCCCAGTCATGTAAAACACACACTTTGGACACACCGTGGAGATGCTGTCTGATGATGTGACAATGGGATGTCTTGAGGGAACAGAAGGATGTCTTCTTGGACTATGGTTACTCACCTTTTTGTGGATGTAGCCAAATGTAAGGCCATGATTTTGCAAGCCTTAAGTGTTTGAGGATTTTAACGAGAAGTGAATCCACCATGTTTAAAAGGTGGCTCTTGGCGCTGTTGGCCCGTGTTGGCCTCATTGTGCTGGGCCTCTGCTGCTGTCTGTTCCTGTTCTACCTCTTAGCCTGTAAACCCAAGTCTCAGAGCGGACAGCAGCCTCTGCTTTGGACTGGAGGGACCACCAGCAAGGAGGGATACATGGCTTTGTTACAGGAGAGAGAGGATTCTCACAGACATTACATCAACAGCCTAACTAAACAGATAGCCCAGTTAAAGGAGGCCCTTCAGGAGAGGACACAGCAGCTGCAGGAGTCTCTGGATAAAGCTAAAACTAGAGGGATTCTGCCACAGGGTCTGGAGAGCCTGCACAAAACCCCAACACAGTCTGACATCAAGGTAGGGAAACATGACAAGATGACGCAAATGGGGAAAGACTTTTAATTCTGAGTGATATACTGGAGCAGCACTGATGGTGTGCATTTTATATGGTTCGAGTTGGAGGTGGTGGGTTGGGTTTCAAGGGGACTCAGTATCCCTAAAAATCTGGCAACAGTCCTGTTCATAGAAGTAAATGTTAAGTTATGCCTTCTAGGAGTTCTTTCGCTCCCAGCTGAACCAGGCGGAGGTGAACTCAGGCGCAAAGCTGCCCAGTGAATATGCAGTGATTCCATTTGACACTTTCACCCTGCGGAGGTGAGTGGTACAGTTGTTCGCTGGTAGAGCTATTAGTGGCTCTTGTGAAGTAAATGCATGCATAACTGACTTCTGGTGTGAAGTCTTAGCTCACCTCTCTTCATAGAGTGGGGTTTCTGTTGTGTTGCTCAGAGTGTATCAGCTGGAGACGGGGCTGACTCGTCACCCGGAGGAGAGGCCTGTGAGGAGAGACCGCAGGGACGAGCTCATAGGCACTGTGGAAACAGCGCTGCATGTCCTGAATGGACCCCAGCAGCACAGAGACAGCACCAAGAAGAAGCACACATACTCTCCTGCAGACTTCATAGAGGGTGAGAGAGGTCTCATGCTTACTCGTTCATAGTCCTTACTTGTTTACCCCAGGTGGATTGATGGAGGACCTGAACATGTTGAAGAAAAATGCTATATTTAATCCTTTAGTGCCTTTTGTATCATATTTGATAAATACTTTTATATACTTCTATCAAATCCCTTTTTTGGACATGTGGATACTCTGGTTTTGTTTTTGTTCTTACTTTGTTGTGATAAGTGAGATTGATGTGCTTCTAAGTGAGGCAATTATTTTATTTTATTCTTAACTGTTGTTTTGTGTGGTTTTTTATATAAATTTTTTTAACCATGTCCATAAATAAATAAATAAAAATAAATTTAAAAAAATCAATATGATCAACAAATCACTAAAAAACACCTTAATACAGTTCGATAAATGATAAAAATGTCCTCTTGTGGTTTATCAGTTTCAAAAAACATCAAATGTATCAAAAAAGATAAACAAATATATGTTTGTTAAATTTTAATGACATGATTTTTTAAATTTTCACTAGTAAGTAAAATAAAAATTTCAGCTCCAAAATTTTGGATTTTCTAGCAATAATTTGTAGTTTCAGGGATGAAAGGGCTAATGCAAATTTTCTGTGTCACTGTCACAGGGCTGACTCGCATGGAGCGGGACAGAGGAAGTGTTTATGAGCTGTTTTTTAAAGGCGATGGCCCGTGGGACTTCACACAGCTAGTGCTCTTCAGGCCATTTGGACCTGTGGTGAAAGTGAGAAGCCAGAGTGTGGACACAAGCCGTGTGCTCATCAACATCATCGTACCTCTTTCCAAGAGGCCAGATGCTTTCAGGCAGTTCATCCAGAACTTCAGGTATTGTCCAAAAGCTCATTTACGATCTGGCGCCCACTCATGGCCGCTTACTGCGATTGTGTCCTGAGATCAATCAGATTAAAGCACTGAGGGAGGCTTGGCACCACAGGGAAGGTAGATTTTTAGATTTTAAAGGATGGATTTCACTTGTTTGAATGTAATAGTAATTACTCTCAATTTAATATTTCCTTCTTTGTTTTGTTAAAAAGAATAAAAAATGATTTTATTGTGAAATCTAAAGGGACATCAAGTTAAAACCATATCTTGGACACGACTGTTTATCATTTGACCTCTCTAAGCTAAAACTAACTTGTGCAGCATTAGCGTACGTTTCTTACATTTCTCTTGATTGGATTATTTAATAATCAAACTGTGATGTCAGTAAGATAGTAGTTTAATGCTGATGAGAGTCATCATCTTACACAAGCCAGTGAGTCATGAATTTATTTCAGCTTGACATCCTTCCAGCTTTTTACAATTTATCATCTCAAGTTGATCAGTTAGGAAGCAGTGACATTATAACAATTTGATAGATGATCTACCTTTAAACAACTGCAGTCATCTGAAAAAGCAGCGCACACAGTCATGTGAATATTGCCCTTCTCCTTTCATATTTTTGGTTCAGGGAAGTGTGTATCCAGCAGGACGGCAGGGTTCATCTCACTGTTGTCTACTTTGGTCGGGATCAAATAGACCAGGTGAAAGCCATGCTGGATCAAACCACCAGGTAACGTGATGTTGAGGTTGAGTTGTGGGTTTTATTCCTTCTGGTGCAAAATCATTAAATTATGAGTCAAGTTAAAGTATGTAACTCACGCTTGATGAGAGCGGGCAATAATACTGACTGCTCCAGTATTTCGTATCACGTCTTCTCAACCATACTGAAATGTTGTTGTTTTTTTCTCCTTCCCATCTCCCCTGAGATGTATCTTTGCTGCACTGCAGATATTTTTATTTAAAAAAGTAAAGTGAGGAAGATTCAGTGTTTCTCAGCTTAAGGCTGAAAATGATTTGGTATTCTGGACCCCAGAGAGAAACACACACATTTCTCTAGATGATTAAATTTGTTTTTACCGTGGACTAGTCTGAGAAAAACACTGTGCATTTTTATAAAATTTTCTTCACTACTGTCAGAATAATGCAACTTTGCACCAGTGGATGGTTCTTTGTTAACACTTTGTTTTTGATGCAGTATAATTATTTCATTACTTTCTTCTTCTCAGAGAAACTCGGTTCAGGAGCTTCACTTTGATCCAGCTGAATGAGGAGTTTTCTCGTGGCCGTGGCTTAGACGTGGGCGCCAGGGCTTGGAGGCAAAGTCAAAATGTGCTGCTCTTCTTCTGCGACGTCGACATCCACTTCACTGCCGACTTCTTAACTTCCTGTCGTCTCAACACAGAACCTGGTGAGAGAGAGGAGCGTTGGTCAGATTCTGCCTTTATTCATACATGGACTATAATCTGTGTCAACAACAAATAAGGCCAGGACTATAACACTAACACTGTCTCTAATATGGCTGAACATGCTCTACTATGAATCCCCAAACTTCATGTTTTCTTAAATATTAATAATTTTATTCTCTCTGTGTATTTTACTAGGAAAAAGAGTGTACTACCCAGTGCTCTTCAGCCAGTACAACCCATCTATCATCTACAGTAATCACACACTCATACCCTCTGTGCAACAACAACTGGTGAGTCAGGATCTTGCACCTGAATTCACTTGGATGACTTGTTGTTGATATGATCTGAGTCATTTCCGGCTGCTTTTCTGTCCAGGTGATAAGGAAGGAAACTGGATTCTGGAGAGACTTTGGGTTTGGCATGACATGTCAGTACAGGTCTGACTTCATGAACATAGGTAAAGGAAAAGCGTCACTCATCACTTCATTACGATTTGCAAGACATTACAAAACATCCATTTATAAACGTAGACTGTAGTACCAGAGTGATAAAGAACTGCTGGATTTTGTCTTTTTAGATGCAATTTTCATCCAGCCATATACTTGAATTTTAAATGAAGTCATACCCACTGAGTTATCTAGCCTTGTCATATTCCTGGGCAGGTGGTTTTGACCGTAACATCAAAGGCTGGGGGTTGGAGGATGTGCACCTGTACAGGAAATACCTCCACAGTAAACTGATGGTGATCCGAGCCCCATCCCGAGGACTCTTCCACCTGTGGCATGAGAAGATCTGTGCCGACGAGCTTTCCCCAGACAAGTACAAGATGTGTATGCAGACCAAAGCCATGAGCGAGGCCTCGCACAGCCAGCTGGGGGAGCTGTTCTTCAAGCAGGAGATTGAGCGACATCTGAGCTCTCAGAGGCAGACACCATGAAGACACAGGCTGATGATGATACATGTTTCTGCTTTAGAGGTCACTTTTATTCTCTGTTGCTGTGCTGACCATTATAATTTATGTTGACAGTGACCTTTTCAGGCTCAAACAATAAGAACGGTGTGATAATGGATGTTTTCCAAAAGGACTCAATGTCAATAAAAGAATAAAAACTTCCACTTCTATATTTTTACTTCTGTTTTTTCTTTGGCTGGTGGTTACCCACACTTTCTATGATCTTGACAACAGTGAAAAACATTTCTGCACGGCCAATCTTCATTTTATTTCATTCAAAATAACAAACCATACAGAGCATCTGAGTTTATGTTCATCATCAAGACTACCAAGATCTAGAAGGAACCTAAAATTATATTTGTATGTCACAGCTTTATTAATCATGATGTTACTGTTTCTGTCTTACTGGTCAGAGTGTCTTGAAGATATAGTTCTAGACAGTCTAACCTGAGTCCACCTTCCTTCCTTGTGTGCGTCAGGAGAAACTGTAACCACTTTAATCACACACAGAGGTGCTTGAACTCTTAATCCATTATCAGGTGTGTCTAGACATTGGGTCAGGTGAAGCTCGCAGTTTTTTCCACGAGAGTCGAACAATTGATTTTGGAAAAGCAGTTTAGAGTTATTATATTTTCAGAGTTCATAAAGAAAGAGGTTTCTAGAGGATTAAATGAACTGTGCCGAGGCGTGAAATTGCTGTTCGGCTGTATTTTCGTATTTTGAGTCTTACACATATGAAGCTTTGGCACAGTGCAAGAATACTCTATTGCAAGTAAAAGCCCTGTCACATAAATGTAACACAAGTAAAACTAAGTTGAATGAGCTAAAAATTGCTGATTTTCAAATAACAACACCATACAGAAAGCTCTTTTCTTACATCTACATGTCTGACTGTATGACCTTCAAGAATGACCTTAACCCATAAACACATTACAGGATTTGGTGTTTGATTGCTACCCTCTATCCAATCTGTGCAGTGCATCGAGGAGTAGCTCGAAAACTCCAGCAGCCTACCTAGTGAACTCTTTTCTATTCTTAGTGGCACAGATTGGACCTCGCTGCCTCTGCGCAGACACGCAGCGAGGGAGGGAGGGAGGAGGAGCAGATCTGCATCGGCAGACGGTTGGCGTAGCGTCACCACTGGCACGCGATAGGCCAAACTTCTATTACCATTTTCCTGTCTTGTGCTGCGTTCATGTACGCCTCGGAAATAGTTCAATGGCAAAGTGCGTTACACAGCCATGAAAAGACATCATTTTGTGCGTGTAAACATTGACCAACTGACTCACCTTCAATAAATAACTAAATATAATGTCGGTTAAGATAAAAACCACAAGAATTTTGCTCATAGAATATCTTTAAAGATGCCCATGTGAGCAAAACTATGGCTTTCTTACCAAATTCAGGCCTTTAGAGGCCAAATAAGTCCATCAGGTGCCCATATGAGCTTAAATAAAAGACAAGATGAAATGTCCTCTCTGTCACACCCGCTTGTGAAATGTGATGACATGCATTAAAGAAGCCTTTAGTTACTCTCTGTTGTGATAAAAATTACATTGAATTGTCAAAATAGACTTGCAAAGAAGTCAGAAAAACCAACATGGCCATAGTCAAACAGATAAAACTTAAATAACTATGAACTCAGTTGGAAAGACATCACAATGGCCGAGTGACCACTGTAGGTTTATAGGTACTGAAAAATATACACTACTGTTAATGTACGAATAAAAAGGGCAACGAGTGACATTTGTATGTAGAAATCCCAGGAAAGGACTTGAAAAAAAAAAAAAAAAAAGTCATAAGGTAAGGTGACACCTTCCAGATAGCCAGCTGCACCCACCTGTAGCACTAACTGATTACTCATCTAATTATGCACGGCTTTAAGTCTTTCCACAGGCCACTAAAAACAGACTAACAGCTCATGCCCTGAACAATGACCCAAAAATGACATATCAGCCACACAGGCCGTTTTTATTCCTTAAAGTTGAAGGATGAAGTGGTCACTTGCAGGCCTGCTGTTTTCATCATTTGTGCGTTGGCTTTAATGCTTTGTATGGTGGCTGAGAACTGCCACTGCTGCAAAAAAAGAAAAAGAAAAAAAAAGTCACAATGGAAGTTACTGCTGCTGCTGCTGCAAAAAAAAAGGAAACCGAAGCCCGCTGCAAATAAAAAAAAGGTGCAGATAAAAAAAAAAGCTACAACGGAAGTTAACGACGCAAAAATTTTTTTACTTACTGCTAAAATAAAAGGATGCAAATAAAAATAAGCCACAACAGAAGCAAGCTGCCGAGGTCCAATAATGATGATGCACAGATGTTTTGCTATCTAGGTACAGAAGACGACGGCGAGAAGACGAGCGTAGAAGTAAGTGGAAAGGTTATTGTTGAATTTCACTTTGTGTGCTTTTCAATGTGTCATTTGGTCAGACCATATAACGCCTGAGTCGATATGAAGTTGAACTGAAGCTAACACTACACTGAGATCCTCCAGTTTGACTTCATATCGACTCAGGTGCTACCTGACCTTACCAAATGACACATTGAAAAGCACACAAAGTGAAATTCAACAATAACCTTTCCACTTACTTCTTTGCTCGTCTTCTGTGCCTAGATCGTACAAACATCGGTGCATCATCATTATTGGTCCCCGGCAGCTCACTTCTGTTGTCACTTTTTAAAATTTGCATCCTTTGATTTTTACAGAAGATACCTTTTTTTGGCATTGCAACTTTTTTTTGCGATGTTAACTTCCGTTGTGGCTTCTTTTATTTTGTATTCTTTTTTTACTTGCAGCAGTTCTCAGCCACCACAGTTTTGCCCCAGAGGTTTCCCTGTGAATTCCCAGCTGCTCCTGAACGCAGCATCGATCACAACGAGAGAAGAGCGCTCGTTCCTGCGCCTCATCGGTTATGTCTCTCATCTGATCTCAGGGCAGGACGGTATCATGAGCTGAGGATTTTCCGCAGTGTTATGATGGTTTGTGAGCTGTTTAAAGGGTGAGAGGCTCCTTACGTGTGTGGTGGTGTTCGTTTAGATTTAGCTTTAGTTTAGTGTTTGGTACTTGGAGTATTTGTTATATATATATTTTTTCTTTTTTTTCCTGAACCTCTCGGTAGTTTAGCCTCTGGGACAGTCTCGGACTTGTTTTTTGTGGCAGCGCAATGACACTGGTGTATTCTAATTTTGTGGTGGAATAGCGACACATGTTCGGCAGATAGGCTGCTTCTTGTGTCACCTAAACGCAGCCGGGACCGGACATTTTTTACCAAGTCTGAGAGAAGAAGAAGAAGAAGGGGACGCAACATGTTTGAAGCTTCAGGGATCCCTCTCATCGTGCTGGACATTACCTGCCTTATCCTCGGTACGTTAATCTCATCCTCCCCTGCCTGTCAAACTAACCTTTAATCCGCTTTGTTTATTTACCACCAAATTGCAGCTTGTTCAACTTTTAGACTCAAACTAAGGCAGCCCAATGTTACTGCTTCTGTAGATACCTACAGTCTAAGCAAACTCATCTCCATATCGTTTACATAGACGTCATGTAAATACTCATGGGAAGGCTTGAGGTTTAGAGAACTAGGCAGGAAGATGGAAAAAAGGGCAACAAGTCACACCCTGTGTGTGTTTTTCTTTTTTCCTAGCAAAGCCGTATTTTTAGCTCCATGTTTGGAGTGTAATCACAGCATAGAGACACCCTCCGGGAAGACAAAAATGCTGCTGTGATACAGATGAAGATGAAGGAAAAGAACCTTTGACCAAACTTAGATGCACACTGAGTTCGATTTGATCACTGCCATCTTTGATAAGGATAAGAAAACACGTAAAGCTCAAGAAATCTTATCCTCTGAGTAATTTCACTCGCTTGCTGTGCTTACTCAGACTGTCTTGTGGTCTGCAGTGCTGCTGACTGTGCACCCATCCTCTCATTTAGTCAGTGAGCTGGCAGATACCACCAACTGGAAAATCCAAGTCAGGTTCATCACAAGTCTTCTTGTGCTTTGTAAACTCTGTCAGAAGTGCTCCTGTGAATCCATAAATGTGCATACTCTTAACTTGGGAAGTGACAGGAATAGTATCTGCATTTACAGCTGTGATTATTAAGGACGGAGTTTTTATTTGAAGGTAGCCCTTTATTGCCTTTTGGATCATATTTGATACATACTTTTACGATACTTCTATCAAACCAATATGATCAACAAATTACTAAAAAAACACCCGAATACAGTCTGATAAATGATAAAAATGTCCTCTTGTGGTTTATCAGTTTTCAAAAACATCTAATGTATCAAACAAGATAGATAAATGTATTTGTTGGATTTTAAGAACATTTTGATTTGTTTGGTTTTCAGTAGTGAGTGAAATTAACATTTTAGCTCCAAAAAAAAAAAGAATTTTCTGGCCATAACTTGTGGTTTCAGGCATTAAAGGGTTAAGTAACGTCTCAACAGGATCAGTGAATTGGAAATGCCCCTTGTCAATATTATAACATAATATTCGTCATTTGATCATTATCAGTTGTATTACATCAGAGTACAAGCAAATTAATTCTTGTAATTGGTCAACAACAAGCACATACACTGTTTTGTTGTTCATTCTGAAACTGTGTTGTGTATTTTATCATGATGATGATTGGTTTAAAGTTTACATTATGAGTAAAATTTTGTTTGTTATACTTAAGTTACTCAAACAGGTGTGGCAGAGTAAAAAGTGAAAAAGTTTGCTCTAAGTAATGGTAAAAAGGGAGTGGTTTTGTAGAAGTAAAACATAAATTAAAGCTCCTGTGATTTCTTAGACATAAAGAAGTTTACATTATAACTTTATTTCAGTGTTGTGTAAAGGGGAAGTTTAGTCTCTTTGCTAGTTTAATAGAAGAAGAAGGAGAAACCAAAGGGATGAGCTCTAAAAGACACAAAAGATCAAAAGGGGAAGATAAGGTGGTATCAGCCCGCTCAAACAAATCAGGTTTACTTACTCTTGTATTATTATCATGATAATTTTCCTTTTGATAAACATCTGCATGATCAGATCAGCATGCTCATTCTATGTTAATCCCGGACTTTAGAAGTCAACAACAGCAAAATATCTTCAGCAGTGGGTTTAAAGAAACAGGCCCAAACGGAACTGTGTGAGTGAGTGATAACTCATTTAGTCGAGGAGCACCACTGACAGTCATTGTACTTGGAAGAGTGCCTGGAGTTGCATTAGCTTTTTTCCCCCTTTTTCATCCATCTTATTTTAGTCTCCCTGGAGCAATCTGCAAATGAAACAAATAGAGAAGGGAATATCGTGTTTGTAACAAGAACAAGTGGAAGCATGTTTTCATTGTTTTTTTACGAGTAACTCCTGACCTGTTTACCCTCATACCTTAGTTGTTCCAGTATGACTTGAATTACAGCAGGATTTTTATTGCAACTTTTTGTCTTCCTGCATGTTTGTGCAGCATTGCTCTGACATAACTCAGGGCCTTGAGGGGAAACACCCATGTCACCCAAACAAACGATGTTTCTTTGAACTGAACATTAAGTTTGTGTTTATTGTAGCAGCTGTGACTCATCAGTATGAGCAACTCGAGCATTTTCTGATGCTTGAAGACATGGTGTAAACTATAATTATATAAAAGAAGATAATAATCTGTCTTTGTGCTTCCTTCTCTAACAGTTGGACTTCCATTTTTCATTCTTACCCCTCAACATGCTCCTTTCAAACGGGGTTTCTTCTGTAACGATGACTCCATTAGATACCCACTCAAAGAAGACACCATATCCTACCAGCTGCTGGGAGGTGTCATGATACCCTTCACGCTTATAGTGGTAAGGAATCACTGCAGAGTGACTCTCATCTATTTATTTTTGTCTTTTTGTGTGTTTTCTTGTGCCTCATATTTTCACATCTTGCGTTGCAGATTGTCTGTGGCGAGTGCCTTTCTGTTTACCTGTCTCGTATCAAGAACCAGTCACTGGGGACCAAGTATGTGGGGTGTGTCTACAAAGTAGTGGGGAGCTACGTGTTCGGAGCTGCTGCGAGTCAGTCTCTGACAGACATTGCGAAGTATTCCATCGGCCGCCTGAGGCCAAACTTCCTGGCTGTGTGCAAACCAGCCTGGGATCGCATCAACTGCAAAGCCGGTGGATACATTGAGAACTTTACCTGTAGTGGAGAGAAATTTCTGGTGGATGAGGCCAGGTAATAGTCCCCAAATTACACATAAAATAAATGAATAAACATGTGATTGAATAAATGCTTTTCTAAGGATAATGGAGCTATAGTTATTGTCAGTTTCCCCCAACTTTAAATCATTTTTTTAATCTCATGGGCCAAGACAAACCAGCCTTAAAACTCCTGTGAGAACTTTTTTGAAGTGTCCCTACCAGTTCTTTGAACTTTGCCCTAAGTTTCCCATTTAAATGTGTTGTGCCAAAGTCCAAGCTAAGATAACCATGATTATATAAGTAAAAGATCATGCACCACTTGAGTGGGAGCTGCTACATAACCTTTTATACAGTTGAATATGCTGCTCTGGTCTAAAGAAACAGGTGTAGTTGTCCTTTAACACAGTTCTTGATTTATAGTGATACAAAAGTATGGCATAAACAATTTCACTATGAAAACTTGGATCTGAAACATGTTCGTCCCAAATCTCTCTTATTTCTTTCACTGCTCTGCTGTAGACTCTCCTTCTTCTCTGGCCATTCATCCTTCTCCATGTACTGCATGCTGTTCCTTGTAGTAAGTACTTTTTTCTTCTTCAGGCGTTTACTTACAAACCTGTTATTAAAATATCTGCTCTGACGACACCTGTTTGTCTTAAAGAGTGACTGTTTTCATGTCTCTAATTTACTGCTTTCTTTGACACTGTAGCTCTATATCCAAGCCAGACTGAAGTCTGAGTGGGCGAGGCTCCTGCGCCCAACTATCCAGTTCTTCCTGATTGCCACCGCTGTGTATGTGGGTCTGTCCCGGGTGTCGGACTATAAACATCACTGGAGTGATGTGCTTGCTGGCCTCCTGCAGGGAGGTTTAGTCGCTGTTTTCACAGTAAGTTTCATCCTGTGATCCATCACAATACTGGCAAAACAAGACATCATGTGATTCCCTAGCAGTGCTTTCAATGATGCAAATGAAAATGACCTTGAAAAGGGCGCTTCTGTTGCTTTAAGACAGCGCTTCACCCCTGAACAGCAGTTTCCACCATTGATCCCCCTAAAGGAAATTACCATTAGCTCTGCACTATTCTGCATTTTAGTCTCACTTCTATTTCGTGTCTTTTATTGCCTGTTGAATACAAGAAGGTCCTGTGGGTTTTTACAGCATGTGTCTAATGACTCACCCAAAAGCCAGACAGTGAGGGAGAACAGGGAAAAGTTTTAAATTACAAGAATGATCAATAAATAATGAATTTGACTGATCAATATTTTAAAAACTGGGTCAGCCTCAAATCAAAAGAGGTGATACTGTGATTTTTTCGTATTTTGGAAAAAAAAGTTTAAATGTTGGATGACAGTCCTAGTCTGAAATTAAAAAGTTACAAAGGTAATGTGTGTCGAAGTAATTCCCAGATGAGTGAGATCAATATGAGATTTGCTCAAACCGTTACAGTGAAATTTGTCAGGTTATAAAAAGAAACACAACATTATTGCATGGCAACAGTGAAAGAGGCTTCCAGAGTGCTAGGTTCTGGAATGCTGTGGGGGCTTAAAGGGACAGTGGCTTAAATGAAGTGTCTCAGAGGGAGGCTGGGATGGGGGGTTTTTAAAGACAGCAGCCTGAAATACTGTATGTGAAGAAGTTACTGAACTGTAAATCATGTAGAACTGTTAAGAAGCTATCAGAGGGATGACATAGAGCTGTAAAAAAAATGTAAATACCAAGCATAATATGGAGTGTTGGAAAAAGTGTTTGGACCTTTTTGAAAGTGTAATTTTGTAAAAATACAGTCAAAATATATATTAATTTCTCCTTTTTTCTCTGCAGGCTTTCTGTGTGTCCAATTTCTTTGAACAGCCGGTGGACCCGGTAGTGTCACAGGAAGAAGAGGCCTCACACACCAGTTTACAGGAAAACCCTTCAAATGGGAACCACTATGGCAGCACTGAGTGAATCTGAGGCCTCAGAGACAATACTGTCAAAGGACTAATATATTTAAACTGCCACAGAGGACCTGATATACACCAAAAACTCTACAAGTGCTTGATATCATGCTGGCTGGCCGTGTCTGTGCATTTTTTAGCACAATTTGGCACTGCAGTCTGCAGGCTTCTGCTGCTACCTTTGGAAAAGTGGCTCAGTTTTAATAACAGGAAGAAAAGTGCACTAGAGAAGACAGTACTTTCACTTCACTGAGAAGTGGAGCCAAGGAAATCCAACATAGTACAGTTAACTAGGGAATTAAAAAACAAAATACAGCATGTTGGGTTTACTTTAGGACAGCCTGCTTTTTACAGTGTGAGCTTGATGAAAATGTGGGTTTAGAGTATATATCGGTCTGGTGTTGCCTATATCATGAATGAAATTCTTTTTGCTCAGAATATAATGAGTGTCTGTGTGCACACTGCAAGCAGGCTTGTAGCGAGCCTTGGACCTGTGAAAAAGAAAACCTGGACTGTGCTTTGACAAAAAAATGGAGACCGAACTCAAAAGAAAGTACATTTCATGTTGGTTTTTCGCCTTAGTCAGACTGCTGCTACCTGCTGTCACGCTCATGATGTTATTTTATGAATGAAAGTCAATGCATTGATTTTTAATTTTATTTTTCCTTCTTTTGATTTTTTTTTTTTTACAGTTTGAATGATGCTATTTCTGTTTTTGTCCAGATTGAAAGCTTTAAACATAACTGTTTAAAGCAGTTTTGGGAACATGTTTTGACAAATAAAAAGAGCTCTGTCTTTGCTTTTTTGATACAAAATAAGAGGATGATTTTGTGTGTTTGTTGTCTGGCACTGTTGCCGATTTGTCAGTATTAGGGATGGCATCAGGGAAGAGAAACCAAGAGTGAGACTTGAAACCACTTCCTGTCAGAGGGTGTGTCATTCTCTGTCTGCAGACTGACCATCAAAACCACAGGCGCTCTAATGGGCTGATGACAATGCCAGAACAGGTTTGCTTGATGCCCTGCCCAATCATGAATCCGGAGGTTAAGAACCTTTTAGCACATTATGAGACCGTCACCTCACCAAAGGAGAGCTCTATTAGCTGAGGACACTGATCCATGGCTGTAAACGTCTGAGTTCAGGACATGTGAATAAGCCGAAATCCCATTACAGTGATGGGAAGAAGTCGGCTTAAGAGAAATTTAACACATGTGGACAGCCAAATTCATATATGCCAAATGACATCGATCAATTCAGGTCTGTTGACAGTATTGGGGAGAATATAATGTAATGTTAGCTAAGACACCAGATGTTGTAACTGTAGCAGTTAGGTACCAATAATGCTATCTTACCTTGAAATTGCCCCAGAGCCTGTAGTCTTAACATGGTTTTGTCGTTGGTTAGCAACCAGGAAACAGTGAATTCCCTGACAATATCAAAACTCCACATTTGTGCCACTGACAACAGCATTACGAGCATTAGAGCTTCCAACCCTGGGCACAGCAACAACAGAGCTGCTGATGCAGAAATGTGGCGAGTTTCACACATTTAAGTTCTTGGCCATTATCTAAATGTCACTGTGCTTTGTTTAATGCTTTCTCACATTTATCTCAATTTCTCCACCTCTCTCAGTTCCTGGTAAAGATTCTGTTTTTTTCCACTCATGTAATTTCATGCATACTTCAGCACTTAAATCTTGAGAATTTCCTAACGTGAAAATGTTGGAAGTTCCCACCAGAGACATTTCCCCTTGTCTCCATATTGATTGAATCCTGCTGACCCCATTAAGTAAATTTGATTTGGAGGCCAAACAGCAGAGCTATGAACAGAGACATTAACTGCATGCATGGACACAATGTGCATATGGAGTTTTCAGGGAGTGGAAAATGAAGCTTGATATTTACTGGGAAGTTGCTCAAATGTGTTTCAACATTTTGTTACACATCTTTAATGAGAGGAATTGGAGACAGAAACTAACATCAAATTTGTTTTGCAACTGAAAAAGTGCTGACCCCACTGTGTTGTCCCTCTGACCATCCGCTGGTCAAAAAAACAGAGCGATATATGTTATGTGTCGCTCAACAGAGCTCTCTCTTCTGTCACGCTGTTCTCCACAATAGTCTTTATTGAAAGCAGCTCCATTCACTCTCTGTCACATGTCTCAGTTTATCTTGCCAGACAGTGATGGCACTGCAGAAACAAGCAACTCGGGGTTCAGTTTGCAATGGCAGCTTTCAAAGAATTGGCACTGAAATAATGATCCCCTCACACACACTTACTTTTGTTCCAGATAGTAGGAAAAACAGTACGATCAGGATAACAAGGGGATCCTTTAAATAGTTGCAGCAAAAACAGTTGCAACAATAAAATAAGTCAATGAATGCAAGGGAGCCATGAGGTCACGAGTGGTCATAAACTTCTGTCTATAGTTTAAAGTTTCAGATGGAGTAATAAAAGCTGTTTGTGAGCGATGCTGTCTGTTTCTGGAGTGTGTGAACAAACAGAAGTTAGAAGGAGAAATAGAGGAAGCATTATAGAGATTATGCATGTGAGCAGTAGGGGAAGTAGATAAGTGGGTAGTTATGTCTGTTTTTGACAAAGTGAAACTTTGCGTTGCATCAGCAAAACTTGCATTTTGAATCTTTACTATTGGTGCAGTGTTAAAAAAAGAAAACAGGTAATGAACTGCCTAAAAAGTGCTTTAAGTACAGTAGATTGATTTACAGCACTTCGGGTATTTCATGTCGGCTTTTTTATTGCCCTTCTTCATGATATCAGGGATTCAGATACACGTTTATTTCTATGATGAGTATTGATCAGCAGTTACTTACACCACAATAATAAAAATGCTGCTTTGGAATATAGCAATCATGTATCAAATCAAACTTTGAATAGCCCTTAAATAATAAATAAACAATCTTAAATAATGAGATCACACTTCGTACAATGACATTACTGTAATACTGTAATACAGTGCAGTGTACTCAGCATATGTGATATCAGTAGTATGGTGATGGTTAAACGTGAGCTAAAATCTAACAATATAGATTCTAGAATTACATTTATTTGGGACACAGACATATCATTTCTGCTGGTGTAATATCCTCTGCAGCCCTCAAACGGAGACAGACGTAACGACAGTCTTCAGTGGGTGTTGCTATTGTTGAGCTCTGGTGTAACATACAGAAGGTTTAGCCTCAGGAATCTATTTTAAGGTATCTGTAGCCACCTGCTGGACATGAATGTAACAAAGGATATTGTTGGGTTATAAACAACAATATCTGAGAAAGAAATCTCAGAGTAAAGTCAAATTCTTTTACTTTTTTTTGGACAGTATCACACACTATTTGGGGTAAAAGTTAAGAATTATCTGTTGATTTAACTTAACAAACATTTCAATTAGTTGATTTTTAGATTGTAATGTGAATATCATAGACTCATTTGGAAACAAGCACTCAAGGAGCAGTTCCCCTTATCTTTCAAACTCCATGGACCAAGCTATTTATTCTATATGCACATCTTGTATCTTTGATCACACTTGGAAATTCCGCTCTGTCTTTAGCTGCTCATACCAGATTTTGCTTCATATTTGCAGGATCAGAATAATGCTTTAAGTTTTAGTATTCAAGGACAGACTTTTAACTTTTATTTTCTTCTCCCCTTTTTCTAAATTTTTTCTTAATTATAACATTTATTTAGTTTCTTAATATAACGATCTTTATTTTTATAACTGCATTTTGCACTACCTTTGTCTGTGATGCTGCTGTGGCAAAAAAATTCCCCCATGGGGGATCAATAAAGGAATATTCTATTCTATTCTAACCAGAGGACTGTATGTGCATTTGTTTTACTTGAGTCATTGCTCAGGATCAAAAGAGAAAACAGGACAGTAAGTCATGGACTTGATGTGACATTGTCACTGAATTTATTACCATTGTATCAAACATTTCAGCCCAAAACTTAGTCCACAGCTGAGAAACAAGGTTTGGAAATGACTCCGTCACCTCTCAGACAACAAGGAGCTTACAGACTTAGTCATCTTCACACACTCATTCACCTTCTTCAATAGAATATTCTTATGAATAATTTTACAGAACAGCAAACAGGATTCATTACAGTGGTGTGTGCTCTGTTACACTCTACCTGTATATTTTGGTACAAGAAAACACATTTGATGCGTTTAAACTAGTGTGTATTGATCGAATAACTCTCCATTTGGTGAAACCAGCTCCGATGGTACCAACCTAAACTAACAGCACTGTACTGAAGCGCTCAATCAGAACCATTTTACAGCACTATAGGGTTGTAAAATTTTATTTGGAGAAATCTGTACATGGAGGTTTTGGCCTTCAGTGTGTTCACATGTATAAGCAGAATGGGGACACAGACAGGTAGCTCACTGAAGATCAAGACAAGTGCTATCCATTACTCGAAGCTGGACAGGAAGCTCAGAACAATTTGCTTCAGTTTAGCATCTGATGCCTCTGAGATCATGCCGTCAGCCCTGAAACAGAAAAAAACAGGAGTCAGTCAGTTTAACACATTCTGGCTGAGACCATTAACTTGTGGTCTAATGTTCAAAAACTTAACTGTGACCTAAAAACTTATCTTACCTAATTGCGGCGAGCAGCTCCTGGTGCTGGCTGAGGATGTGCTGCAGGAAAGCCCTCTCAAACTTTGTGATCTTGCTGGGCTCCATCTTGTCCAAGTGACCTCTGACACCGGCGTAGATGACTGTGACCTGCTCCTCAATGGCCATGGGAGCTAAAGGAGATAGGAGACAGTTTGGTGGTTACATCAAGACATACAATACTTCTGAGAGTATTTCAATTCTGCCCTCTGGAAAACAAAACAGGCAAAAGACACTTACAGTACTGTCCCTGCTTGAGCAGCTCAGTGAGCCTGACACCCCTGTTAAGGAGCTGCTGAGTGGCGGCATCCAAGTCGGAGCCGAACTGGGCGAAGGCAGCGACCTCACGGTACTGAGCCAGCTCCAGCTTCATGGTACCAGCCACCTAAGGATGAGTTATCAGAGTAGTTACGACGCTGGAGATTATAGCCTCTGAATGAGCACAGGATATTCAGTTGCCTCAAATGTTACCTGCTTCATGGCCTTGGTCTGGGCAGCAGAGCCTACTCTGGACACAGACAGACCCACATTGATGGCAGGGCGGATACCCTTGTAGAACAACTCAGTCTCCAAGAAGATCTACAGTAAAACAAAGACAGCGTAATTTAAAAAGAGCGATTCATTTCTTAACTAAATCACAGCAAGTTCTACAGTGTTACACAAACCTGTCCGTCTGTGATGGAAATGACGTTGGTGGGGATGTAGGCGGACACATCACCAGCCTGGGTTTCAATGACTGGCAGGGCAGTGAGAGAGCCACCTCCAAAGTTGTCGTTCATTTTGGCAGCTCTCTCCAGCAGACGGGAGTGCAAGTAGAACACATCACCGGGGTAAGCCTCACGACCAGGAGGACGACGCAGCAGCAGGGACATCTGACGGTAGGCGACAGCCTGAAAGTAGGAGGGGAAACAAAATACTTCACCAGGGTTGCACCAAGAATTTTCTTAAAAATTTCTGCTGATAAACGCAAAAGAAAATCCTTTTTACTCCGGTTTTATTCTTATTTATATTTAACAGAAGCAGTCCGGGCTCCTCACCTGCTTGGACAGATCGTCATAGATGATCAGGGCGTGTTTGCCGTTGTCCCTGAAGTACTCTCCCATGGAGCAGCCAGAGTATGGGGCCAGGTACTGCAGAGGAGCGGCATCGGAGGCGGTAGCAGAGACCACGATGGTGTACTTCATGGCATCAGCGTCAGTCAGCCTCTTCACCAGCTGAGCCACAGTGGACCTCTTCTGTCCGATGGCGACGTAGATACAGTACAGCTTCTTCTTCTCATCAGTCCCCTCGTTGAAGCGCTTCTGGTTGATGATTGTGTCAATGGCGATGGCGGTTTTGCTGAGGAAATGACAGGAAGTATTAAAGATGTGGACCTAAAATCATACACCCTGTCTTTGGCTTCATCATTGCATCATTCATCATGCTAGAAGGCTCAATTTCTCAAGCTAATGTGGAATACAGAGTGTATTTCTGTGAAAAAGTATTTACCCAGTCTGCCTGTCACCAATGATCAGCTCACGCTGGCCTCTGCCAATGGGCACCAGGCTGTCCACAGCCTTGATTCCAGTCTGCATAGGCTCCCTCACAGAGATACGTGGGATGATACCAGGGGCCTTCAGACCCACACGCCTACGGGTGTTGGAGCCCAGGGGACCCTGAAGGCAAAACAGAAGTCTTATTGATAAAAGAACATTAAAATATTTAAGAAATAATTAAAAGGATTTAAGAGTAAACAAGCTCAGATGTAGCATTTTGTCTTTTTCTTTTTTTAAAAAAGGTCAAAATGTTAATAAAAATTCTAATTAACTTCATCACAATGATACCTGTGTGGATACGGATATGTTATTGCTTTAATCGGGCACCGGTAGGTTATTTTAATAATCAATGCTAACGTTTCATTTAAAGTCAGATGATTTCCACCCAGAAAAAAAAAAAAAAAAAAAAAAAAAAAAAAAAGTACAGAATTCATTTAACCTTTCCATCGATGGCATTTCCCAGAGCGTCCACAACACGACCGAGCAGCTCCTCACCGACTGGGACATCCACAATAGCACCAGTCCTCTTCACGATGTCACCCTCCTTGATCAGCTTGTCGTTACCGAACACCACAACACCAACGTTGTCAGGCTCCAAGTTCAGAGACATGCCCTGTGGAGAGGGGGGGTGGGGGCATTAGCAAAACAATTATCATACCCTAGTAAGACTGGTGGATTATAAAGAGGAATGCTTCAAAAAAAGAATCAACCTGTTGGTTTATGTGTGGATCCCTTTATATTGCCAAAAAGGTACACAATGTTCTTTCAGATTTCTTTAATTGCAGGTGAAAATTTACTAAAACCTGTTAACACTGTGTTTATGGATTTAACCAAGAAAGAAACCTTCTGCATAAAAATCATTTTTATAAACATACTTTGAGTCCAGAGGAGAACTCCACCATCTCTTCTGCCTGGACATTCCTCAGCCCATACACTCTGGCAATACCATCACCAATGGACAGCACACGTCCGGTCTCCTCAAGGTCTGCACTGGTGTCAGCCCCCATGATCTTCTCCTCCAGGATAGAGGACACCTCAGCTGTGCCTGTGGAAGAAAAGCAAAGCTCGTTTAGTTTAAAGACACAAAATTCATGCAAACATTAATGTTGCAGCAAAATCACAAATTGCATCAATATGTTTTTGCCTTAAATGCTCAAATTTACAAATAAAAATGATCTTATCCTGTTATGATTGTCAGTTGTCTGTGTGCTAATCTGGGATAGTTTAGATGGTAACCTCTGGAAATGTTCCTCTGACAATGTGACACTGCACTTACTAAGACAATATAAGGGACAGGAGAGTGATCAATGACCTTCGTCAATCACCCTTGGGTGCTGACCCGCAGTGCTGAGCATTAAGTGTCATGTTGTTTGTGACTTGCTCACCTGTCTTCTGCAGCAATGGTCTGTGTGTATGGAGGTGGTTGACCCCAACGCAGGCAGCCGGTAGAGCCTTGGCCACCTAGAGTCATGAGAGATGTATCAGATTTCCAGATTATGCAAATAAAAGTTCACATAAAGCATTGCTATTACAGTTTTTAAAGAGGCATTTTCTAAGCTTTAATGGTGCAGCGCCGTGCAGAACAGACGACATGAGCTGATCAGCTTTCTGACCTTCACAGCGTGGCTGAATGAGCTGCTAGCTGGATGCTAACGTTAGCTCTAGTGCTCGCTTAACATCGGGCACGAAAATTTCACAAGGGCAACTCGAAAGCGCACAAACACATTACCTTTCTAATATTGCTTAAATAAAGTATTACTACATAAGAGTAGTGGCATTTCTGGGTTTGCATTAATAAGCCGATGACAACGTCGCTAGCGGCCTGTAACATTACCCTTCACGCCCACAAGGTTCACAATATATTTGCATTACTTTTCAACAGCATCACTATTAAATAGACAGTTTGAATCGAATACTTACAAAGCCAGCCCTTCTGGGCAGGGCTCTGGCCAAAGCTGCAGCAACTCTCACGGATAACATTTTGTCGGGTTGCTAATGACCTGTCCTCCACCAGCAGCGGCTTCGACCTGCTCTAGTGTAATGGCTGAATGAAGTCTTCTTCTATTTATGTCAAACTGTTCAGCTCATTTCCTGCTTCACTGCGCAACGCCGCCCCCTGTCGACAGGAAGATTTGTTTCTGCTAGCAGCAGTAATGGACCACTGCACCCTCCCAATGTCACAATATGAGGGTAAAAATTTTAGAAAATTTGTGAACCTTAAACTTTAACTGTATGTAAAGAGAGATGAGGGTAAATGCAGGGATTAAAAAAAGGAACAGAAAATACCAATTGAAACAACAGGACACCATTAGAGAATGTTCACTTTTTACTTATTTTACTTATTTTATCTATTTATCTCTATATTTCTACTCACTTAACTATTACTATTTGATCTTTCACTTGATCTATTATTTAGCTCCTCTTTTACTGTATTTGCACTGGAGTACTGTAAAAAAAGCAATTTCCCCCTCGGGGTTATTAAAGTATTTCTGATTCTGATTCTGAACATACAATTTTCCAATCTGGTTTGGGACATAACCAAATGATTTCAAATATCATTATGCAGCAAAGTGTAAAACACTGTCTTATTATAATTCATACAATGCAAGGATTCTTTACTGATCTGTCTTGTTAAATTTTGTATTAAACTTTTTTTGTGCAAAAAGCATAGACAATATAAAATCATAAAAAGGGTCACATCAATAGCTTTTGTCTATTAATAAAAGGCATGTGTATCAAACCTATGGTTTCAGCTGTAATATCTGAGAAGATGGAAGAAGGTATAATTTAAACATTTGACGGTTTAGTTAGAAATATTGATGTTAAGAGTTGTTGTCACAGTTGAGCAAAGAAAAAACTTATGTAGCATCCTTTACTAAAACTATAATTCATAAGTAGCCTATGTTTCTCTGTTTTTTCACAGCTTTTATAAGATGGATGAAGTTTACAGAGTTTAGGCCTTGTGACAGATGAGGCCGCTGTACAATTGGAAATGTAGAATTAAGTTGTAGTTTTCCACACTAATGTTTAAATAATCCCTACTTTGGTTAGGGGTGTCTTAAAAAAACATATTTGCATATTGGAAAGGGAAGGCTGCCATCCTTGAATGGCTTTTTTTTTTTTTTGTTATTATTTAAAATTTTTTTTTTTAAATACACTGGGTTTTCATTCCTACCAAACACAAACACACAGCAGTTTACAAACTAACAAACTGTCTGGATGGTTTCAGATTTATTTTATTTATTAGGTTTATGCATATGAGAATTGTTAGTGATTCTGTTGCTGAACACAGAATAACAATTGAAATTTAAAAAACAGACAAAAATATAGAAATAACAGAAAAGACACAAATAAAGAGTTAAAAAGCTTCATAAAAACACAACTACAACCGTCAATGAACTTAAAATAATGAGATACAATTGCTAGTATATAAATCATAGACTGTATATAGCAGGGGTGCCAAACTAAACCACAGCAGGGGCCATAATCTGGAATTCACTCTTACCTGAGGGCCGAACATGGTCAACATTTAACCCAAACTGTCAGCCTCCTTTTCAAAACCTATAACAAAATCAGTGATGATTATAAAGCACTTGGAAATTCAAAAAGTAAATAAGATAAATTAAAAGGCAATCTGGGATAAAAAAAATCCAATAGATTAGTTCAAAAGATTAGAACACAGTAGTAAAAATTGAAAAAAATGCTTTTTAAGAGCAAAAACATGAGGAGAAAGTTGAAATCAAGAGTTTAAAGTCAAAATATGACTTAAAATTGGAATCTAAAGGATTAAAATGACATAAATCTAAATACTGAGTTGAAAAAATCAAAGCACAAAATAAAAAGTCAAATCATGTTTGACTTTTAATCCTTAGATGCAAATTGGAAATATGGAAAAAACATTTTTTTCCCCGAATTCTTGACAATTTATCAAATCTTCCTTACTCTTTACCTACCCCAATTTTCATGGTTTATTAAGGATATTTTAAATAATGGTGCTCAAGTTTACATTATTATACTGGAGGATATCTGCAGACTTCATACTGATGGGCCAATGATAATAATACAAATATGACATGATCTTGTTGGCCACATATAATTGAGTTCGACACCTGTGGTATATAGTATATACAGTTTATAGTTTATACATATAATATAAAATATATAGTATAATAGTATATACTGTCTATGATATAAATCTGTTAACTAAGCATGAAGGAAACATAGGCTACACGTGACATGAGTGCAACATCTTCCAGTGCAGCAGCCAAACAAGACAGTATGCAAAGTGACAGCAGTTTATTTTAGAGACAATGGAGGGTTTTGAGTGATGTTTAACCTGAAGATACCTCCAGCATCGACATGCAGCGCCACAACAGCGCCTCCCGTTGCTCCGTACAACAAATGACATGTCTGCTTTTGTCACCGACAGCTGAGCGAGTCAGACAGTCGTTTGGTTTGGTTTGCCTGTGGTGCTAACCAGCCAGCAACAACCAGCCGTCTGAATGTAGATCCGCATGGGCTACTACGACTCTATCTCTCCGAATAACCCAGCGGAATCATAAGATAAGGATCCCAGGATGGTCTTAGTGCATGTCGGATATCTGGTTCTTCCTGTATTCGGCTCAGTAAGAAACAGAGGTACGGTATTAATATTCACATCGATTCAAAACATGTGCCCTGTTTATCTTAATATTCACTGCAGCTGTTGGCTAGCTAGCTCGAGCGCAGCCCTCGGGTTAGCTCGCGCTAGCCAGCTCCAAATTCACGGTGAATTTATGCGCAAAACTGACCGGCAAAACTGCTATTTTAAGAATTGGCAACAGCGGATACATTCTGGACCCGAATTTGTGCGGGTTTTGTGGCTGTAATTGTGCCCGAAAACGGTTAGAAATAGCGCCGTTTGAGATAAGCTAACTGGCTTGTTGGCTCAGGCTAAATCTTGGACGGGAAATATTTTCCACAAAGGATTCCTCATGCACTGCGCGTGCGGTGCGAAGATATTCCATGTTAAACCCAACAGCCGCGCACGAGAAAAATCAGTCATAGACAGACAAATCTGTGTACTTTTATTGGTGGTATTCTCAGCATTTAGGTGCACTCTGAATTCTCACGGTGCGCTTTCGTGCATTTGCACTGTAAAATACCGCAAAATAGACGTAGCCTCTCCAGCCAGTCAGCTTATCTGTGCCTGGATGATGTCATTTGAAGATCACCTTCTTAGGCTCGCGCTCGGCTTTTCTTCCACCCGTGATTTCAGTAATTATTATCCGTGTCAATTGGCCAATGTCCTAATCGATTCATAAGTGATTAACCCGGGGAGCGCCGACTCTCCCGAGCCGTCAGTCTATTATCATTTGTTGTTTCCTTTTGCTGTTATTTGCTAAAAGGCAATTCAGCAGCTGTTTGTTTGAAGCTGCCGAATTGCAAAGAGACCGGAGTATGCGGTCACAGTGAAACAATAATAAAGCTACAGTGTAACATTAATTTCATAACAGTGGCGTCAGTGATTTCATTGTGCTTTTATTTCTGTTCTTATTTCCCTGTTTCATAGTATGGAGGCTGGCTCTACATTCTGCATTTATCAGATCTTTGTCGTCCCCCCCATTGTGTAGCTAATGATCATCTGCTGCTGTGTGGTGTGGCGTGGCCTCTGCCTGTTCTCTGCATTTAGCTGTATTGTGAATCCCTTCTTCATTTCCTCTTTCCATCAGAAGACGACATTGGTATTAAAAAGCACCCCCCTTCCCAAGATGTTATTCAGCCATAGACTTTCCATGTTAAGCAGACTAAAACAATAGCTAACACCTAGAACAGAGCACCTTTTTGTCTTTTTTTCTGTCAAATTGCTGTAGCACTGAGTAAACATTTTAGCTCCTTTTTTTAGATTATCAGTTGAATGTCATTGTGTACCTCCCATCCAGTCTTGATAGACAACATGCTGTAAATTCCTGTAAAGTGGATACATTTTGCATGATCTTAAATACTGCACTGCATTGTTGAACACCAGAATTTGGCTCATCTTCCTTCTCTTCACACAAGGTGCAATGTACATGATTAAAGTGACCCGCTTAAAAAAAGAATTAAAAGCATGCGAATTGGAGTCTCGAGCATGCCGGTATTATCGTTTGACTCAGCATTTCAACAAATGCTGTCATGTGATCACTTGAAATGACTGAAAGTACACTGCACCTGCACACAACAACCTGCCATAACTGTCTCCATTTTTGTGTAATCCTTTTGTTCCCTTTTGCAAATTTCAAGCTTCGAATCACACTGAATTGTCAGGGATGTTTGACCCTTTTGGGACAAACAAACTTATCAACATTTTTAATCAAGCAAAACACGCTCACTGGTGGTTCATCACTTCCCAATTTTCCCCACTAACATGAGGCCAAAATGCTATCCATTTCACAGGGATGCCTATTTTCCTGCACTGCTAAAGAGATCCTCTATTAGTAATAACGTCTTTATTGTTTGGTTGTGGTCTCTCTTTACCTTTTGTTCTGGTAATAGTACTTTCAATGCATGGTCACATTTATGATTCATAATTTTTGTTTTTTGTTTTTCTACATTGACTAGTGAAAATCCAATGTAATCTTTCTGTAGTAAAGATGTACCCTGCTGTACTTGAATCATGTGCTGTAGCCAACACGTCTGCTCATTGGATGCCGCTTTTGTTCTTTTTAACCCTATATGGAGCATGGTGGGCCTTGCCTTCAGTCTATGTTGGTTATTTTTGTTGCATGGATTTATACTATTATTACAAACAAACAAAGGAAAAAAAAATATTACAAATTCCACATTTACTAATATCTTCAATAAAGAATATAGTGTTTTTCCTAACCTTCAGTGTGCTTCTTGCTGATTTCCATTTATTGTCCTCCCTTTCCCTTGTCCCTACCTGCCCCCCTCCCCTCCCCTTTACCTCCACCCCCTCACCCACCTCCTCTCCCGCTGTGACAAAGATAGACAATTTCCACGCTTCCTCCATCACAGGGCCTGAATGAGTCTATCTGCTGTCATTCATGGTGATCGTTTTCACTGAGACGCTTGAAAACGCAGTGTGCTCCTTACAGTCTAGACATGAACCTTTGACCCACAGTATTAAGGTCACCTCGTGTCTGCCCGGCTACACCGATGACCCGTCAGGCTGAAAATATTGCCTGGGGTCTCGCTCTTTGTCTCGCCGGGTTTTGTTTAAAAATCCATACTGCATTTTTCAAGCGTACTCCTAGTAAATGCAATGTAGACTTTGCCAATTTCCTCATAATTAAAAAAAAAGATTTTCAACTGTTACTACAGATATTATCATCTGATCCACTCTACACATGCAGGTTAATCTTTTACAAACTGCACAATTTTCACCTGTAAAGTAGAGGGTTGGTGTAAAATTCCCTGCTTCAGTTACAGTACGATGAATCTTGCTCCACTGCAGGCCTGTTAAAGCTGCCTCTGGCTTTCCTTGAAAGTTTCCAATCAATGCAATTTTCTTTTTTTACAGGAACTTTTTTTTGCCTATCATTAAAAAAAGCCAGACTCACTTTTAAAGTTGAAGCACGACATTGAGACCATATTGTATTGCAGCGCAAGTTAGCCTGTCTTTTTCTCCTCCTTGAGTCTGCACAGCAGTCTGTTTCGCAGCAGTCGCCAAATAGCTGTGGTTGGAGAGAGAAAAAAAAAGCATTCGAGCTATTTCCTCTCAACTCCTGAATGTTAACAGGGGTAGACAACAAGTAGAGCTTTAGTTTATGTGTTAGACACAAAAATACACAGGGTTTTGTTAAAAAACTTATATTTAGTCAAGTAAACTTACCGCTCGGTTTAATTTTTATGAAAAGAGATACTGTGTTGTACAGTTACAGCTAGAGACTTGGCAGATTTAAACAGATAAATGTATATTGAGCAGACAGCCAGGGATTCAAGGTTTTACTGCGAGTGCACTGACCCATCGTCAGCTGCAGAGTTTACAAGAGCTGAGCTGTGCTGAAGACCATGTACAGGTAGATTTCATCTGCTCTGATCCAGTTCGCTTTTCTGTGAATCAGAAGAACCAGGAGTCGATCCAGATGTTGGAAATGCAATAAAAGAAAGCTCACGTTTTGTGCGCAGGACCAAAAAAAAAAAAAAAAAATGGTCGTCATGTTCATGGTACTTGTGGTAACCATCATTTTCCCACCCCCCCTCAGAAGTATTTTTCACCCTAGGTAAGAGGTAGGGCTTCATTAACATGCTTTTTCACACACACAGTGACACCACATTTCACCCACAATTAATTCCAGCTAATCTCTTCCTCCGGGTGCCTGACTTCTTCTCCTTATCCTCCACAGGATCCCATTTCAACCGGCAACAGACACAGCAGCAGCAGCAGCACAGCCATGCTACCTCTTGCCGGCACTTCCAGTTAGGTCCTCAGGCCCCGCTGCCCATGGACTTCCCCATGCCCCACCCAGGGCAGCCACAGTCAGGCATTAACCCCCACCTGGCCCCTCCCGGCCACCAGCATGGCCCTCCGCTCCACCCGCCCCTCAACCCCTTACCTGCCCCCCAGTTCCAGGACATCCCTGCCCCTCCCTTCCTACCTCAGGCATTACACCAGCAATACCTCCTCCAGCAGCAGATCCTTGAGGCCCAGCACCGACACATCCTGCCACCCTCCAGGTATCAATGTTGACAGTTAATCATATAGTGGAAGTAGACCATGAAAGACTACTGTATCGCCGTTTTATTCAAATTCATTTGTCTACAAGGATGTTATCAAATGCGAAATTATTTGTTGTAGCAGACGCACCCCAGAAAGAGTTCCACACCAGCCCCACAGACTGCGGCCCGGCTATGAGTTTGCTCCGCCTCTTCATGTCCCTCCTCAGCCTGTGGTGCAGCAGCCCCGGTACCTTGCTGAGGGCACAGACTGGTGAGCATGAATCCAGTAAAATCAAAGAGACAAGTAGTCTTTCCTTACTGCTGTATCACTACATATGGAGTTTGTTTCGATTAGTATGCAGGACTAGACGTGTCAGTGAAACACATACTTGGACAGGACAGTCTCCTCTCGTTTGTCTTTCTTGGCGTGACTGCATCAAAGTGTCTCAAGTTCTGAGTAGGGAAGAGATAAAAAGAGTTTAAGACCAAGTTGAAATACAGCCCAGAGCGAAACAAGTCTTTTTGACAGTCAAATTGACAGTGAGCATTGTTAATGTCTCGCAAAAGGTTTAACACTCTAAAAGTTTTAGAAAGGTTGAAACGAGAGTTAGATAGCCGCTCACAGGAGCTCAAAAGTTTCAAGGTCATTGTGCTTTTAATAGAAACAAAATTGTTCCATCTCTCTGTGGCAGCTGTGCGGCAAGAGCTTCGTACTAACCCTTTATTCTGCTAATACATGATTTTGGGGCAACTATTTAAACTTTCCTCCAGTTCAAGATAACCGCTTAGATTTCTTACTTGCACAGCACATTTTATATCTATGTATGTTCTGTGTTCATATTGGAAACTACTTCAAATTGCATGAGTTTACTCCTCATTTCTGGCTGGAAATCATGTTGTAGAAATCCGCTATTATCAAAAACCCATTCATCAGGAATTTGATGAAGTACTGACTCGTGTGCCTCTGGTAAATGTGTTTTTTTTTCTGCTCAGGGATCTGAGTGTAGACGCCGGGCTGCCTCCTCACCAGTATCACATCCATCCGCTGCCACAGCACTATCAGCACTACTTGACCTCTCCTAGGATGCACCACTTCCCTAGAAACAATGCCTCAACACAAGTGGTGAGCGCCTTCTCGCCTCAGCGCAATCAATCATGTTTGTCTGGATGAACTCCCGACAGTTCTTCCCCGGGTTTCTGAGATTGGAGTCGATCCCCAACAGCTGTCTGATGACCAGTGTTTTTATCATTTTTGATTTGTGCCGCAGAGCTGACTCTGGCTTCTTTTATCTGTCATCTCCCAGGTTGTCCATGAGATCAGAAACTACCCGTATCCCCAGCTGCACTTGCTGGCTCTGCAGAGTCTCAATCCATCTCGCCACGCGTCTGCTGTTAGAGAGAGCTACGAGGTTCGGGCTGCTGCTTCCTCTCTCCTCTGCACACACATACACACAGACACACACACCAGTCTAAACTCATTTATCTTTGTTTTACTCTGTAACCAATGCTCTGGACAGTCTCGAGTGTGTAACTGATTTTCTTATTTCCAATTACTTCTAGTTCCAGATGCTTGAAATGGTCTGACTGCCTTTAATCTTATTTGTCTTCATCTGGACAAGATGCAATTGTCTTTCGAGAGGCTCTTTCCTGTTCTTTAAAGCAGCACTCATTTCATTTTATCACAAGGCTCCCTACTTATATGTCATTTTGCACTTGAATACTTTATGATATAGTGTTGTTGAATTAAAGGGATGTTCTCTTTGAGACTTTAACCTCATGGAATTAAGATATGAATATATGTTGTTGATATTATAGGAGCTTCTGCAGCTGGAGGACAGACTTGGCAGTGTAAACCGTGGAGCTGTTCAAACCACCATAGAGAGATTCACCTTCCCCCATAAGTACAAAAAGGTAAACTTGTCCTTTTTTTAACTTGTGTTTTTTTTAATCTGGTATGGTTAGGACTCGGCGTTAAGCAAGAACTCAATCGAGCTATATGTGAGAGATGGAAATTGAAGAGGGCAACGGCAGGTCGAACAGGATCAAAGAGGAAAGTGGAGGAAGGTCCTGCAGCAGTTCAAAGGTCAAACTAATTTCCGTTCGCACATTAGTGAGGCAGGTCTGCAGTGTGCACAAGTCAAGGCTAGGGATGACTCATCCAGCTGTCTGCAGATATGAACGTGGAATGAATTTAAAAATGCGTCTACGCTGAATGTGACCCAAATACTCTGGGAAGAGAGTCGGATCATTCGCTACATTCTGAGCGGGGAGAAGTAATTGAGTCTTTTCCATCTGATGTTTATCTTCATCTGGGAAGTATGAGGAGGTGACTCTTTCCTCCCAGTCTTGGCTTACAGAGAGACACCAGCGGCATAAACACAAGAGCTCCCAACACGCAGCTGCACCACCGGCTTTAATAATTAAAGACTGTTTGGATTTTTCCTGTGCAGAGAATACCCCAGGACCTGAAGATGTGTCTGGATGACGAGGAGCTGGACACAGATGAGAAGTGCACCATTTGTCTGTCAATGCTGGAGGACGGAGAGGATGTCAGGTACATTTTTACACTTTTATTTCACTTTTTCAAAGGTGACAGTGCAGCTTATGCGGGTGCAGTCAGTGTCAGTCTAATGGTTATTTTGTCATCAAGTCAGATTGACATTTACTCCAGAGGAAAATACGTGAACAGCTATTGAATTTGATGAATTGAATGGACTGTATTGTGGCCTCACAGCATGGAGGAGTCTATTATCAGTCCTGGTCGGAGCCTCTCTGTGTGGAGTTTGTGTGTATGGTTTCTTTCAGGGATCCTCCCATTGCGCAAAGACATGTTTGATAGGTCAACTGGTGACTCTTGGTATGTGAGTGTCTTGTCGTTTGCCCACATATCAGGCCTGTGATGGACTGCTGACCTGTCCAGGGTGTACCGCGCCTCTTACCTGGTGATAGCTGTTGTAGGTAGTGTAAATAGTGGATGGATGGACTTCAGATTTTCATGGTTCCTAACAAGATGAACTGTGTTGCCTGGTTTATTTTCGCAACATAAACAGGTTGACATCTGTGTGGATGGACTTTTATATATATAATGTTCTGATGTATTTACAATACAACACAAGAACTTTATTTCTCCCCAAAGGAAAATTCCTTGAATTCAGTCCAGTTATTTAATCGATAAAGATTAATTATCATCCATCTCAACAAGAATTTTGCCCTATATGCCCTATATTGCGCTATTATAGGTTTTAATTTCATGTCCAGTACTTTGTAGAAAAATCCTATAAAACCTCAGCATCCTGTCATTACCATGATTTCACTCAAGGGTATTTAAGTATGACTATTTAAACTGGGACGCCTTCAGAACCAAAATGGTCAGTGCCTTTTGTCATTAAGCTTAAATACCTTAAATCCATTATCATGAAAATGTGCTCTTTAGTTTGTGTATTCATCTGACCAAAGTAGAGGGATTTCTTGTTTATTCACATTGTTTGTTTAACATCCAGCCTCTAGAATGCAGCGGGCTTAGACACAGAGTGGTACAGACTGAGTCTGCATTGCTGCTGTTCAAAAAAACGCTCTTGAAAATCCTAGAAGGATTTCTCATCCCCATCTCGAAAAAATCGCTCCTAGGCAACGTTAGCATTTCACAGAGTCTTGTGATGTGAGCCTAGTGTCGTCATCTGTCAAACTGGCACGGTGACAGAGAAGTTATACGGCTCTGTGGAGAAAGAAAAGAGAGGGAACAACAGAGAAAGTGAACTTAAGTTTTCTTGAACCTGTAATTTGTGAGGCTGTGTTGAGTTTTGTAAAATCTGATCCACAGAGAGAAGTGAAAAAGCTCATTTTAAAAAATAAATTCCTACTCTGGGTGTTTCAGGTTTGATTAAATAAGCCAAAAGTTTAATGTTAATGAAAGGAACTATGGGAAAAGCTTACGCCTTTGCTTCTCGACCTCTCTGAAGACACACGATCCTCCCCAAATCACTGAGGGTTATTTATCTATTTTTAATGTAATCATTCTGCAATAACTGACGATTCTTAGTGGCAGCACTCGAACCAAATGGGAATATTAAAGAGAAATTTTATCACAAGAATGTCTCACTTGTGGAACAATGAAGTTTATCTTATCTGTCGCTCAACATGGTCAGGATTTGAAGCATGTTGCAAACATTTTAAGCTCAGGATTTGCTTGATGTGAAGTTAATATTTCCAACCTTCCCCATCATAGTGTGGTGTGAAATAGGGACACATCACTTAAAGGTTTCTGCACCAAGAATTAGGACTGTTCTGTTCAAAAGCACAGCCAAAACACACTTCCGCCCAGCTACATCTTTGAATTATTTACCAGTGATGAATTTTTACTATTTTTGCATTCGAGCCAGTCAATGATTTGATGATCTTGTCATTTAATACATTACTGTGGAGCGCTTTGTGAAAGCTGTTTTATGTTGTATTTGAAAAAGGGATTTATGAATAAATCATGTATTATCCTTTTAATGGTAAATGGTGCATGTACGTGGGATAAATGATTGCTATTAGTGCTATAAATAGCTGTGGAAGTGCCTAATTACTGCTGCTCTGATGCTGTTGGAGAACCTTGTTGAAGTGATACAATCAGTGAATCGCATTTCTTTGCTTGTCTCCTCACAGACACGTCTAATGAGTGTCACACAGGCACATAAAGCTGCATGCCAACAATCATTGAATCTCTTTTCCACCTGTAATTCTGACAGAAAAAACTGAGTACGCTGATGTGTTCTCGCTGGTTGTAGTTAGAGTTCTGAAAATCTTATAAAAATGCTGTTAAAGAAATAAACGACAATTTAAATATGAGTTTTTGGTTTGGCTGAAAACTAAATGACTAAAAATGTCCCCATAATGATTATTCTGCGATTTGATTTCCTATAATTGGTCTGATATTTCATTCTTAGTGGTATTAAAAAGGCTCTTAAAGCCTTAAACTAGCACGCCCTAAGCTGTATGAACCCTGTGACATTTTCCAAAGATCAGTGCTAAATCTGTTTTAAAGTCCTGGCTATGTCTCTATTCCGTCTGCAGGAGGTTACCCTGCATGCACCTCTTCCACCAGGCGTGTGTGGACCAGTGGCTGGCCACCAGCAGGAAATGCCCTATCTGCAGGGTGGACATTGAGACCCAGCTGACCCCCGACAGTTGATAGCTCCTGATGACCCCTGCAGCTTTGGATCTGGATCTTGTTAATTCTCCGTCGCCTCCCTCTGGGGAGGGGGGGAAGCTCTGCCAAACCACCCCTCCTTCCCTCTCCGCATCTCTCTACAAGCCTGCCTTCTGAGACAGCTGTGACGGAGGGATCAACAAAGCACACTCACCCGCAACACAACGAGGGATGGGGGGGTTGATGCATTGAGAGTTGGGCTGGACTGAAGGTTGGTTGAATGAGCATACAGATGTTAAAGGAAGGAGGAGCGGACATGTATGGACAGATGTGCTGAGGCTTCACACGATTCTGTCAGATTGTGTTTCCTGTGTACATTTCTCCATACAGCCACGTTAGAGAAAGAGAGATAACACTCTTGACTATCAACCTGTGTGTGCTGTATTAAGGCCATTTCTCTGCCACTATGTCTAAACCCTGTCCCCCCGCAGGCCTGTGAAAAATCCTCTAAGCTGCACTCTGCCCAAGCCCTCAGCACATCTGTACAGAACAATTTAAAATGATTAGCATGAGGTTGTTTGGTGTGAACTCTTGTAGCTGAACGCTTGTGGTGTAATGGAGTATAGTACTGACAAAGTATTTACAGAGTAACAGTGTTGTGTAGCAAGCAAAAGCCTTTATGAGAAATATGTTTGTGAAAAAGTAATCCTACGGAGAGGGAGACCACAGCTCTACCAGAGAGAGTATTCAGTGTGTTCAATCAGTGGGGAAAGAGCTAGTTGTGTTTAAAAAAGGCCAAAAATCCCTCTTTCTTGTCTAACATGGTTTTTGGATTTACAGTTAGTAGATGCCATCAGAGTTGATGCTAAACCCGCTAACTGCAGGCATGGCTTCCAGTGATCTGTGTAGTGTCGTAGTCAGGCCTCTATAATCTAGAACAGAGGCCTCAGATGTGCATGCTGTATGGCAGGCTTGGGCTGTGTCGTTATAATATTGTGGAGCAGTAGAAAACAGGGACTGTGTCTGTGCATGTGAACCGTATACTATGACTCTGACGATCCCACTCATTCATAGAGGAGGACAAGAATGCACCTAACACCCCCCCACCCCACATACCCCCCACCCTCCCCGCACCCCCATCCCTACTCATCCAGAGTAGACCAAAGTTGCCCTTAGACACCGATCTCACACCGATGTAGCATTTCTCTCCTGACACTCCACGTTTCAAGGATTCAAAGAGCTGCTAGCAGATCCGTGTCTAACTGCAACTCCTCTGTGTTGCCTCGCTCATGTCATGGCGCAATCATGACATGAGAGGCCGGCATGGGCTTGAGGATGTAGTGCCTGAGTCTTGCCATCAGAGTGACTAAAATCTGACATTTGTATTACCTTTTACCAGAACCTTATTGCCTATCGAACAAGCACATGTGATTTCTATATACAGTGAATCGCCTCTTGTCGTGTATCGGCTCCTTTTTATTTCAATCTGAGTTGTTGCTCCTGCTGTTTGATAAAAAAAGACTGTGTCTGGTGTTACAGGGAAAATACAAACTAGTTTGCCTGTGATATTTGCTAGAATGTGTATGATTGTCCCCCACCTCCCCCTTCCCCCATGGTAGTCGTGTATGGTATTGCTAGAACAACTGTGATACGTTCAGTGATAGAAGCCGTTTTCTCTTTATCATGCATGAACCATGTCGGCGTAGTTCACTTGAAGGAGGGTGAAAGGGAGAAAAAGCCATCCATTTGAAAAATACCAAACAATTGTTCTTAAGATTAATTTTATTTCAACTGTCTTCTTTCTGCCATTGTTTTCTTTTTTCCTTATTACCTGTATTTTATTTTTGCTCACATGCCAATTTGGACATGGTACTAATATGCCAAGTCCCTGTCCATTTTAACCATAGTGAAGAAAAAGCTGCAATGCTGCAAAAACATATTTATTGTTGTTCTAATGTAGCTTGTGTTTTGTAAATGCACTATAATATGGAGTTGCCTGATTTTTTGGTTTGGTGGTGTGGGTTCTTCTTGTCCTAGATTTTGTGTTTCGATTCAGTTCAAAGTATTTTCATGCTTCCTTGTGTATTATTGGAGGGTAACTTGACTGTTTGTGTTGCGTTTTTTCTTTTTCTTTTTTGTGTGAAACCTCCATCCAAAAAACTACAGATGGATGAAAATGGAGGTTTGCTAGTTCACATAGAATGCTGTGATTAAAGATGCCTTAAGTATTTAACAATCATTATTTATTACTAACTGTAGCTAGCTAGCTATTGTGGTGGAATATTTAATGTCTCTATCTCATAACTTTGCAATTTAATCAATATATTTATTTAAAATAACACAAAATATTAAAAAAAAAGAATACCTCATTATGCATTGGTCGGTGGGGATGCTTTTGCATGCCGTCTGTGTTTTCTTTTCAAAGGAGAAAAAAAAGAAACTTGTGAAAATTTGACTTTGGGGGGCTGGGGTGTTTCCCAACACATTTTCTAGCCAGCATGGTGCTGTTGATCTGGACTACATTCCATTAATGTCACCTCTTTATTTCAGTTTGAAGTCGTTTGTGTTTTTCAATAACATCCCTGCTTGATATAAAGCAGACTTGAGGGGAGTCAAACCCTCTTTTTTTGTCTTAGTATGGCTCCACAATTAGCTTGCTTTTGTTATACAACAATATTGCTTTGTATCCCATAATCAGTCATAATTGATTTGATCTTTTTCTTTTATTATGACCATTTCATCATCATATCTGAATCTCAATTAAGAGCTTATTCTAATTTCGGACCCACATAACGAGCGGTTTTATTTGCTTTATGTGGGACTTTGGGAAGTATCTAACATGCTAACTTGAGCCATTGGTCTTATTGAGCAAATTTCTGGTGTACTGTGGTTATACAATATAGATAGCGTGTTTTACACCTGGGTATAATAAGCTAACTACGTTTCTCGGTGTGCATTTCTTATTAATACTCTACTAATCCTGCAAATGAATATAACATGTATTGGATTGGAATGACGCTGGCTGGTCTTACTATTATTGTTATTATTATTATTATTATTATTATTATTATTTCATTTCGTGCTCTCACTGGCCTTACCCCACGTCCTCCACAGTGTACCCCATTTACTCCAGAGCGAACTGGACAGTAGCCATAGTATTAACTCAAGCTGATGAACCGGAATGAACAGTAGAACTTAAAGCACAAGCTTTTTAATGCATGTCCTTCTCAGGTTTTCCTATGTGTATGTGGGAGTAGCTCTGTAGACGTGTTTAATATGATGCTGTACCTTCTTGAATATTTCAGATGTTTCTTTGCTGCTGAAAAAATGTTGATTATTAACCTGCCAGTGAAAAAGGGATGTGGCCATCTTTGTACAACACACTGCTGTTTTGCTGTAACCGCGCAATGTTTTATGATCTTGAGTATTTTATAGAAAAGTAGAAGTATGTATCAATAATATGAAAGCAATAGCTAAATCATAATGAAGAATAACATGATCAGTGAATATTGTGGAAATCTTTAGATTCACTCTGGGTGGATTTTGTACTGTATTTATTACTAATGATGATGCAAAAAGTTGCATAGCTTAACCCAAACTGTTCTGTCTCTTTTTTATTTATTGTCTTGTATATGATCTTTTTGTATGTGTTTTTCAAATAAACTGCCTAAAATGCTGATGACTAATCTGTGCTGTCTTTCTGCATTCTTCTCTTTGATTTATAAACACTTATGACATGATAGTTGAAGAGTTATCAAAGCTTGAATATCACAGGAAGGCTTACATGAGCAGACAGAAAGCTCCTGTGAGGATCTTACGGGTTTCATCAATTTCGTGCCCCCAGAGGACAAAGCAGTCTCTACATACCTTGTCCTCTACATGCTTTAATGGTGTCCTCTAACACAGATTTATATCCTGCTGACTACTGACAGTTAAGTAATAGATTAAATGTGATTTTTTTTCATGTCAAAATTATAAAAACAGCTGTTTTTTTAGCTGCTTGGCTGACATCTTGCCCAACCTCTGGTTTCAGGCAATAAAAATGACAATAGAAAAATGTTCTATCTTATCACTAATGGCCTTGCTTGCTTTTATGTATCATAGGAAGGCATCAGTATGAATTTCAGTCTATTCAGTAAAAGTCAGAAAACTCCTCACAGGAGCTTTAAGAGATTTCTCTCAAGTTTTCCTTGAATCGGCATCTTGACATGGATGGAAATGTGCCTGTTATATCTCATCAAAGGTATGCGTCTTTAAAAAAAAAGTGTACATAGGAAGTGATTGGGCAACGTCATACACCAAATACTGTCAACACCAACTTATCTTTTGGCCAGTGTAAAAGGGACTGTAACCTCTGTACATTGGGGAGCTTCTCCACCAACTGAGCTAAACATCCGTATCCTATCGCTCGGAAGTAAACATGAACTTGGTTATTCTTCATAGTATTTCCAGTCTGCAAAGTGCATCTTTTTTTTTTTTATTAAGAGACACACTGTGAACGGCCGAAGAGACTCAAGAAATGTTAGGTAGTAGAGATTGGAAGCACACACCATCTGGCACCCCTTGGACATAATACCTCATATCACTCATTCTTTTGGGAGAACTTTAGATTCTTATCAATAAATTCAGTAACATGTAAAAAATATTGCAAAAGTTTGATTATAGTCTTGTAAAACAATGCCTATTTTTCTATATTTTATTTGAAATAACCACTTCATACGCCACCTGCTCTTCACACATGAAATATCTTAAATTCTAAAGTTATGTAAAATCAAAATTTCTTTATTATAATTCAGCGTTAAGATAATGTGTGAATTTTTTTTTTTTTTTGTATTTCACAGTCTTGGGAGTGAATTCTTGTCTCCATGAAAGGAACATTTAAGCACGTTTACCACTGATTTCCTTGTTTTCTTGTCTTTTTGTTGACAAAATACAGAATTAACTGCAAGCTATTAAGTTATCTGTTGATAATGACATATAAATGAGTTTATCATCTGTGTCCTCATTTTATTCTGCATGACAATAAATATGAGTACGTACTATATGCAGTTTTTCAATGTGCAGCACTTGGAACTCCCTAAAGCAGGGATATACTTAAGATTTTTTTGTCCTTTTATTTCATCTGCAGTGTGACTATAACCAAACAAAGAGTGTTTGTGTGTGTGCATCAGTCTGTCTATCTAGACCCAAACCACAAAACCAGACAGAGACCAAATAGAGTACGGACACTGGATTATTTCCATTGGGTAGTAATCAGGTGAGCACTTGGGTTTATTTTTCAAAGTGAGCCAGAAATATTGTTAACATTGGCTGATTCTGATGTTCAAAGAGAGGCAACCTTAACAGTTGGCACAAGTATTGAGAAATATGTTGAAAAAATTGTGGTACAAATTGAGTCGAGATGAACAAGGTTTGTATGAAACGCAGTAAAAAATAGTGTCAAAGGGAATGCTCATCTACTCCACATGTCCCAGGTCCCTCTCCTAATATCTAGGGTAGAGCACTCTCTGAATCTGCCTGTCGGCCCTACAAGTGTCCAGCCACTTCCCGCACTGAAAGATGGTTGTCACTGAGTTGGCTGTATTGGTCACCTCCACACACTCTAAAAACCACCCACCACTGGAGCCACCGTTGTCATGCTCCACTTTGACCCTCAGCAGCTCCCCGAGGTCCAGCATCTCCACAACAAACCGGTCCGTTCGCCCTCGCTCGAAAAGGTTACGGAACTTTTGATGCAGATGACGCTTGCCTGAGTCACCGTTGACGCCGTAGATGGTGATGAAAACGTTGGCGTCTGTGCCACCCCCTTTCACATCCCCAGTAATGACGATGATTTCATACTTGACGGGGACGAGGTTGCGGACTTTGCTGGCGAAGCTCTCGACTGACTTATAGCACTCAAATGTCAGGAACTGATCTTTTTTGGCTGCCAGGGGAATTTGTGCATCGCAGTGGAAGAAATACCTAAACATGAAGGAAAAGTTTGGATTCGCATCAACACCATCAGCGTGACATTTTATCAAACACAACGTAGGATGTTTGAGGTTCCACTCACTTGTTCCCCAGCTCCATTTCTGTCACCACCACCTCCATGACGTGCCAGAAAGCTTCACTCTTCACCTTCTTTCCATCTTTGGTCACATGACCGACGCAGATGCCGGCAATTTCCCCCACATGTTTCGAAGAGAACTCAAACGTGTCTGTGGCACCGCTGTGGAAGGGTCGAAAAAAATAAAAATAAATTTACGAGCACTGGCAGAAACGGCGGTTCTGAACACTAAAGAGTAGGATTGACTGGTCTGCCGGAGAGGTTTTTTTTCTTTGTGCATCTCGTGGGATTAGCTCTCCTGAGAGAGACTCAGAGAACATAAAGTGAAGCAATGAGATAAAAGAAGAAAAACAAAATGTGAAAGAGGGGAGATTATGTAAGGCCATATAATAAGGTTTTATTGTGAACACCTAGACTCCCTTTGAGGACTCACCTTAAGAACTTCTTCTTCTTATTCTCCAGAACAAACTCTTTGGATCGAGCTTTTCGTCCCTCCAGAGCAATCCAAGCGTTCTCTGTGGTGGAAGCTTCCTCTGTGTTTGCTGTTGTTATGGCAATTTCATATTCTGTGGTGATGCAGAGAGACAGATGTTGCCCTGTTATTATTTCGCACCTTGCAAATGATTATAATTATCTTTCACTGGCAATGATTACAGGCTTTAATTATGCGTTCAGACTTCAAGTTTCACTGACTGGTTTTGTCACTGAGGTCTATTGAATCGTTGTTGGCACAGGCCAGCTCCCTCATAATCTGCCTGTCGTCTTCACTTTTAGCCAACCAGCGGTCGCAGGGGAACCTGAATGTCTGATCCATGGCCTCGTCTTTCACATCAATGTACTCCAGGTGCCAACCAGGGGCAGGGCCTGTTTTAGCAAGACAAACAAAATTGATCATTTTGTATTTTTTTAAAGCAATAATATACAACCTTTTGCCAAAATCTCTGGACATCAATGTGATTTTAATCTCAAAGGATAACAGGTTATTTATGATTAAAGCTCTTATGTGGAGCTTTCTGTCTGTGCTGACCTCAGTGCCCCCCTCTGGATGAAGTGGTAACTATCTTATTGATGATTTTGCATAAAGTGGTGTGAACTGACAAGAAAATCCCCTCTTATTGTCTTTTCACAGTGAAATTTATGAGTCAGCATGAATATTCTGCTGTGGTTAATTTGACTAAAGCTGTTTCTCCAGCGCACCTAGATCTTTACAGAAGTTTGGGGAATTTAAAATAACAATATAGACATCATAAATTATCGTCTTTTGTGCATCATTAAGTCGCATCACTGTTTATTCAGTCTCTTTCGTACTGCTACCAAAAACTACTCACTGGCGCTTTAAACCCAAACTTAACATAATATATTGTTGGGTTTTTCTTGATAAAAGTATGCAAAGCTAGCTAGGATCAGCTTACCCACTGAGCATGTTTTGGTCTAAAAGAGTTCTGATAGACGTCTAAATGTAGTCTAGATGACTGGTCTAAAATCAGGCTACCACAGGTCTAAAAATTAACGTTTGGTTAGACGTAAAAATTTTGACCAAGTTTAGACTAAATCTAAATCTGGGCTATATCTATGCTACACTGTATATTGCTCGACAGCTATCATAATCATTTTGGTTAAGTACTTGGAGATCAGTTATGCAACTCACAGCTGCTTTTTGAAATAAATAGTTATTGAATACTGGGTTAAAGCGCAACTTCTAATTCTGTCTAAAAATATACAGAATCTAGACGGTAGAAATTAGGTCTAAAACAAACCTAGATGTCTAATAGCTGTCTATTGCTCAGTGGGTAGTTAAAAGAATAGCTTGTTAATTTTCTTTGTATTTTTTTTATTCTCTTAAAACTTTTTGATAACTGAATCCATTGAATTGTGTACATAGAAACCTAAAACTCGAAAAAATCTAAACTAATCTTCACAATTACTGTCACACATCAACATCATTGCTGATTCCTCTGTTTCTGAGATTATCAGTGCTGGTTGCTGTTTTTATACACCTATTGCCCCTCTCCTCCTCACCTTTGTTATCATGCCATACTCGAACCTTGGACAGCTCCCCCAGACTGAGCATGTCAGGGAATCTGAATGTGTCTCTCATTTTACGCTCAAACTTGTTCCTGTTGGTACTCTCCTTCAGAGGCAGCGTCCCCGTGTCCCCAAACTCTCCAAACACAATTAGAAAGACATTGGCATCAGTGCCAGCACCTGAAAAATGAGGAGTTTACTCATGAAAGAGGAGCTTTGGATTTGCTTCAAAATGTCTCAAAGACACTATTAATCATGGAAAGTCATCACAAATGCGATATGACTCACCGCCAACATCACTGGTCTGGACCTGGATGATGTAGGTTGTATTCTCCACCATGTCCTCCTCATCCACCACAGCTGCCAGCTCACACACCTTCGTCCTCTTTGGTCCTTTTGTTTTGGAAAGCCAGTTTTCATAAGTAAACAGATACACCTCCTCCGTGGTCAGGTTCCGCATCAGGATCTGGAGAATTTGCAAAGATGTTTATTAAGCTGATCACAGGTGATGTTCAGATATTCAGATTTCAAATGCACATGTATTCCTGGTGGATTTCATTATCAATGAAAAACTTCTGACCAGAAAGGACCATTATAATCGAAATGAGTAAAGGTTAACTCTTACTTTGTGCTGTTTTTAGAAATCTCTGTGCAGGATTGTTTCAACTGTTATTTTAGTTTGACGTGACAGGAAGGCTCTTGTAAACTTTTCTTCATATACAGTTATCTTTGTTAAGAGACAGTCATCTGTCTGTCTCCTTAACAAGCCACACAGATGCTATTTAACCCTGTTAAACAAATGACTAAAACAATAACTATGGCTACACACTCAAAACAAACAGCCTTAGCGTTTTAGCATTTTAAACTGAAATCTTAAACTTTGACGTTGTTACAAAAAGAAAGTGACTATAACGTGCTGTTCTTTGGCTTGGTTGTATTGATATGTATTTGTATATGGAATATATACATATATATGTACATATGTATTGAATTTGTGTAAATAGTGGCACAACGCAAAGATAATACAAAAATTTATAATGTAATATGATTGGTCCCAGGGGAAGAAAAAGGGGGGCTGGGGGTGTTTGTTAGTTTTGCCTTTTCATTTATTATTATTATTATTATTATTTGTCTGTTATATAATGTACTCTATGTATGGAAAATTAATAACAAAAAAAAGTAACTGATTATTTTTTTACAAGCTGATCTTCACATTACATTGTCCAGAAACCAGTCAGGGCGACTTCCGGTGCCATCAATCCGAACTCTGATCTTCTTCAGAGGAGCGATGTCATCTATTTCCAGACTGAAGGTGTCCTCTTGCCCCCTTTCAAATCTATGGAAAAAGAGAAAATACATATTTTCTTTAATCATGTTACGCCTGTGGAAACTGTTATTTCTATCATGCCTGTATACTCACTTTTAGCTACAGTAATAAATCACTATGACATATTCCCCTTCTCGAAGCTCAAGATTTGTGATCTACCAGCTCTTGAAAAACCTACAGTGTGTGGTTTTTCAGCAGCGTAATGCTCTAACATGCTCTCCACAGAGTTCTTGTTTGGTGTAACACTAGTATTGAAGAGTGAGTTTTTATAGAGCTGCCTTAGTGAAAACAGATGTCTACAACAGCTAAAAGTGACTCTAAGACAGCAATAAAACTGAACTAATGCATTAAGGTCAGGGGTTGGGCACTCAATATATTGCTCAGATAAGCAAAGGGATCAAATTTAGGTGAGAGTTGTCTAAGCTCAGAGCATTTCTTTACATGATCTTGAATTAAATCATGAACTATAGCAGTTTCAGGTCTTAGAAGAAAGAGAACGAGTGTATTCTCACATTTCCTCTAAACAAACGTGATCAGTACAATCAAGGGTAACCAGAGGACTGACCTGTCCTCGTTTTTTGGCAGCAGCATTTCCTCTGTGCTCCCATTGGCTCCGAACACAGTGAGGAAAATGTTGGTATCAGTGCCTGCATACTGAGTATCACCTGTGACAACTGTTACAGAATAAATGACCTGGAATAGACAGCAGACAACACAGACACGGACGAGACAAATTCTGTTAAACATTCACTCATTTAACATTAATGTCTTCATGATTCAGCTGCTGTGACTCACTTTGCGGATAATGTTGATGGTGCTGGAGTCCAGCACGTTGAACAGTCTGGCAGTCAGACCATCTCCCCTGTCTTTAGCCAGCCAGCACTTACATGGAAAGATGTACTTGATACCTTTGGTTGGCACGGCAACCGACAGCTCATCCACCAACCAGCAACTCTCTGGTGTGACACCGTTATGGCCGAGCTGAGGAGGAGACGGAGAGAGGAGAAGACGGAGTGAGGGGGAAGACTGAGCAGGGAATTTATATATCGTTTGATTTTGTTTGATCTAGGTACAAGACGGCAGAGCTGGAATAAATTATTGCTGAGCTAGAATGGTTTTATTTTAATTTTTAACAACAGTGCATCTGAGGAAGCAGCAGAGAGGAGACAGTTTCACAGATTTAGCAACAGAGACAGTCCCAGATTCTCACTTCCACCCTCTTGATCTCTCCTACGTCAGTTCCATAGCACACAAAGTGCTCCATGATGCCAGCTGTGAAGGCTTCCTTTCCCTGTGGCATGTCCAGCCACAGCCGGTCCGTCTCCATGTCGCCGGGGCCGATGATAATGACAAAGACCCGGGCTGTGGTACCGGCATCCCGGTCTACCCCCGTAGATACGGTAAAGTGATAGGGGATGACTGGGTGGGAGAAGAGAGGAGTCATTTTGAGGTTTCAGGATAGGTTAGACGTATTGTGATATACAGTGCTGATCAACATTTCCTATGTTAGACTATACAGCAAAATACTCCCCCAAATGTAGGCCATTGATTGCAACAAGATGTTTAAAGTTGCATACAAAAAAGTATTATTTTCACTTTAAAATCAGGATGTAGAAATGAGTACACCCCAATCAAAGTTCTGAGAGCAAAGCTAAATTTTAGTTACCACATCACCCTTATTTTCATCTTATGGTAAATAAAATGTTATATCAAACTCAGCTTTGTCAAAACTTTGGAAATTGTACTTTTGCTCATCTAGATATTGAGTAATACATTACTTTTAATAGGGGGTGTCCTGACTTATGCTGGGCACTGTAAGAGTGTTGAGTTTAAACTTGGGTGTTTACTAAGTGTGTTGATGCTGGATTGCTTGTCTTAGCATTAGAAGCTGGGAACAAAGAAAGACAGGTACCCTCAGTCAGTCTGAGTACAAAGACTCTAACTGCATCTCCAAAACCTGAACTTATTAACACATTATAACTAGTTTCAGACACAACTGTCAGACACAAGTTAATGAACATAGACAGGAAAACAGTCTCGGTTATATAATGGACACCATCTATTGCAAAACCACAAGTTGTTTTAACACGTTTTTCTTTAGATCCAGCTAAATAATATATAATGTGTTAATTATGGAGATTTAAGATGTTTGTAGGTGTTTTTGTGATCCTGTGAGTAGCAGTCGGCTTCAGTTTTATTGGATATTAGGTACAATAAACTATCCTGGAATTTACATATAACAGTATTAATCCTATTAACATAACTCTTACAGGGAAAATGATTTAAGTTTCCTAAATTTGTAGAAATACTTCTTTTTATCACTGTCTCTTTTAGCTCTGCAAAATGCTGCAACTGATGGGACTACCACTTGAAATGAATTCTGAAAGCAGGTAGGTGTCTTCACATTTCACACAGTGATTTTTCTTGCTGGTGTAGGTTCCTCTTCTCAAGATAATGATTGAAAAAGGCGTCTTTATGTAAGTTTTTAAGTACTTTGCTCTCATCACATCAAAAACACTCATTGAGAAACATAATATAATCAGTTCAGTGGTCTTACTTGGACCCTCCTCCACAACCACCACCTTTTTCTTCTTTTTCTTCTTGTTGGCATTTTTGTCCAACCCCAGCTTGGCCTGAGCAATCATCTTGGAGTATGGATCAGTGTTTCTCTCGCCTTCGTACCCCTGAAAAAAAGACAATAATTGGACTTCTTTGCTCTCTCACAGCTCATCTTTCTGCAGCAGCTGCTAACAGGAAATCAAAACAAACATTATTGCACGATAGCTATAACCGATCAGTTCAAACCTTCACAAAGAAAGTCCTGTCTATGCGCTTGTCCTCCCTCTTGGTTGATAACCAGCGCTCACACAGGAACATGTACACCTCCTCTGTTTCCACATCCAGCACCTCCACCTGATCCAGGTACCAATCGGCCCCTACCATGGAGTTATCGTGGTGAATACGAATCTTAAATACTTGGCCCAGATCCACCGCTTCAATCGTGAACTTGTCCACCTGGGAGACAATCAAAATGTCACACATTCAGAAACCTGTTGAGTCCCTCACTGATGTGCCAAGACATGAGCTTTCTTTACGTACCTCTCCTCTCTCAAACTTGTTCTTGTTGTTCTCAGATTTGGCGAGTTTGCGCTCTCCTGTGTCGCCGAGGTCTCCGTAGATGGTGAGAAAAACGTTGGCATCTGTTCCTGCTCCGTACATATCACCTGTTCGCACTGACACCTTGTATGTGTGAGCTGTAGCAGACAGAAAAAAATAAACGCTAAAATGTTTATCGTGTACCCTGGGATAGTGTTTTATCAAAGTGAAATTTTCAAAGAGTGAAATTCAGGTCACATGTGTCTTAAATTGACTCCATAATGAACTTTCTCCTCTTCATTTTGCCTTCAGATATATGGTTTGAATTTAGCGCAGCAGGATAAAAGCGCCCAGCGTGTCTCTGAACAGCAGACTATAGAGATGTGGTAAGATCAACTCAATCATAATAAAATGCACCATTGGAGCGAATATAACCGCAGTGATATATTTTCTTTCAATGCCCAACTGTCCCCTCTATCTCAGGCTATGGCTGAGTGCTCATCCTTCATATAAAAACACAAATATCTTGACCTAATCCCAAATTCTTTACATACATGACCTCGATTTATATCAGTGTATTCATATTTTTTAACTTATTTTGTACAAGGAAACCTACTTTCCAAGGCGTCCTCCACCTCTGTCTCAGTAGTTTTCAGCTTCCCATCCCTGAGGAGTTTCTCTGTAATGATATCCGAGGGGACCAGCTCTCTTATCGTCTCCCCATCATCTTCAGATTTGGCGAGCCAGCACTCACATGGGAAAATGGTCGTCTCTGAACCCTGCCATTAAACACAAAAGGATTCAAGAACTGGGCCATGGTATGTCTGCCTGACTACAGAGGAGAGTATGTCTGACTCTAATGCATGGTGTTTAAGAGGAGTATCATTATTTGCTATCATTTTAATGAGGGAACACACTCAGACACTCACTTTTCTACATATATTCTAAAACAGTGTTTTGATACCTTTCCTTTCCTGAGCTGCCGTCTGATCTCCACTCTGTCGAGGTGCCACCCTGGATTAGAGCCCCTGTTGTCGTGTCCTATCCTGATTTTCTCGATTACATCACCGATATCCTCGAGCTGCGAAAAGACCCCGAAGTGTTGACAGAGATGCAAACACTATCTTTGAGGTTGTGTGATCAAAATACCCACACTCACCTCCACGATAAACATGTCCTCAGCTCCCCTCTCAAAGTACAGACGTCTCTCTCTCTTGTTGACGCACAGGTGTTTCTGCTGCGTGCACTGTGCATTACGTCCGTACAAAACTATGAACACATCAGCATCTGTCCCAGCGCCGAACACGTCACTGGTGAAGATCTTTATCTCGTACGGCACAACTAAAACATCAGAGAAGAGGGTGAGAGCTTTGATTGAAGTAAAATATGAGTTTTCATATAATGTTACATACACCTCAACTTAGGCTGAGGTGACAGGTCCTGAACTGGAGTTAATCCTAGCACTGAAGTACTGTTTTCAGACTAAATGAATCCCTGTTGTCTTGGATTCAGTCTTAACAACTTTGGCCCACTCCAACAGCAATAAAGTTTTTATGTCTATGATTACATCATGTGCAAGCAAAACTTTAAAGAACTATGAAAATTCCTGCAGCATTAGCAGAAGCAAATACTGCAGCCCTCAACTGCCAAAGCAGCTTCTACTGAACAACAACAGAAATGTCTCAACTTTCTCTGCGCTATTTTTGTTGTTTTGGTGTTTTTTTGGAGAAGATCTAATAGAGGTAGTAGTAAGCAAATGTTGAAAAAGTTAAGCTGCCGACTTAATACATCTTTACTCTTTTGATTCTCTATTTATTTTACTGTCAAAAAAGCTGTCTCCAGATAATGGCTTATGTACGAAATTTAACCCTATCTTACATCAAATAAAGAAATAGATAAACGTACAATTTTAAGTATTTAGGAGCTCTCTTACGCTGTGGTACTGCATACAGAGGTCTAAATTTGTTTCGCTGTAATAAGAAGTAGATTTGAAATGTGAGATAATCATATAAAAAAGTAAGTTTCCTCACAGTTTTATCTTTGATAAAAGTGAAAATAAACCCAGCCAGCATGGAGGCAAAAGTATCTGAAGCTGCATCCCTATGACTTGGACAGTTTCATGTGTAAGCCAAGAAAGTGAGTTGTGTTTTTTAGTAGTGAAGTGTAAAAACAGGCCAGCAGGGACGTTAAAACTCTTGTTACAGATTAAATCAAAGTACGGGCTTTGACAAAGAACCCTTCTTTATTCAGAGTGCTTTAAACATACTTAAGTGCTAACGCACCCACACTTCGATGTGAGTAAAACTTTGCATATTTATAGGAAGAGTTCTCAATAAGCACATTGCTTCTCTCACTAATGGGTTTGAGTACTTGTAAGGACTGTTCACTCACATGGCGTATAGTATTCAGTCTGTAAATCAGCTGGATAAAGGTCCCTCACAACTGCTCCATCATCCTCTCCTTTATCCAACCAGCGGCCACATGGGAAACGCATTCTCTGACCCTGTGAGGGGGCGTCAACCTCGACCCAGTCCAAGAACCAGCCAGATGAGCCCCCTGAGAGAAGGAGAGGGTTCAGCTATGTGGTTTTATACAGCTAATAATGACTCCTTATTTCTAGTCAGTGAATCCTTTCTTTCCTAACCCGAGTTGTCGTGTCCAATTCGAAGCTTTTGCAGATCGCCCAAATCCACCGCCTCCACAGTGAACTCATTGATCATCCCCTTTTCAAACTTATTCTTGTAGTGCTTACAAGCCTTTAGGTTGACGATTCCTGTGGGTGACATCAAAATATTAAATACAGTGCGCTTAATGAAGCCAAAAATATCAAACATAGAGCCGGATGAAGCGATGCCAGGAGTTATCTCACCTGTGTCGTCATTTTCTCCAAACAGAATGGCAAAGACGTTGGCGTCAGTCCCTGCGTACTTCTTTTCTCCGGTTTTTATTTTCAGGGTGTATGTAGTAGACATGGCTAGGAGATAAATTTCACGTCAGTACCGGAATCCTTTTCATCTCCATACTTTGAATGTTTGAGCAGCACATATATAAATACTTGAACAAGGCTCTCTTTTATCTTCTCTATAATAAAAACAGTTCAGAAATGATCCAGCTTTTGAAACGGTTACATTTCTGCTCAAGGCCCAGAGTTGCGCCCGTCCCCTCCTCGTCCTCGTCCTTCTTCATGAAGGCCTCGTCCACAGGAACCAGCTCCCTTGCTATCTGTCCATCATCTTCATCTACTGCTAGCCAGCGGTTACATGGGAAAAAGTATCTGTAGAGCAAAGAAGCACTTCTGGTCACAGTACAGTCATCTTCATCAGTTTAAGCATGACATGAAAGTAAAAGTTTGTTAATCATGCAGAATGGTGAGACATTTTTTTTCTGATAACTGCATAATTGAATGAAATCCATACAAACTTAATGTTGGTTTTACCTACGTTGTATCATCCTTTGTGTCCACAATCTCAACACGATCAAGGTACCAAGCTGAGTTGGGCTCAGAGTTGTCATGTCGGATTCGAAGCTTCTTTAAAGGACCCAGGTCAACAGCTGTCACGATGAAAACATCCTCCTATATAAAATACACCAGCAGGAGATCCTTTTTAGTCAAAGACACTGATAAGAACAGAAGCTCTTTCGAAAATTTTAGGGGACACGTTGGATAAGAAAGATGCAGCAGTCGCCAAATGCAACAACATTACTGTCTAATCATACCCTAACACAAGTAAAATTAGATAACCCCTTCGCTTTTTAACTGTAACTTTGGTTGAAACATGAAAATGATCGACTAATTATTAATTCAATAATACATAACTGGCTCTTTTACACTGTTATACTCAAGAACTGGGTAAAAGTTTTCGGAGCATAAATGAGAAGGTAAAGAATTAATCAATTAATAAAAAGCTGGTCAAGGTGGAGGTCACTGTAGCTACCTTTTTATGCTATGGAGTGTTTTAATATCCAAGCTTGTTATTTTATTTGTCTATCCTATCCACCACAGTTTGTATTATCATCTTCCATTAGGTAGCACTCTACTTGACGCCTATCTCTACAACGCATTATAAATATATGTATAATGCGCTATAATCACATTATAGCACTGTATAACTATAGTTATAAACACACATAAATGATCATAATGATTTATAGCAATAATCATGACACATTATAAAGCATTTTATTATGAATAACAAGGTCATGTATTATAGGTATTATTAATTTTCACAAGGCTTTATAGCAATAAGCATGACACACTATAATACCTGACCTTGTAAGTCGTGATAAAATGGTTTATAATGTGTTATGATTATTGCTATAAAGCATTATGATCTTTTATGAGTGTTTATAACTATAGTTATACAAGTTTATAAGGTAATTATAACACGTCATAAATATATGTGTAATGAATTATCTATGTGGGCATTGTCAGTGAGTTGTTAACAGTTATAACACAAATATAATACCTGACCTTGTAAGTCATGATAAAATGGTTTATAATGTGTTATGATTATTGCTATAAAGCATTATGATCATTTATGAGTTTTTATAACTATAGTTATACAGCACTATAACGTGATTATAACCCATTAAACATATATTTATAATGCGTTATAGAGATAGGTGTCCAGTTAAGTGTTACCTTACATTACATTATATATTATTAAATATCATAATATATCTTGAGTCCATGTCTGACAGAACCTTCCACTAACTTTCCAGCTTTTTAAAGCTCCCATGATGAGTTTTCGAGGTGTGTTGTACATGTATTATCAGTGTCTCTTGACAAAAACACCCAGCATGCTGTCTTTTGTCAGTCAAATGTATCACTCGCTGCAAGTCATTGTTGTGGAATATTTGACAAGAGACTGTTACCAGCAGACAGTAAACCCTCTGGTATGATACTGACCCCTACTACTGCTTTTAGCCATCACAATAACTCTATAAAAATGGTTTGTCTTCTTGCTCATATTTTTTTCTTTTTTAGGTCATAAACATGAATTTTAATCAGTTTTATAACCAGCCAAGTATGCCTATCATTAGCCTTAATGAAAACAAGGCAAACTTGTAACAGAAAATTGTGTGACATGGTTTAAAAAGATCGGGAAAGATAGGGAGTAACATGTTAGTTTCACAGATTAACTTTCAGACAAGACAAGACTAGACAAAGTATTGAAAACACATCAGACTGACAAGATAAGAAAGAAAGAAATCCTATCAATGACTTGACAGTGGGCTATTGTGTCCTCTGAATAGTGAGAAGAAAGAGACCTCATCTATCTATATCCATCTAAGGACATGAATGGTCGCTGGTAATGTGGAGATCAATAATTCACAGGTTAGATAAAGTAATGAGTAAAAGTAGGCGAGGTTTAATGACAGAGAGGACTCCTTATAGTCCCTCTCAGTCACAGCTGGTTTATCTGCATGAGAGCTTGTAATCCTACCAGAAAACACTCCCACCCACACCTCAATGAAAGGCTCATATTGCGTGGAAGTGTGCTTGAGTCTCTCGCTAACTGCTGGTTAATTTTCAGCGGGACGCCCTCCAAGAAACAGGCTAAAATTAAACAGGAGAGATTTTTTGTATTTTTCACACAGACTCAAAAGAACATCTAGCCTTGGTTTACACATTTAGACACTCAAATAATCATCATAAAACACAGCCAAGTTCACTGTGAATACAATGCTTTCCTTTTTTGGCTGGTAAAAGAGCATTTTTCACAACATTATCTACTTCACATGCTACAATAATGACCTAATACTCAGCCTCCCCCCTCGGATCATTAGCGGATGTCAAAAAGTAGTGATGACATTCTTGTTCAAACCTTCATACCTGCCCCCGCTCAAATTTGTTGATGTTGTCAGAGTTCCTCAGATAGCGCTCCCCGGTGTCTCCGTTTTCACCATAAATATTAATGAAGACTTTGGAGTCGGTCCCAGCACCCAGCATGTCCCCGGTGAAGACACACACTTCGTAGGTGTTGACTGTCAGACAACACAAAGGATGAATTACTAACACCTCTTTAACCCATCCCGAATGTCGGTCAGAAAACTGTGTCAAATCGGACCATAAATCTCTGAGTTTTACACCTGAAGGGAGAAATACTGAAAAAAAGTGAAATGGAACAAATGACCGATTCTATTGAAATAATTCACTGTATATAATCTCTTTTAACACACATCTGTGGTTTTAAATCCCAGAAAATCCATTAACGGTGGAACTGACACCGGGAGTTCTTTCAGGCAAAAGGTGTCTCACTGAACCTTTACCTTACATTACCTTTGAGCACATTAACCACAGCTATAGTTCATGTACACCTTGATTTCCTTTTTTTGTGACATTTTAAGGCAAAAGTGCGGTACTAGAAAATGCAATTTTCTACACATTTTAAAGAAGAAGAAGAAAGAAACATTTATTGTATTCATGCTGACCAAGGCATCTGTTGCCTCTCTGGGTTAAACACTGAAGTGCTGCTGTTCTGGTTTAGTAATTGACATTAGTGGTGGTCATGACAAAACATTTGCTGCGCTTCAAATTGCAAATTCTCCTGAACTTTACGAAGAAAAATCTATATTTGATATGAATACAACCAGGAAAGAATGACGTCTAGACAACGCTGCTTTTTAAACTTAAACTTCTCATTCATCCAAGCCATTCATCTTCTCACTAACATAGTTGTGTGGTATGTTTCACTGCACTGAGGATTGTGGGTCAAAAGTATGCCAGCCTAATACATCTACTTTAAGATACGTTTCTTTTTGTTTACTACACAAGAAAACATGTATAAGTACTTATAAGATAACCTTGCATAGATTTGTTAAGCTTGAGGTCTTAAGGATTAAACATGTTTAATTTCTCTTTTTTACTCTTTAGACTTGTTTCTGCAGCTTCACTTGAGGTGCGGTGTCATGCACCAAAGGATTTTGCTGTATATGATTATAAAACTCTCCCGAAATCACCCGAGAATACGACACAGCTCCACTGCACTTGTGGGTGGTATCAAATCTATTTTGGGGTTGGGAATTATCTTGCTACTACTTCGTGATTCAAAAATAACCTCAGTAGTTTCTGTGCCATTTCCATTCAGCTCTGCACATGAAGAAACAGGTTACACTGTTTCGTGGTCCTTCGCCAGTTCTACAGCTGCTCGACCACCAAGCAAATTTGAATCATGATGTTCAACATAATTCAGATGTGAGCTTTACACTCAGACGTTCAACACCTCCCCCTGAAATGATCTGAAATGATCACAGTGTTATTTTTGTTTCATACCTTCTAGCTCGTCTGCATCTTCAGGAAGCAGCTCGACCACCAGCTCACCATCCTCCTCTCCCTTAGCCAGCCAGCGTGAGCAGGGGAAATGGTAAGTCAGCACCACCTCCTGCATCTCTTCTCCTCCTTCCTCATCCTCCTCTTCCTCATCCTTCTTCTTTTTCTTCTTCTTTTTCTTATCCTCCTTTTTTTTCTCCTTGGGCACCATGGCCATGATTAGACGTTTGACATCTACTGTGTCCAGGAACCAACCAGATCCGATCCCTGAACCGTCGTGACCGATGCGGATCTTGAAGACTTTTCCAACATCTTTGGCCCCCACCTGGAGAACAGGTGAGGTTTTACTCCTAACATGTGGCAACACTTTCCACACAAAGCATAGAGATGAAGTTTTCATACCTTGAATATTTCTGTGGTGTTCCTCTCAAAGTTGTTGGATCTGCTTTCGAGCCTGATGACCTCTGTCTTTCCCTGGTCCCCGTAGATCTGGATGAACACTTTGGCATTGGTGCCAGCAAATGTCACATCTCCAGTCACAACTGTGATCTCATAGTTAATCACTGAAAAATATGGATTGATAAAGGCTGAAATGCATGATTTACGGTCAGTCATTTTACATGCATGACATACAAAATAAGTGCATGTTTGCATGGAAGGTCTTAAGAAGATAGGCATAGTAGAAACACATACATGGGCATAAAACAATAACGAATCTATCCAAAAAGTTGGTAGAAGGCACAAATCAGAGGAAGTATGGTCATAAGAAAAGGTTTCTTAAATGTACTCTTTAAGTTTTAGTCCATAAGACCAGGAAAGTACAGGATTAGTCTTATAAACCAAGACTAACGTAAAAATGTCAAAATGGCAGTATGGATTTCTTGTATGTGTGTGTGTGTGTCTGCCTACATTGTTCCATATCCAGGATCTCACTTGGGTAGATCTCCACCTCAGTCTTGCCATCAGCTTCATCCTCATCCAGCCACCGGTGACTGGGGAACATGTATTGCTTCCCATGCACCGGGACCAAGATCTGAACACTGTCCAAGAACCAGCCGGCACGCATGCCTTCATTCGTGTGTCCAATCATCAGACGGTTGATCTGGATTTGTAAGAAAATAATTACAAAACACAGTTTGACACAGATAATTAACAACGTTTTAACACACACTGACAAGAGGCAAGCGAATACACTCTCATTTAGACCCCGAACATCTGCTTCCACTCAGTCACCTGGCCGATATCAAAGGTGTCCACCACAAAGATGTCAACACGACCCGTCTCAAAGTAGTTCCCCAGGTTGTTGTCAGATACCACCAACAACATCTTGCTGGTGTTGCCTTTCTCTCCGTAAAGCTTGACAAACACGTTGGAGTCTGAACTGCCGCCGGGGATGTCCCCTGTTTTCACTGCGATGTGATAGCAGACATCTGACACATACAGAGACACAAACATAAACATCAGAGGGAGATGTAATTCAACTGTTTGGATAGAGCTCAGGAAATCTCTTTAACTTACTGTAAAGACGCTGTCCATCTGCAAATGGCACCAACTCTCGGACAATCTGTCCGTCATCCTCGTTGCGGTCCAGCCACCTACAGGTTCAATAAACAAATCCTCAGCTGGTTCATCCACACCACTCCTCTCTACAGTGACTGTCATTATCGCTAATGTACCTGTTGCAGGGGAACTCCACAGCTTGGGCCTCAGCCTGTCCCTCCTCTCTTACGATGACTTTGTCAAGAAACCAGCCACAGCCTCCACCTTTGCCATCATGTCCGATCCTCACCCTGCGGACTTGCCCGATGGCAACTGCCTCCACTATAAACTCGTCCATCTAGACAGACAGGTACAAAGTTAATAAAAGTGTCTTTTCCTGTATTTGCAGTCAACGATATAACAATATGTGCAATATTTGACTATCCTGCTCTGAATGAATCTACCCACATTTCCTTTCTCAAACTTGTTCACGTTGTTTTTGCAGTTGACCAGCTGACGATCTCCGGTGTCTCCCTGGTCCCCAATAAGACTCAGAAAAACGGATGCATCTGTGCCGCTGCCACCGACAGTCCCTGTGCAAACTGTCACTCTGTATTTCATCACTGCAGAGTAGAAACAGCTGTCACTCACAAGTTACATTTGCCACTTTATTTGGTCAAATACACTGAGAGATGTTGAACACGGGTTTCTGTACGTACATGGCAGCGGTTCAGCGACCTGGTCTCCTGTGGCAGGTAACTCCCTCACGACCTCCTGATCATCTTCATTTGTATCCAGCCAGCGCTCACAGGGGAAGTTATACTTTTCCTTTGTCAATGTCTTCATCAGAGTCGCCTATTTAGGAAGAAAACAAACAGAATTACAATTATCTTCATTTGTAAGGTTCATAAATCTCTATTAAAATCCACATCCACCATAAAGTTTGAATAAATATTTAAACTTGATATAAATAAATAGAAAAAAAGGAATAGCATGTCTACAAATGTGCATATATGTATGTAAATTATTTTACCATTGTTCTAATGTGAGATTATGAATGACTTCACCTTACTGAGATGCCATCCTGCAAAAGGATTCCTCTTTTCGTGCCATAATCGAATCTTGGTCAACGTCCCCAAATCAGGAAGCTCAACCTGTAAAGGCCCATCAAGATTAAACAGACACACTCCGGCTGTTGTGGTTATTGTTTTTGGTTTTAAAATACTAGATACTTACCATAAACCGGTCCACCTGTCCCTGTTCAAAATTGTCCGTCTTGTTGTCCAGTCGCATCTCATCGCTCTTACCCTTTTGTCCATAAACCTGGAAGGAGATATCTGCGTCAGTTCCTGCACTGGGCAGGTCTGACGTCCAGATCCACAAGGACCAGGGGTGCTCTGAGGAAAAAACAAATCATGTAATCCACTTTAATTAAGAAGATGTGTGATCTGCTGCAATTAAATTTCCCTATGGGACAAATAAACTACTACTACTACTAAGATCTGTCACAGCTTATTTTTACCTGCCCCATTTGATTTGATTATTAAAATTCTGAAAATGAATTAATAAGGAAAGAAGTTGATTAAAAGATTTAAGCAAAAAAAAATGGATTAATGTGTAATATTTTATAGCACTTTTAGGAGATGGGCATAGTTAGATCACCTTGATTAGTCATACTCCCTTAACATTAAAGGTAGTTAAAGCCAAGATGATCACAACAGAAAGCACCTAACTGAACCTGTATGATTGTTTATTGACACAAAGTGAGACACTTTACTTACTTTTACCTATATGGACACAAAAGAATAAGCTGTTGCACACATTTGCATTTGTTTTTTATTTTTCTTTTAAAAGTGACTGGACTGCATTTCAAAAGCAAAAGAACAAACACCACACTGAAAAATGGAGCAGAATGAAGGTAGACGGCCTGCTGAGTCATTATGCAAATGTCTGAAACAAACATTGGAGTTTTAAATGGACTTCTGAATGTTTGTGCACTGTGTTTCAGGAAATTGAAGGAAAATGACAGCTTTTACTGCTGCTAAAATCCATAATTTTACACATTGTACTTACTCTTCTGTCTCTTCTGCCTGAGTGAGACCATCTCATAGAGCTCTCTCTCGATGAGCCCATCTCCCTCTTTCTCATCCAGCCATTTACTACACGGGAAGGTCTGCTCTATGCCTGTGAATGGACAGTACACCACCACCTGCGGGAACATGGATTCCCAGTTCACAGTAAACAATCAGACAGCAGGGTTTGCATGAGTGTGTTCATGCGTGTTCAATTTACCTTCTCACAGAACCACCCAGCGCTGACTCCATCGTTGTCGTGCCCGATGGTGACTCTGCTGAGTGGACTGAGGAGCGCAGCGATCTCAACATTAAAGATGTCGGTCAGGCTTCGCTCAAACTGTCCTCCCTCTAAAAACACCTGGATCAAACACATCGAGGCAAAATTTAAGATCATAAATCATGAGCTTAAATACAGACATCCGGGGATTAAATCTCATTGGTGTGAATTTGTTAGCTCATTAACGGACTGGAAAATGGAAGTGGAAAGTTTGTATTTGTTTTTTTTTTTTCATTTGTCAATTTTTTTCTTGCTGCAGAAACAAAAACTGCAGCAGGTGGTTACTGGTAAAAAACCAACACAGTTTTAAAAAGCAGACACTGAGACTCATTTACAGGAAAAAAAAAAAGAAAACAACAAACAAACAGCCCACACTGTTTTGCAAATAAGTAAAGGTTGGATAGTGTTTCACAAAAATATCCAAAGGAACTCTGTTTTAGTAACTGAAATGCAGCTAAAGAAAAACAAAAACATCTGATCTGCTACAGGAAGGATGCTCCATCTAACCAATCCACTTTTATTTCAAGTTTCAGGTCTTCACTCTCACTTATCTCACCCAAATACTGACCCACCACTTCAGCTGTATTTTGCATTTTTATGTTTTATTTTTTTTAATGAAGTATCGGTTGTTTCATACTTTTATTACCTTGCCACTGTTTTTCATTCCTTTGGTGCCGTGCATCACTATGTGGATCTTGGAGTTGGTCCCAGCACCTCTGATGTTGCCTGTCACAATCTGTACGTTGTACACAATACCTGGTGGGTACAGTTACATGTCAGACTATCAAGAGATCTGCCATCAGGTCAGCGCAGATCACAGCACACATACTCCCCCTAACAAGCTGAGCAGGAGCCAAAGCTTTGAGATCTAAACATTGATAGTCTGACCTAAGGACTAATGAAACGGGTCAGAAAACACACCTTACATTTGGACTGAATAACACAGCGTGACACAAGATATCTGATACTCCTGAGTGAAAGAAATGCAATCCTACGAAGATTCACTTTGCACTTTTAAGACAGTTAAGCATAATTATCCCCACATGAAGGCAATCATTTGGAGAATGCAGCCAAACAAGAGACTGATTTCATTGTCCCTGATATGACATTTCCCTTCGTAGAAATTGAATGAAGTATTCTTACTAGCATAATGAAACATTTCTGGCTCACCTGTGGGCTGGCTTCCCCCCACCAACACGTCTCTCTGGATCTTTCCATCGTCTTCATCCAAAGCAAACCAGCGATTGATGGGAAAGTCATACACTGTTTTGTTTCCCATATCATCTACCACGACCTGCACAAAAGAGAGAAATCCAAACAGAAATATAAATTAAGAGATTAAAATGTTTAGCTAGAGTAGGTTACAAAGGTAGTTGATGTTGATCAAACTAAAAACTGTAAAAAAAAAAAAAGTGCTTTTATATTGATGTTTTTTAAATGTATGCCATTTAATTTTTAAAGTTAGATTTCCATGTTAAAAGGCAAATAATATTATATATATATATATATAATAAAAAAAAAATATATATATATATATAATATATTATTCGTATCTTTATTTTTGAGGATAGAGACTAAGTTGTGCACTGAAATTAAATGTATCTTAGTACATTTACAGCTTCTAAATAAACCAGCCTAATGAATCCTTAAGCAGCAATGACAGTTGAATAATTTTGCCAATTGGCTCTTTATACTCTCAAATGTATTTAAACATATTCATCGTTATTATTAGTCCCAGTTTAAGCACAAATGCAATTCTCATTTGATGAACTTTGGTATCAGTCTGTGCTAATGTCCTCAGCAAATCTAACAACCTGTCCCTTTTCTGATGTAAGGCAATCTCTTAATGGGTCATGGTTTCTCTTTACAGAGAGGGTAGAATGACGACAGGTGTGCCCTGAGTGTGTACGTGTGAGCTTGTGCATGCATGCGTCTGTTTGAATGAAGTCATCTCTTAGCCTCACACACTGTGTGTATTGGAAGAGTGGGGACAGCGGTCTCAGATGAGACAACTGAGAGGAAACAAGAGGATCATATGTCTTAAGTACCTCTGCAGAGGCCGAGCAGAATAGGATGAGCTAAAGTAAGACTTTAAGACCGAGTTTTGTTTCAAGATAAGGTACTGTACAACATGTAGGTTACACGTGATGTAACAAATGAAAGTAACACATCTTCCTCTTCTGTAATACGTCCTGACTGATAAGAGGGTCTTTGTTATCAGCACTTTAAAAACTCCTGTAAACAGCAGCTGTGTTTACTGTTTCTTACCTTGTCCACAAACCATCCCGCAGAGGAGCCTTTGTTATTGTGGCCGATTGTGATCTTCCTTATTTTGCCCAAGTTTGGTGCCTCAACGGTGAACTTATCTTCTGTGCCTTTTTCAAAGTTATTTTTATCATTGTCAAGTCGTCTCTCACCTTCAACAGCAAACCATTTTCAAAATTAATCAATCAAATCACAACTTGACAAGAAGGAAATAATTAAAACAAATAGTTTTCTTTTAGTTTCACTTTAGTTCCTCATGTAATCAGAAGAAACTTGTAAAGTGAGACGCAAGAGTGTTACTTCTTGTGCAACATTTTACCTGTGTCTCCAAACTCTCCAAAGATATTAATGAAGACATCAGCATCTGTCCCGCTGCCTTTTATATCCGCAGTAAAAACACTCACTGCATACTTATTATCTGGAAATATAAAACCCGAGGTTTGGATTAACAAGTTAAAACAGCACAAACACTTTGAACAGCTTCAGCTAACACTGTATAATTAAAATATTTTTTTATGCCTGCCGAGCCCTGATTGAGCTGATTTGATTGATCCCTGATACTAAAACTACTCACTAACTAACTATAGAAGAAATGATAATAAATCATGTGTGCTCATACATACATTTGGGCATGTCCATAGGATCCATGCTACCCAGCAGGTCTCTGACAAAAAGACAATCTGCCTCCACCTTGCTCAGCCAGTTGTTACAAGCAAAGTAGAACCTGAGGTGAGGTCTGATCACATCTGTCACCACCACTCTGTCCAGGAACCAGCTGGCGCTCATGCCAGTGTTGTCATGCTCAATCCTGAAGCAACAGAAGCAACTTTTTGAGTAAAAAATCCTTTACATTTCTCAAAAGGAGATATTTCTTTTTTAATCAAGTCCGGGTTTAACAACATTTACAGAATCTTTGCTTTACTAACAAAAAACAGTTTTTAACAAAGAGAAGAAAATACTGAAGAAAACTCACCTTATCTTTTTTAAAGGTCCAACATTGTGAGTCCTGATTCTGAACACGTCAGTTTTAGCTCTTTCAAAAGCAGTGCGACTCCTGAGAAAAGAAATTGATAATATTTGTCAGACAGCCTGAATTTCATCACACTTTCAGCATATCAAATTCTTCAACTCAAAACAAATGCAGAAAGTTGAAACACAAAGATGTCAAGAAATCTCAGTTATATAAAATATTCCAACAGCATACACATGCTGATTTAACACAAAAATTACTGCACACAGGTTGATGTTGGAGCACCCATTGTCATTCACAACCCAAACCAGTGCATTCTGGGATAAATACCTTTTTTCCGTGCTGTCAAGGAAAAAAAAAAGATACAGTTTTAGCTCAAGCACAAGACATAACTGCATGTTGGAATAACAATAATCTGCAGAGGATTTACTTGCTGGCCAGGTGAACTTTGGGGGTGATACCATAGTCTCCAAACAGAGTAACAAACACATTGGCGTCAGTTCCTGCTCCTCTCTCATCACCAGTGATGGTCACCACTTCATACACTGTGGGGTTAAATGGAAACATTAATTTAAGTGCCTTGTTTATATCTTATTATGAGTGCACTGTAGTACTTATATCCTTATTATCAAAGTTTTCATCTTGAGTACAACTGGGAATCACTGATAGTGTTTTCACATCAACGTGTATCATTCAGTTCAAAGTAAGAGTCGAGTAAGAAAGGGCTGAAAGGAAATTTCTAATGGGATTTAGAAGTTTTTGACTCTTTCATAATAAAAAAAAAATTTTTTACTCAATTTCATTCTTAAACCCTGCTATTTCTTACAAATTAATTTAAGAGAACAGTCCTCAAATCCTTGTTTTCTGCCTTTACGGCACACTATGTGGCACATCTGGGAAGAGAGTACATACAGTATATTCTCAAATTTTGACATTAGCAATGGTGAAATGAAGGACAAGACTCACTCGGAGATACAGACCTTTTTGCAGCTCTGTATTTTAAGGTTCTTTCATGCTGACAGTAGACATGGTTTAGAAGAAAACCTCCTGATTATTTTAACCACACTGTTGTAAAAGTGTTTAGTTTGGTCAGACTGGTCTCTGCAGTTTTGTATGTGGAATCAGACAAATAATCAGACTTTTTATATTTAGACGTTTAGAGGTTACAGAGACTCTATGTAGGATGTAAAGTTACCCTGTGCAAACATACTGTAAGTGATTGGCAGGTATCATATAGCTGTAGGCTGAGATAACATACAGATGGTACTTGGATACTATTCAGCAGGCATTATGTTTCCATGAACAGAGACCACATGATCAATCTACATAATCAGAATTACATAATTTTAATCAGGCACTCATGTCTCAAGGTATCAGATGTCTTTCTTCAAACAAAAGCCCAACACATTTAATCAACATTTGCATCCTCTCTGTGCAGACTACCTCAACCTTGTCATTTCTTCTTGAACACATCTCAAAGGTTAATGTAATAAGTTTACGCTTACCTTTCTTTTTGTGATACTCATCCTCGTAGTTTTCCACCATTTCTGGCTCATAGTTGCGAAGCTCATTCTCATAGATTTCGACATAATTTTCAATCTTCTTCTTCTTTCCTTTTGTCTTCTTGTTGTCTTCATCACTATCTCCCTTCTCTGAACCTTTCTTTTTCTTTTCTTTCTTTTTCTTCTTCCCTTCCTCTTCGTCTCCAGCGGTCTGTTCTTCCCCTTTCTCTGAATCCTTCTTGGATTTTTTGTCATCTTTGGACTTCTTATCTTTTGACCCCATCTTGTCTTTGACTGAAGACTTCTTTGATCCTTTCTTTGTGGTCTCAATCACATCAGGGAGTTTTGGTCCTTTCTTTTTACTCCAGGAGTCATCGCTGTTATCCTCATTATCTGAGTTCTGTGAGTTGTTGCTCAACTCATCTCCGCTCTCCTCTTGGGCTTTCTTCCTCTTTTTGACCTTTTCTTTATCCTTCCCTTTGGTCTTGGTGCTCCTCACATCAGGCCCCGATGTGTCCGAATTGTACCCCTCTTCATCACTATCTTTAAGCTTCTTCTTCTTCTTCTTCCTTACTCTACCGGCATCCTCTGACTCACTCACCTGCTTACTCTTCTTCTTGGGCTTTGGTTCTTGATCCTCCGAGTCCTCGTCATCCACATCTTTGGTTTCCTCCTCTGCACTCTGTTTTGTTTTTTTCTTTTTTGCAGGCATCTTTAATTTATTTACTACCTTGTAACTGTAACCGATTCCTGTGTGTTCCGGTGAAACTTGATTAAACTGACCCGTGACTGTAGAAGAGTGTCCAGTTGGCAGCACAGGTACGAGTCAAAGGGCCCACAGATTGTTGTTTGGCTGGCGGCTGGGGAAGCCCCTCTCTGCAGGTAATCCTGACCTGGAAAAGAGGCAGATGCTCTGACCTCATTAGAAATGATAATCTGCATGTTGTAACATGACCACAGGTGGAAGCCCCTCTGACGTGAGGGGCTAGAACTGCTAGAAAATTCCAAAAAGGTTTGCATTGGTCCACCTTTTTGAACAGCTATGACTACTACAAATTCCCATTTAAGGTAGTATTTATCACAGTTTTTACATTTAATTTTAACCTCAATGTTTGTATGTTTGAGAATGAGAACAGACTTAAGAAGAAACATGTAAAAACAGCTGGCCTGGAACTGCAGGTGCAATTATCCAAAGTTGAGGACAATGAGGCCTCCTGAACTATTTTTTTTATTTATTTAAACACAAAATAGATTTTTTCCTGATTATGATGAGCTCTGTGCAAGGTTAAAATACGCCTCCAATATATTTTTGCTTTAAGAGGAGTAGGCTATTATTTCCTTAATGGCTCGCAGCTAAATTCCCAACTGCTTTAATCGTGACAGTCTGCGTCAACATCCCAATGAAGCATATTTCTAACAGACTCACTCACCCACTTTCAACTTTCACCATTTTTGTTGGTGTGTACCGCTCAGCCTTCTTAAAAACAGCATATCTATTAGCCCGCATATGGTTTTAGCTAGCAGCTAACGTTAGCCAATGTTACTCTCTATCATTAGGGAAAGCCTTTGGCAAGAGTCAACTAAAAACATATTTTGACAGTTTTACAAACAGCTGCTGTCTAATAGTTGACTTTTGTTGCCTTTTTGGACACTAATTTGACCTATCTCGCACGGAAACGTGACTATAATGATATTTTAAGTTATCTGCTCTGACTTGAGTGTCACTTTGACATGCAGCAGCCAGTCCAGTTAGTTTGTACTAACATTGGATTTGACAGTTTCTACTCATCTTTCATTCGTGATATAGGCCTGACAGTCTGCTTCAACATCCCAATGAAGCATATTTCTAACAGACTCACTCACCCACTTTCAACTTTCACCATTTTTGTTGGTGTGTACTGCTCAGCCTTTTTAAAAACTTTTACAGCATATCTGTTAGCCTGCATATGGTTTTAGCTAGCAGCTAACGTTAGCCAATGTTACTCTCTTCTTTTTTCTTCTTCTTTTAGTTTAACGGCAGTTGGCACTAATGTTACCCTCTATCATTAGGGAAAGCCTTTGGCAAGAGTCAACTAAAAACATATTTTGACAGTTTTACAAACAGCTGCTGTCTAATAGTTGGCTTTTGTTGCCTTTTTGGACACTAATTTGACCTATCTCGCACGGAAACGTGACTATAATGATATTTTAAGTTATCTGCTCAGACTTGAGTGTCACTTTGACATGCAGCAGCCAGTCCAGTTTGTACTAACATACACTGTATATACTATATACAGTCTATGGTACAAACATTGGATTTTGACAGTTTCTACTCATCTTTCATTCGTGATACAGGCCTACACAAATGTTACTATACAACAATATTGCAGCAAAAATACGTGATAAAGAGTCCCCCTCTTAAATTGCAATAATCAAAGCATATGATTCTACAGTCTGTAAGGCAAACAGTAACCACATTCATACCATTGCATTGGAATAAAATAAACACACACATAAGAAAAAAGTAACATTGCACCAGCACATCAGTCAGATATGACCTCAGGATACATAAAATTATAGAAGAAAATTGATTTAAAAGAAAAAAGGTTGTAGTGAAACATTTAATTAGTGAGGTTATTTTTTGGTAATGCAAAGACATATTGGGTACGTTTAAATCTCATCAGTTTGAGGGGAAACATCTCAAAAGTTGTTGATGGAGTTAAGTTTGATATTAGAGGGAATGGTCCTTATTGGAAGAGTTGTTTGGTAAAAATGTAGTGAGCTACCCTGACACCTAGTGGCCATCCTGGGAAGTTATAGGAAATTCTACCTCCCCATAATCTACCTAAAAAAAGGCCTGTTGGTATTATGAAAAAAAAATAAAAAATCAAGTTAACCAGATATAAGAACATTTAGTAATTTGGTTCTGGTTTAGGACCTGGTTTTATAATCTTTGTTCAAGACTGAAAAAGCTGTAAAATCTTTGCATTTTAAAATACACATTAAAAGTTTCTGAAGCTGTATTTAAAAGAGTCCTCCAGGATTTCTAATCTCAACTTGCGATATTTCTAAGCTAATATAGCTTTGTATTTTTGAAAACTGAGTGTAGGTGCTGCCTGCTGTCATCATTTCTCTATGTTAAACTTGCAGCTATGTGATTTTGGAGTATTTTGCATTAGCTCTTATTTATATGTATCTGTATCCTCTGTTATCCGCAGTTGTATCAAATGTGTTCAAAGAGTTGGACTTCAACATGACTTTGAGTTAGTGTGATTACAATCATTGTACATGCATCTGTAACAGACAATAGCTACATGTAAATAATAAGGGACAGGAAAAGGTAATTAACTGCTGTGAAAAGCAGGATGGGTTCATATTAGCGTGTGTCCTTTGTGGAATGAACTAAAATTACTGTCTGAAGACCCTAAAATGCTGAAGCTACTGGACAGCTCATACTGCATTGAAGAGTATCACAGCAGTTCTGTGCAAACTTCATTTCAGCCAGCAGAGGGAAACACCTCCTTATGCATTTGTGTTCGGTTTGCAACGTTAAGTTCATTTAACAGAGGACTGGATGCATGTTTAGACCCTACCATGCTGTCGTAGAAACTCATAGTAATGTCTTAATCCTTTTAAAAACAGGAAAAGTGACGAGACCAAACTAAACTCTGTAGACCTGATACACAGTTTGGTTTACATGGTGCGGAACATTACAGCCTTTGACACAGAAATACACAGAAAAAAATGCTAGAAATGCACATATACACTGTGAATTTGAGATGTTTTATTTTTGAACACAACAGAATGGTCGAAAAAAATGTCTTTGCTTTGAAAAAGGTACAGCAGACCTTTGTTCTAACATGGTGTTTGAAGCCACAGTGAAACCATGGATACTTGTTCTCTTCCTTGTCCTCATCTTCCTCCCTCTGTTTTCATCACCACCCTTTACTCTTTCTTCTCCTCTCTCTGTCTGTCTCTCTCTCTCTCTCTCTCTCTCTGCTGGGTTTCAGCACCAATGAGTCATCCAAAAATAAGGGAGTGCTCACTCTTCACTCTCTTGCCTGATTTCAGGTTTACTTCTAATAGTTGCAGCTGTGAATAGTTATATTGTACGGTATGGTTATCATGTGATTTAAGAGCCTGAAGTGATGTTTTTTATCAGAATGTAGATAAGATTTTTTTACCTTCCAACTGCCTTTGCAGACAAAAATGTGTTCCCATTAGTTTATTAAAATGCATGACCAGATCAATGAACAGCAGGACAGAAAAAAAGCCTCAAACAAGTGGTTTCTGCCCTCTCTGTAACCTTTTGTTGGTCTGACTGCAAGATCAGGTGATGGATAAGATGCATATCAGTGATGAATGCAGGAAAAGGCGCTTTCAAGATGTTAATCCAAAAAGCAGCAGGGTTTTTAACCTCTTTCAGATTCATCGAGAGCAAAGGAAGTCTTAGACTACAGAGGAGGAGATAGGATGTCATGGGTGTACACGTCCATAGGGGCCAGATACAGGACTTCAGACGCAGAATTATCTTTACTTACTTTGAACACAGATTCAAAGAGGTTTAAATCCCAGAGTTCGTCATCTTGAACTGCATTTGTCCTTTCTCTTTGGCTCATCAGAATCAGTTTTAGGTTTCAGTATAGGGAGACCTGTCCCAAGACCTTCAAAGTTGCCTGATTCTTGGTAAACTGTGTGCATTTAGGATCTTAAAAAGCCATGAGAATAACATATTCTTCTGCCAAACAATTGATTATCTACGCTGAGAAATAAAATTGACCCACTGACTCGAGTTTATCTTAGAAATATAAACATCAAGTAGCATTTCACACTCAAATGGAGCTTCAGATCCTTTCACAGACTTCATATTAACGGCTTAATTAGTTTTCCAAAGCTGCAGATGTTTATTTTCCATCCCATCCAGAAGGAACTACGTGATAAAAAAAAGGCCGCAGCTCTGTGAAACAGCTGACACTCAGCAAAGACTCTGAAAACAAACACAGAGGAGGGTCTGGACAGTTCACTGAGGATGCACAGAAGGAAATGAGGAGGAAATAGATGGTCACAGTAGGATATGGAGGAGCACAGTCTCTGTCATGTAGCCTAGCCAAGAACTTCGGAGTCCATGATTGTGGTCAAGCTTTGTTTTGATAAGGGAAATAGATCCTGGTGAAACCCAAACAGGGATTCATTTGACAAGGACAAGGTGGTTTGTCCCTTCTCACAGTAAGCTGTGTGTGGCGGTTATACAACACAAGAAGAGGTCGCAACAGGAGTTGATGTAGTAATTACAGGGGCCAACAGGTGACTGAGGAAGAAGCTGGGAAGGTTATTTGGGCACACATCTACTCTTCTGTTCCCATGTAAGTAAAACAGACCACAGCAGGTCACTGAATGTAATTAAGCCTTTGGAGTTTGTAACATGGACTCAAACTTTCCTTGCTTTGTGCCAGAACAACTTCACGAAAGTGAAATTCTGCCATAACACCTTAGTACTCAAGATGTGAACATGCACAGATGACATCAGGGTTTAGCAGTCTTAAACTAGAAAATGAAACCTGAGCTGTATTTGAGCTGGTTCAGACCACCTGGCTGGGGCAACGTGTAACCAAAACAGGGCATGTATACATTAAGTGGCAGGGCTGGTGGTGCTAGCTCTGCTAATGATATTCACTCTCGGCACACTATTTTCATTGTTTTATTTTACATTGTGTACCCGGAAACTATGTGACC